ATCGTCTAGGACACGAAGAAATGAACTTCACGTCGTTGGCAAATGTCACATTGCGCTTTATCACTTTTCGGGTCGACGTAGTCGTTCCCGAGGATTCGTCATCTGTTGAACAATCCGAATCAGCGTCGCTGTCAACGGATGGACAATCTGACTCCTCCTCATCTTGTCTTGAAGATCGCTTCCATATAGCCGGAGCTGATGGATTCCACCTTCGACACAATCTGATGGCGGGTGCCGCAGGGAGTGCCTTGGCCTTGGCATTCGGCTTCGCTGGAGCTGCCTTCGCTTCGGATTTAGCTTTAGCTTTTGCCTTTGGTTCCGGAGCTGGGGTAGCTGCTGCCTCATGCTTGAAAGGACAATTCTCTCTTGAGCACGAGCCTGTGTTCTTGAACGAGTAGCATATCCTGTTTCCTCCTCCTCCAGATGGACTTGGAGTTCTCGTCCTCGGCGTGAAGGGTCGCTCTGGAGTCTTCTTCGAGTGACTGAATGGACACTTATCGCCATTTCGACACCCTGCATCTGTGAAATGGAACTTGCAGCGGATTTGCTTCTTGCTTTTGTCACCTCTGTTGTCCGCTGACTCACTCCTCGTCTTCTTCTTGGGCTTTGGCTTGGTCTTCGCATGACTCTTCGCTTTGCTTTGAGGTAGTACAGGTGTTGCTTTATCCGGCTTGGTCGGCGAAGCCTTGACCTTTGCGGATGGAGCTGCGTTAGGCGTAGGTTTCTCGGGTACCTTGGCCGGTGCAGCAAGCAAATCCTTGCCCTCAAGCATCTGGCGCAAGCCAATTTGGGTCTGAGTGAGATTTGACTGTTCTCGTCTCCGCATGATAGTACGATCAATGATCTTCATCAGGTTGTCGTACGATCGATCTTCATGATTGTAGGGCAAGTGTTCGTAATGCATGCCCAACTCCATCTTCATTGCGGGCGAGTCCTTGATCTTGCTGTACAAGCAATCACGGAGAGCTGTTTTGGATGGAATGTCCTCTGGTCTCATCCGTCCCAGAACTTCCAACCACGTCTGCTTGAACGTATGAAGCTTGTTGTCGCCTTGGTACTGGAGCTTCACCAAATACTCAAGAGTGATGATCATGTCAAGACGATCATGCGTTCGAAAACTTTCATACATCATCGCAATGACTTGTCGTCCTTTGATGATCTTCACGTCAGGCCTGCTGATGTAATCGTTAGCCTTCCGGTTCACCTCAAGGTACAGGTCAGCTGATTTGTCACCACCGGCACGTAGCATTGCGACCATGGCGATCCCCAATTTGACGTCTATGCTCTTGAACTTCTTGTGTCCTGAATCATTCAATGCTTCGACATCAGGGAATGGGTTGAACGCTGGTGCCAGCCATAACATCCAGTCCTCATGATGTGGGTCGGCTGATGCCCCTAAGACATTGGCCGTGCACACGGATCGCCAGTTGTTGAGATGAGTGAGAGTAGGCCATGGAGGAACGGTCACTTTGTCGGCTTCCCTCCTGGAAATTCTCACCTCTGTGACTTCAGGATCCGCATCTCCATCAGGATCACGTGCATGCGAGCCAGGATCCGATTCAGGTTTGCCTCCACCGCCTTTCTTCTTATCATCATCATCGTCAGGCGGGTCAGGAGGATCATACCCCGTGCCGGTTCCTTCATCGTGCTCTCCATCTTCGTTCTCGTCGCCACCCTCGTCACCATCAGCGTCTCCATTATCCTCCTGAATCGTTTCAGCGAATAACCTCCATTCGTCACGATCAGCTCTGAGACGTTGTTCGGCTTTCTGGGCCTTGAGTACTTCGCTTCGCAGATCGGCAATCTTCTCCTCGTACCGTTCCGCGACCTCTTTCTCGATCTGACGTCTTCTTGCTTCATGAATGGAATCGTCATAGGCAATAGGGGGACCGATGAGGTCGTTGCCCTTCGTAGATGCGGTAACACCGTCGATACCAACAGGTCTTGAGGAGCTGGCCGATGCTGTGGACTTCGATCCCAACATCCCGCGATCCCCCAAGAGTTCGCGTAGCTGTCGATCACGCACGGCTGCCGCATCACTTTTCCCATGAAATCCGCTTGGTATGCCGAACAAAGTGGCTGCACTAGGCGTGGAACGCGCAAGTGCTGGGCTGCTAATACCTGGCACGTAGTGCTCGGGCATTGCATCCGCCACGATTGGCATTGAACTGCGGCCAGTGAAGAAGTTTCCACCGGTGAATGGAATTCCATCCATCACAAGGTTCTTGTCCTTGTCCGATTCCGAGAATGCGAACTTCTCTTTGGCGACTGGACTAACTTGACTTGGGGACCGTATTTCAGGGGATCGTACCTCATCTCCTACGGAAAATGCAGGCATTACTTCCTTTCCTACGTGCTCCCAGCCAGACTCAGTAGTCCTCGAAGACATGGGCATGCTCGAAGGTCGCGTCGCTCCTCCTTGATTGGAGTTTCGCGCTGCCTCCAATTCGCTGCGTGTCCTCGCTTGAAGATCTTCTTGTGCTTTGAGCGTTTTCCTGAGTTCACTCAGCTCGTCGTGCAAGGTAGGCAATGATCGCCTTGCATGATCTTCATTCTGATGAAGTCGTTCCTCTGCTTCTTGCATCCTCTTCACAGCCATTTTGCGGTACTCTTCCTCTTCACCAAGACGTTCGCGAAGCCGAAATCGTTCTTGTTCAATGGCTGCGCTGTTTCCAGCTAGCCCTTGGATCTCGTTCACAGCCCGCAACTCCTGGTTCTTGACCAAGTGGAATCGTTCCTGCATTGCTTGTAAGGCTTGTTCCGAACTTGCTGTGTTTGACCGGAGGACCAAGTTCTCTCTGGCGTGTTCATGAAGTTCATGAGTCAGACGCTCATACTCACGTGCCATAAGCTCACCATCGCCTTGCGCTCTTGCCTCCAACTGCACAAAGTTGGTGGCTGCCTCCGTGCGGAACACGTGTAGCTGTTGAGCTAACTCCTCGGCAACGGCATGTGCTTGACGTTGTTGAGCAGAGTTCTGTTCATCCATGCGAAACAAAGCTGTTTCATAGTCTCGCTTCATCTCCTGATTGACATTGTTGATGTGCCTCATGGCTAAGCATGCATGGTCACGTTGTCGTTCCAATTCTTCAATGCGAATTCCAGATCCTTCATCTTCTTGTTGCATCTCCTTGATCTTGTCCATCAGGGTCTGGACGATTCCTTCGTATTCTTGCACCTGACTGCGATAGTACATCTGCTGTGCAAGGTTCGATGCTTCGAACTGTTGCGAAATCGTCAGTTCCTGGTAGGCATTCGGACCATCAGCTATTGCAGGCGTGGCCACGGATGACGCATCACCACGTGCAGGAATCGTATCCAGAGTCATGTCCAGATCGTCAGCATCGCGTGGTTGATTGGTAACCATCCGATTCCAAGTCATGGACTTGTCACGCCCACGAGTAGCCGAAGTCCTCGATCGTGCTGAAGAGCTTCTCGAAGATGATGGTCTTGACTTCTTTTCCAAGGTCTTGACTCCTTTGTCCTTGGCCCTGGACGTAGTCCGAGGTGCCTGAAAACCAGACGCTTCGGCCCGTCGTTCTGAAGCCTTGCCCGTCCTCGAACCTGTGGATGTCGGACGCGAAGGCGTAGATGCTCTTGGTAGACTCTTTGCTTTCCCCTTGGGAACTGCCTTTGCAATGGCAAGCGCAGAAGATTGACCTTTGTCATCTTCCGTGGAGCTATCAACGGATTGCACCACTGTGTCGTCAGCTGTTGACTCACCAACGGCTGGCGCTGCCACATCGGCACCGAAAGTCATTGTCGTATCTTGGCTTGATCCTGAGTTCATTGTGGTCGTAGTAGATCAAGTAGTCGTTGCTGTAGAAAGGCAGAGCCGCGTACGGCTGATAACCTGCGTGGGGGATTGATCTCGACTTGGTTGCTGCTCTCCCCACCAGAGCTGTAATGAATGTAGGTGTGGCTGGCTAGCACTCTCCACAGACTGGACCCTGTCTCTCCCTCTTACTCCCACACGTGCGATCCTATGCAGGCAGAACCGGCGGCCGTCCCTTTTGCACTCACTGCCGGCGGCGGTTCGTCTGTGCAACGGGATAGCTCTGATTGCTCAGGATAGAAGACACATATAGCACTTAGCTATGGGCATTGACTTGAGCCAAACGTTGCGTTGGCGGTCACATAGAAAGGTAAAGATGAGGGATGCGTAGCATGCCCCCTAGAGTCGAGGGACGCGTAGCGTGCCCCCTTCTCTTGCACTTTACACGGTCTTGCTCACAGCTCTTATAGTGACACCTTAGAACTTGACAAGGCATCGCAGTCCGTTCGCAAAATATTTGAATCATTTAAAATATTTAAAATATTTAGATTATGTAAATTATTTAAATTATTTAAATAGTCCTGGAAAGGTTGTTTTAGGATAGCTAACTACTAACGATTTAAATTATTTAAATTATTTTGTCAAGTTTAAATAATTTAAATACGGCTGTCACATTTGGTTAGAAGGTTTCCCCCCTATTTAAATAATTTAAATAATTTAAATAATTTAAATAAGCTGTATTTAATTTATTTGAATTATTTAAATTCTTTTGTAAAGGAAATAATTTAAATAATTTAAATATTTAAATCATTTAAAATATTTAAATTATTTAGATTATTTAAATTATTTGAATTATTTAAATAGTCCTGGAAAGGTTGTTTTAGGATAGCTAACTAACTATTTAAATTATTTAAATTATTTAAATTATTTTGTACAGGAAATATTTTAAATAATTTAAATAATTCAAATAAGCAGTATTTAACTTATTTAAATTATTTAAATCATTTTTTACAGGAAATAATTTAAATGATTTAAGTTTTTAAACTATTTAAAAAATTCCTTTTGAAAAATATTTTAAAAGATATTTTAAATAGGCCGTATTTAAATTATTTAAATTATTTTGTAAAGGAAATAATTTAAACAATTAAATATTTAAACTATTTAAAATATTTAAATTATTTAAAATATTTAAATTCATATTCATATATATAATTAAATAAATGCGTCAAATGGACCCTAAAGGAGCCTCTCTCATATATATATATATATATATACATGTACACACACACATAGAAACACACATGGTCTGTTGCACAGAGTAAGTCTTAGAGCCTGGGAGATAGAGACGCTGAGATGTAGAGAGTCGAGGCTCCGCGCTCATGGTGTGCATTGCTTTCGCGGACTCGATGTAGCGCTGGTAAGCTTGCTGACATCGAAAGACCAGAGTGAAGCTCAGGACCAAGCCTGGTACAAGAAGCTATAGTACAAAAAACATCTCAAGGCTCAAGCACCATGTCGTGCAGTCCACTAAGTCTCGAACTAAAAGCGCCGTACACAGAGCCGTCTGTGATCAAATCAAGATCATCGAGACCTGGGTCAGTCGAAGCAGTATGTCCCCCACCTCGGGTGAACTGCCGCATCTAGGGCTCCAGCTGATCTGCTCGGCTTGAACCAGGGCTTTGAGGATCACGACGGCGATGACGAAAGGAAGAGCTATTAAGGTCGCCTGCCACAGATCTCACAAAGTTCAAAGAGCTCGCGTAGGACGCAAGACTAAGAGCGGCCTTCGGGAAGACGCTGCCATGGTATTTGCAAGAGAGGGATAAGATACTCTTGTTGTCATACAGGATCATGGGGCAGGGAAGCGACCATTGTCGCTGCCCCCAGCGCGGACGACGGGACAGGGGAGAGCTCGAAGCCAGAAGCTGCAATTCGAATACCGGACTTTCCCACAGTACTTCCATGCTTTGGGCATGCACACGCACGCACACAACATGTCCTCCGCGCCTGCAACTTAGGGACTTGGGAAGGGAAGAGCACCGACCTTTAGAGACCGGAAAGAAAGAGGGCTTGAGCTGAGAGAAGCACTTGAACTTCGAGGCGTTGGCTTCGCCCCGTCGCTGCGATCCATGTTGCTGGGGACCACCAAAAGGCCCCAGGCAACCAACTGCGATGCGGTTTAAACGGTTAGAGTTAGAATTAGAAACTGCCTCTTCGGTGATTACGAACCAAGGAGACGGCCGCCAGCAAGAACAAGGCGAAGGGCAGCACGTCCTGGGAAGCAGTCGAAGGCAGCCGAACGTCTGTTTCGTGCCACGAGAACATTGTGTGCAGCTGGGGCAAAGGCATCTGATGTGACCTCGCCGAAACCATCCTTTGGCAGAGGGACCGCCAAGCCCAGAGCCTGATACAGAGTCGTTAAAGCCATCGGACAGTCGGTCGCAATCAAGCCCGACTAGGTGACCAGGTTACAAAAGGGACATTGGTCTGGACCACAGCTTCTGCTTCATGCGGTTTTGAAGCCCCTGCCTTGGCACCCTCCTCCGTGGTGGGATCGTAGACCTCAAAGGAGCTAGCGACAGCACTGCTCTCGGGCACAGCTTCGGTTATCCAGCCTCGTCACTCCCTGTAGACACGACTCTCCAGACAGTGCTGAAGAATTGCCCCAGGTTCGGCATCTGGCGAAGGACACCGAGATGAGAGCGCCATGGCATGGGCACCACTCACCGGCTCACCGCCTCGAAGGCATGTGCCGCCGGAGCGGCTGCACCCAAGCCCAGCAAAGCTCCGGAGGCTCCAGCCGCCTCAACACCGACAGACTGAGACGCCCTGAAAGGAAAGGCGAAAGCTTAAAGAGGCACCCGTGGCACCGGCCCTGTTCACGGCTTGTCTGGGTGGAGACAGAAACGCTTCTGTGCAGCCATCAAAGGCCTGCATAGGAAAACAAGCCATCGTGCAGACAGCCAGGCAAAGCCCTAAACCCTCTTGCTTTGGCCCATTTGGCTGAGAGGAGCGGCTCTGTAAAGGATCACCGCGAGCACTGCGACGGCACACCACGCCGGACAGGCCGCCGGGCGCGCCTCGCTCGAGAAGCTTCGGAGAATTCGGGCGGTGACCATATAGGTTGCTGAGCATGGCACACGAGACCAGGCCATGACCACGAATTCAAGGCAGGGAACGCGGTAGCGTGGGTGTACAAAGAGTGTGGGACTGCAAGCTGTGATCAGGCGAGACGGCTTCTGCTGAAGCCGTCACATCGACTGCTATTGTCTAGGTTCAAGACACATTGAGAGCTCACTTACAAGCCGCAGCAGATTCTTCGGAGGTTTGAACGCTGGCTAGCCAGTGCTCTCTTCAGAATGCAGAACACTCGGATCAGAATGCACGCGGCGTCGCATCGGACTTTGTCATGCATCGTCTTCAAGCTCCCTAAGGGAGTTCAAGGCAGCGGTGAGACAACGGCTGCTCAAAAGCCGAGGAAGCGCCCGTCCGCACCCCTGCGAGAACAAGAAAATCCAAAGCCTCTGACAGCCAGCTGGCAGCAGAGCAGCTGGCCTCACGTGGTCACCAGCCGCTCTGCAGGTATTCGCGGCCCCTGTCACCAGCGCTTCAACATTTCGACACAACGCTTCCGGTAAGAACGCTCGATTCTTGCTGCTGAGAGCCAGACACGTGGAGGGCGCAGCCCGTATGCCCCTCTGACCTTTCAATCTTCCGAGGCCTGTTTCTACCCAGAGCTGAAAGGAGCCGACGGGATTCGTGACACTTTTCTCGGTGCAAAACGAAGGTGAAACGAAGTGATGGTGTCTCTGCTTCCGCCCTCACGCAGAAGGCCAATCCAAGCGACCCCAGCGAGACACATGGGGCACCAGCTCGCAGCCTCATGTGGCAGCTATGAAGGCAGCTCGCTGATATCCGTGATACGGCTCAGTGCAGCGAACGCTAAACACGGCCTCCTTGTCCTCTGCCGGTCTCGATGCTCTGCCTGGCCTCATCTGGCTGTTTAGAGCAGAAGTCACCGAAGCGAAGTTGTTTCTGCTGGTGGAAGGCGCCTTTTCCCGCAAGTGCTCGCTGCCGAACGCGAATACCTGGCGAGGCATCGAGCTTTGTGGCTTCGTGAGCTTGAGTGCCACAAGAGACGAGGCATCGGCTCGGGCCACGAACTCGGACTCGCTGTCCGACCTGAACTGAGTGACTTCGGCTCTGCTCCGGCGGAGAGGGCTCTTTAGGACTTTGCTCCGGTGGTATCGGGGGTGGCGGCGTTGCGCGTTCCGTCGTCAGCACGCTGATCTCCTTCGAGAGAGATGATGAACCGTAGGTACACTCTTTTTCAAGTCTTTCTTCGACTGCAACAGACATGGGAGTAAGCATTCTCCATCTTCTGGTGCTGTCGCTTTGCGCCCTGCGACCAGATGAGAGAGAAGCAAGAGAGAGATGGCCTTAAGAGCACGCTACCAAAGCGGACCTAGGGGAGAGTGGTGGCAAGCGGGGTCTAGGGTTTTCAACTGAGACTTCTTACTGGATGCACAAAGAGAGGAGCCTAGCAGGAGATGCTCTGTATAGACCCTTCCTTTTTTTCTACCATCCCAGCCTGAAGGTCACCTCGGAGTGGGCTCCATGCAGGCCCTGCTGCGGATCTCATAGCAATACACTATAATGAGAACGTATTTAAACATAATAATCGAATATTAAGGTTTAAGAAAAACCACTAAAACAAAAGTAATAATCCCATACTACAAGCTAAAGATACCGCAGAACTTTTGGAATCAGGGCTGGACCCCCAAACCCCTTTGCTTTTCTCATCTCCGCTCATTTTCTATCATTATTTTTTATTGTAGTATTATAGTATTATTCTAGTACTAGTATAATATGATTACAGTAGTATAGTATTTGGATCCGAGCAGACTTGTGCAAAGTCAGCAACGACTTCGCTCTCTTGCAACAATGACTCTGCATGACATCAAAACATGCAAACCAGGCTGCCGTATACCTACACGCTCCGCATATCAAAAGCATCTACTGGAACAGCCTATGAGCTCTTAGTTTTCTGTTCCGAAGTCAGTCTTTCAGTCCCCTGCTGCTAATATCGAGGTCTTGGTGTGGGTCTATTAGCCGAGTGGCTCTGTGGAGGGATATCTATAATGAACGGAGCCTGACGTAACTTGCTTGTGCTTGTGATGCGTGTTGCGTCGAACATTGTCGAAGCGCAAGTTCCATGACAAAAGTAAAGGGTCACTGGCCAGACCCCAAATGCACGATTCACACGCGCATATTTACATGAGCTATAGTCTAAACTCCGAGTATCCCCCCTATTGACCCTTGTAGTAGTTCCCTGTATAATTCCCTATATAGCGTCCTAACTAAGGAGTTTAGACTATAACTCCAACAGGAACGTCTTGAAACTCTGACCTCACTTGGCTCACTTAGCCTCCCCGGGAAAAAACTCGAATTTCACCATGAAGGCGTCCCCTGTGCGGACGGCATTGGAATTGACCCAGGAAACCTGTCGGAACTTGTAGAGGCCACAAACGTAGGCTCCGGTATTGAAATGACCACGGGCTTTGCCATCTCCTGCCCACGTCTTGGTAAGGTTCTTGATCTCAAAGGTGATCCAAGACTGGATCATGTCATCAAGATAGCCCAGGTGTAGACCACATTGGTCATAAGGCAAGGTCATCTCCAGAGATTCGTCGCCTCCCGAGGCACTTTGAGGAAATTCAAAGATCGACCGATGCCCAATATCCTCGAAAATCAGCTGGTCGAGCATAGCTGCCATGTTCACTTGCAGGAATGCCCAACGCTGGCCGTGCACTTCGGGGACTTGCTGTGTGACGTAGGCCTTACGATTCATGTTGGACTCAGTCATCTCAGTGTCCCCATTGATCCAAGAAGAGAAAGGGCCCAGCTCCAGATATTGTGGCAGGACCTTCCCACGTTGCAACTCGAAGTGCTCTTGACCGGGAATGAGCAAGGCCAATCCTGTGAACATCTTCAGGATGGGTATCATCTCACTGAATTGCACTCTCCTGAAGTGCATTTTCCTCAATTTGTCTCGCAATAATGGCCCATCCAAGACCCTTTCTTGCATTGGATGTTGTCGAATTCCCGGTTGTATTCTGGCTTCAAATAGTCCACAAGGCGGTATTTGCTGCAGTAGTTTCGCCCTTTCTTTTTACTGATGTCCTTCATATCAATCGTGTCAAACCTCCACTTTTTCCATTCATCCAACATGCTGACAAGGTCGTCTTCGATCCTTGTGTACTGCTTTTTCATGCTAGTTTTTGCCTCTTCGGTGTTTGGAAAGAGTGTGGATTCCTTGCCGGTCATCTTCTTGTAGTAGGATGCAGAGTCATAGCGCTCCCTCCACAAAGTCAATTTGATGGTGGATGCCATGACAAAGTCAGACATGAGCCGCCCTCGGTAGCTGCTCTTGTTGACCACATTCAGAGCGTCCTCAGATGTCTTACAAAGGACCATCATGATGGTGTCGCATTTGCTTATCTGAGCCTCCAGCTCTTTCGGATCTGTCTCCTTGTCCTTCACATGGCTTTTGCATTCTTGGTATGAACTGAAGCCTTGTTTCATTGTAGCGAAGCTTGCCTGCATCTGCTGGTGGATCATTTTGGTAATTTCTGCGCCAACATAGCTTTTGGTCCACCTCTCGATGGCGTCAATCAGTGCTTTGTCATGGTCGCCTTTGTCGCCCCAAAAGATGTTGATCAACGAGCTGATCAATGGCCCAATATAAGGAATCATCGATACCAGGTTCATCACGGTTGTCTTGATGTAGCCCATGCCCTCGTTGAAGGCCGCGATCTCACCATAGGAATCCATGAACATCTTCTTGGGGCTTTCGGCTAGATCCACCTCATCTGGGGCCACCTTGTCATCAATTTCCTGGACAGGTGCCCTGGCCAAAAGGGAAGTAGAATCCCCGCCCTTGCTGGTGTCCTCGCCGTCGCACTGTCCTTGAAGCGAGCTTGCAGCACACACTGCAAGGCCACACGCGAAGAGCAGGCCGCACTGCATCGATGCAACGTCGGTACTGACTGGAAGAACTTTTTGATAGATCCGTTTCTGATCATCTACATACTCATGAATATTGTAATGATCTTCAGTGCCATAAACTATGTTCTGCCATATAGGGAGCACTCCACTCCGACCGCAAGACGGCTGACTCATGCACAATGCAGGGTTATGCAAAGGCCTCTCAGAATCCTGCAGTCTTTGCTGCACCCCATGACAGCGGTGTGCCAGCTGAGCAAATTCCGGCCTGGACCCTGAAGCTTCCCGTGCTGTGGGCTTCAGCCGCTTCTTCAGCCGCAGTCGTCACCGTAGCCCTTGCTGCAGCACCTCCGCCGCCCTCCGGGGCTTTTCGAGCTGCACCTCCCCGACGGCCGCCTTTGGGCCGCCAAGAGACCAGCAAGAGCTCCGTCACAGAGACGTGCTCCTCGCCCCCAAAGCCCCAACCAAAATCTGATAAACGACGTGGATGCAAAGGAAGATGGCTCCTTGTCTTCATCTTCGGCCAGAGCATGGATCTGCGACTGGAGCGTCTCGCTCCAGCCTGGGTCTGCATGCCTAAGTTTTCGGTCGGGATCCGTGCCTGAAGTTCGCCCAGGAGCTGTTGAGAGTGTGGCCAGTACCTGGAGCTTCACTCGGCGAACAGCCTTGCTGTTGCTCTGGTTGAGGGCAGCTGCGGCGCACTCCAGATTTCCAGACGGCGCACCTTTACAAAGAAACTGCATCTGCAAGCCTTGATTACCCCGTGAGTCACCCATGGCCTGTGGTGGCAGTGATCGGAGCAGGAAGTGAGCCTCGCATGAGTAGATCTGATATTCATTGTATATAATATAGCATATAGAGCATAATATATATATATATATATATATCTTTATATATGTTTATTCATCTAATTATGCAGTTATGTATATATATATATGTATGTGTATGGGCTTCCATATATACATGTATACACATCCACACAGGGGTTCGCACACTCACTGCGCAGACGCAAATTGCCAAGCCCCAAAACTCCCCGCATGGCCGTGCGACAACGGCACCCTGACAGAGGACGACTGACCAATATGGTCGCGATCCTTAGCGTGCTCGCCCTCACAACCGATTACCACTTGAACCATCTCATCGAGATTGCACTCGTGCGGAAGCTTTGGTAAGGACGTCAATCTTTCCTGTGTGCTGTGTGGACATGTCGGCCCTCTTCTACTGGGGCTCGCGGATTCGGATTACCCCGTTTCGTCGGCACTTTCATGGCGCGCATCTCTCGCAGATGCACCGTCGAGCAGGTGGTCGTGTAAGCCCTGCTCTTCATGTAATGTCGTGTTGTGGTTTTGACCTGCGGTGCAGCCAGCAGCGGCATGAACCTCCACCCAACTTAGTTGGAGAACATCGGCGCCGCGGAGTTCGACAAAGCAGACACCTGCTTTCACGCAGGTACGAACTTCCGGCCTACAGATGTTAAGACTGGACCTTTTCATGTTCCATTTCGGTCTGATCGACTCCATGTGTATATGCAGTCACTGCATGGTGTTGGATGGGCACAGTTGCGTTGGAATGTCAGCGCGCTGGGTGCTGCGCACGGCCTCGCGCGCTCTGCAAGAGCGCTGCTTAAAGTCTGACGTTGGGTCTAATTTTGATTTCGGATGTGCTCGGGGATGGCGTTCTGGCGTAGGTGCCAACTAAATCCCTACCCATTGATGCCCAGCCTTAGCACATACCGGTAAATGCCGAGATTTGTTCGCAAGGCTTCGTTAATTAGAGTGAAGGAACGGGCTGCGGCCGCTCATCGGACTTGCACGCCTCAACGCCCCAAGTGCGATGTAAATGGAACATACGTGCACATACACACCCATCGGCGTCCAGAGAAGTGTCGACAGGCTTATAAAGGGGAGTGATAGCGCACTTCGCTTCGTTTCGTCTCGCCTTGCAGCTTCGGAGCCGCTCGAGGCCGCAGCGGCCGTGGTTCCTGGCGGAGCTTGGGGAATGACAAGGCACATGGATCTCCCGAAACGTAACACACAGCAGCATACATACACATACACTCTTGCGTAGAGATACATACATTAACACATATATGTCTATGTATGTAAGTATGTATGGATGTATGTATGTATGCATATTATGCACGCGTGTGAGCATGATTATGCACACGTGCCGTGTGAGCATGCATGTTCTTGAGTATACCGTTCTGCCAAGGTCATCATTTGTGCTCCATATATATATATATATATATATGTATACACACACACGTAAATATCGTGCTGTTCATCATGGAAATTTATTGCAACTGCGTTTTTCGGGTTGCTGCTATGTTGCTCTTGTTACTATCACTGTCGCTGTTGATGCGACGTATTCCTCTTTCAATATACACTTCCCTTATCATACATCGCACGCAAACGAGTCTAGTTAAGCTGTTTCAGACCAGTGGCGCTCTTCAACTAGGCAAACCATAGGCAATCAATATGGAGAACCCAACTAACCAACTGACACATCTTCCTACCTGGCAAGATTCAGATTAAGTTGGTCTGACCACTTGTTCCAACGAAGCCAGTGGAGTAGCTACAGGAAAGCATTTGCAGAGAGGGAGTCCTGGCCTTGTACTCTGAAGCACATGCTGGCGCCAGCCGTAGAGTTCGTCAGGTACCTGAGATACCAATACCGGTAAGTAGGGTTCAGTTTTGCAGTCTTTGCTGTCCGATAGACATGAAATCCGGAAGCGAGAGAAGTTGAGCTGCACCCCACCTTGCCAATGCGGGCTCCTGCCTCTGCCAGGCGCCTCGAAGCTGACAACATCGCGGCTGAAGAGACATCACTGAGCTTTCAAACTCAGACTTCGTCCGGGCCGCATCCAGGTGTCGATGTCGATCGGCCAACTGGGTAGATCTCGATAACCCCGCAACTTGTCCCAAAGCAGTGACCTGTCCAAAGCAAACAAAGCCAATCCTCTGCAGACGCTTCTTTGAAGGATTGCGCCTTGGGTAAAGACCTGACTGGTGCAAGCCAGGTATTTCCACGAAGCGATTCAGCATCAGCTCCTCGCGATGTTCGAGGGTCTGCGACAAGACAGAGCTTCGTTAGGCCCTCAGCGTTGCGTTGTTTCAGCATCCTCCGGGCCTCCGGCTCCTGGAGGCTGTTCTGCCACTGCACGTAACGCGCCATGCCCTCCGCGCAAGGCATCGCCGTTCATGCAAGGATGCGTGATAAAGGTAGCATCGAAAGAAGAGTTCACGGCAATATGGCCTCGGAGACAGAGCCAAAGATGCGCACTGCACTGCAGGCTCCGTCCCAGTCCGGGTTCTTGTTGAGGGCTTCCAGAAGCCGCGCAAAGCGCTCCGGGTCGCCCCGATCGTCTGCATCCATCAGACCGATCAAAGGGGAGCTGGCAGCCTCCAGGCAAGCCTCCAAAGACGAGATGATGAGAACATGACATGCAAGGCAGGCAGAACCAGGGCAGTGACGTTCTGCGCTGCTCCTTGGCCGCGCCCGCCGCTGCTCCTCGGATCACTGGGAGTCATCACGCGGCGCTCTTCCCACACGGTCTCAGTCAGGGCTCAGCACAATCAAACGATGTCCCGCGCTTCGGAGCTTGGCCGCGACCGCTGCAGGCGTTGGGGTGCTCACATCCTCACCCGGCCACGGGACCTCAGGCAGGTCGTGAACTACTCGCACTGAGCAGCTTTGAGTGGGGCCCGGCCTGCTGGACAAAGGCCCGTCGCCGTAAGGACTGCTCCGACTCCTCCTCTCTTTCTCCCTCCGGCTTTGGGCCCGGGTCCGGGCCCGGCAGCAGTGGCTTTGGGGGCAGCATCCTTCCCTCCTCAGGCTCCTGCCTCTCCCCAGACGGGCTCCCCGGGCTCTCCGCTTCGAGGGCCTTGAGCCATTTCTCGGAGCCGTCGCTGCTGCCGTCGTCACAGATGAGGATCTCCAGCGCGGTGCTGCTGGAAGCAAGATCATCCACGGCCCAAGGCAGAAAAGGCCATCCGTTCCGGCAGGGCATTATCACCGAGATCATCGCCCCTCGAAAGGTAGGCGCTGCTAGGCGCTGCTAGGCCTCAGAGGCCCTGACCATGGCTCGCACACCGCACACGGCACGCACACGCCTCCGTTTCTGCCGCCTCTGGCGACGACATCTCCGATCCGTTCCCATAAACGTGGCTACTTCACTCAACTTCCCTTGTCCGATAGAGCGTTTCAGCCTTCATCTGTTTTGGGATCAGCTACACTTCAGACGGTTGAGCCTGCTGTTGGGAAACGTCATGACGTGCCCCTGCGTCGTCGGCAGGCAAGGCCACACCGCTCAGCAGCTGCACCTGAATATCCAGTCCACGGCGCAGAGAACTTCCCTGCTTCCGACCTGTCCAGTGCGTACTCCCTCTGCTGCTTTGAGAGGTCCGGGGCCACGGACTGCATTTGCCACACGAGGCACTGCATACAGCAGGCTATAAACTGAGCCCAAGTGCAAAACCAGAGCTCCGAACAGTGAACTCTTCATGTCTGGCCTGGAGGTCATCCGGGACATCTCCGTGCGAAGCCTGTGCATGTCCATGCTGATGCCTGGAGACTTGATGCGCCGCAGGTCTCGGTGGCAGGCATGGATGGCGGCTTTCCAGCACAGGATCGTCCGAGGAGCCCTGCGGTTGGGGGATTCCGTTGCACTTGCACGCACACACACACACACACAAACAAACACAGAAAGACCCAGCTGTACCCAGCTCCGGAAATGTCGGTCCTCTGTCCCGTTCTAGTGGGCTTGGAATCAATGAGGGCACCTTCCTTTCGGAAGCTGAGCCGCTTAGCCGCTTAGCCAGTTCCGTCGCGCTGAGCAGCAAACTCGAAGCTCCATTTCGGCTGAAGCGCCTCGGCCCCGCGGCCCAACCCGATCCATGCTCCGTAAGGTGGTGTGTGTGATGGACGTGTTGAAGCTTCCAGGCGTTTCCCGCTGCGCTCTCCCGGTCAAAACCAGCATGACGAGTCTCGTCAGAGTTTAACGATCTCTTGCGAGTATAGCGGTTCATCCGGTGCACTGCCACTGACTTCCGGGGAACTGTATGCCGCCCCCCAACACCGCTGCCCAAAACAGAAGCACAGGGTAGCGGCCCTGCGGCTCGCCCAGGACGCTTTCTGGCATTCACAAATCCAGCCTTCAATGCGACTGGGGGGAGCTCGAAACACTGAACCACAGCGGAAGGTAGAGTCTAGTTTTTCTGCAATGTGTTCACATGGTGTTTGGACGGGTGGAGAAAGCTTTTGGATGAAGCCCCCCCAACCGAGCATCACGAGCATCAGCTGCATATCTTTTCGGGCCAGATCGGCCCCCCATCCAGCATCATGAGCATCAGAGGGTTGTGTTTTCGGGCAAGGTCCACTTGGCAGCAAGCATTATGAGCATCAGCTGCTGCATGTGTTTTCTGGCAAGATCGGCTCCGAAGCCAGCGTCATGAGCATCAGCTGGGCGTGTTTTCCGCCAATCGGCCCACGGTGTTGACGCCGCCTGCTTCTTTGCATGAACCCTTCTCGTGCACGGCATAAGGGCGTTCTCCATAAAGCCTGTTTACAGAGACGAGGGGCGGAGCAACTGTTCCATTAGTTGTGGAGCAGCATGAAATGGAGTGAAGGCCCATTTTCTTTCGGAGCGCAATGCAGCAGTCGAATTCGCTCTGTCACGGATGGCAACCTCTGCGAAGGCAATGTAAGCGGCCGTGACCACGTACGCCGAGCAGTAGAAGGCATCGGCCTGCGCTAATGATCCACCAAAGCCCAGCATGCCTTGCACCACGCGCACGGCGGCAAACATTGGCCGCTGTGCCGCTACCCAAAGGCCCGCGGCAGCATGCCTGGCGGAAGGCCGGTTTCGGTCAGGAACAAGAGTCCTGCATGTTTCTCACCAACTGCTATCTGTCTGTTTGCACTTCAGCTTCAGACCATGCTCACTGTAGGAAGACGTCCACGGCTTTGGCTCCCAAACTGGGGAAGGAGTCAAACAAGGCTCGGACACACTCAGGGCCTCTTGAGACTTATGCGGTGCTCCTTATGAAATCGAGGGACTCCAGGATTCCGCAAAATATCGATGCAGCGTGTGTTTACTAACATGCAACTGCACTGAGTGCTCGCGCATGACGTACGTTAGCCCATTGCATGCATCGGTGGAAGTGCCACTGGGCCCAGGAGAGTGCAGCTGGCCTGAATGCCCAGCTTCCGTGATCAGCTGCATGGGCAGTGCCGGTTCGGAAGGTTTGAATGCCGGTGTACACAAACCACGCTGCAATGACATACATGCCCCCCTGATTAAAGGGAGGCAACCAAGTGGCAACACTCGTACTCCAGGCATCTGCTGCATCGGCAAGACTTCCACCCGTGGCAAAGTCCACTCGGTCGGCTGTCAAGTGGTTGGCATCAATCAGCAAGAAGCCTCTTCTGAGGGGTCTCACACAAACAGGACAAAGGGGAGAGAGAGAGAGATAGAGAGAGAGAGGGAGAGCAACTCCTGGGCAGCAGGCGTCGCCATCGCTGCAAGCCAAGGGGCCCAGCATGAGAACAGCAGCCGCACTCAACATGAGCCGGCCAGCGTCTTCGTGCTTCTCGCCGAGCCAAGCCCGGCACTCCGGCACCAGTTGCAGAGGGGCCAGGAGACACCAAACCGCCCCGGGCACCGCATGCATCCATTCGAGGAGCGAGCCAAAGCGGTTGTACTTCAGGAGCAGGGACGAAGGACCCAAGTCGGAGAACAACCTCTCGAAGATGTTTCGCAGCCATCCGTCATACTGGGCCGAGGACCCCACCCACGCGCTCCCAGGGAAAACAAAGACCCAGACAACCATGAAGATGCTGCTGAAGGTGAGCAAGTCTTGGAGGAGCGCTTCTCGGTTTGGTGAGCCGTCCCTGCTTAGCTCCTGCGCTCGTCCAGCGACGGTGGATCCAGAGTCTTCTCGGCGTCGCCGAGAGATGGCCAGGCCGGCAGAAGCACCGACAGCAACGTGGCGTCCAGTGGTTGTCACGGCCACCGCCACAGACAAGAAGCTTTGAGGTCGGCGAACCTCTCAGGGAAGCCTTCAACACACCACTATACACCACTTTAAAACCCGGCCTCTTCTGAGCGAGAGGATGAAGCTGCTAGCCTCGCCTTCGGCTCCAAGAGCCGGCCCAGGATGGGCCCTGGGTTCTCTGTGGTCCCAGCAATCGCTCGTGCCAGCGCCATCGCGTCTCGGGCTGCTCTCTGAGCCCTGCTTCAAGAGAAGGAGCATGGAGGGAGGGGCGAGTGGGCGTCCCTCGGGGCCTTTTTGAGACTGGCAGAGGGCACTCCGACCAATGCTGTCTGAGGCGATAGCTTCGACGCTGACGGAACCTCTGTCAGGTCTTGGAGCGGTCTATCTTTCGAAACTCCTTGGGCTTGGGTCCCCTGGCTCGGAGGGAGGCCCAGGTCACTGTCCTGCACAAAATCGCCGGAGCGGACTGGCGGACTGCGCCCTCTGCGGCTGCTCATGGCTGCTCCGGCTCCTGCCACCTCAAAGAGAAATCGCTGCAGGACCGACTGGCACCTTGGCGGGCGCCAAAGCTCTTTGAGTGAAAAGAACGCGAAGCTTGGAGTACCGAACATCTTGGCTGAGCCCGCTGCGAGGTGCGTCAAGCACCTTTCCCTGGGCGTGGGCCGAGCATCCAAGTCCGGAAGTGAAGGATTTAGCTGGAGCTAGAGGAGTGCCAATGTGGCCAAATTGGCCTTGATGAGATGCACGGCACGGTTGATGTCTGCTCGATGAGCAGCTGACCTTAGGCGACTCGCTCATAAGAAAAGCGTCGACTCGTAGAAGACTCAGTGTCCGGAGGAAGAGGCACCGGCGTAACCGACACCTCGAGAGAACATGCTTCTTTGACGGAATTTGGGTGTCAAAGCGCTGCACGACTTTTCACACAGTTCGTCGATGTGCACGGGAAGTACTCCAAGGGTCCATCGCTGGAAGCCATGCTGTTGATTATGTGTTGCTTGTTAAAATTTTGCTTGGTGAATCGGAGCGGGACAGCAGGCTCAGGCCCAGACACTCTCTGGTACATCAAGCCAGGAGCCCTTTGTCAAATGGAGAGGGCTCCTGGCACAGTAGTTGCTTGGCAGGTTCATCTTTGAGACATAGAGCAGGGCCTGTCCTCCGATAAATTGCCCGGGTCGTGTCGGACATACCATCGCTCACAGGCATCATGGCGTCCAGCTCTTGACTTCTGCCACTTTGGGCAGAGAAGGCTTCGTGTGGGAGCTCGGCAACCCTTGCGCGACCTCAGACCCTGGGGGTTATTGAAGCTCGAGGCTCTGTGCTTGAAATCTGCGTCGGAAGTTAGCTGACTCTGAGAAAGACACTCCATGGAAGAGCAGGCTCAGTTCGCGGACACCCACGCTTCAATTTGCAATGGCAGTTTCTCAGATTTTTGCACTCGGTGCTAAGCTCTAGCTTTGACTCCCGGCAGCTCAACCTGCAGCAAATGATAAAGGCTGAGATTCTCGTTTGCTTGGCCGCGGCCTGGTCCAGCAAGGGCAGGATCCTAGCATCGGCGGATAGATGCGAACAGGCAAGAGCCCCTGGTTCCGTCAGCAAGGGCCAAAACCCCACCGGGGCGCCGGCTCCGAGAAAGGCGGTCGCTTTTGCGGCGTCCCAGCCTGGTACTCCACCAAGCTATCCACTACGTCACTACGGAAGCTCGCTGCAAGATATTTCGGAGAGGATGAAAGTATGAAAACAAGTAACTATGAACATAATACCACATCTGCCACCAGGATGCTGATGAACATGAAACTCGATACGAACGGTATCGATCGAGGAGATAAATATTATTAATATGTGCGGGCTGGCAGTGATGCGGATGATGATGATGATGATGGTGACGATGATGATGATGATGGTGACGATGATGATGGTGACGATGATGATGATGAGGATGATGATGATGATGCTGCTGACGATCATGGCGATTATGGCGGTGATGATGATGATACTGATGGAGACGAGGAGCAGCTTATCGCTCGCTGTAAATGGCCGTTCTGATAATGGTAATGATGATTGATCATGGCGATGACTGTGATGGTGCTTCTGTTCTCAATATATTGTACGCATCTATCTACCTATCTATCTGTATGTATAAGTACATATATATATATATGTATGTACACACATTGAAACATACTATTTCTGTGTAGACATCCAGGCAGGCAGACACACAAACAAACACAAACACATACGCACGCACAGACAGAGAGACAGACGGACGCACGGACGGACGGAGAGAGACAGACAGACAGAGACTGACAGAGACAGGCAGAGACAGACAGAGACGGACAGAGACAGACAGAGACGGACAGAGAGAGACGGAGACAGACAGAGGCAGACAGAGACAAACAGAGACAGACAGAGACAGACAGAGACAGAGACAGGCAGAGACAGACAGAGACAGAGACAGACAGAGACAGACAGAGACAGACAGAGACAGACAGAGACAGACAGAGACAGACAGACACACAACACACAAAATTTGGTGATTGCTTTTTGATTGCTTGTCCAAATCCTGTTTGCACTGCCTCAGCTCCCCGCCCAGCAGCACTGCATCAGCTTACAAAGGATCTCCGGACACTCCTCGGGCACCTGCGCAAGAGACGCAAGGGCTTAGGATGAAGAATCGAGTTGATGGCTCTGGAGTTCGGGATGAACACAAGATTTACTTTCTCTCGCCACCCCTCCGACTCTGAGTTTCGAGGCCCCGGCGGAGGCCAGGTCAGGACCTCAAGCTGTGCGAACTCTGCAGGATCGCTGTATACTCGGAGCGACTTTGGACTTTGAAAGACGACGTGACGTTTGAACAACAGCGGCACAACTACAGTAAGTACACTTAGCTATGGTCGACCATCACCACCAGTAATGTAACAATCGAATGGACGAAACAGTCATCATAATAATCAATGAGCAGGAGCACAGTCATGGTGATATTCAGCATAGTCGCAACCGAACATAACCACACTAAATAGAAGCCAAAATGGACTTTATTATAATGGCAGTCGTATCATAACCATAGACATGATGCAGTACAGTGAAGTGACGAATAAAGCACTGTGATGGTAGGGAAGTCTACATTTTCATATACTAGAGTACTATCCAGGACAAAAGGAATCTCATCATTATCAGCAGCCTCCAACTCAGGAGCTGACGGCAACCTTTCACGGCCAGGCGACCAATGTCTGCTGGGTTTTGATCCTGCGAAGACCGCACAGGCCCACTCTGCACCTAAGGTCTGTGCCTCGATCGCCTCGAAGGGAATCTCTTGGCAAATGACCCTGTCATCCGAACGAGCAGTTGACGCTGACGTGCATACGGTGCGAGAGTGGCCACATGCAGGGAGAGACGCAGTATCCCTGCTATCCCAAACAAACAAAACCTGCCGCAACAACGCAAAGGCCACTCAAACAGGATCATGGCGTAGGAGTAAAGATCCACCTTGCAGGGGCATTGACAGGCATGGGCCCATGGCAGCTCACAACTGCAGCCTTGCCTTCTCGTCATAGGTATGGCTCACAAAGACTTCCGGAGCCATCCAGTGGCAAGTTCCTCCCCGGGTCCCAGGACTTTCGAGGATCTTTTTTTTTGGTGCAGCTCGGCGCTAAGAGATACAACTCTTGCGCCACACTGTGCCTGCTGCTCGGGTCATCTTTCCCCAGCTGGAGTCGGGTGCCTGCGCTTGGACTGTAGTCCGCAAGAGACAAAGCCAAGGCAAGATGTTCACAGAAAGGAGCAGAGCGGTGCCTGCCACTTGATGCGTGCCAGCCCAAAGTCGGAGACCTTCGTCAGAAGCAAACCACTCAACAAAAGTAATGCAGGAAGACCACCCACACTTCGCGGACACAACGCCGCTATGACCACCACCACCAACAGCAAGAACAGCAACTACAATCAAGAAAGCATGAAGCCATCTGTGTACATGCACAACCCGGAACCCTTGTCGTGCTTTTCGTTCAATCCCCCAACAACAACAGCAACCGCACCGCATTACAGGAACTCTGAGGTGGTTGGCAGACGGGGTCTTCCCTCAACGAACTGTAGACACTGTGGAGCTTGTTACACGAGGGCTAGGAGGCTCGCTGAACTAGTGCGGCGGCGCCGAACCTTGATGGGCTTTTTGCATCTGCTTGCAAGGCCTGTCCATGGGATCTAGACCTGCTTTCAGGGGTCTCTGACTGATGAGCTGTTGTTAGGGAACGCTGGGCCGGCCACAATCAACTCGAACGGGCTTTAGAGCTGGTTGCATTTTCATGAGCTTTTGCACACACACACACACACAGAGCCGCGAGCGCGCGCTCTCCAACGGACAGAGAAGCGCCCCTAGCGTCAGCGACGAGGACTTGGCTTGGGAGCCCAGCCTTGATGAAGGGTGCATCCTCCTGGCTCTTCACGGGGCTGCTGAGCAGCAGATTCAGGGACTTCAGGTCCTGAGCGCCATCAAAAACCGCCTTCCTTCGTAATCTACAGTACCACACATCAATAAGAAGATATCCAGGGATCAAATGCAAACTAACAGATGCCTCCAAAAACAACTAGATCATGCCTGTTGAGGCACAAGTCTCTCGGAAACTACACTTGGCACGGTCTTGTTGGGGCCAGGCTTGTGAGTATTTGCACTTTGCCAGGCTCTGGTTTTGAGGCAAGCTGCAAGCTGCTTGGGGACTGGGATTTGCATCAGTTTGTTCTGCAGCAAGCCATGAGGGAACAACAACTTGCAACGTGAGCCGGCGGCAAAAACCTATCAGACCGCCTTCCCAACCTTGATAACGTCCTCGTTTGATCTGTGTCTTAAGGCTTAAGGGAAAGTATTGGGGAATCTAAATTCAACGACCGCAATGCCCGGGCCCCACAGCCGAGGCAAGGACCCGGTGGATCACCTGCGGGTTGAACCTGCAGGACGCGTGACGCAGCGAGCGCCACTAGGGCCCCCACCCTTTCTTAGAGGCCTGAGGTGCCCGCTCATGCAGATACTTCATCGCTTTTGCGACATGTATGCAGATCCGCAGTTTCTGGGACCTGGTTGAACCAGATGTCAGAACTGTCAGAAGTCAGAAATATCTCAGTCCGGCGCCAGGAGAGAAGAAGCCTGAGTCAGAAGAAGACCCAAGGCCACGGAGAAGTCTCCGCGCAGAACCGCCTGAGGCCCCTGCTCCTGGTTGTGGAGCAAGGAAAAGACGCAGCCTCCCGCGCAGAACCTGCGGCACAAGTCGGAACCCCCTTCTGGGCCACAACGCCCCACAACATCCAGTCAGTTGTTTGGGCTGTGGCTCGGTGATGATCCGGAAAGGCCTGTACACCGTGTGGGTTTCTAGGACGGCTCTGCAACGTGTCAGCACAAGCGTCGTGAGTCCCCTGGCCTTTCGATTGACGAGATTCCCAGGAATTGGACAAGGTTTTCATGACACGTCCTGGCAGCTCGGATGCGAGATGCGGAAGCTTCCGAAGCTGCGCTAAGCAACAGCGGCCTCATGAGAACCGCAACTTCGCGCTCAAACGCACGCTGTTCCTTCAAGGCACAAACTCTTACATCGGGTGCGCAGCGCTGTCCATGCCGCCAGAGCCCACCTGTTCTCCCGAGCTGGACTTGTCCCAATCAATCTGCTTCACAGCGACCTGTTCGGCGGGAAGAGCTGGAAAACCCAAGTAAAGCGCCATCAGCTCCTCTTTTTCACCGACCTGAGTCCTTTTCTAGTCATCTTTACCTAACTTCGGCTTTGATAGTGAGGCCAACTTTGGGCGCTCGGCGGTGTCAGCAGCACGAGCTTCGTGTTGTCGGATAACCAACATCAACTGCGTCTTCGCGAAAAGCCAGACGACGAAGGCAGCTAGAAAGTGCCACATCCTGGGGTTGCTCACTGTGAGGAGCAGGTAGCTGGCTCCCTTCAGGCCGTAGGAGTAGCCAACCAGATTTGCGATGATGAGCATCTGTATGCTGCAAGCACCTCCAAAAGCTCTCATGTGCCGAGCCGCTGTTGGATGGTCGTCAAGCCAGGCCTACAGGGGAAGGAAGTGGAGGTTTTTGTGGGAAGGCTGTCAGGTCCCGCCTTGCAGCGAGGCAAACTGCAAAGGCGTTCGGCTGCCAGCTCCGGGACCACAAACAAGGCCAAAAGCCAGCCCCAGACCTGCCAAAAGGAACAACCGCGACAGAACCCCTCGCAACTCTGCAAGCGCGAGAACAAATCTCTGTCCATAACTCTCAGTCCCTCTTTCTCTCTCTCTCTCTGTGTTTATACATATACATATATATATATATATACATACTACGCAATCCGCAGCACTCTTACTGGGTCTATTTCGCATTCTCGATTATGTTACGTTACATTAACTTTCGGCGAAATCAAATTGTAGTAAATGTCAGAACTAAGAATCACAACCCTGTACTTTTCTTGTACTATACTTGTAATACTATAGTCTCAGAAACCACCGCACCTCAGTGTAGACAGTTAGTATTCAATTATATATTCAAGCACGTGATACCACAGTGCAGCCTTCGGTCTTACATCACATTACAGCACATGGCATGAAGTTATGCTATTCTTGCTTTTATTAAAGCTTGAAGTTTCGAAACGGTGCATTACATGTCAAACTACATATAACAGAATATTATATAACACTGGTATACAGCATCGTGCATCGTGCACAATATCTAATACCGAGTTTATGGCACATATAGTACAACGACACACATACATACGGCGGCCCCAGCAGATAGAACACGTTTTGTCGAATCGGTGCGGATAGAATTCGTTTTGCTTTCAGTGAAAAACGGTGCAGACAGAATATTTACAAAGTAAAAGGCCTCATGTTTGCTGCTCAGCAAAAACCCTCAAACCCAGGCGAAGCCCTTTGTGGGAAGCCCGAAACCTTCCCACGAACACCCGGCAACAAACACAATGACAAAATCAACGAACAAAAACCTCAGGAAACCCTGCACTTTGAGAACTTGTCAAAATCCCGTGTAGCTCCTGCGCACCGCAATTCGTTTCTCTACCTCCTCCTGGCATACGTCCCCAAGCTCACTGTAAAAGGTCCATGGATATCGGAATACCATTGAGTATCAAAAACACAGCAACTGTAACGATCACCTTCATGGTTTAGACGCGTATCCCCGTGGTCGATCGGGTAGACCACATTACTATTCTTCTTGCTCTTGTTCGAACTCTTCTACTTCTGCTGGGAATAGTTTTTAGTCTTATGTTGTTCTTATTCTTCGTGTTCTTCATCTTATTCTTCTTGGTCTTCTTCTTCGTCTACTTCGTCTTCATCTCTCTCACTATACCGATACCGCTTCATGTTCTCCAGACATGTTCGGTGAAGCTCGCACTCCCAGTTCGGTAGAAGCATGATGCAAGTGTTAATTCATAGTGGTAGCAACGCAAAACACTGTTCGGAAACATATTCTATCTGCACCGTCGGAAAACACGTATCTTTCACTTTCTTGAAAGTCCCCAAGAAATATTCTATCTCTCCTTCGGCCCAAACCTCAACCTTTAGATTAATGTGGCGGTCGGTTTAATAGTGGGGTACCCCCCCCCCCCCCCCCCCCCCAAAAAGTGGTCTCTTTAATTTGGAACCGGTAGCCCCGGACAGGGGTCAGGGGTCGGTCTGAGTGGCAGGGAATTGGGAGGTGCCGGGGTTTGGGGGCTGGCTTGGGTGCAGGGTCTGCGGTTCTGCGCGATTGCGCGGTCGGGGGTCGGGGGGGTCTGGGCCAGCGCCTGAAACCCTAAACCCTGAACCCTAAACCCTAACCAATCCTAAACTCCTAGACCCTATAACAAACCCTAATTAAACCCTCAGCCCTAAACCCTTCCAAAGGGGGGTCGGTCCAGATTCGACCCAAAACTTAATTTTTTATACAAACTTTAGTACTGGAGAGGCCTCTTTTGAGCTAGGGTCCAATCCCCGATTCGGCGGTTCACCCTAGCAGCCCCCCCCAATAATCAAGGTATAGTAGAATAGTAGTACAGTAGTAGTACAGTAGTAGTATAATAATAGTGCAGTAGTACAATAGTAATACAACAGTAGTACAGTGGTAGTACAATAGTAGTACATTAGTAGTACAATAATAGTACAGTAGTACAATAGTAGCACAATAGTAGTACAGTAGTAGTACAGTAGTAGTACGATCATAGTACCGTAGTACAATAATAGTACAGTAGTAGTACAGTAGTAGTACAATAATAGTGCAGTAGTACAATAGTAATACAACAGTAGTACAGGGGTAGTACAATAGTAGTACAGTAGTAGTACGATAACAGTACAGTAGTACAATAGTAGTACAGTAATCGTACAGTAGTAGTACAGTAGTACACTAGTAGTACAGTAGTAGTACCACAGTAGTACAGTAGTACAGTAGTAATACAGTAATAGTACAGAAATAGTACCAATAAGCAAAGCATAAAGCCAGTGAGTACATTCCCCCAATAAGCAAAGCATAAAGCCAGCGCCTGAAACCCTAAACCCCGAACCCTAAACCCTAAAGAATCCACACTCCTAAACCCTATAACAAACCCTAAACCCGAAGCCCTAAACCCTTCCAAAGGGGGGTCGGTCCAGATTCGACCCAAAACTTAATTTTTTATACAAACTTTAGTACTGGAGAGGCCTCTTGTGAGCTAGGGTCCAATCCCCGATTCGGCGGTTCACCCTAGCAGCCCCCCAGCCCCCCCCAATAATCAAGGTATAGTAGAATAGTAGTACAGTAGTAGTACAGTAGTAGTACAGATTTTCATTCCTGACGCCCCAATAAGCGAAACAATTCTGCAAGAGATTTTCGGGCTTCAGGGCCAGGGTTTTAGGGTTGGGTGGGGGTTTGGGTGGGGGTTTAGGTCGTGGCTGCCTTAAGATTGACCATCAGCAAATAGCACAGCCCCGCCACCAAAAAATCACCCCAGCCAAAAAAAAACGCATTAATTAGAACACCCCAATTTTTTTGTCAGATTCGGAATTAGCCCCGGAGCCGACGCATTAAAAGAGCCCATATTCCTAAACCGACCCCCACATTATTCCTCAAAAAGATCTTCAAAAACAACCCTCCCAGTTCAAGGACACTTTCAATTCTAAATTAGTGGTACGCATTTCCTCTCCATACATGTCACATAGCCGAAGTGTTGTTGCATGCCACAGCTTGACTTACGTACGAAACGGTTTTCTCATCAAAACCGCCAGCATAGTGTGTATCATCATCAATCACCATCTGTATCATCACCGATATTCCCTCAAACCGGTACAATGAGCACTTATGTAAACATTTCGCACACAATAGGTGCCGGAAACATGCAAATACCAATGGATGCATCGTTCATTGCTTTTGTTTTGCATGTTATAAACCTCAACGATGCTGTGTATTCACGTTCAGCTCGACGACAGTTTGTTAGTGCATATCAGAATATGCAGTTAGCTGAGAAGCAAACATTGATTTCAAGCTGTTTAGCCGCTTATTTTTGACTTCATAAATCCTTTTTGTTTTCAGTACTCTAGACTCGTGTATGTGTTTAGTTAAATCTACGCGTCTTACCTCATGACCCCTCACGGTATCGAGGTATAGGAACATAAAAACGTCCAATATCGTCTAATTCTAATTGCCATCTCAACAGGGAGTATGCTTACATGCATAGCTTTCTTGATGCATCAACGTGTGAGCTATTTGGCGTGCGACCAATACCTAGGTTGACACAACAGTCAGACGTTTCATGCTTGCACACTCAGAACCTGGCTGATGTTGACATGTTGCTCAACAATAACTTGTATTCAGCTAGAAATGAATGCTCACAATACTAGTATTTTTTGTCCGTTGACTGAAATATAATCATACAACAGTACTAGCTGGCCAGTGATCTGGTCACTTTACATGTAGTTTAAGTTGACTGGTCTCCGTGATGATTCACCTTTTCTTGCGTCGGGCTAGCAATGCAGTACAATATGAGATAGTAGAACGGAATAATGCAAAATAAAACGGTATGATGTGATACGATATGCTGAAAAGCCATGTGCTAAGAAATGAGAGGACATGTCGTGTGAAATCATTGTTCAACATAAGATACACAGAAAGTATAGCAATACAAGTAGTATCGAAGCACTTGAATTAACTATAGTTAACATACTTCAATACAAAAGAAGCACTGGAGTGCATTCTAACGTGGAGTCCGGAGGCGAGCAATCGCTGCTCCTCTCGGAGCAGGTGCAGCAAGGTGGGTTCGTGCCAGATCGCCACGAAGGTAAATACCACGGCGGTGCTTCCAAGCTGACGCAAGAAAGATCCTGATCCTCCAAGAGGCACGTAAACGTAACGCACCAGCCATCGGTTGAAGGATCGATGCCAGCCTCGCCAGAAATCTCTAACAGAGTAATTGTTGCACATGCACCTTTCCATGTTCTCCATCGCTGCCACGCCATCGCTTAAAGCCCAACCTCGAGCAAAGCGCCAAATCACCAGAAACTTGAACCAAAGGCCTTTCAGGGACCAAAAGGAAAACCAGATCATGGTCTCACCATCCAAACCGAAGTTCAGGAGATTATCGAACATCACGGCCTTGTTGTCTCGGATGCTTACCAGCGGCCCGTTGACTGCCAAGGCCGAGGTGTACAGGAAGTGCCCAAACGCAATGAAAAGGAAGGTGTCAAGTAGCCAGCGGAGCCAGTACCTCGCCAAGGCCCACCCTTCAAATTCCACTTGAGGCTGCTCCATGTAAGATGCGAAAGCATTGAAGGAGATGATGGGGCCGGTCATATACAGTGGTGGGTAGAGCAAGTATGCCGCATACAGGGATAAGCTCTTGTACTCTTGCAAGGGTCGACTGGCGTCCGCGCGATGCTTGTGGTCTGCACCACTGTTTTTGCTTTCAACCCCCGTGCTCACGGACGTGCCCGCCTTGGCCGTGTCCAAACTACGGGAGAAGTCCACTGTCCAGCTGATGCAGCGTAAGACCCAAAAGCGCAGGACACTAAACCATGACAGCTCTCCCTGGAAGCGATCCATCCAGCGGCCCCAGGCTTGCAGCTTTCTGCTGCTGAGCGACCGGAAGAGTGTCTCCAGACTCAGCTCCCGGCCGGCAGCTGCCAAGGCTAGGATCCCAAGCAACCAGCTGCATGGGACCAGCAATGCCCGGCCCAGTCGACCCCCGGAAACCAGCAATCGGGAGATAGCATAGTTCAGCAGCGCGTAAGAAAGGGGCTGGAGGATGGTGAACTCGTGAAGAAAGCAGACGTAGCCGACACCGAGGAGAAGAGTTCCGGTGAACTCCAGATTCTTTGAAGCTCTCGCTAGAAGCGCCTTTAAAAGAAGGTAGAAGACGACGAAGGCCAGGATGCTTGGGAAGTTGGCCACGAGCTCCCGGGTCTGCAAGTCCTTTCGGTCCCAGCGCCTGCCGCCAAAGACTTGATTGAGCCATTTCGTGTCGTCGTACAGGCCCCAGACTCGGTCTCCATGGACATCGCAAGTGCCAATGCCCACTTCTTTGCAATAGGCAAGGTAGGAATTGCTGAGGCGATACACCGAAAGCATGCCTTGAACGTAAAAATACACTGTGACAGCAATCCAAACGCCGGTCTCCCAGGGCCGGATGCTCGAACCACCCAGCGCCGACACTGCCAGCACCAGCAGAAACAAAGCCGCTAGGATTGAAGTGAGTAAGGATGAGGCCTCCTCCGCCGGTGCGAGCGGATGGGAGCAGTCCCAGCCATCCCCTTTGGCAGGGATGTGCAGTTCGTGGAACAGAGCCATGCGACCGGTGAAGTCTGGAACCTCTCAGCTCACTGCGCACGGACACAGACTAAGGACTAAGGTCAAGATGACGAGAAGATGAGACCGCAGCTACAGAACCGGAGGTATATGGTGAATTGCTCGACGACCAGATGGGTCAGGATGGCAGGCGCTGGGAGAGACAAAGCCACACAGTGCAATACAATGCTTCGTGAACTAGCAAGGACAACGCAGGTGAGTTACTTTAATGTTGAGCTCATGCAGCTGTGGCAAGATCGTCATGTAGCTGTACTCCTGCAGGTGTGCAGTCGTTGTATCCCAACCACTATTACGGAATCGCAAAGCATTTGTACTGGGATGCGCTCTGGTGAAGCTCCAAAACTCGTTGTCATACCCGAATGTCACTGGTGCGCTGTAGTGCCACGCTACAAACACAGTCAGGCAGAAAGTATCAAAAGCGTCTGTGCAATCCGATGCAACCCACAACTTTTGATGCGGGCCTCGAAGGTACGTTGCCGCTTGCCTGGCGGTCCCTCGGGAGCAACAAGTTGCATCACAGCCTCCCAGCAAACGCGTTTCTTACGCTTGATCCCTGTGTTGGAGCGTTTTTCTTCGACTGACACAGATGATACTGCCTGTCCTACATGTCCTGAATGAGAAAAGGATCGACGAGGATCGGTATGAGAGCTTTGCGGTATGATCATTCAAGGGCTGAAACATTGCTTCTCTGTTTCGAACAAACTGCTGCAACTTGCATGGGCCTTCTCAGACCTAGGATGCAGGTAGACTGCGAGGGTGGAAGGCCCTGCGAAGCCCAGCAGTTTCTTTGCAGTCTGCGCGTGTATCAGCTGCGGGAACTTTCCCGGACCCATGGTCTTATTCTCCGTTTCCACCACCATGTCGCAATAGCCATCATTCCAAATCATCAAGTTGGCAACACACGCAGGAAAGCATGTCCACAAGCAGCAAACAAATGAGAATAAGCTTCTGCAGCGCTCGACCATGCTGTTGCGATATCCCGAAAGCAGGGCGAATCGAAGTCACTTCCTGTGGACGTAAGCCAAACGTTACAGCGGCATTCGCACAAACAGTGGTACAGCGTGAGGCGTGCCACTGCAGCTTGCCAAACTCCAGGAGGCACAGGCCTGATATCGACCGTCCAAGATGGCCTGCACCGCAGCTCCAAACTGTATTGCATCCACAGACACACACGCACACACACACACACACTTGACACATCGTGTCGCAGGTCTGATCTGTCGGTGCATACTGTCAGGAAAAGTCAGCAGCTCGAAGCAAGCCCTCACTCAAACACAGCTCTGAGTCACACCTGAATGATCACATTGCAGCAACCATGCAGGAAACTCGACAGTGGCAAACGTGAAGCTGTCACTCTAGTGTTGGTTACTCCAGTGCCTCAGGGGGCCCACTGGCTAATCCGAAAGCAGGTACACAGTGGTGATCAGCCACTGCATCCACTCCAGTGATTTGGCTTCGTTGGGCAAGGCTAATCACTGGAGCCCTTGCCCCCCTGCATGACACACAATCGACCCTTCGGAACAGGGATGGACACACACAAGCCCGACTGGGCTCATTGTAGGAGCTTGCACATCCCTTGCACGTCACTTGCACATCCCTTGCACGTCCCTTGCACGTCACTTGCACGTCCCTTGCACATCCCTTGCTGCTTTTTCACTGAATTTCATGGGAGAGTCTTATGCTCAAGACACCTAGGAGAGTGGGCTACGAAACCTCAGGAAGCGCAGTCTGTGCACTAAGTGCAATTCAACTTCTGCTTCTTCCGCATCGGCATCGAAGTACATGCAACACTGAGTTGCAGTTTGGTACGCAACGCTGGCCAGTGACACGATACTCACTCGCAAACGCTCCTGTACTAGACCTACGACAGCTCTCATCCACCTTTTTGACGGGCTGCTCAACATGGTGCATGCCACGACATTGATTTGTGCAAAACGGATGGTGGTATGCAGACACTGAAAACCCATGGTCCACTTAGCCGAAGAGGACAGCCGAAACTCCTGTATCCCACGTAAGTGTACGCCACCATGGTGTCAGTAATGGGTTGTGCCTCTTCAAAGTCATCATCTGGATCGAGACGGGTAATGAATGTGATTCTGGTTCTGATCGGCAACACGTACATCAAGACGTTATCGAGCACGTCAGAAGCAGCCCAATCCATGGTGTTCGGGGTCTACACAATTTTCCGAGTGCTTGAAGCAAAACTGCACTTGCACAGACCTCACACACCCATTGCATATCACTTGCAATTCGCTTGCGCATCACTTGCAATCCGATTGCACATCCCTTGCTCGTCACTGCTCTTGAATTGACACGGAGGTGGGCTCTTTTTATACCGTAACGACGAAGTCGACTGGTTCGAGGGTTTGAGCAGTCGTAACAGGTTCTGTAAACCGAAGGTGACGAAAGTTTTGTACAAGCTGGAAGGTGTGCAACCTAGGCCACCAGCCGAACTTCTCCCAAAGCTGCATCGCGACAAGGTATTTGGCACCGTTGATGGAATCGTTGATTGACAACTGGATGTGGAGAATAATAGTCTCGTGTCCGGTTGCCCGACTGCATACACGAACCCACATCCGAAAATTGTAGTCGCGGCTGGTACTCCAAGGCAAATTGGCTTCGCGGGCCTTGCGCTTCATGATGGACAACCTACACAATTTCACTGGATGTCAAATGCTGCAACTCAAGACGGCTCATGCAGAAACTCTTGCACATCCCTTGCACGTCACTTGCACGTCCCATGCAGAAACTCTTGCACATCCCTTGCACGTCACTTGCACGTCCCTTGCACATCCCTTGCAACATCCTTGCACTGACACTGGCACACAAACGCTTGTTTGCACCTGCTCTCGTTTCACTCTGAGACTTCAATTTCTGCTGGAAGTGTTGGGGGCAACTCTGTTGTTTCTTGAAGTTGAAGAGAATTAACGCAATGAGTAGTCACAGATTGAAGAGAATTCAAATCCGTCAGCAAGTTCCCCACCACTTCGTTGGTCTTCTGAAGTTTCTGAAACAGTTCTGTGGTGGCGGACATAACTTCCGCCACCTGAGCCTCAGTGTCCCTGATTTGTGTGGTGAGCACGTCGAGTTGGGCTTGTTGGATCTTCTGGACGGACAATGCTTCTTCGCGAAAATGACGGAATTCACCTCTGATTGTGATCAGCTCCTGTTGTGTGTAGGAAATCCAGCGTTGGAGAGGTGCCAACGGATCGCACGCTGAGTTGCTCGACATTAGCGCAATGAAACGAGACTTGAGCAGGGTGCTGCAACACTGTTCTGGTGTGTACCACAACACGAATAAACGAGTACTCTCAGCACTGGCATCCACGGCACAGTTTTTCTCACTTCAGCACTCGCATGTGTTACAGATACAAGTGAAATCCTGTCACATCAGGCATACTCAGCTAAGATCAGACGATTGACTGCGTCGCCGTCGGCGTGCTACACGTCTTCTGGTAGGCATAGGTTTGGATCTAATCGGAGTACCTGACGCGGCTGAAGATGTAGGTGCGGCCGACGACGAAGCAGCACTGGACACCAAAGGAGGTTCAGACACACGATGCGCCAAGCTTGCTAGTGGTACCGGGGGTGGAAAGACAGGAGCACTGGTACTGGGCGGGGGGAAGAAGGGAGGGGAAGAGGGGGAGGGAGAGGAGGAGGGGGAAGAGGGGGAGGGCCAGGGGGAGGAAGGGAGGGAGGTGCAGAACTGGACGAAGGGTTGTCGCTCCCTGCACTCGGTGTACTCCTCGATGTTGGCAGAGAGGATGGAGGTGCATAGGGGTGGGATCTGGACGAACGTGATCCTGAAGCTCCGCTACTGCTAGGACGTTCTTCACGCAGGTTTGCTCTATCCCTCTCATCCAAGCGACGCAACTCTTGCTGCAGCATTCTTTCTGTCCCATCACGCACAAAAGCTGTCAACTGAAGTACGAGAGCTTGACGAAGTTGTGGTCGTGATACAAAGTTGAGCAATCTCACACGCGCTGAATGAGTGAGCGCTCTCAGGAACTCATCGATGTTAGGATCCGAAGGTGGCACCGTCGGCATGCTTGCTTACACAGATGATCTCGTCTCTTGGCCGAAAACACTGCGATGCTCAGCACTAGGACTTGCTTGCACATCACTTGCACGTCACTTGCACATCCCTTGCACATCCCTCGCACGTCACTTGCACATCCCTTGCACATCCCTTGCAACACCCTTGCAGTGACACTGGCACACGGACGCAACTGCTCACGTTTCACTCTGCTTGAACGAAGAACGCGTACTCCAGGACACGGGGGCACAACTCTTGCTCTGGTAGTTTTTCAGCAAGTGACATGTAATCCTGTACACTCCCGGTGACCAAATCAAAAAGAATCAAACGCTTCGGTTGGGACACTGTGCAACATACCAAAAATGGCAAGCACAGCGGAGGTTAGCTCTGATCAGCATTTTTGCACAAGCTTTTAACCGTGCTGCAGGATTTCGGTGAAACTGCATCGGATCCCCAAGCGCGAAGCCCAAATACGAATGGCCGGTTCAACTTGAACATATTGCTCACGGAGAACTTGCTTGAGTTTGGATTGCCGGTTGAATTCACGCTTCGAAATAGTAATTGAAGTACTTCCCACATACATCCATCGGTCTCTTTGCTTGAACGAAGAACGCGTACTCCAGGACACGGGGGCTTTCAAATAAACTGCACAAGGACTCTGGAACCGTGTGAACGTGTAATCAGACGGCGTGACTCCAGCTTTGCGCAATTTTTCAAGCAGCCGTTGTTCTGGCGAAGTACCCCTGGAGTAATAGAACAGTAGAATCAGATGACAAAAACCTTGCAACCAAATGGCCATCACTTTGTCCACATGCGGAATGAACTGAAGCACAAACGACATGAACTTGCCAACCTCTGTAATAAGAACATGTGCTGACCGAATCTCCTTTACGGAGAGTTGATTGGAAGCAAGGCTGTGTGCAATTCAGACAACCTGAAAGGCTGCCGCTGCAATGCACGTAGAGAGACTCTTGATGCCCATCCTAGATGCAAAAGTCGCCGAGATCCCGAATTTTACTGCAAGTTCTTGCAGTTTTGCTTTCTCCTTGCCTCCATAGTTGATCTGCACAAGCTTGGAGACAGACACAATGTGTTCTTGAAAATCGACAAAGCGCTTTCCTAGGGGTCGTTTGAAACTCTGGATCCACTTGTCGACGTCCCCCTCTCCTGATCCCTTTAGTCGGGCTTTGTGATCATTCAGGGCTTCGGCAGGAACACTGTCGATCTTACGCTTGAGGTCACTCTCCCAAGTCTGCGGTGGTGTCCCGGATTGTGGACACGGAGCACTAGATTGCGAGGCAACCGGGAGCTGTGTTTTCAAAGCGGGTTTCGTGGGGGTAACGGGAAGTCCTGCGGCTTGTAACTGTTCACGGCGGCGATTGAGCTCTTCCGTAACTTGAAGGAACTTCTGAGATTGATCGACGCCTGCTGACACCGGCATGTTGTCAAACATGAGCTGAACGATCTTGTCAACCATCGGCTGAAACAGAGCTGCACAATCCGTGTTCTTGTTGGGAATGATTGTAGATGGATTAGCGGCCTGAAAGAGATGCGTAGCAACTGCATCGATGTCAACTTTGCGATCTCGAAGGTTCTTCGTCACTTGCGACATGAACACTGCTTCGGCAACCGTAGCAACTGGCACAACACTGAAAAACTTGCCATGACTCAATGCTCGAAGACGCCAATCTGAAACTCCATGAAACAGGAATTCCTGAACAGGAATGCTGAGTGGGTCTTTTCCTGCGATCCCTTTCTTCCGCGACCACGGGGTGGCTTCGATGGACTTGCGAAAGGACAACCCATGAAGCACCGTTGAATCATAATGATCACGATCTGACGCCCATCCATTCGGTAGTGCAGGAACAAGACCAGGACCTTGATGACATGGCATGGGAGTAGACGGCGAAGATGAAGGTGCCGAAGAAAGAGGAGGCGGGGGTAGTGGAGGTGGCTGACTAGCAGGTGCAGACTTGGAGAGGTTGGGATCAGTCCAACTTCCCGAGCTATACGGCTGATAGCGGTGCTGACCCCACGATTGATGGGACCTCCCGTACCCTGTGCTGTTGTCCCACTGCCCATTCCATGCCATGGTTTCAGATCTATCAACAAATCTGAGTACGCGGAATCGCTAACGACACTTCGAATCAAAAGGCTCCGTAGGCAAACAAACCTGCTCAAGTTGCTGCCAAACTGCTACACTTGCACATCGCTTGCACAACTCTTGCATCACACTTGCTCCTCTCACTTGCAGTACCCTTGCACGTCCCTTGCAACACACTTGCACTTCCCTTGCTGGCACAGCTCGCAATCTTAACTGGCATGTTTTCGACACATGTATACGTGCAAAGCAGGTGACAACGGAAGAGACTTGAGGACGTGGCCGGTCAAAGCAGCATGTTGCACTCAGACCCTCCAAAAAACAAGAAGCGCTTCCGGGATGAAACATGAGGAGCGAAAGACCCATCTGCCATCTTTGGCACGGGCAACATCACGAATGTAGCTGCAGGAATGGTCACCTTCGACCCCTCCCATGGGGATTCTTCAGTGGGGAGGTGTGAGGGATCCTTGACGATTATGTAAATGCATGTCCGAAAATGCACACCGGACGCTCACTCAGAATGCCACCGTACTTGGCCGCTGCCTCTTGTGCTTGTTCTGCATCTGAAGTGTGAGCCCTAGCATAGAAGGAAATTGGTGGGGACCACTTGCTGTCACTAGCATCCCACCAAGATGGTCGGATCGCTCCCTCAAGGAGGATTGATGCAGCCGCTGCCACTGTTGTGTTGTGTGCAACAGGAGAACGAACAATCCCTGCTGCAGAAGTATGCGACCTGATCATGGCCCTCTCAAAGTGGGTGAAGTGGATGCTCAAGCACTTGCACGAACTCGACAAAGAACGAAGCTCCACAGAATGAATGTTTGCGGCTTGGTCAGCTGCTGCAATTGCCTGAGAGACATACTTCAATGCTGTCGAATTGACAGCGTGGGGAGGAAGACCTAACAGGCTGATCAGATAGTCCGCCGTGCTTTGCATCAAAGAGCTGGGAACCTGCAACTCAAGATTGGCCGGTATCTTTGCCGAAATCTCACATGCCGATTTCATACGGCCAGGGCTGGAACTGATCAAGTGACGTAGAGCAGTAAACATGGGGTATAATGCGACCCAATTGAAGCTAGATGAATACACGCGTATCAGCTTCGCTTCTTCATCGCGCACTTCCAACCCACGAAGTTCAGGAATCACGAAGAAGTTTGAATCTTGCTCCCACTCAACTTCCACATGCCCTTTGAGAAGAGATCGATTCTCAAAATGCTCATACGAGTCTTGCAAGGGTCTAACTCGAAAGACGTAAGTCTGGTCCGCACTGAGCTGCCACCCTACGCGATCTGCATGAGTACCAGGAATCTGATCACAAATTGCACGAAGTCGAATGCTGTTAGGGTCTGCAACAAGAGAAACTTCACTTCCAGGAACTTGCCGAAGTCGCTTTGTTGGCTGGGATGAATCATCCGTTTGGTACGTGATGGCTGACTGCTGGCTCTGAACAGATGCTGTTGACTGATTCCGTTGAGAAACAACAGACTGCTGAATGTCAAGCAAATTGTTGAGGCCAGCATACACATCTCTGTGGCCTCGGACATGTGTCAAGTTTGCTGCCATGATCGCTGAGTATTCAGCGAAATCAGCCACCGAAAGAAACGACAACCGGAAACCTGCGCCGTCTGCATGAAGAGTGATTGCAGGGGGAACCTCTTGCTGTGGAATCTGCCGATCATTTACAGCACGTGCAGCAATCAAAGTAGGAGTTACATCTGTAGTTCTCGCTCCAACATCGGATGCAGAAGGGACCGGCAAAGAAGAAGATGAGGCAGGCGCCGGGCAAACTGCAAGAGTGGGGGGTGGAGGGGGGAAGGCGGGAGGGGGAAGGGGAGGGGGGGTGGAATCCACTTCGCTGTGGTACCACGGGCGGGGGCAGGGGCAGAAGCGGGAGGGGGAGGCACAGGGAGATGGGGGAAGGGGGAGGGTGGAGGGGGAGGAGGAGGTGGGGGAGGAGGGGGGGGGGTTGATGTGCGGGTACTGCGTCTCTTTCCTGAAGAATCCATGGCAAACTGATCAGCAACTACCCAGAAGTACAGCTCAGATACTCGGTTTGTAGCCAAAGACCTGCGACAAGTCAACGAAAAAGTCAGATTCGGGAAAGTCGATTTGATCATAGACAGTCAATGGGAAAGTCAGCATTCAGGTTTCGGTAGAAGCAATCGGTGAAGACTCATTGAGAAAGTCAGCTTGCAAGCACGGATATAGAATCAGGGAAAGTCATCCAATGCTTATACAGTCAATCGGGAAAGTCAACGCCAGAGCTACCTCTGGGAGACACGGCGCCCATAGGGAATGCCGTTGTGAAGCACACTTGACACATCGTGTCGCAGGTCTGATCTGTCGGTGCATACTGTCAGGAAAAGTCAGCAGCTCGAAGCAAGCCCTCACTCAAACACAGCTCTGAGTCACACCTGAATGATCAGATTGCAGCAACCATGCAGGAAACTCGACAGTGGCAAACGTGAAGCTGTCACTCTAGTGTTGGTTACTCCAGTGCCTCAGGGGGCCCACTGGCTAATCCGAAAGCAGGTACACAGTGGTGATCAGCCACTGCATCCACTCCAGTGATTTGGCTTCGTTGGGCAAGGCTAATCACTGGAGCCCTTGCCCCCCTGCATGACACACAATCGACCCTTCGGAACAGGGATGGACACACACACACACACACACACACACACACACACACGCACACGCACACGCACACGCACGCTCACTGACACTGATCCGGCCAATTAGCCTCGTATACGTGGGCCGTCACCTCAAATCATGACAGTCCTGCTTTCATGCTTCGGGCGTGGAGGCTTCCCAAAGACTCGAATTTGCAGCATCTGAGACCCCGGCACCCTGTCCCACGGACCGCTCCAGAACAATTCGGTCGAATCCGATCTGACAGGATCCCAGCTCTCGCTCCATCGTTCCGTCCGTCTGTCCGAGAAGATACACATAATAAGACAGATATACACATATGTGCATAATAAGCAACTGTAGGGTTTAGGGTTTGGGTTTAGAGTTTCCTGAAAAAGCCGATCTGTACGGCTGACAACATCTCCCGCACATTCCCGAACAAAAGCAATCCATGTGACGGAAACTGGCGCTGCGTATGCTGAACATGGTGCCGTGAACATCCCTTCTTCGTTTGCAGCAATCATACACATGTGTGCATGAATGTGGTCTATAGATATATGCCCGTATGTACATGTAATCAGAATCATGTATATATGTATGTGTATATATATATATGTGCAATATGTCTGTATGTATGTATGTATGTTTGTATGTATATGTAATATGTATGTACATATGTCTGTGTTGACGTGTGTATGTATGTACGTATGTATGTATGTATGCAAGTAAGTACAAGTACGTAATTCCCCAAAAAGCCCGAGCAACTTGCCGAAACAAAACATCATAGGTTCCTGAAGCTAACGGTGCTTCCTGAGTCGTGGTGCTCTGATTTTCCCACTTGTTTACTGAGTATACTGAAAAGGGCAGTGCTCTATGTAAGAATGTGTATATATATAATATATATAGAGAGAGAGGTAATAACGCTACATACTTTCTTTCTCTCTTTCGGAGCGGTTGTGTCGGCAAAGGAAGCTAAACATACTATACACATACTTTACATACTCTACATGCATACATGCACACCGACAGAATCTGAATTGGCATACACACACACACAGACACATGCACACGTACGAGTGTGTGTGTGTGTGTGTTTATGTGTCTACGGCACCTCCCAGGAGAAGCTTGGCGCCGCAGGCGCTGCGGGCGGTGCCGCAAGCATCGCCTCGCCAGAGTTGGACCCAGGAATGGGGAAATCTCTGTCTCAGGAGATGGCACCCGAAGGCCTCGCACGGTGCGGGCGGCGCCGCTAGGACCATCAAAGGCACGGCCTCAGAGAGATGCCGACGTGGAGCTGGAGAGTTAAGCAAACAAAAGAAGTGGATATATATATATATATATATATGGGTGAAGTCTGCACACAAGGCCCCGGCCATGGGAGCCAAGCTTCTGAAGGCAAAGCCTCTGTTTTCTTTTCGGATGATGACAAAGAGGGGAAAAAAAAGGCGGTTGGTGGCAAGAGCAGAATCCGGGGCGAAGCCTTCTACTGCCAGAACATGGCAGGTCACATGGCTCAAGACGTCAGAAACGAAGCCAAAACACGGACACGCTGAAGCTACGAGTCTACGAGAGTCTATACGAGTCTATACGAGTATCAAGGCTGGGGTTAGTCAAATTCAGTTACGCAGGAAATGACCTCGACTTGAGCCAGAGTTACACGCAAACTGATGCTTCGGCTTCCAATCTCTGCAATTCGGCCCGCTTCTCTTCGCCGTCCCAGCCGACCTTTTTTGCATGGGGCACCTGCCGCTGTGCTAGTAACCTTCGGAAACTAGCTGCTCAATTCGATGTGAAACGGTGCTGCGACTCAAGCGGTCACGCCGGCAATGTCGGCAATAGCGTATGGATACGCCAGCAGCCTGTCCGTCCTCCAGAATGCTCGAGATGGCTCGGGTGTGTCTATGATGTCGAAATGTCTCGACTTTCCCTGCCTCTTTGGCGGCACTCTCGGTGGCCTGGCAGAGCCCAAGGCCATGCAAAGCACTTCAAGCCGACTCAATGAAGCGTCGCCTGGAAGCCAGGTCCGCCGGAACGAAGCCAGCCGCTTGGCTTGGATACCAGCCGCAAGACTGCACAACTTGGGTGCTCTGAAGATAGGACATGGTACTCGCAGGACATCAGAACCCTCCTTTGCTCTGGCCATGCTCATAGCTTTGGAGTTTGCGCCGAGCTGATCAAAGCGCTTGGACCTCAACATACCGGGTCTGCAGGTGAGGCCACTGCTCCATCACCCAAGTCCGTGACACCACCGACGCGGGAAAATGCAGCGGTGTCCTCAGAGGCTGCATCCCGTCAGGAACTCAAGCTGCAAGCGATCAGCACGAGAAAGCCCGATGCGCTGAGCGTTGCCGGCTTGAATGGTTGGCCAGCCTGTCCTCAGAGTTAGCATGCAATCAGGCTCACTGTGTTGAGTCTCATGTATTCGATCCAAGTGCCTCCACGCATTTTGTCCGCTCCGTCTCATGTCGCAAGCGATCCTGTCCGAAAGACGGGGTTCCTAGCCGACATATGTCCGCCTTCCCAGGCCTTGAGGCCACGCAGCAGGCGAACGAGAGCCTTCTGCTCAACATCCCGAGCCTGACAAGGTGCCCCATCTCACGGCACTGTAAGTATGCATGTGGTGGGATTTTGACCGGAGATCATCATCTACACAATGTGCACTCGCCTCATATTCCCAAACCCAAGGACTCTTATGGCCAGATATTCCTCTATAGTACCATTGCCAAGGCCCTGAATCTGACATGCGGCTGAGTTATCGGAGATTGTCTGTTGCACCTCGCGGCTCCACTCTTGAGACCGGTCGCCACCCGGCCTTCGACGGCCGCGTGCGCAATTGGTTTGCGACCACGACATTAACAGCGCTACTAAACTAAATCAACCAAGCGAGCATCCTTTGCGGTGCGTAGTTACGTCGCATGACTTCGGTTGAAAGGTCAAACCTTCATGCACATGGGCATTTCTCTAAATTAGGGTCCGTTGTCGTGGGGCCATAAGATAAGGGTGTCGTACCATTTTTGAGGACTCAGCAGGGTCCCTATATAGTTTGGAGAACTAGACTACTCACGGGATGGACGTGTAGCTTACTGGGTGTCGGTATGACTGGGTGACAGGCGTCAGCGGAGTCCGCCCGCGCAGCTTGATGAGCGGCTTCGGGTAGTCCACCTGGAGCCAAGGCGGAACATGGCGGAACGGCGGAAGCCTGAGAGTCTGCAAGAGGAGAAAGAGAGGAGAGAGGAGGGCCAGGGGCCAGGAGGGTGTTTCCGCCTTCGGACCGAGGGCCGCTTCCTGTGCTTCGCGCCGCTCCATGAGGTGCTGCACCTCTCAGACTTTGTCCTCTCCTCAATTGCCCGCTGTCGTGTTCGTTCTAAGGTCGGGGCCCAGCGGCTGTTGGCTGGCGGTGCCGGCGGCAACGGCGTTCGAGGAGCTGGCCGAGGCGTTGGCACCTGGCGCACACATCCCTCACAGCAAAAAGACAGTCGGCTTCCAGTTTTGGGCTAAGGGCTCAGTCGTTTGCATTGTCTTTTGGGGCTTGCGACAGTTTGAAGTTTGGGGTGGACGGTGCAGGCTTCGGGATCCAGTCTGGGATGCTCTCGAAGATGTGAGCTCTCCTTCCAGTGGCCCATCTCCACCCCGTGCTGCCTCCGGCTCACCATCCTTCATCCAGGGAGGCACCAGCTCCTGCGCCGGGTAAGTGTGCTCACAATAGCCTGGGTGCCGACACTGAGCCTTCTGCTTCTGCACTTCCTCCGGATCGCGGGCTGCCTCCGAATAGTGGGGGCATCGGGCAACTTCAAGCAGATTCCCCGTTCTCTCCCACCTGCTGAGTCATGAGGGCCACATCGCGCCTCGGCCCCGCCGCGAACTCACGAACATTTTGAAGCGGGCGTTTTAAGTCCTGGGCGCAATGGTCCGCTCCAGCGCTCGCTGGGTGATCGCCTGATCCCGCGGACGAGAGCGCGAGAATAGCGAGGACCGAGCGAGGAGGCGCGAGAGGGAAGACAGAATTGCCGAACATCCGTTTCATAGCTTTCGCTAGAAAGAAGTCATCTCGGTGACCTTGCGAGAAGACGGTGCAGACTGCCTGGCTCTGAGCTACACGCATTGCAGGTGATGTGCCCCGTCGAGGCTATTGGGAGGAGCCGCTCGGTCATGGTCCGAGTGTTGCGAGAGGTTCAGAGTCGTTTGCTTTCTCAGAAAGTGCTAAATTTCTTCACATCAGTCGCATCACTCCTTCCCGTATTCAAGCCTTCTACATGAGACCATGGCGTTCTTGGAGCCAGAAGAAGCTGCTATCCGGAACCTCCCTGACCTACATATTGCAAGGCTGAATGCAGCAGCATCGCACGGCCGCACCCAAGCAGACTGTAACCTCTGCATCTTGGCCGCGGTAGTGGGTTTGCCAGTAGCCAAACATACTGCTTCCCTCTGAATTCCGTTTTGGAGCTCAGCTGGTGTGAAAGAGGCAGAAATAGGAAAGCCATACGCAGCATCGAATTTCATCAGCTAATGGCCATGGTTCAGCAGCCTGGCAAAGGAACAAATGCCGTGTGGCCTAGAAGATCTGACTCGGGGCTTTGGGCCCATGGGCCCACGGGGCCCGTGCCTGGCCTGTTTCGTGGCGAGATCTTGGGAATCAGGTTTGATGGCATCCGCGGAGTGAAGCTGCTTTTCACCTCACACTCTGACTCTGAAAAGGTCCCGCTGCCAACCAGCAATCGAGACAGCAGCAGCTAACGGCTGAATTAAATGCTTTCCCGGCACATTCTCGATGCGCTGCAAGATTCCCAAATTCTCCTGTCCAAATTGAAACTCAAACTCAAACTTGCCAACGGGTCCAGACAAACAGAAGCACAAGACAAAAACGGGTTACTCCTCCTTGATCCGGTGCTGCGCCCTCCTCAGGCGACAGATCTTTGCATACGTCAGATGCGCTCGCACACGGGCCTTCGATTCACTTCGCAGGACGAGACGACCTGTGGCCGCGCCTGCCTCGGCAGGGCTGCAGGAACATGGTAGCCACCAAGAAGTATCGAACCAGACCGGCCGAGCCGCTGTGTCTGACTTCTCCTCGGCGACTTGGCATAGATGGTCCTTCCCCCACAGCCCATGCGGCGTTTCAAGGTTCTGGAGACTTCTTTCACGTTTGCCAGTCCTGGCACTACCTGGATCGGGACCCTGAGAGCTGGTCCAAGCCTTCGGGATAAATCCATGAATGCCTATGACAGCCACAAGACTGGAAAATGTCTCTGCGCGTTGCCTGTAGCCTTGTGGCCTGCCGCATCCTGCAGACGACGGATGCCGCTGACGCTCTGCCAGCATGGCTACATGCAATGCTGCCTGGCTTGGATTTGCGTCTGCGCTTCCTCAATCTCCTGGCGTGGCTCGAGGAGCGTTGCAACAGCATAGTATGAGTAAAGGTCAGTGCTATGTCCTTCAAAGAGAGTCCCTGCGTTTGTGCGGCCAGCTGCTCCTGTACAAGTCGCGCACATGATTCATGTAAGACAGCTCAGATGTGGGAACAACCTTCAGGAAGCGATTCACCCAAAGCGCACGCTGGTACTGCATCTCCTGTCAACCGGAATCGCAGCTGTCTGTTCTTGCCGTGCCCAAAGATGCTTGAACTTGCTGGGCCCCAACCCCCGCCTCTTCGGCTGTAAGCAGAGGCGTTCCTGCCTCGGCGGGGGCAGCAGCGCAGATACTGCGCTGGCCAGCTTGAACAAAACTGTGAAGTCCTAACCTGGGCCAGGCGGCCTGTGAGGCATCATGATCTAGGTGCCGCTCGGAATGCATCTCCTGCCGGGACACACTTCCGGAATGCCCCAAGGAAGTCTCTGCGAAAATGTTCCCACAAGTCACAACAACAGGCCAGGAGTTCCGGACGTGAAGATGAAGCCTGGGCATGGTCTACACTACTGGCACGTAACACGTAGCGACGTCGACACAGCAGATGTAGCCATGCACCTTTGCGGATGATTGCAACCAGGCAGCCATGTCGAAAGGCCACCCCCACGTTCGGGTATGCTCGCGAAGTTGCAGAAACGTTTGAGGCATGCACGGGGACAAGATCCGATGAGGCTTCCAGGTATCTTCGCCTACAGCCTATCTTTGGAACCAATCAACACAGTGCATCAACATTCGAGCGCTTCATGCCCCACGCACTTTTGGATTCGGCACGATGCTGTGACAGCTCTGCTGCACGACTCTTGCTAAACTACGCAAAGTCGCAAACCCAAACTGGTTTGTCGGACTTCTCTGCTCTGCGTCACGGCCTCTCATCGCCTGTTCTGGCCTGAAAAGAAGACCCCTGCGCGACGGCACCCTACACCCGCAGGCATGCCAATTCAACCATGCAAGCAGGCTTGAGAAGTGGCTGCTTTTGCAGTCGCATCCCATGTGCACTGAGGCAGTTCAAAAGTTGCAGTGACACATCGTCTTCGTTGGAGAAATCGTTGCCTTCGGCGTCACACTATGTCCTGGCATCAGAGTGCAATGCGCGCTCTGCAGAGCTGGACTCTCCTGCCTGGTCAGGCTTTGCACGGCTCCTGCATTGCAGTAGCACCCAACATGAGCTTAACGGCCTTACAGCACCGGCATCTCGGCATCTCAACTCACTCGCGCATCTCCTCGCTCGGCAATCTCTCTGAAGTGGCCAGGGTCCAGGTAAATTAAGTCCTGAGAGACAGTTTGCGGCGGAGGCCTAGAATTTGAAAGGCCCGGAGATGTTCGGATTCGGAGTCGACTGGCGCTGCCATGGTTGAGGCGAGTGGCATTTCGGCTGGCGGAGGAGGGAGCTTGAGGCCCTTTGCTGGACTCGGATTTCTTCAAGAAGTAGTCATCCGGCCGAGGCATCACCAGACAGGCCGTCGAACGGAACCGTGGAGCAGGAGCGCTTAAACCGGAAGCCTCCCCTGAGTCCAATCCGCCTGGGCAGGCAAGTTCAACGAATCGTCTCAGCCTCTCTTCGGCTTCCGCGCTTCCTCTGCTGCGCTCCGCTCCCGCTCCGCTCCCCCGCCGCTCCTCGTTCAGACTCCGGAGCATCGCTCTTCGCTCGTCGGCTCTCCGCCATACGGACCAGAAGCCCAAAGTCAGCCTCCTGCATGACTGCATGCTGCGCCAGCTGTCAAGGTGGAGAGGACATTCATCGACACGCTCCTTGTTCCTGGCCTCGGATTCGCCCGATTGCATCTGCAAAGGCGGAAGCAATCATAGTGGTTGCTAGGCAAGGGCAGCAGCTAACAGCAAAAGCAGCTCCGCCTCGGAACGTTCCGTCTCAGGGATCTTGAAGGCTGCCTGTGCCTCAAAGTTCTGCAGAGGCTCGGGCCCCGAAGCCGCAGGACGGCGCCGTCTCTCCTGGCCCTGGCCCTGGCCTCCTCGCTCTTTTCCTTGTGCATCGGAGACAAGCCGAACTTGTTCCACCAGGGACCAGAGCTGTGGTCACCTGAAAGGGAAGAGCTGAGTTCGGAGGCTCGGTCCGAAGAAGCGCTTGCCTGACGGTGAGAGCATCCCCGCTGGGCTGGCTCCTGAAAGGCGTCTGCAGTGCAGCGTGCAGAGGCGAAGGGACATGAAAGCCGAGTCCTCCGGACTCTTCGACGTGCCCAGGGTTCCCAGAGCCATAGGCGAACTCAGCCCTCGCCTTGATGTCTCAAAACAAGATGCTGAAGACTATACTATATCAATATACTTTCTGGCCGCACCTCCTCGACCTCCTGGGACGGCGGCTGGGCTGGCGGCTCAGGGGACGAGCGCACTTCCTCGAGACACCATAAGTGAATCTGCAGAAGTGCACTCAGCGATCATGGCCTTCGAGGAAGGGGAGCAAGCCTCCACCATTTCCAGCTGCAAGTCCTCGGCTTCTGAGCTTCCATCCCGGCCCTTGCATCCTACGAAAGCCGGGGTCGTGGCAAACTCACCTTCTTCGCTCTCCGACTCCTCACCATCGCTGTCTGCCTCATGCTGCAGCTGGACGACATATGGGGCGGAAGAGACGAGCTAACTCTTGACGCCACAGCACGGCGGTCTGAGATGGATTTCGTCCTCGCCGCTCTGCCAACCATGGAGAGCAGTCTGTCTGTTGTCTCTCTCCCTCGCTCTCGTGCGCAGACCCAGCACTGCTGTGCAGTGCCCTGGAGCTAACAGTCTGGCTGGCATCGTCTACAAGACTCCGTACAGGCCTCGGCCTCAAACCCCTACACCCACTTGCATCCTTGCCGGGCCATGAGTGGTGCCCATTTACCTGTACTTTAAAGGGTGTTTGACACATGAACGCGCCAAAAACTCCTGCTGCAAAAGTGCCATCCGAGGTGTCGTCCGATGCAAGTGCCTCAGATCTATCAAGGACTGCCGGCTCCGAGGCGAGCGCATCGCTCTGAGGCGATCGCGAACAATGATCTTTCAGACCTTGGCACAAGAAGATATGCTGCAGAGGCGGCACACCGCCGCGTGATTCGGTTCTGAGCAGCCGGCTCGGGCTGGAGCTTGGGCTTGGGGGCTCTTCCTCCAAAGCGAACAGACACTTCGAACCTGAAAAGATAGAATTTTGAGCCGAGCAGCGCTTCTTGAAATAGCTGAAAGGCTTCCACCAAACCATCGGCGCCAAAGTGCCGAGCAAACCCGTCCTCGCAGTGCACAGAGTCGCAGCAAGGCTTCAGTACTGAAGATGCTACACTGGATCGTGCGGCCGGTTGCAGAAAATCTGCCTTCATCAACAAAAAGGGGATACGAAAGGTCTCATGCTGTCACGGCACGAGTTATCGAGAACTGGGGCTAAGCCCCAGGTCCCATGGCCAGGCACGCTTCATCATTGAGAGCTGCTATGGCCCTGAATTCTGCTGGCCCTGTAGGGCACTACGTACAGATTAGGAATCCGAAGGCCGCGCTTTGGCTGGAATGTTCTATCTTCATCGGCCTGGTCACACGCCTTGATGAGGCCATGGAGTTATTATACGGCTGGTTGCAATATGAACAGTGGGGGAACGTGTTCGCACTTGCTGTGCTGACTCTTCTGCGTTCTCGAGTCGAGCCTCCTGTCATCTCGGACGAGGGCGCGCGACACATGCTACCAAGGTGCCACGAGCGGCGGCTTCAAGAGCATCGGAAGCTGTGAGGCCATGCCCGATGTCCGAAAAGCAGCCAATTGCAAGGTGTTTGGGGGTTTGCCAGGTCGTGCATTAACGCGTGCAAAGCGCTCTGAGGCGAAACGGGATATGGACTTGTGCCAAGACCCGGGACGAAGCGTGCACACCGTAATCTACAGTTTCTCGCTTCAGTGTTGGACGAGCATCATGTCGCCTGAGCGCTCAGCAGTATCATGTAGACTCACAAAGCTTGAGAAGTCTCCGCCAGCAAGGAGCCATCTGAGGTCGTGGAGCTCGCATGCAGGCTCCCGGTCCCGCGCCGGTACTGGCCTGAGTGTCCAAGCACTTTGACACGTCTCCAGACCCGTGACCCGCCCCCGGTCCAGGCTGTGCCTTGGTGGATGCTTTCATCAACCGGTCAGCCGACTGCTGCAATGGTCGAGAACGCTTCGGGATGGGCAAGAACCTCAGGTGCAAAACGACCGGCAGAAATCAACTCGCATGACGGGAGAGGCAGGGACGGTGTCGGCTTCCCCTGCCGCCCGTCCTCACCTGCAGGTGCCGGGAGAGCCATTAGACAAAAAGAGAAGCCTCTCGAAGAACCTGTGCAGTGAATAGGCGCAACGCACTTTGGAACCGACTTCTCCTGCAGGGCACATTCCGCTAAATGAGAAGCCAGTACAGGTTCGGGCTGGCCCCGTGCCTTCGAGTCTTCAGGCTCCGGCGCATTGGAAGCTTCTTCCCCCACATCGCTCCTGGACTCTTCTGATTAACAACGAGGGGACTTTCGTGCCCTGACTCTGCTACTGTCCAGTGTGGTTTCCCGTGACTAGCTAGCTGCACGCGGATGAGGACGGGATGCTGTGATGATGGCTTTCGCGATGAGCAATGGCGACAATGCTGATGGTGGGAGCGACAATCTAATAAATGATGAAGTCGCGGTGATGATTTGTGAAGCAGCAATGCTGCAATGCTTTTCTTGTCGCGTAGTCGCACGAGGCGAGGGATGGAACCGATGGCTGACGAGTTCGATACCACCCATGCATGGGGAATGATTCGGGGTCGATCAACGAAGCTTCACGAACGGAGCTGTGAAATTACCAGAGCCTGTTTCGCGGTGTCTACTACTACAAGCCTCAAGACCATCTCCAGTCTCCTGGAATCTGAATGCTTCCCTTGCCTGGCCTTGCAAGCAATGATGGATACGGGTAGCTTTTGTCCGCCTGAGGTGGTCGCCAGGCCCATCAAGAGAATTGCAAGAGGCTGTCTTCAATCTCTATAGTGTATAGTATAGCGGTACTCGACGAGCAGCTTTCTGCACCTTGATGTTCTCAACTGTCTGATCTGCACGATTTCTTCGAACGTCCTCCTGTGAAGTGCAGCATGCCCCTAGCCCCCCCCCCCCCCCTGACTCCAAGCTCCAGAGAGTCCTCAACCAGGTGGGCCGGGGCCGCATAATCGAAAGCCTTCGAGGGTGGGTCGGTGGGAAACTGGGCACGATGAACATCTGGAAGTCACAGTTCAGGCCCAAGCGGAATATTGGCATGCCCCCATGACCGATGTGACTCAGGACTTCGAAGGCAGCTCTCCTCTCTCTGTTGCGAGCATTCAGTACTCTTCGCAGCATGGCGTCTATAGTCCATCCATCCGTGTGTACAATGTGTTTGTGGGAATGGCCATGTTGACATAGGAGGCCTAAAGCCGAAAGGCAACAGTGAGCGGCGAAGCTTCAAGTGCATCTGCAGACAGGCAAGCCGCATGCCCCATGCCACAAGAACTGGAGTCACTGAAGCAAAGGCTTCTTGCTCTCATGTCAACGCGGGTCTACTCTGGTCTGCATGAGCCCTAATCGGCTTTCCGCTTTTCAGGCTTAAACAATTCGCGGATGCGGCCGGTCTCCTTGATGCCATTGGCATAGTCCTCAGCAAGAAATCACACGGAAGCCGTTTTGCCTGAACCCGAGCCCCGAGTGTATTCAAAGGTAAGGCCAAAAAGCCGTCTCGTTGGTCAAAGCGATTTGCGAGCCTTGGAGGGCCACTCTGCGACACTGACCACACTTTTTCTCTTTCTCCCAGAGGCCCAGGCCCAGCCACTGGTCGAGCTGCTCCGTCTTGGCATTGTCAGCACGATTATTGTCGAACTTCTTCTTGCGAGACCTCCCGCGCTCGAGACTCTCGGGACTCCAAATGCCGAGACAAACTTGTTGCCAAGGGCCAAGAAGAACCCGAGGCATCAGAAACATGGCAGTCGCGCTTTTCCAAGATCTTGTCGACGATGCTGCCTTTCTTCACTTGCGAATTGAGGTCCTGTCATTGCATGAGCATAGTGCCACGTGCCGGGCCGAAGGAACTACGCTGAGCGTACTACGGTGGTGGCTCAGGCTCCTTCTCCTCCTTTGACTGCTCGCAGTAGTTGACGCATAACTCGGCAGCTTGTGTCCCAAGCATGGTCAGAAGCTTCTTGGCACTGAACCGCAGCCTTCTGGCAGTATTCCTCGTTGCCAGGTGCTCTCTCGTTACAGATTGCAAGGCCTGAGTGAATACGTTCACAAAACGCCGGCTGCATCCCAGATGTGTTTGAGACAGAATCAACACATGCCTGCATCCTCCCTAAATCCACATTGGAGCTCGATTGTATCAGGAGAACCTCTTCAGCTGCCTGGGAGCCGCCCATCCGGCACGAGAGAGGTGGAAAGCACCCAGCACCCTCACACGACCCCCAACCCCCCCCTCCCCTGCAAGGTGATGCGCTCACAACCCGACAGGCCATGCTGAAGCGACGCGAAGACTTGAGAGGACCATCGGCCGCGGCCACGGGCTGCTTGCCGGCAAAAGGAGAGCGAATTCCACTCGCAACGTGTCACTACCAGGTCTTGGGATGCAGGCATTTGTAGCTGCAGATGGAGTCGAATCTGGCCTGAGCCCGCCGAATGCTTCTGGACATGTCGCCCGGGCAAAGGCCCAGTGACCAGTGCTGTCTGAGCCCATGTCATCCCGCAAAGCCAAGGCCTCATCTGCCTGCAGTTCTCAATTCTCTACGTCGGCCGTGTGCCGTCTGCTCCACATTTCCCTGCCCTTGGTCCTGCCAGGCCGTGGCCACCCCCAGCGCTGCCAGCATGTCCTGAGAGACCAGGCGAGCAAAACCAGGATGGAATTCTGATGATTCTCTCATCCAGGGAACTCTGCGATGCACCGCGCCCTGTGTGCCATCCGGTTTGGAGCTCGCCTAGGCGGAGCAGGTTGAGGATACGTGTGTGCGTGTGTGCGTATTGATGTGCACGAACATATGAATCTTCTGAATATGTACCTGCACATTTATGTGCATGCACATGTCCATCTACATGACATGTGTAAGCATACAAGATGTATGCGTAACGACGTGTAGAGGTATGTGTGATACGTGGAATATAAATCCATGATATGTATTTGTACCTGTAGCTGCACGTATACACAATACGATGCAATCCAATCCAATCCGATACCCTACATGTGGATATCTATATATATATATATATATATATTAACATATAAACATAGTTTAACATAATAAAACAAATCTCCTACTCAAAATCGAAAATGTAATAGAATATATAGTAACTATATCAAATTTTCAATACACTATCATATACTGTACCATAATGCAAGGCCGTATCACATACGTTTAGTTGTCGTTTAAATTTTAAATGTGTCTATGTGTCTATATAATATATAGATATAATATATATACACATAATTACACACATAGTCTCAGACCATTTCCCTTCAACTGTGTGGGCTCCGGCAGCTCCCTTGCTGCTGTCCAGATGGCCAACTTGGCAACGGATGGCCCCGTCACGTCGGAGCCGGGATGCCAAGAATCCGCGTGGGAACCGCTGTCTCGTACAGTATATAGATCTGCCGACCGGTCAGTCTGTCGTCCCTTCGCCATTCTCTTGCACAGGTTGCAGCTGCACGGCTCTGTTTGCACAATGCTTTAGCTGCTGCTTTTCTGCTTGGCTTTGCTGCGCTCGAGTTCGGGCCTGGTCATCGGAGATTTTTTCTGACTTCTGCTGTCTTGGGAAAGACTCCGCTGCATTCGCATGCCCTTGGAACCCGGAGCGACGTCGGGGCACCGGCTGCAGCAGCTTTCCGAAGGTGGCACCGTAGCTTCGAGGTCTCTAAAACCCTAATACTAAGTAGCCCGCAGGTGCAAGGAAGGCATTGGTGCTCCTGGACCGTGCAAGCCACAAATGCTTGAAGGACTGGTGCAAAAGCACAGGGATCCTCAGCAAAGCCACTAGCAAAGCTCCAGCGGCAGCGATCAGCACACCCGGCCGCCGCCGCTCCATGGCTGCTTGGATGCTGTGGCTTGCAAGTTTAGCGGCTTCGCGGCTGCCTGGGAAGTCCCAGATGAGCTGGTCAAGCGGTTTCGCAGCTGGATCGCTGTCCTCAGCGTGTGAAGCCTTCGAAGCACTGCGACACGCATTGCTTTCATGTCTTCTTGGACCTCACGAAGCGGATGCTACGCGCATCACGGCCGCTATTTCGCCCAGGACTCCAAACTGTGAGCAGTCAACCCACGGGCTCTTTGACTTCGCAACTTGCGGGCTCAGGCTCAGGAGGTCCGGCCTTCGGAAAACCTTCTGCCGCAAAGGTCAGCTCTCTCATTCTCGTTGAGGGCGTCGCCCAGAAATTCGGCAATCTCCTGGCGAATGGAAGATCCACGGAAAAGCTTGACCTTTGTGATTCCAGATGCCTCCGTGTTCTCGATTAGATCGATGATGTCTTCCTGAAGTCTTAGAAGCGAAAACCCAATCTGATCCGCAAAAACCCTCTGCACAGACTGCAGCTGAATGGCCGCACCCATCTCTTTGCACCACTGGTTCACCTGCGACTTCGAAATTCCCGAGAACAGCCTCTTGACTCTTGAGTCTTTCTGCCAGAGCACAGCTGGAAAGTGGCGTCGCAGGCCGCGGGCATCCAACCAGTCACGGACACCACGGAATGCCTTAGTCCACTTATCCACTTCCCGTCCGTTAGGCTCGAAGTTACACCCAGCTCTGTGCAAGCTCGCCTCGTCTGAAGGGTAGAAAGCCGCCTGGGCAGCTCCAACGTTTTCTGAAAAGCTGTCACGTGTCTCCACAGGCTCGGAGCCATTTTGGAGGCTGCAGTCTCGGAGTCGCCCAGCTTCCGTAACCCGTTCTTGCGCGCAAAGTCATCTGCGGCCTTAATGGGCTCAAGCTCTCCACCTCCGTATCAAAGCGAATTCCCTGCCACTCTGCCTTGAACATCATCGTCCACTCCACACCACTGGTCTTCATCAGTTCCTCGTGATCAGCGCAGAACAGGAGAGCTCGGGGTTGGGACCATGCCAGAGGACGCGGCGTACGATCCTCCAGCGAGTTCCCCGTCAGATGACGGACCTTGCCGCCGCAGGAGGGAGGGGAGCACCAAAGAAGCCTGCATCCTAAAGAGCCATGCCTGCCGCGATCTTTCTGGAGGCTCTCCTGGAATCCGTACATTGCTTCATCGCACTGAGACTGGCTTTTATGTCTGTCCTGCTCAGCCGCTGTGGCTTGGCCAAAGAGCAGAAGAGACCTGTCTCTCCAAGCAAACATTCTCAGCAGCAAGGGTGTGAAATGCGACGCCTGCGGTCGATGCGAGGACCGGAGTCAGAAGGGACTCCGAATGCGGCTGGCGCGGGTTTCGGCGTGCGAGCCGTGCGAGCTGCAGCACCGGGTACGGCTGGCACTGGCACGGCACCCGCAAACTCCCGGAAGCGGGAGACGCCATCCCGAAGAAGGGCGAAGATGCACAGACTTTCAGCCGTCTTCTGAAATACAGATTGTAGACTCGTAGACCTCTACAACGTCAGATATTGTAACCCTTCTACAAGCGCGACAGATGTAGCTTGGACCACATTTGGCTGACGATCTTCATGCAATCGTTCTCAAGTTGCAGCCCCTGAATTGGGCTTTTTGGCCTTTTCCACCCCCCCCCCTCCAATTTGGGGCTTTTTGGCCTTGTCCACACCCCCCGTGCAGATATGTCGACATGTCTGACATGTCTGCACCGTTGCCCAAATTCAAATTTGATGCTGCTTTGAGCACACGCATGCATGTGCCCAGCATATGCATGAATCTATGCAATGTATCTACGTCGGTATGTAGGTCATGTATAGGTATGATGTATACTTATGTGAGTATTACGTGTGTAGGTATGTAGGTGCGCTGCAAGTGTAACTTAACATGACTGAAGTTTTGGAAATCCCCTCTTCCCCGGCACGGTCCAAGGCAATTGAGCCGGAGTCCTTCGATCGCTTTTCACAGCGGCTGGGCTGCGCAGGATACGCCTTGTGAAACTTCGAAGCTCGAAGGCTTCATTACCAGACGCACACCTGACCACCAAGGCCCTCCCCCCCATTAAGACCATATCCATCACATCCTTAGCGCAAACGGTGCCCACTAAGCCTACCCAACAAGACCTGACAAAGATCCGAGGTGCGGTCATTTCCCGATCCCCAGAAGACACCGCGATGGGTCGATGCACGGGCTCTGCAGTAGACGGAGTGGGCTCTTTGAAAGAGTCTGTGCGTCGACACTCCTATTGTAGCTGCCGACCCTCGACAGCTTTCGTCACACGCGGATATCCTGTTTCGGATCTCGGAAAGCGTCAAGGATCGGCTTGCAACGGGCTTCACTCGCTTCAGCAAGCCTTCCAACAGTGTTAAAGCAAAGACTGTCGAAGACTCTGGTTGCGAGGTCCGAAAGGCGATGCCTGATTTCCACAGGGGTTCTCCTCCTGAACCGGGATTGTGCCGCCCGGCCTGTCGCAGACAATCACTGACAAGTGACTGCACAGCCACTAACCGCCCATATCCACCCACATGTGCCTAAATGCTACCGCACTTCTTCCTGGGCCCCGGCTGGATCTGGATGCCGCCTGGCTCCCGGCGTCTTTCTTTGGCGTTCTTTGACGCCTGCCGCGGCAAGTCCATGCAGCTACATGTACGAAGCACAACTGGGAAAGCGACCTGGTTATACACCTCTTGAAGGAGCTGCTCGAAAACATGTTTCACGTTGTAAGTCCTGACAAGATCGTACGGGCCGACATGCCCATGCTCTTCACTTGGAGTCACTCTTGGACTGGGCTTGCCACGTGACGGCACTTGCCTCTTTGAAGAGGAGCCTGGAACTTGTCAGGACCCACGGGTCACAGGCTCGAACTACTGGTTCCACAGAATTGTGAAATCGTGAGCAAACACGACAGCTCGGCTTGTGCGCCCGAGCGAACTCCAGCGCAGCATCATAGTGCACCTGTAACGAGCTGCATGGACATGCTTTCTCGCCTTGGGGTTTATATAGAGGCTAGAGGCAGGGCTTCTCACGTATGGAGGAAGCGCTTGCCCTTGCTTTCGCAAGGGTTGGGGACGGAGGAGCAACCCTCGGCCCCGAGCCGAGTGCGCCCTCCATCTGTTGTGGTGAAACTATAGACTACTTGTACGGCAATGGATTCACTACGCGGCAAACGTGGCACGCCTGCTCCACAAGTTCGCCAGCTTAATTACTCTTCTTTCTGCCGGACATAGGGGTCGGCCAGTCCGCCCTTTCCCTCACTCCGTACTAGTGTTATTAGCGCTTACTCTATCTTTCTCGCAATCTCTCTGCTATTGTGTTTGTGTGTGCGTGCATCTGTGTGGACAGGTCGATGGTTGGACGTGTGCGCGGTTGCACGGCGGTCTCCATCTTGCTTCCTTGCTTGCCGAATAGCTGCTGGTTTGCGGCACGGGCCCTTTTTCCCTGTGCAATTCCCACCCTGACACACCTGTTTGGTATACACGCACGAAAACTCCTTATGTACACTCATGTAATTCTATACATCCAGTTGTGACTTTGTTCTATGTTTGCCTGTTTCCCTGGACACACATATTAAACTTATACAGTAGAGTAGAGGGGTCTCCATATCATATGCAGACACGTGCAGATTTATCGACCGGTGACCGGAGGCCTCATGCAATGAAGCTGCTAACTGCCATGCTCCCGCCTGCTGCGTGAACGGTTCCGCATGCGAAAGCAGATTGCTGCATTACAACGTTGAGGAAAACTGGAAGCTGCTCTTAAGTCTTACGAGAAGGCTCCGACTTTCTTGGTGGATTGGGCAACACGTACGGATCCCTGCGTCGAACCCAATCCATCAATCCGTTCCGCTAGCTTCGTTGGCTGACATGACGAAACAAGCTGCCAGCCTCCGGCAGCTACGAAACGACTTGGGCATGCCATGACGACATGTGATTGTTGGGAGTGACCCCTTTGTCCACGGACGAGGACAGTACGTACGCACACCGACACCGACACCGTCACACATGTTTTCGTAATATGCAAAGAAACATAGAATCTGCTTGACATACATGGAAGCTGCGTCTACGTCTCCTGGCGCGTGCCTGTCGCGCCGTGGGATCCTTCTCAACCAAGTCGAGCTTGTTCCCAACCTGACGAAATCATTCTCGGGAGAAGCTGAGCTGCCGACCACTGAGGTACTAAGGCTCATTAAGGCCTCCACTAACATGATGATGATATTGTCCTCTGCATTTTGTCGCAGCTCTTCCAGCCATTTAAGACCTGAGTGCTTCGTTGGAGTCAGGCGTGCAAGCCGGTATGTGGGCTTAGGGTGCAGACAGTTCTGGAAGGTCGCATTCCTGGTCACATCCTTGGCAGTTGTGGCGAAGCGAGATTGCTGACAGGGGGCCCGGCCTGTGCTAAAGTTTCGTGCGTGAGCTCTGCTTTCATGCAAGGTGCATAGACTAAGAGTGCTCCCACAGCACGACGGTAGTGTGAGCCTCAAGTGCAGTGTCAAGCTGAAGTTCTTCGCAGCCTCTGAGACCCAGTGTGTCGGTTGGGCTCTAGGCTGGTGATGGCTCGGTATCTCTCTTGCCCGGCGGTGTCCCAAATCTGCGCCTGCAAACAGGTCCAAATCCGGTCTACAAGGTCTTGCGCTGCAAAGCCTTCACGGTTCCACCCACGGCCAGTGGAATGGTGCCTCATGCGTGGAACAAAGCCTACTAGACTGTAAGGATACAGCTCTCTCTCTCTCTGCACTCAAGGAGCGTGTGGCAAACTCGACACCAATCGTGGCCGTCGGAGCCTTCGGCAGCGTACCTGAGCAAAACGGTACAGCAGAGATTCAAAAGGTGGCCGGGATGGCGGGGGTCGGGCCTTTCACGTACCGCGAAAGCAAATGAGTCTTGCCTACAGTGGCGTCTCCCACAAGGACGACCTGCAGTCACAAGTAGACTTCACGTAGACTCAGTAGGCCTTCGTCAACAACACCCAGGACTTGCCGAATCTGCCTTGTAGAGGTGGTCACAGCCTCAAGCGAAAGGGAAGTGACGCGACACGAGGAGAAGCTCGAACATGCTTCGAACTGACTCTTCATTTTTGGGTGATTTAATTTGAATCTTCGATTTTTTGCAGTCTCTGAGCCGAGGACCATCCTCTTCCTCGGCCATGACAGCCGCGAGCTCTGCCCAAATCCGGTCGATTGAGCCTCCCCCGCAGACAGCAGACTGCCGCGTACTACCGCCGCAAGAAGCTGTCTCTTCTGTGCCCCCTGCTGTGCCAGCCACAAGTCCAAGCGGAGCCCAACACCGAGAGCCGAAACAGCAAAGATGCAAAAACCCCTACAAGGAGAAGTCCGGTTGCTGAAGCTCCTATAAGTGCAAGCCCATTCCGCGGCCATACCTGTCTTTCGAGCAGAGCGTGCAAGGCAGTGCTATCCCGGCAAGCTCAGGTGAACCTTCAAGTTACGGATGTCCAACCTTGGCATCCAGTGAGCAGCAAAGAACCTCCGACCAGGTCTCATGCCCACCTTGGGCTGGAGGTGAGAGGCCAGGAGAGCATTGCCTTTCGTCTTTCCGCATCTAGCTAGGCTGAAACTCAGTGCAAGATGGACTCGTGCCCATCCGTGAAACCTGGAAGTGAAGGTTGATGGGCTCGGCAAATCCAGCAAGACGAGGGTCCATTCCCCTGACATCTGATGTCCGAAAGCGTTGCTTTTTTCAAGCTGTTCAGCCTTGCCCTGTGAAAGGCCTGAAATCGACGTCCCGGATCTCTGTTTGCAGTACGTCCAGAACCTGCAATGGCAGCTAACAAAACTGGCGCCTCACTGCACGTGTTCACGGTTCACGATGGACAGAACTCCTCTTTCTCGCTGAGCGAAATGAGCAGGCGGGCAATCGTGTGGCCAAGATGCTACCAGCATATAACTATATAACTCATATCAATCAAACCTCGAGCGATCTCGAGCGTTCAACTGCTCAACGCCCAGAACTGAACTACCTCAGGAATCGCTCGGTGCTGGTCCGGGGCTTCGGGAACCCAGCGCGCAAGACCACGGCTTGGCCGGCGGCCGGCTGGCAAAAGTCCACGTGCGGAACTCCACTTCGGGAAGTCTCGACTCTTTGCGTGGCTCATGCAGCTATTGAGCTATTGCGTGGCGGGCAGCTGCAGGATGAAAGGAAGCAGGAAGCCCACGGACACGGACGAGGCCAGATCGGAAGCACCGTCCTCGGACTGAAGCGGAGCCGCAACCGCCAATCATGGAAAGAAGGGCAGAACGCAGCTGAGCTGCGATGGTTCCGGTTCGCTCCGTGGTGGAGGCGCCTCCCTCCCCTTCTCCGTCTCCAGCTCCGCTCGTGCCAGTGGTTGTGGTGATGGTAGCAGCGTCGGTCCTCACCTGACATGGCAAGACGACGCGAATGGAGCGTCTGAAGGTATTCAAACCTTCCTCTGCACGTCCCTGCCTGCAAGAGCATGGGGCAGGCGCCGCGCGCATCCTACCGACTGCGCCCGTACACTGACGGACTTCGATAGACTTCGCAAGCAACTGATACGCAGATCACATCGGACCAGGAGTCGCAGCCACCGTTTACTGCAGATCCCTGGCTCTGAGTCCTTGGAGGCTCCATTCGCGCAGTTGGTGCAGTCCAGGTTGGTGGGGCCGTTGCATTCATCACAGGCAGAGGAGCAAAGAAGGCATCGACGAACGGAGGCCTGGCCGGAGTCAAATCCCGAACGTTTCCACGTTTCTGCTCTCAGGCCCGGCTTCGTAGTAGGCCAGGCTGCCTCAGCCAAGGCAAGGTCGCCCAAAAGGTCGCAAGCTCAGAAGCGACTCCTTGGGTTCCAGCTGCAGGACGCGGCAAGCAAGGGCGTCGTCGACTCGGCGCCGATGCAAAGCGAGCCGTTTAAATACGTGCCGTCCACAGCCGCACCCAGGAAGATGCTCTTGCCTTGGCTTTGGCCCTCTCGGCCTCAAGGCTTCGTGCGGCGTAGCAGCTTGCGTGGAAGATGCTAACTCCGTTGACGGTGAAGGTCGACCGGGCGGTGCTCCTCACGCAGCCGCCTCGGAGCAATGTCGCAGCGTGGGATTTAGGATCTTCAGTTCATCGGTGGGATCCTGCTTTCACGCTGGGCAGCTGCAGAGCCATGGATCTGCCACCAGCTCGCCGTTGATGTTCCAATTGCCGTCTTCTTGACTGCAAGAAGCGCAACACATCAAGGCCTCATGTCCAAAGTTGGATCATATACCGAGAGCAACCAGAACTCCAAACCTAGAGGCTGCCGGTGTTTTCTGTCAGCCGAGAAGCTGTGCAAAGGTGTCCGGAGGCATCTGCGCGAGAGCCCGTCGACAGATGCCTCCGGAACACTGACAGAAACACTGAGCAACGACGAGACAGGGAGCCAGGGAAAAGCCCCACCTTTCGGCAACAGCCAACTGACCTCCAGTCTTCTCACTGCACTGCTCGTCGAGGCTCGGAAGACACACGTTCGCATAGCAGCTGGAAGGCCTAAGCTAGTGAGCTAGCCGCTAGCGCGTGTGCTTGGAAGACCCTTGCAAGAAGGATCCGCAAGTGTCTGCGTCTTGTGTAAGGCGGCGGCACCCCGTTGCTTGTGCAGTTGGAACCCGCCGGCTTCCCGAGGTCGGGAGGGCAACGCGCGGAAGATCCCGAGCAAACCTGTGAGGCAGAGCCGCATCGCATTGTCGCACGGAGGTTTCAGAAGGCCCTGGCGACCCGGCCGGGCCTCGGCGAGATCGCACTCGTCCAGGGCCGTGCGGCATTCCGTGCCGGCGGGGCGCAAAGCGCACGTAGCAGCATCGCAGCACCTCTTGAACGACACAAGTGTCAGCTGAGACAGCATCATCATTACCACCACTGCAGCATAGTATCCAATAGATCTGCAGGGCAAGGGATTGTTTGTTGATCCTTCTATCTTTGCCTGGAGCTCGCTTGACAACCGGCTGTCCGATTTGTTTCCCCTCGCATGCTTAGCAAAATCAACGCAACTCAAGTTGTGCGGAGCATCAGAGTTAGGTCGGCATTTTCAAAAGCTCAACTTGTTGCGGGAGACTTCGACAAAGTGGAAGCCGGCAACAGTGTCTCTGCTGCACTAGAAGCCCAATGTGTAGCGACTATATCTCATATATATATATATATATATACCTGCAGGGTGTGAGATCTTCATTCGGCAAGGAGCGGGTCGGTCCCAGCGCAAGCGCTTCCAGTTTTCAGCTGGCAGGTGGCGCAGTCGCAGCACGCATCGCCGGTTGTGCCGCAGTCACACTCCTCGCCGTAGTCGATACCGCCTGCATGCACTTTCCAGACTAAGCCGCAGGGACATGTTTACCTGGAAAATTACGTCCCAGCAGCCGTTGCCACAAAGAGGTATCACTGCCAAGCTCTCCGATCGTGAGCAGCGGCCCTGAAAGCACATGCCGCCGCGGGTGCCCTTAGGCTCGCTGGGATGCCAACCTCAACTTCTGGTTGTGCAGGCGGTTTCTCGCACTGAAAGCGGGTATGAGCAACAGTGCAGTCTTGCAACATGGCGTTCCGTCAGGGACAGCCATCTGGGAACCATGAACACCTCAGCAACTCAAGTCTTGCAAACCCTTTGTCTGGAATGCCAAAAAGGGCTTCGGTCGGTGCATGTGTGTTTGTGTACGAAGGGCAAGGATGTTTGTCTTGCACCCCGCCTCGTGCGAGATTCCCTCGTATCTCAAGGCACCTTCGAAAACAAACCTTTATAGAAATGCATCTTGCCCAGGCCCTGGAATGCTTTAGACAAGTCTTGGCCATCTGGGGTTCAGATCTAGAGGCTTTCGGGGATGGGGACTTTTTGGTGGTCGCAGGCACGCAAAAGCCGCGCGCGAGATGTTTTTCGCTCGGGTTTTGGGCACTTTGTGTACGGAACTCGTTGGCAAAGCTGACAACCAGAGAATTACAAAAGCATAGTGGTGTCCAAACATCCGCCAAAACCGTTCTTTTGTGCACCTACGATGATATTTCGCCTAAAACTCCGGAAATCAGAACAGCAGGACGAATCATGAAACGTCAGCCATAGGCCATAGCCCGGATGAAATCTTGCGTACGCGGCAGTTGGTACCTCCACACAAACTCAGAGAGGTATCCACCGAGATCTGGATTTGCCTCGCATGGGAAGACGAGGGAAGTGGGACGTCTGCCGCCATCATTTTATGCTCTGAGTCCCAGCCATACGATGCAATATGTGCCGTTGGCTTGTTTGAGCGCAAGAGGTCTGGGGCGACGATATCACAGTTGGTGAATGGATGCCCTGAGGAAAGGACGAGGTCTGCGTGGACGTTCTCATAGTTGGCCCATGGATGCTCACGGTCGATACAGATGCGACGAGGAATGCATTATGGATTGGGGAACGGTGAGGTCTGGATGGACGTTATTTGGGTTTTTGGTCCATGGATGGACGCTGTGGAGAACGGATGAGGCCTGGACCCTGGTGGGATAACGTGACGGTTGTCATGGATGCTCTGGGGAAAGGATGAGGCCTGGGTGGGATAACGTCACGGTTTACCCATGGATGATCTGGGGAAGAAAGGATGAGGTCTAGGTGGAGGTTATCATGGTTGACCCATGGATGCTCTGGCGGACGGATGATGTCTGGGTGGACGTTATCATGGTTTTGGCCCATGGATGCTGGGGAACGGATGAGGTCTGGATGGACATTATCACGGTTTTGGTCCATGGGTGCTCTGATAACGGATGAGGTCTGGGTACACGTTACCATGGCTTTGGCTCATGGATGCTCTGTGGAACGGATGAGGTATGGGTAGAGTTATAAGTTATATGGTTTTCCCATAGATGAGATGCTCCTGGGCAAGCAGAAACTACCAGGTTTTTTACGTGCCTGCTTCCTTTGTGGTGCCAGAGGCGGGGCTTGATCAGGGTTGTTGCCTCAGCCCACACCACGTCGCAAACCCTGATGAGACAACCCCATCACTGCGTCCTGCCAACCCCGGCTCGTTTGGGCTTTGTCCTCCATTTATCAAGTCTGGCACCTGTTTTTTCAAACCCCTCTGGGCCATCTCCCTGGCCAAATGTCTGGGCCTGCAAGCAGATCTCCCCACATCCCGTCTGCCTGAACTCCCACCATGTCCGCTGCAGCCGGGGTGCTGAAGCGCTGCCCACACGCAGCCGCAGAACTGTCAGATGCGTCATGGCACCTGTGCTAGGGAGCAAGGGTGCCAATATCCTCAACGCCTCAAGGACGCTAAGCTTCAGACACCACGGTGCTGCAATCATCGTTGAAGGCCGCGCAAGGCTCGGAAAGGTCCCAGCTTCCCTCGAAGTCGCGGGTCACGTCCACTTCGCAAGTGTGGCGCATGCTTTTGCAGCTTCCCAGCGCACATAAGCCAGGATAGGTAGCCCCATTCGAGGAAAGAGTGCAGCTAGCTCCCGGATAGGTGTACTCATCCTCGTCGGCAGGAGCTCAGCATGGATGCGGCATGTCCGAATGACGTGCCAGCGCGAGTCCTTCGGACAGCTGGAGGTACCGCCGGGACAAACTTCCGGGAGATCGCACGTGTTTCGGGCAGGCCTGGAAAGCAAAAACAGGCGGGAGTAGATCCAAAGATCCGCCCTGAGACACATGTGCCAGCCGCGCGCCTGCCTGCACACCTTCTGGGCTGCTGCCGTCACGTTCAAGCAGTTCCTCGGCTGGAAGTGGTAGTGCGGTATGGTGCGAAGTGGGGCAGGGTAGCTGGGATGGGACGTGGCGGCAACTGCAGGAAAGGGACTCGCAACAAGCAGCCACGGCATCGCTGCACTCGTAGCTGGGGTCTGCAAACTTGCAGGTCGTGCCATCGCAACACCTCGGTGAGCCGTGCGACCATGTGCGGAGCTCTGCAGACAAAAGTCGAAGTTTGCCGAGCGCAGCACGGGTCGTTGCAAGGCGATCCACAGTCGCAGTCCTCTCCCTCCTCCCTGAAGCCGTTGCCACACACCTCCACTGCGCACAGGGCAGCTATAGAGACGGTCCTGACGCCTTCCCTGCCCCATGGGAGTCGCACGGGGTCTCCAAAGACCTTCAATGGCTGGTTCTCCAAGCACTCCGAGTTCCTGCTATAGACCTGGGCTCGACCCGCTCAATGCGATACAGGTATCTCGCACGATGCACCGATGTGAGTGCGCTGCCTGAGAGAAGAAAGTTGTGATGTCCGACACGCTGCACTCCGTGAACTGCGTCGCCGCAACACTGTCGCCTCTCCACAGCAGGGAAGGCTTTCTGACCGAAAAACAACGTACTTGCACCGGGCCTACAGCTTCCATGATGTAGCCGGAGTCTGGACAAGCGGTCGTTCCCGCATCGTGGGACATGCCGAAGTTGTGGCCCATCTCCTCAAGCGGTTCCACTTATGCAGTGAAACCAATTTCCACAACTTGGAGCACAGGGACATGAGCGACCACCGCTGCACAGCCGGGCAAATCTGCATCGGTCGTCCCGCACATGTTGATGGATCCTGACCTGGGCATTGCGTGTGAGCCAGTGAATCGCGGCATGGTCCATGCCCCACCTCGCCACATCACACATCGAAGACACCGGTGCCTCGTGCAAAGTCTTCACGCATGCAGCTGTCGCAGGTAGCTTCGAGCAGTGCCATGCAAACTAAGAGGCAAGCATAACCTGGGTGCAAAGGGCAGGCGGTCACATGGTCACGAGCATGGTGCATTCTGGAGTCCTACAGTGCGGCCAGAACGCCAACAGTGCTGCCCAAAAGATCTCGCGCAGTCAACAGCACCTCGCAGGCGCAGGAGAGCGAGCACTGCGAGCACTGCGAACACTCGATGCTCCTCTGAGGCCTGCACCCGGTTGTCGTTCTCGGGCAAGGAGCCTTTGCGGGAACAGAAATCCTGCTAGCTCTGAGCTCCGGTCGCACCGTGAAAGTCAGCCTGCAGCCATCTGCAAAGAGCCCCAGGTCAGAAACTCCTCCAGCAGCAAAGCCTCGGACACGGCGGCTTTTCGGATCTCCGACAATTTCTGACAGCTCAGAGTCAAAGTGCTGGCGAGCATCTTGGTCAGCCTGGTGAAACAGAATCCATGGAGCACACAATGTTGGGCTTCAGCGACGGAGCCTCCGCGTTGTCCTGGAACTTCGACTGCCTGGGACTGGGAATCAGCAGATCTCGCCTCGGGCCTGGGCCCTCCCTACAGGGCCCAGGCCAGGGGTCTTCCTCCAGGAAAGTGTGTTGGCCAACCAGGACCACCTGCACCGCGAGGCCCACTGTGAAAGCTCCGGACAGAGACCTGGGATCTCTGACTCCGGGCATCTCGCCTGCACCGGGTAAGGGAAGGATCCAGCCGTGGGTGCTGCACCTCAGCTCGCAGTCATTCCAAAGGCATGGTTTCCGTGCTGAACTAAATAACCAAAACGAAGCCGCACCTAGAGGAAAGCTTCAAGCCATAAGGAAGTGGCCGGGGCACGGTATATTGTGGTGACCGCGTTGAGCATTGCTACAGTGTGGGTCGCAAGGGCTTGCAGCCCCGATTGCCCTCCAAAGGAACTGAACCGCGAAAAGTCGTTGACAGCCAGGACCTGGGCCACCGCAGATAATTCTTCCGCTCAGTTGCATGGGTTGGTCTTCTTGTCAGCTTCAGCTGCCATGTGCATAGCATCGTGTGCTTGCGGGCGTGGGCAGTGCCGCAGTAGCAGCAGTAGCTGTACAGCCGAGTCTGGTCATGTAGTACAGCAACAGTGTACAGTACTACTAGTAGCTGTACGTGAAGCAGTATGCTCATCCCCAGCTTGGCTTGGGAGTGACATGGCCAGCATGCGTCACCAATGCAGCAGCGTCCTGTGCGCCTCCTTCTATATAGATGCGAGGGAATCAGGACTTGTACTTCCCCCTAAGTAACTACTTACCCATGCATCGAAGGCAATACATACTCCTTGCAGCTAGCAGCTCTGACTTAAACCCACAATCAGCCTGGGCCGTTCACGTGCATGCTGCTGCTGCTCCTCTTTCGTGACCATGATTAATCCGTACGACTTAGCTAGGACGCTAGGAGTAGACTGCCTGAATGCTCAGTACCAGGCCTCCACATACTTGGTCAAGCTGCTAAGCCTGCATTGCAGCAGCTTCGCCCATATCTTTCTTAAGCCTCTTGCCACTGCCCTAAAGGACAGGGAAAGCTACAAGATGCAGATGCAAATGGCGAGGTCATTGTTCCCCCAAGCGCTGTACTACATCAGACGATCTGAGATTTCACAGGCCGCTGAGAGGAATTGAAGACACCCTTGCCCAGACTCGGTCTCTCCTGCCTCCTGGTAGGGGATGAGCGCAGAAAACGCTGCACCTCAAGGCGACAAGGCGAACGGTCGGCCAAACTCAGACCTGCCCCGCCAGACGCCGGGGCGCCGGCGGACTGTAGCTTCGGCTCTCCTCCGAGGGTGCGAAGCCAATGGCTGCCCTGGGCAGATCTTGGAGTCAAAACCGCCCTGCTGGAGATTAGGGCTTGGGGTGGTGGTGTATAAGATGAGTCCACGACGCTTCCTGCTAACTTCCTGTTCGATGCGTGTGCGGCCTCCCAGCACGAGCACAGCAGAATCCAGAATCCTCCCTCTCCTGGGCTCGGACCTGTTCTGGATCGAGCCGCAGCGTCTGGTTGTGCCTGAAGATCATGCCTCAGAGCAAAAAAAGGCCCCCGGCCGTTTTTTCTAGACGCAGTCAGCTTCAACCTTAAGCTGCCGTAAGCTGCTGGCCCGAGAGACCTGCGTCTCCGCAGGTGGACATGGCGACTCTCGAAGCTTCCTCCAAGACCTGCGTTGCCGTACGCAATGTCCAAGTGGCTCGTGCTCGACTGCTGAACCGTGTCCCTGTCTCGTGAAGAATTCGACATTGCGATCGTCTTGACGCCATGCCTTGTCTGCCTTATCACCTCTATGCCTCCGTAATTCATTGTGCTTGGGCCGATCCTCCGAGCTATCTCTCGAAACACGCTGCCAAATGACAGTGGCACCCCAACTAACACAGCGGCGCCGTTTGACATGGCGCAGCCTCTCCAATGTAGAAGCAGTTCTCCGGCAATGGGATCACCTGAGCACTGATGCACCCAACAAGGCAACCAGTCTGCAGCCTGCAGAGATGTATATTGCCAATGTGGAACTTGAATCTTCCGGAAGGTTCTCGCGTGCAACCAGCAATTGGTTGCTGGACCCCTTGCTAGACCCCTCTGGGCACGCGGCCTCCCTCCGGTTGCGGAAATGCAGCACCTTCTACAGGTAGAAGCAGTGCTGCGGCAATCAACCAGCAAGCAACAAGCAGCCGTAAGGAACCCACATGTTCGGCAGAAGTTGGGAGCAACTCGCGATTGTGCCACAGGTGTATTCGCAATGGCGATCCCGGGATGGAGAGCTCCACTTCAAGTTCTGGCGCACCGGTGCCTGACATCGAGTCAACGTTCGGATACGATGCCATCGACTCTGCCCCAAGCCCCCTGATGCCTGCATTGAGCCTTCGGCTCCACGTCACCGGGACCAGCTGGGCATCCTTGCTCATACGGGAAAACCGAGCCGCTGCTGGAAGATGCATATAGAGACATATACATGTCACATTATAGTGCACGGCCACGCCAAGGCTCGTCAGACCCCGCAAGCACGAAGAGCCATGGAACCACCACCAGCAGCATGGCACATTAGCAAGTCTGACTGATATCACATATGTTCAATCTGCCATTTCCAGAGTCTCCAACTGCTGCGAGCTCTTGAAGCCTCGTGTGGTCTGCGATCTTCATGCAGGTTGCCGCTGCTGGGGTAGCGCTGTCGTCGCGGTTGCTGTACAGCCAAGTTTGATGCCAACTTCGAAGCTGCTGAGCCAAAAGCAGAAACCCGGTGGGAGCTCTGGGAGCCATCCCGCCAACCTCTCCGCACAACACGTGGTCACAGCGACCTGATCGATGGTCTCGTCGGTAAAGACCACTTGGGCTGCAGAAACTTGCATCCTCATCGAAACACTTCGCTAAGCGGCTAGGCACGTGCCAATTCTGCTGCTCCGAGTCTCGCGTCGCCTGAGACACCGGCCCAGCTTCCAAGCGACAATGGAAAATGACGGCGAACGAGAAGCTGGCACGGGAAGACGGAAATGCCCTCTGGCTTGTCTGTTGCCTTTGCCCGCCCGACCCACCTGGGCAACCACCAGGTTTCCCCCAGGCTCTTGTACAAGCCTTCAGACACCTTCGAATTGTCACAGAATGTAAGCAGTGACCTCCTGCTCGGACGTCTGGCCTCCGCATGGAGGACCACCGGCAGTACTGCTGGTGACCTGATCAGGACCCCGTGACGTGGGTTTTTTGGCACAAGGGCATGAGGGCATGAGGATCCTTTGCACATGCGTTGCCAAGATGTTTGCTCATCCACGGAAGCTGCCAGAAAGCCTCGGCTTCTTGTCAAGGCAAGCTTGTGGCTCGGACTCTGTTCGCGCTGAGGTCTGCGCGACTCAGCCTTCAAGGGCCGCAGCAAACGACTGAATCAAACGACTGCTAGGATTACAAGATAGCCCCCGTCTCCACACGTACACCTCCAACAAGACTGCACGACCGAGATTGTAGCAGTATTCGGGCATCGCGAGAGCGATCCACTGAAAAGCCGGTGATACACCAGCATTCAGCGCGGCTTCGGGACAGCATGTCGAAAAAATGCACAAACACCAGAAAGTTGTCGTGTCGATGCACTCACAAGAATCCGGAAATTCAACGTCACACGACGGTCCGGGTCCTGCAGACTATGATCGTGCCGGGTTCAGTCTGTTAGGCCCGCGGGGCACACTGCACACAACGCAATAAGCAGCCTCAGGCCCAAAAGCATTCAGCAGACAGGTCCGGTCCTGGAGCCACTTAAGGGGATTGCTGGACAGATTGACAATCCTGATCTTACCTATAATCGCCCCCCCCCCACACACACACACGTCTCAATATATATATATATATATATATATATATATATATATGTACACATTACATGTATGTATATTAGGTTGTTATACATGATCTGTTGCAATCAACCTATCGAGACTATATGCGTTACAGAAAACGTCAGAGATGATGGCATCCTCTGGTCGTTCATACATTTGACATCACATGTGCGCACACACGTCTCTGTCCATTGGGTGTGGTCCTAAGTACTTGATGCTGGCACTGTCGCATCTTCCGAAACGAACATCTGCCGCCTGTTTGGCAAAGAGACATCTTGACGACCGTGGCTTTCTCAAAACAGAAATTAGGTGCTTACGGAAGAAACTGCAGGGAGCCGCCTTTCATTCAGCCACACCATGCCGCTTTGGCCAATGAGCTTCGTCAGAGGTAACTGCCAAGCACCAAGAACTTGCGTGGAACTCTAAAGTCTAAAGAACATGTTCACAGCCTCCTTGCAGAAATAATCGCCCAATATCGATGCCAACTGCTCCACATCCTCGCCTGACACTGTCTTCGACATTGTAAGAAAGTACGGGGCAGGTGTGCAAAGGTCAGAAGAGGCGGCCTGGAAGTTCTGCGACAACCGCAAGTGGCATCCTCCAGCAGATGAAAGCCGTAACCGTTACCGTACGACGTTACGAATTCGCATCTGCAAAGTTCTTTCCAGCTCTCAAGAGGCGGGCCGTGCAGAAGCGCGATCGCATGAGCCCTGGCTGGACCTGATCATGTCCGATCCCTGCGCTTGATGGAGGAAGCGTAAACGGCACCGCGCGAGCGCTTGTAAAGCTGCTTTGGCTCTTTGGTGGCGCCGAGCCATGCCTGGGAAGAAGGCAGGAAGGCAGGGAGCTTTGTCGGTGATAATCATACCGTGTCAATCAATCGAAAGACTATCTGCTATCGTCGAGCCTGCTCATTGTGTGCGTTGATCCAAGGCACGAACTGCCTGCCAGGGCACTGACAATGCTTGCATGTATACTGTATATACCGCATGCAGCGAAGCGCACGGCCTTCGCGCCCAAGAGCTGAGCTGGAAGAAGCCCGAAGCACAGCCCAGCGCGCAACCCGCAAGCAAAGGCCAACCCTGCAGGCTGCAGGCAGAAATGCGAGGTTCGCGAGGGGCTTCTTTGCGCGTTTTCGGAGATGCAAGCGCGAGAGGGCGACGCTGTGCACCAGTCCGCCGGCACCTTAAGGCAGAAACGCGGACGCAGCGCTTCCGGTCCAAGTTCTCTATGGGGTCCCTGGGTCCCTGGGTCGCCGCGCAGCAGCAGAGTGCACCGAGAGCTTTGTCGGTGCCGGGCCGCCTCCGGGCTCAGGGGTGAAGCCAACACACCAGAGGTGGGAGAGGAGAGGAGAGGATGCGCTGACACTGCCAGTATGGATGGAAGTTTGTCTCTCTTCTGGTCTTCGGCCTCATTGGTAGGTCCCTCGCTGGCACCGCCTAGGCTAGGGATTCTCGCTCGACTTCTGAGAGTTCCGAAGGTTCAGATTCAAAGGCTTGTTTGGGGCCCCCGGCGCGGACGGGCACGACGGTGCGGTGCCGGAGGGAGATGTGAGTGATCCGATCAGACAGGACCTGAGATGTCGCAAGGAGTCCTTGGAAGAGAAAGCAGCCCTTCCGGTGTCCCTTAAACTTTGGCATGGTTGTATTGACTAGCTCGTATAGTTGCTGCATGCGGACCACATGTAGCGCTGGCCATGTCGAGTCGTGGTGCGCTCACTCAGAGGAATGGGCCTTCTCCAGGTCAGGAGGGGGCTTTCCGATTGCCTTCCGTCTGCAAGCAGAACGAGGAGCACACTTTCATTCGTACGTCTGCTAAACTCAGCCGGCTTTCTTGAATGCTCCGTGCAACTCCAACGTGCCCTTGTGGCTGATCTATCCACTGCAATTAAATGCGTCTGTCGCCACGTAGACTCGAAGTGTGTCATGCTGCGCAACTGTTTCAACGGAACGTTCTGCATCAACACAGAACTGTCCTTGCACTTGTGCGCATGACTGCAGCAGAGTTCTACGTGGCCCATGGCCCTGTACAGGAATGGCGGCGTGGGTATTGACGCGCCCGTGGTCAGGAGACTTAGAATTACCTTCGTGGTCTGGCACCTCAGCCTGTGTCCTATACGGACCTGAGACCTTTACATATCCATCCTTGTGAAGAGGATGGACAGTCACATCCCCTTGTAGAGACGTGGCTCAGGGAAGCAAGATGACACGGGCCAGGGGGCAGAAAAAGGGTCAGTGGCATCACCTCTGAAATCGACCGGCCCGCCTTCTGCACATGCGGCTCTGGGTCTTGGGGATGCCCGGCTGGCACGCTGTGCCGCTGTGCTTTGAGCTCACAGTTGAGGGAACAGGCAGCATCGCTTTCTCGTAGGCGTAGGCCTCTCTGCAGGTTTAAGACCAGCTTGAAAGTGACTTCAACAATTTTGCTGGGGTCTTGGATGCCTCGGCCTGGCGTCCTCGTCCTGCAGCTGGGGCTTAGCAGCTTGCCGAACGGGTCGAGGCCGATTCGGCAGCTGCGTGGCTAACTCCTGTGGGGAACTCCAAAAGACGGTCCCATGCCTCGGTCTTAGCTTTTTGCAGGCCCCGGTCCTGGAAGAGTATGTCCACGTTGTCGCCTGTGTTTTGATGGGCTGGCCACACTTGAATGCAAGCTCGCGGGTTTAGAGCGGTTCAGACTGGACATGGCAGTTGTCCTCTGTTCCTTCACCGTCTTGCTTCCTCCCTTCCCTTCTCGCCGCAGCCTACTCAGAGCCCATAGGTCGCTATATACCCCCCCACAGTCCCACGGTACACAAAGCCACATAAGCACCCCCAGGCCCAAGCCCCCAAGGCCCCCAAGGCCCCCTCTCCTGTTTTGGCGCTGGTCTCCAGGAAGATCGCTCCGAGAGCCTCGGTCTCCTTCTGCGCCTCGTCGAAGGAGACTTCCCTTCGCCCCTCCAGGTCTGCCTCCGGGAGGTTCAGAAGCCCGGGCTTCGGAGGGAGGATACTAAGACGCAGAAAAGATATTTGTCATCTTGGCTGTATAGAATCTATAGAAGGAGCTACTACTGAAAACTCCGACTGTTGCTTGGTGGCTTGGTGCCTTGTTGCCGACCATTGCGAGCAGCGTCTCCTTGCCCAGCTCGTGGTGCACCATGCCCACCCAGTCCCTGAAAGACCACACAATTGGAGCGCAAACAGGAGCATTCCGCATTCTGCGCATCATTCTGGATTGAATGCGTCGTCTTGCAGAGCCGGCCTGGCTGCGGACCAGGATCTCCAGCAGGTGACATCGTACCTGGGTCCGGGCCCCGGCAAATGATGCCACGATGAAGTTGGGACTGGAGTGCGTGTATACTTATCAGAGACAAGCTGAGTCGCACGACGATGGCTGCGGCTGCATCTTGCAAATACGCAGGCATGAGGCTTCGAAACCGAGATTCGCCGGATAGGTCCCAGAGCTTTAGCCTGATCCAATCACGTCCACCCAGCACCTGCCACAAGGCATCCAGGCCAACCTCTCCCTGCTGCCCTGCTGTCCCTCTGTCCCTGCTGCCTTCTTCCACTGAAAATCCAAGCCAGCAGTTGGAAGCACGTCGGTTGAGAACTGCTGCTCCACGCACCGCTTCAGCAGCGAGGTCTTTCCAGTGCCGCTGTCACCGACGAGCACCACCTAGCATCCAGCAGCGACCCTCCACTTTTCAGATGACTCCAGCCTTCAGCCATACCCGCGAAGCTCGAGCCTTGTAGCTAGGGCAGGTGGCCATCAAACACCAAAGGCCAAACACAGAACGACGGCTAGACTTGAGCAAGCTCCAGGTCGTGATGAGCTTCAGCCGATATGTGGCATGCCAATTGGGCGAAAAGAAGCTTGTGTATCATCGCCTTGGGAAGAAACACCCTGTACGGCCACCACGATGAGCGATAGTAGGGAAGAAGGCTATTGATCGCCTGCTGCGCAGCATCTTGAAGAGTCTGACCCTGCCAGCCAGTCCTGAGGGCACTGCAGCAACCGCGCTGTCGATCATGTCAGGTACCTCGGTGGAACTCATATTGAGACGCATCGCGACACGAAGGTAGAGGCGGTGACCATCTCCGGCAAGGTGTCCTGTGCGGCACTGGGACAGCACACGGAGGGCAGATCAGCGTTACAACTTCCGTCCTGGAAAAGCGTTGTCACCACGTCCCTGCAGATGGTCACTACCCTGTCCTGATCTTGGGCATCTGCGAGTGCCACGCATGACCTACATTAGTCGCGACTGTCCTTCGCCCAGTAGAGGGGGTTCCTGCCCGACAGCCAGGCAGTGGCAATCAGTGGCAGTTCGCTGGCATTTTTCTGTGGAGTCTGCTGCTCGTTCTGTGCTTGCGGTTGGCCCGAGGCTGTACATGGGGCATTACAGACAGAGAGGTGGAAAAGCTCTAAGCAGCGGCCTCCTGCGTAAAGCAACCAGGCAGAGAGCGAAAGCATTCCGAATTCGAAATGCGGAGAGCGAAAAGCGGGTGGCTACAGATCGGCTTCGCCGCCGATGGAAAATCAAGCTCCTGGGTGGCTCGATGTGGTCGTAGATACCCTTGGAAAACTCTCCAGCGAAACATGCACAAGAAAGAACCTGGCAGGGGCTGCCCTGGATGCCATTTCCTGCCAGCGCGACAGTCATCTGAGTGTCCCTGGAAAGCCTCTTCTGTCTAAGAGCATGCTGGCCTGATTGTCTCTGACGGTCCCGGCCTCTGCATTCAGAGCCACCCAGCTGCCATGGCAGACTTCTTGCTGCTGAGCTCCTCTTAAGTCTGTTCATGGCTTGCACATTAAATTACCTCGACTTGGCACGACGACTACGACGTGGCACCACAATTCCGAGGCCTTGGTGACTCAACAAGCCTTTGGAAGCCTTTGGCTGCAGGCCTCGTCCAGGCGCACCATCGCCAGCCCAGCCTCGTCTGCTTCGGAAGGCCCTGGTGGAAGTGCTCCGAGCTTCTTCTCCAGATCCCGCAACTGGCGTCTGGTAAGTCCCATGCTCGGCTGCTATCTACTACCAGGGCGCGCATGCTTAGCATACAGGAAAGCGAGGCGTTCATGCGACTCTCAAAAAAAGCAGGCTTGTAGCGCCTGCCGGATACTATTGTAACTTGCACGAGACTTCACTGGATTCACTCAGCCAATACCGCTTGCAGCGAGCATCACCATCACCATCATCGTCTTTTTCGTCATCATCACCGCCAGCACCATATCGTTGTGGACTCTTTGGTCGTGAAAAAACCAAAGCACTGTACATGGCGGTGTTTTGGGCATGCTCACACAAGGCATCAATGCTTGTGACGGCGCGTCGGATGCCAGAAATGTACGTACAATATCCTTCTGCGCTATATATGTTGTGTAAAGTGACGAAACGCCGTAAACACCAGCGACTGGTCACCAGTGGTTTGGGCATGCTCGCATGCTTGTTACAGCGCGTCACATAAAACATCCATCTGCAGCATACTTCTAGTATTATTTATGAAGTGGAAACACGCTGCAAATGCCAGTGTTTTGGGCATGGTCGCTAGAATCGTTATAGAACGGACGTTAAGATCTCCCCACCCACCCACCCACCCCACCCCAATCCCATAAAATCATCGCAAACGTCAGGAAGATACAGAAAAATCCAGGAAGGTAGAACGGGACCCTCCGCGCCGGCCACCTTCTACCTGGGCTTGCCATGACCGCGCCTGTTGCCAGAAGCCGGGGTTGGGTCGGATGTAGTTCCGAGCTTGGAAGACACGCCGGAAGGCGGCATCCAGGCTCATGCTCTCCTGAGTGCAGCCGCAAGCAGTGATCACATTCGCACCTATTGCCACGTCGGCAGAGCTTACTGTCTCACAGGAGTGAGGAATGCAACACGTCTGTGTCCTTCATCATGAGGTAAGCGATGCACGTGCTGCTTGACCGGCTGATGCCCTGTGCGCAATGAATGGCCACGCCGCCTCCCGTCTGAAGGGAGCTGTCAATGAACTCCGAACCGGACCTGAGAAGGAAGGAGTCTGAAGACAAGTCTGGCTGCTGCTGTGCTGTCTCATGTGAGAGGCTCCGAGCCGGCGGCTTCCAGAGATCCGTCATGGGCTGCTCTTCGACATCTTGGGCGTCAAAGACTTGCACCTTGTAGCCCTGGCAGTGCCAGCGAAACACAAAGCTCAGGTGTCCCCCACCAGCCCGCGAGCAGAGCCTCGAGCTTCTGGCGCAAGGGTGCGGAGCTGCCGGAGTAGGACCGGTCGTAGAGATCGTCGGTGGCGCAGTTCAGGATGGAGCGGATGCCCAGCCGTTCCAACTCTGCCCGGTTCTCCAGCGCCGCCGCACCGCACAAGAAGAGCCCGCCGCCGAGGTCGTCGATACGGCTCCAAGACACCGGAGAGCCCGCCGCGAACGCCGTGCTGGGTGGGACGGCCGGGACGGCGCTCCTTTGTGCTGACGCGGCCGCAGCCTCTCGGAGCCAAGCCATCGACATGACGAGTAAGGAGGGGGCTCTCGGCGTGTCTCGAGTCGCGAACTTCTTGGAGTTCGGAGCGCTCTGAGCCACCGTGGCAGGTGCGACGAGAACCATGCCCGCTACCTCTGCACGTCTCGCTGGGGTGGACCGGGCGGCCGGGCGGGTGCGCCTGAGGCCTCGATGGGGCTTCCCGTCCAAGCGCGGAGAGTTGAGGCGCACGCGCCGAGCCCGAGCCCGGGAGCCTGGTTTCCCCAGCCCACCCCCCCAAAAAAGACAAAGCCGGGCATCTACAGCATGGAAAGTGGTCTGGTCCGTCGGTGCACCCAAGACTATATATTATGGTACTTAGCTGGTGCGGCGCACGCTGCTGGCCCTGGGAATTGACCTGGCAACGAGGAAACGAACGATGTGACTTCAAAGAGTCGGGAGTGTGTTTAGCAAAGTCGGAAAGGCCGCGACAGCATCACACAAGTCAGAAAGGAGACTCAGGTTGACTTATTGAAATGGGCTGTTGCTTTGCATGTCTTGCCAATCTGTGCTCAATGCACCGGTATTCGTGTCTACTGCACAATCACGGCCCATTGGTCGTTTCAGTTTGCGCGCATCATCGAACGGCAAACTGGGTGCCTCGATAAGAAGAGTCACCACATCCAAGAGGCCTGTCATCTCTCGAGAGGAGCTTGAACAAGAGCACATTTCAGAGCTTGCTTCTGCCTCCGTACATGAAGCTTGCCACGGGATCAATGTCCAACTTCACGACCTGCCAAAGACTTAAAGATATTCAACACATCCCTCGAAAAGGGAGCCACGTCCAGCGAAAGCTCTCCTCGAGATCGGTGATCGTCCAGTCATGCAGGGTCTCGGTCATCATGGTCAGGACGATGGATTCGCCCTCGAAAAGAGGATCCAAGAGTCCGTGCAAGCACAGCAAACTGGGACTGGCCGTGATCGTTGTCCAGCGTGTTTTGGAGATCGATCTGAGAGCCTTCGAGAAAGGCAATTGGGGAAATCCTGCCTCACACTGTGCATGTCTGCCACAGTAGTCACCCTGGCCTGGGCGAAGTTTCCGGACTGGACGTGGATCCCGAAGGCAATGACCTGTCTCTGCGTCAGAGAAACGAGCTACGAAGCAGTCCGCATCAATTGTCGAATACGAAATCTTCCTGAAGAATCAAGATAAGCAAACCCTGTCGGAGGCCAGCTTGTAGGCTCAGCATCGCACATCCACTCCGGGTAGCATCTCAGCCACCTGCAGCTGCGAGACACATCGACATGCAAACATTCACAAGGTAAGTGTGACGCCTTCGCCAAGGGTCCATCGGGGCTGCCGCACTGCCGCCAGTTCTTCAACAAACTGAGGAGGAATCCATGTGAATTCCAGAAGAGCTCTCTTCCAAAGGCTCAAGGCTCCAGGGGGCCCCAGGGCCGGGGCTTCAAAGCTTCCTGCGCTTCCTGGTGGTGGCCTCAAGCGAAGCGGCGAACGCGTGAAACGATCCAGCTCTTCGCGTCCCCAAAACCCCCCGCCTCGCAGGTCCAGCATGGCCTCCGGCTCTCTTTTTGCTCTCTTTTTTCTGGTCTCTTATGTCTTCTTCTCTTTTTGCCAAGACGCTGAGGCGATGAGGTTGGAGCCAGGTAGCAGCTCCGCTACCTGCGACAGGAGCAAAAAGGCCCGCGGGGGGGGGGGGATCAATCACTCCTCCGGTCGCCGAACCTTGACCAGGGCTCCATCCTGCCGTAGGAACAGAAACTCGTCTGCGCCCTCTCAGCCTTCAGTGGCTTGGTGCCTTCGCCAAATACCTCTGCAGCGAAAACGCTCGAGCTCGTTCCTCGGCCTCGATCCTTGGGGGAAGGAGTAGGAGGATTCCATGCATGGGTTCACCCGCCGCGAGTTAAGCTGCGAGCTGGCCCTTGAATTTGTGGTAGCACCTCTCAGAGATAGAATCATAGCTACATGATTGGAATCCCGCACACATCGTGGCGGATACGGCGTGCCGTAGGCCGTCTGCAACCAGCGGAAGGTGTTCTCCCGCCTGCCAAGGACGCGAAACATACCGAAGCAGCAGCTCAGCAGCCCACCGAAGATCAACGCCGCCAAAGCCCCCATGGGCCCAACGGAGGTGGAGGCTTTGGAAACGAACCTTGCAGCATGCATCCTCATCGTCCTCATCCTCAAGACCAATTTCTGATAATCGGTGCAAAACCCTCTGCATTATCCTTCGGTTTGATTTCTCCGAGCTGCATGTCCCAGGCCCGCCAGCTTAACTCTGCCCTTTCGTGGATTCCTTTTCTCGGTGTGAAAGGCAACTCTTCCTGCACAGCCCTGAACGAATCAGCTTCGAACACGCCGTTCGGGCAACAGCTCACGAGACGTTTCGCTGCGAAGTGTCGGAATTCCCCAGCCCCAGCACCGGATTCCCGCCTTTATCAGAAAGCCGTTGGGCCCTGCGCCACTCGCCAGGTGAGGCAACAACGTCTTGAATGGCTGATTGGGGCCCCTGGCCGAGAGGGTTCATCGGCACCGTGATGACATGCCTCTCGTGGCAGTACCATACTGCTGCCAGCCTTCGAATGTCCAGGCTTTCGTGAGACATGGCTTCAATTGTGGCTTATACTAATGCCGAGAGCAATGTCAATACCAGTCTCGCAGCCTGCTTTTGTTGCGCTTTTCGCTCCGCGGGATTTTGCGGTCATCACGGAGTCACTCCGAATTCTCCTCCGAATCACTGGCAACTCCGTCAGGATGTAGCAGTTCCCGGTGCCTCCAGTTTGGGGATGTCACTGCACTTGCCACAGTAGGAACGAGTCGGCAGAAAGCTCTCGCGCCTCCTCCGGCTTCGTCTCTTCTTTCGCTTCTGGTGCTGGAGCTTCTGCCGACGCTGGCTTCTCCTGCCGGTTAAAGCTGATTCGGTCGGCATTACGAGCTTCACCACGATGGGTATAGCTCCTACTAACACCGTTGCAGGACACTCGTTGCGAATCGTGCGAAGCAGCACGCACTCATCGTCTTGCCTCAAGATTATGCGTCTCCCCATTTCTCGAATTGGCAGGAACAACGCTATGCAATGCAGCACAACAGCTTTCGGCTGTCGTCCAGAGTGCAGCCACGATGAGAAAGCTAGAAGGAAGCAATAAGACTTACTCCTCATTCGCCCTATTCCCAGCGCAGGATGGGATGCTTTAGGCTCTATAGCTCTGCTCCTTCTTCTTCTTCAGCTTCATTCTCACCAGCAGAGCCGCAGCACCGCAACAGCCGCACAAAGGGACCACGAAGGTGATGAAGCCGAGGACGAGGAACCAGCGCGCTGCCAACAGTTGCATTGCACTTGTGTGACGTATATTATGCATGGAGAGCCTGCAGTGCTTGCCAGTGAACATTGGTAGGGAGAAGACTCATGAATGACTCATGAATATGTCAGAGTCTGCCTGAGGTCTCGCACTCGATCTTCTTGACGTTTACTCTGGAGACCTTTCAGGGATCAACAACCCTCTCGACAACCCTTACAAGCCTTGCATTGTGCTGCATGTCGTACTACGGAAAGAGAAATAGCCCTAAACAGGCCATCCACAGCAAAGGTGCTACCATCATGCCAGGTCGCTACTTACAACAGAAACCCATACATCAAGCTCAAACAGCTTCAGTCGGCCTGATCTCTCCAGCGCCCGGACTTGCAAACCAGCGCCGAAGGCTGTGGCTTTTGCCAGTATCGCGGGTCGGGGCATCGCACGGTGCACGCGTCGCCCTCGCGCAGCTTCTTGCGGGTCCTCCCAATCACATTCGCGCAGCGCGGAGTCTTTGCAGGCCGGTCCGGGGAAGTCCGAAAAGCTCCTGTGCTGGGCATCGTCGTAGATTTGCATGTCCTCAGCTCTGGGACATGAAAGATCTGCGAATGTCTCCAGCTACGGAGCTTGAATCGACCCGCCGGGGCACTGGAACGTCTACAGCTTCCGCACAGATCCAGTCACCATCCTGCAAGCAGATCCAGCTCACAAGAAATATGTTTCCCGGATTCGTGTCGCATAAGCCCGGTGCCGTCCACTGCGGGATGATACATCCTGCAACTTCCGTCGTCAGACGGAGCAACGGTTGAGACGCAGTGATGCGACATGTCAAGCTGTCCTATGTAGTCGATGTTGGTGAAATCGATCTCCTCACGTCACATGCTTTCTCAGCTGAGACTTCGGCCTTCCCCTTGTCATTCGGCAAGCTGAACAACCCGTCGCGCCGCCTTCTTGTCCTTGGACTCCTGAAGCTATAGGCTATAGTATGCTTCTGCGCAAGTCAGAGTCAAGGCGACGTCGACACGTCCACATGCAAAGTTTCGGTAGCTCCTTGCTGGATACAGAACTGACCAGAGGGGGCATCGAGGGCATGCCAGGTGGAGACCTGATGGAGAAACGGTTCCTGAAATGAGGTCACATCCACATCAGAAACATGTGAGGCAAGGCACGGAGATTTCGGGGACCCCAGCACCTGAGATGGAGATGATAGCCAAACGGTCATGGTACTTCCTGCAAGACTCAGCCCCAGCAACGCAAGGCACACGACCGATAATGGCCTGCAGTCCATAACATGTTGCAGCTGAAGCGCGCCGGAGAAGGAGCTCAGGAACGGCGACTTAGTTGGACCAACGCTTGCTGCAACGGAAGGGGCAAGGACAGAAAGAGGGACTGCGGGGCCTTCGCCGCTATCAGAGACATTGCAGGCTCATTGATCGTTGACACTCTTGATGAAGCAAGCTTGCATCCACGTGCATCTCAAGCCCTGTTGAATAGCGCGTCGTGTTTCTGCACGAAGCCGTCCGTCGGACAGTGTATAGCTTATGTGCATCGGTCATGTGGACATAGAAACTACAAAACCAGAGGACATTTATTTCGGAAAACATCGTTCCCTATCACACGCAAGACGGTTGGCAACCATTCAAACAGAAGGAGAAATAGCCGAGCAATAGAGATCACGAGGATGCTGCAGCTGTCGGAACTGACTGAGCATCGTGTTGCAGCTTTGCACAAGTGCAGGCCAAGGGCTCCAGATGAAGCACCGGAGGACATCCCCGGGCCATAACCCATCTGAGACTAGCAACAGCAAGGTTGGCTTCTGCACAAAAGAACCTCTTGTGCGGCCAGAACACGGAGCCGAAGTTGGAGAAGGATCCTAGGGAGCCCAGCCCCAAAGGCCCATAGGGCGGCTCTGCCTTGCTGGTGTCTTCTTGAAGAAGGGCCTCAAAGATAGACTCGCATTGATTCTCAGGTCCCGCAAGCTGCTTGCAGTAGGCACCGGACGTCGGAATCCTCCCTCTCCTCAGGCTGCAGGTCACGGGCTGTCATCTTGACCGCTCATATATACATATATATATATATATATACATATACATATATACATATACATATATATATATATATATATATTTATATATATATATACATATGTTATATTGGTTTGTGTGGACACTGGCTACTGTACCGGTACGTGCAGGAAAGCGGCGTCCACTTTCTGCTGCATCAGCCCATGCCTAGCCAAGTTCTCCTGGCTTCAAGTAACACGGCTCGCCATGCCTCCGCACCACTTTGCATCCGGCCTGAAGGGAGTCTGAGTCCAAGTCCTGCAGTCGGACAGGCGTGCCTTCAGCCAGGACTGCCTGCAGAAAGCAGTGTGCAGCAATGGAAAAAACCTTACGTAGATGATCTTCCTTTGCCTGCACAGCTTTGAAGTCTTTCTGGACCTGCGAAACATGAATCAAAACACGGGCAAGGCCCTTTGTGCGGTCTCGCTGTGGACTCGAATCACCCGCAGTTCATCATGTTGGAAACTCTAGCAACCTCATCTTCTTCTTCTGCTTGATTCCAGAAATCGTCTAGTGCGTTGCGGGCTGTGGTTCTTGTGAGCGCGGCATGCCCCTTTCCATAGGGAAGTGTTGAATGGGTCATGTGCATGTCCCATTGCACCTGCTCTGAGTTGGGCATGGCATCTGCATCATCCTGCTAGCTGCTAGCTGCCAGTCGTGCAGTCAACGATTGAAACCGCATGCAGTTGAAAGCTGGCAGTCCTTTGCTTGGGAAGTCTTGCTCAACGGGCGTCTGGAAACCTCGAATCTCGTGAATCTCGGAACGGCACACTCTGGAAAGAACCAGGCGACAAGCGGCCCGAGAGCCGTCCCGCCGCATGAGTTCGTCTATGGGCGATTCGTGCCTATGACCACAAGCAATGTTTTCAATGCCGAAACAACGCAAGGACACCCCTTTCCCCCTGCCTTGATGCATGGCCAGGGCCCTCATGGATTGCAGTGACCTTGGCCGATTCACGCCAGCGAAACGTTGCAAAGAGCCCTCCCTGGCTTTTTCGTATATGCACAGCTCCAATCCCTTGGGGTGAGGGGAACTCTCATTTGGTCGAAACGAAGGCCTTGGAAACCTTGCCAGGCTGAGCGCGGGTTGTCTCGTCATGCTATCAGCGACATGAACAGGTTGACGATACATTCACGATTCAGGTCCATCTGAGCGGAACAGACAGCTCATCACTTATCACTTGCTTCGATGTGGTTTTTGAATTGTCCGAGACTTTCAGTAAGCACCGCACCACATCTGCATACAGCAGCAGGAAACTAACATGGATCCGTCTCCTGAAGCGAGACATGACCTCAATCGGGCAGCTGCGACGCGGCTTCTTGTTTGGGCTTGCTAGACCTGCACAAAAATGATCAAGAAGTCGCTGAGACATCTGCTTTCTCTTCTCAAACGACGCAGCCACATGCGAGCTGCAACTCTGCAAGCCCACGTATGGCTGCAGGAGATGAAGCTTCGTGCGATGAAACAAACATGTCGTCTTGCAGCCTGACCTTACACAAACAAGCATCGGCCAGCCAAGAAAACTATCACTGGCCTATGCCAGGCCACCTTTGCCCTTCACATCGCCTGAAGCAGCTTCAAGGGATTCTGGAGGATTTACCACTACTTCACATCACACTGATGTAAGGGATGACCATGTTTCCGTTCCGCTCTGACCTTCACCTGCCTGATGCTGACCCATACGGGTTCCGAGTGCTGGCAGCCGGCATGGCCTCTGTGAGGCCACGTGCGCCATCACAGGAAGGTGCAAAGCAGACCGATGATGTCTTCGTTGGTCTACTCTGGCAGAGGTTGCAATCCCCTGCCCTGACAGTGTCTTCTGGTTTGAGTGTGCACGGGTGGGTTTGCTGATCACATCAGTCTGAGCCCAGATGGAGGAGCCCGAGTGCGGAATGTCATGTTCACTCAAGTTGGCAAGCCGCGTGCTGTCAGGCTTTGCTCTCCACAGGAGGCCAAAGGGCCAAGTCATGAAATGTTCTGCGGATCCACTGAATCATGGATGCAGATTTGTTCTCAAGGACAGTACCGCGAGCAAACTGCGACCAGTCACCTGTGCGGACCGAGCGCAGCCGTGTGAGTCTCTGGTCTTTCGAGCCTTGCGCGAATTAGACCTGTCCACTCGCGATTCGCGCCTCTTTAAGGAAAACCAGGGCCGAACCAGCATAGGAGAAGTACGCTTCAGCGCACTTCGCATCTCGGATCTCCAAACGAATTCGAAACAAGCGCCCAGGATCTTGCCACGGCTGTAGCAAGAGAGCCGCCTCCGGACAGCTGATGCGACGAGAACCACGGAGGCGCTGCCAGAAATGCCAGCCTGGCAGCCTGTGTCCGCGGTGTCTGCAGCAGCTCACCTGCTGAGCTTCAGCAAGCGCTGGCGCATTGCACATTACGTTCGAAGTTGTGATCCCGACCATCCGAGGCCGAAAGGTTGCTGCCTTCCAGAACGGCTTCGAAAATCTGAACCTATTAGAAAACACTGTTCGAAGCAGGGTGCCTGCCACCGCCACCTCCAAAGAAGCTATCGAAGCCGGAGCCAAGCATTCCTAGATGGAGGCAGGAAGGAAGGCGAAGGCACCCAGTTCGATCGCCCGTCGCCCGTGCAGCTGCCTGGCCTGCACCGCTTGTGCCATTTCCATCCCCCTTGGACTCGCTCCTTGTGGTCTCCACCGTACCATCCGGCTTGCGGACCTTGCGACATGACAACCAGCTCTGCTGCTGCGCTGGGTTCTGCTCTGGGCCTCTCTGAGCCTCTGGCAGTCTTCTCGGTGACTGTGACCCTCTGCCCGTTAACAATCCTGAGCCACTTCGGTCACGTCGGGACGCGATGGAGATAAGGGGGAGACTCGGTGGAGACACACTCAGGGTGTCAGTCCTGGTGGTTGTCGTCGTGCTGGTCATCATGCCTCACATGTGTTGCAAGAAGCCTGGCAGCTTTTGAGGCGCGAAAGCCGCCAGGCTCCTCCACTCCCGCCGCCCATGGAGCTGCTGAAAGAGCTGAAGGATGCACCACCACCACCGCCACCTGAACCGAGCAAGCGCACATCCGCAGGAAAAAAGCCTTTTACAAAGCTTACAGTAGGGCGTTTAGGACCCAGGCCGAAGCCACCCGAGAAGAAGGGGTCGTCGAAGGATCCTCGGGCTCGGAGGGCCCGGGCTGTCCACAAGAGCTACATTGCTACATGTGCCTTTCTTGTATCCTTAACGAGAGTGCCGTCTTATGTAGGGGACTCGAAAGAAGACCCTGATTTAGGGAACAACTCACATGTGAGCGTCAGAGGCCTGAGACGAGGACCAAAGCTGGATCTTGCATGCCCGGACCCAGATCCAGACCTGCGACTGTGATTTCCCGAAATCTCATGATGCAGCCTCCTCACTAGCACCCAAACTTGCCTGGAGCCCCTGTGCATCTCTTCGAACATCCTTGGCAAGGTAGCCAGGTAGCTGCGACGCTTCTCAGCTCCTGCTACTCCAATCCGTCCTGTCATGTCTGGTGCTGAGACGGCGTCCGATCCATCTCGGCGAATGGATTGCGACCACCGAAGAACTGAAGGTGGAGCGTCAACCAGAGCGAGAGCGAGAGAAGGAAGCACGAGAAGACTGTGATCTCAGCCCCGCCTGTTCAAAGACACTGAAAGCATCCCCTGCGCAAGTGACATGGCCAGAATGAGTCTGTGTGCTGCTTGCCGGGAACAAACAAGGGGCACCGTTGAATCCAGAGTGGAACCCGCCCATGCCACTTCCATCAAAAGCCTCTCCGAAGGATCAGAAAGGGTCGAGTTGCAAGAACAATGCCGCTCAGAAAAGGGCCTCGCCACGGTCGTACGCTGCTCTTTTCTGGGAATCAGACAGGACCTCGTACGCCTCCAAACTAAACGGGCTTCTCAGATTCTCTCCGCTCTCCCTGTGGACGAGAGAAATCATCTTCAAATCTCCCCCATGCCTCTGCAACGGCCTTGAACTTTTTCTCGGCTTCCTCCTGCAAAGAGACATTTCTTGCCACCTAAAGGACTGGGACTGGGAACACACGGAAAGCGCCTTGTTGTCAGGGTTCTTATCTGGATGCCACTTCAAAGCCTCCTGCTCGCATTTAGTGCAGCATCGAAGCGAAACTCCGAACCGCAGAACTTGGCTACGCTGCTGATCTACATAGTATACTGTGTCGCGTCCGGGCCCGGGCAAGCCTTTCGATACGCCTTCTTGACATCCGCCTCACTCGCTGTCTGCGATACCTCAAAAGGGGGGGGAAGCGGAGGAGGAGGAGGAGGAGGAGGAGGCGGAGGCAGCCGCATCCATTTCCTTAGGCCCCTCACGCCAAGGACAGCGTAGTAGCCACTGGGATCCGCCATGCCGGAAAGCACGCGCTTCGCTTCGTCTCTGAAGCTTCTTAGGCCTTGCGTGAAGTGTGTGAAGACCACTACAGACGTGCCAGCTGCCGGAGCTTGTGCTTTGCTGAGCCATAAGCCCGCACGGGACACCATGCATCGATGCGGCACTCAGGAAGACAAGCTTTTTTGACCGGTGCTCCATCGTTGATCTGCGCTCTTCGCAGTCTGAATTCCAAGAGGCTTCCGTCCTGTGCCGAGACTTTCATGCGCTGCAAGCTTGAGAGTGAGTTTTCGCGGGGCAGGCCTTCGAACCCATGAATTCCAGGGACCCGCCGACCGAAAGCTTGCCGACCTCACTCTTCCGAAGTCGCCTCAGAGGCGAGCGAAGATGCTATGCGGTGCCGCGCGCGATGCTGCGCCGGATCGGCGGATTTCCGGGCCTGCCGTTTGCCAAGACTTGGTGGGCGCTGAGGTTCTCAACCTGTCGGCACTGGCTAGAGGCTAGAGGGATGCATCAAAGAATTCCACTAGGGCGGGAGGGCGGGGCAGAGAAAAGCGACGGCCGGCGCATCGCACATGATTTCAGGGTCACGGTCTCTGGAGCCAGGGCGCCGAGGCGCGTGGCGGGGCGGCGGCATTCCTCTAACGATTCCACAGAAGGACTTCCTCTGGAAGTCTCCACAGAGTGCATCTGGGCATCTAAGCGAATTTCGAGCATGTCAGAGACTGCCTAAGGCAGGTCTCATAATCATAAGCTGTCCCCAGACGGGTTTAACACTAGGAGTTGTAGTCCAAGACGAGAGCTTCGGGTTCTTCTGCCCGAACGATTTTGTACCAGGTGTGCGTGTACTTTCGCATGTCGAAGTAGGACTGCAGCATGTACTGGATCTCCACGACGATGGCCACTGGCTCCTTTCGCATTTTCTTGGAGCAATAGTGGCGTCGAGCAGCATCGCTACATTTGAGATACTGTTGGAGCTCGTCGTCCATGCTGGCCTCATCAATGAAACCCATGTTGAGGTAAGTGTCGAGGAGAAGTTGCCTGAGAACTTGCATGTCTGCTTGCACAAAATTTTGGCGACTTTCGTCGTACATCACTAGGGCCACGAGTCGAGATTCTTCTCATGCCCCATGGCGTGACATGCATTCACCCTCCACGTGACTGCATGCAAACGAGCACCTCGCTCCGGGGGTCATGATCCCCAAGGCTCGCGCACTTCTGAGAATTTGCACCCCTCCTGTTTCAACCAAGAGTGTCGCGCAAGAAGTACCCCGAGTCCCACAGTCTGCCCAACAAAAAACACAGAAAGCAGCACAGAAACGAAGAAAAAGTAGCAAGTAGAGACCAAAACCCGAGTAGGCCAAAGATGTTGATCGGAGGAGACCTGGGATTTCCCTGAGGCTTCGGCCGGAACTTGTCCCAGGCGGTGTTGGTCTTCTTCGACGCCTCCGCATGCTCTGGGCTGCGACCCGCCAGATCTCCCCAGGTAAGGCCCGGGATGAAACGATAGTTCGCCAAGATGTTACGATAGCCCTTGGTGTCCGATAGCGCATCGAAGCTGGGATCGTAACCGTTCTTGATCCTCACAGGAGGCCCAAACACCTCTTGGGCTTTGGCAAATGCATCTCTGAGCTGCTTGGGCTCCTGAAAGATCCATGCTACTCGGTTCGTGTCGATGTTCTCAGCTGCCTTGGGAGACTTAGCCTTTGCGTGGTCCGTGTCCAGCTTGGCCCACATCCTCATAAAGCCCTTTGGAGGAGGGGCACGGACGGATCCACCAACGCTTTCACAGATCTCTTTTGCTCTGTCTTGGAAGAGATGGTCGACTGCATGCACTGCACTCAGCAAGAGGACGATGTAGGCTGCTTCGGACATCCTGTAGTCATCCTCCTCCTCATCCTGCTCTTCCAGGCCCAACCTGTCCTCGGGCATCACTATGTGCTCATCCTGTCTTGGCCTCACTTTGATCTCGAGGTCCTCACCGATGAATCCAAGCTCTTGGCCAATGTTGTTTTCCACGTACTGCTTCTCATACTTGATGCCGATGCCATCGAGTTTCTTGACTGCCAAAGCTTTCAAGTCCTGGAAGCCTTCCTCGTCCTTCCTGTCAGGATCGGGCCACAGCCTCCAGTTTCCGATCAGCCATTTTACTGGCAGCTGGTAAGACTTCTCGCCGTCACTGATCTTCGACATGGCAGCTTTCAGCCATGACAAAGCTTTCTTACGGTCGGCGCCTTTGGGGGCGACTCCGTCGAGTTCTCGGTCGGCTCCAGCATGGTTCTGCAAATAGAGAAGCGCGTGCTTGTGATCTTCCGGCCGCTTTGGGTCAGGAGGTTTAAGGGTCTTCATGCGCTCTGCAGCGTCCTGAGCCGAGCCAGCACGTGCTGGCATCAGCTTCTGCCACAAAGCGTTGCGGCCGGTCATGCTCAGCTGCTTCACATCGACGTCGTCCTGGGCGGACTAGAGTTCAGGAGAGAGGAGAGGGCGAGACAGGGCTGATGTAGTTGTCTGTGCAAGGCTAATGTAATGGGGAACATGCGCCATGTGCTCTCCTCGTCATACTCGTCGCTGTCCTCGTCGTCTCCCTCCTCGTCTTCAGGGTCCTCGTCCCCTCCTTCTTCGTCTTCTCCCTCTTCCTCTTCCTGCTCCTCCGGCACTGGTTTGGCCTTGGCCTTGGCCTTGCCTTTGGCTTTGGCAACGGCCTTGCTTTGGGCTTTGGCTTTTGCATTGGAGGCTTGCAAGGTGAGCTCGGCAGTCTTCAGCTTCGACTCCTCCATGGGGGAGAGCTGGGTGCCAAAAAGCCATACCCCGAAGTCCGACAGCACCACCTTGCCATCGTTGTCCGAGTCCATGGCGGTCAACAAGACTTTGATGGAAGCATCCGTCCACTCAGCTGCTGAACCCGCCAGGCCTCGCATCAAGGCTCCCAGCTCGACGAAGTCGATCATGCCGTCGCCATCCTTGTCATACTTCTTGAAAGCCTCCCGAGCTCCGATACATCTACCACACCTGCCGACAGCTACGGCACTACGGTACTCATCAGACTGCTGGGAGGCCTCCAAGACATGCTGGACCCTTTCGTCGCTTGGATCGGCGTTCTCCTCCTGGAATCGACGAAGGATTTTGCCAAAGCAGCCAGCAATGCGGCAATGCTACATCTGTGCCTCGTCTGCATCAAGCCCCGGCATCTGGTTGCAGGGGCTCTGCGGCTCTGAGCCAAAGAAGCTGTTGGAAGTCAACATCACATTTGTCATCCTTCGGGCGGTCCTGGAGAGTCTAATTGGGGGAACACTTGCAGCTCTGCGCTTTAAAGCAACCACTGCACCTCCAGGAGCAAGTCCTTGGTCTCCATGATCTTTACCTGAGCACCGAGGCGGATCAGTTTCCCCAGGCGGCTGCTCCGGAGTTGGGGGCTCGGCTCTGAGGTGACAGCGCGAGATGAATGACAAGAACTCGGTGGCCTCCATCAGAGGGGAAGTCGTGTTAACACCATAGCCTGACACCTCCACCCAATACTCACTGCACTATGATGTACTATGCCCTGACCGAAATAAATGGCTCGCAAACGATTAAAATCAATTCTATATGTATAATATGGGTTCATAGGCATCAATCAATAGAATGCTCACCAACCAAGCTTCGCCGCCGAAGCCTGGAGAAGCTTGTCGAAGATCCTTTGATGCTGCCGGCCAACCTACAGTACAACTCGAATTCTTGCAGTCCACCTTTTGCCGGTCAGGGGTACTCTGAGGCCTCGGTGATACCGTGCGAAAGGGAGATTTCCTTCGCCTCCCGGCAGATCAATGCCACGATTCCGTGGCCCCACCATTGCTTTGCAGAGGCCTCCCGTGGCAGACTTCGCAGAGGGACTTCGACACCTCCACACACCAAGAGCGGCCGATGAAAGCGTGGGGATCCAGAGCTCCGCGACGCCGCGAGACTCAGCCCACGGCAGGCGGTCTTCACGCATTCGAGCACGGCTGTCACCGCAGCGGCCGCGGGCTTCGGCCTGGAAGCTCGTTTTGCCCTTGAGCGGCACAAGGCCACAATAGCCACAAGGGAGAATGTTTCAATGAGGTCCTCGGGGTGCGCAGCAAAGTCGGCGCTGCCTGGTGGCGACCCAGATCAGGGCAACCCTTCCCCAAACTTGGCCTGCTCAGCCTGCTGTAGGGTGACCAGCAGCAGGACGGAGCTCCCATCTGAAGCTTTGGGGTACTTCTGACTTCTACGAGAATGGTCTTGTTCTTCAAGACTCTGCACTGCTCGGCCGCTCGGCCTTGCGCTCCTGGACGACCGAAGCCCAATGTGGCACCGCTGCGGACACTCACAGGTGAACCTAGCAGAGAAACCCACGAAACAGACTCCCGGGAGCGGTGGAGGCGGAAGGAGAGGACCAGTGCCCTGCAGGCCTTGCTGGATGGCAACTCCATCGACGTGCAAAGGATTCCTGGTCAGTCCCGGCCCCATCTGCAAATTGTAATGAGCTATGCGAGCTCGCGATCTCGAATAGCTCAGCTGCAGGCGCTGAGAGCTTTTGGATCTGGAGGGGCAACCCGGGCCTGTTAGCAACGGGGCCAACATACACAACTCACACAGCTGCCGGTCCACCACCTTGCAAGGAGCTTGAAATGTGCCCTCGAGATGTAGGCAGCTTCCTGCCCGAAAACTTTCGAATGTGACGGTGGAACGCTTCGGCTTGCAGACGAGGTGTCCGTTTCCTGCAAGAAGCACTCGAAGAACTCCCGCTGGTGTTGCCTGCCTGTAGACTCGTAGACTGTACATGGCTTGAGGTCGGAGGGTCTCTCGAGGAATCCTTGGAGTCACTTCCGGCCTATGGTGATCTCCCGATCCTCGTCCACCTGCTCCAGGTCCAACTGCTACAACGCGCTCTGCGCAGACTCCCCTTTGCACTGGATTCGCACATGTTGACCATCTGTTGTACATGTGCTGCTGCTGCTGCTGCTGCTGCTGCTGCTGCTGGCGACCATGCATGAACCAGAAGGAGGCAGGCTGGCTTGCCTCGGTTCTTGTCCTATGGTAGTTCTCTAGATCAGTGTGCCGTTTTAGGGTCGCTCAAATGATACGGCACCCTCAGAAAAGGCCCCTTGCAAAAGGATTCTATAACTTAGAGAACCAATTCCCCACTTACTGTACGAATGCAGGGCACTCCCAGCGGGGTAATAATGTCGACATCATATTCCTTCTTGTAAACCTGCTACACAAACAGAAGGCGGAGAGCGCGATTAGAAACACGCGCGCAGTGACAAAATCGAGGCGGCCAAGCGGAAATAACACTCATGGATGTGTTGTCGAGAATTTGCGATACTCGGAACACAGCAACAATCTCCCTGGGTCTCCGCCTGCAGCAGGCCTTTGTGATTTTTCGGGACCCGCCTACTTATGCGGGAGCGGAGCCTGCATCCTCAGGGATAACAAAACCTACGAAGGTGTCCTAGAGCTATTTCGCTTTTCCCCAGGACTCGACTTGCTCACGGCGCCCACAGGCCGCACAAAATTACGAATCAGATCGCTGCACCGACCGCTGCAAAGCTAGCAGTATTGTGACGGAAACACATATTGGTACAGACGAAATCAGACGAACATTACGTGCTCCACGAGTTACGAGTCAGAAAAGATGTGGTTGACCAGTAAAGGCGAGCCAAGACCCCTGCACAGAAACATGCACTTCAACTCACTAGGCAGTTCCCTTTTGCATCTTTCGCGCACCTTTCGCCGAGGGTTTTGCATGCTTTTTTCTGGTCGATTTCCGGTTCATACATACATACAGCGCTTTTAGGACAGCCCCCACATGAAGTGAACATTAGCTGTATTTGCGACTCCAAGATGAGTACAGCGCAGCTCTGTAGCTGCCAGAAACTTCTTCAGGAGTAAAAGCGGCTTATGCACTGCAAAACTCTGGATTCTGGACTTCCGCTCTTACACCTACGTCACGAGAGATCTGCAGTGCAAAGATTCGAGAAGGGCCTGGAATCGGAGGGAAGGAATCTCTTTCGTCGGAAACTCCTGAGGATTCAATTCAGCTTTCAAGCACTCTTGAAAACTTGCCGCGGATCCGAGCGGATGGCTTTAGTCTGGAGCTTGCCAGGGACCTGGACCGGGAAGGGTTCCAGCAAGTCTCCTGTCTATGCGGCTAGCCTTTCGGGTGCCAGACGCACGACAGAACAACTTCCAGCGGCGGAGCAGCCTCTCCCAGACTCCAGACTTGGCAAGGACAGAATGCACAGAGACGGTATGCCGAGAGTCTCGTAGACTCATCCTCATGCACGGCAGCCCCGGCCTCCCCACGACGACCTCGAGCCGAAGATCGCAGGAGCTGCGATAAGGCCTTTGAAATAGATCAACACTGTAAGAGACTCTAAGGACTCTAAGCTCGACCAGCAGTCAGAGCTCGGCCTCGGCGATCTCTGCGAAGCTTGGCCGCGCGAAGGATGTTGGATCGACCTTCCATGCAGCATGGTCCGTTCCCTCTTGGAAGCTCTGTCTCTTTAGCCCAAGAGCCGGACGCAGCGCAGTGCCAAAGTTGCCAGAAGGTTCAACACCTCACAAGGCCACCTGCAAATCAAGGCCGAACTTTGAAGACTTCATGATTCGGGGGTGGGGGGTGGGGGGGAGGGCCTCGCAGACAGGTCCTGGTTCTCCCAAACCCGCGTGCAAGCCCCGGAATGAACCTCATGAAAAAGATGCACAAGAATTCGAGTTTGCGGCCGAATGCCGCCAGGTCACGTTCTGAACGATCTGCAGAAGCGGGTACACAATCTCACCTCAGCTCTGAAAGACGGCAGCTGTTGCAAGCTCGCCTTGCATCACCTTGCCTGTGGGTTTCTCAAGAGCAGGAGGCTTGTTGATGGCAAGCTCCAGCAAGAGAGTTCCGAAAGAGTACACCTCCGCGACATGGAAGTCTCCGCAGCAGCACTTCTCGGTCAACAACCTCTGTGTCCTCGCTCACGCACTGTGTAGCAAGGTAGTTTGGGCAAGCATACCTGCACATGCAAGCCATTCACTCCCCCAAGAAGCATCTGTCAGCAAATTCCGATGGCATCCAAGGCTCACCCTGGGGTTCCACTGACACGCGTCACCTGCGTGCAAAGACTTGTGGACAGCGAAACCGGGTGGAAGCGTGAACCCCCCTGCGAGGCGCACCGAAAGCTGCGCCGTTCCAGCATCCTCAGAGACTCGCCCGGAAGATCCCGGAAGTCTAGGACCCGAAACAGTAAACCTGGGCCCATCAGGGATGTCAATGTCAAGGAGCCGTCACGGCACTGGCAGTGTCGTCGCCGTAAATCCATTTGACCCTGTCACCAGTCCTCAGCAGTATGTGGGAAGAGACACTTGAAGAGCAATAAACAAACCGAAGAGCAAGAGACACCCCAAAGAGAAGACGTCTACGAAAGTAAGAAAGGCCGTTTCAAAGGGGCCCAGGCCCTGCGAAGAGGAGGTTCTTGGGGCGGATGTCACGGTGGAAGACCCGCTGCTTCATCATGTAGGACAGCCCCTCCGCAGCCTCCGAAGTTCGGACGCGAAGTCCCAACGGCGGATTCCGGGTTACGGCCGGCCTGGGCCGCTGCGCTGAGCCGTCCTTGCCATAGGAAGTCCTCCGCAGAATCGGAATCGCCCGCCGTGTTCAGACAAAAAAGGTGCCTCTTTTCCTCGCCTTGCTCTGAAGGCGCTGGTGCAGGCTGCCACCCGACAGGAGCTCGAAGACCAAGAAGCTCTTACACCTGAGCTCGCCTAGTTGGACCGGCTTCTAAGCAAGAGCTCTATGCGAAGCTCCGGACTCGTGCATGGCCCATCCCTGCAGTTCTGCCAGATTCGGGTGGCGGAGGCCTGAGTAGCCGAGTTTTTTGCGGATTTTTCGTCGGGAAATGGCCATCGCCACCTGTTAAGGCCCAGGCGGCTAAGTGCGAGAAGCTCATCCTGAATACTGTCTCCCTCTCCCGCATCCTCAATGACCTCCGAGGCTTTGGTGAGCAGTGGTCCACTGAAGATACCAACAATGGTGTTTATCGCAGTCGCACTGTGAAAGATCAACTAGAGGATGGCTCCCAAAAACCGCAAGCCGCGGAGGGCTGCACCATCTCTGCACTAAGCAACTTCACCCTTGTCGCGCTCACATCTGGGAAATTGGCTCTTTTCGTGCGAGGGCTTGTTCCAACAAGCCAGCTCTTGCTACAAACTTCCGAATTCTGCCTGGGCCGCCCAGGCCCGGTTACACGCCCTAAATTCTTCCAACCACGACCCCTTTGGCTTCTTCACACGGGTGACTCTTCCTCAAACATGAGATATTAGAACAAGCCCAAGAACAATCCAAGCATCAGGCAATGCATGCAAAACAGCATCAGGATGTTCGGAGCAACGTCGGAGATACACCGTTGGCAAACAGAACGGGACAGCTTTTGCTGGCCCTCCTCTGCCCCCTTCCTCTCGCGCATACCCTGCTCGAATTCGGCTCTGATGGTTGCAGCGAATCGTGGATTGCTTGGAGCAAGAAACAGGCAGCACATCTTAGAAGCTTCTGCTGTTGGGCGGGTGTGCTGGTTGGCCCAAGCGGTCCGCACTTTTACCGTTCAACCTTGTGAAAAAACTGCGTTTGGCCTTGACTGCAACGTCGCTTCCACGCAGCTTCCCTCTGTACACCTGAGCTTGCAAAAAGCGGTGACAGCAGGAGCCGCAGTGTGCCCACAGAGCGCACGGCACGGGAGCCGCCGGAGCCTAGCCTAGGGAAAGGCGTTGCAGGCGCGTGCATCAAACTGCTGCTTCTCCGAGCCTGTGAGCAAAAATCTGCGTCGATGCTTCCAGCTCCTGACACAGAGACCGACCCCCCATCGCGCAGAAGCCAGAGAGTGTCCAAGAACAAGCTGCCTGGTATTCGTACTGCACTAGCCCCGGCGCCAGCTGCTTCTTTGGCTGACTTGCCGGTGCTACTCCAGGCGGCTCTTCGACGGAGAACCATGCTCGAAATCCCTGCAACGAGAGAAGTTGTATGGGGCAACAGAGTTTGGACCATGCCTCAGCAACTTGCGTCAGCATCTCTGCATCGCGCTCACTGGCAACCTCGACCCGCCGAAACATGTCACACAGTGGTCGCGCTGCTCAACTTGTGGCCTCAGCCCAACACCAACGGCCACGGCCATCGAAGCACTGCGCGGCTTTGCACGGCTTCTTGCGGTTGCTGTCCGCTCTGACATTAGGTCCGCTCGTTCGATAACAGATGGCTTCTTTTGCTTACGAGGGCTTTCTGGATCTTTGCAGCTTCATGCATTTGCTGCCCAGACTGCTACCTCTGAGAGTGCGGCAACTGCAGACCCTGATCGGCCAAGGCGAAGAAAGAGGTCAGGGCACAGTCGCGCTGCACACGGGCCGCGCTTTATGGTCAGCAGAGCTGATTTTGGCCGCGCTGAGTCCACACAACCTCTTCTTGCCCGGCGCTCATCGCAGAATGCGTGCGTGCGCCATGCTCTTCCTCACCTGGAACGTGAGGCAGCTGGTGAGGCTAAAATAGATTGAGCATGGCATTTGCGCACCCGGCTGGATGTGCAACACTTTTGCAGATGCGTGCAGGTTGTGTGGCTGCGCTGGCGAGGCGTCCAGAAAATCAGGCCACAAGTTTTCGCGGTTCGTCAGTCGGCAGACCCCCGAATCTCGTGCCGCGACATAGTAAGTAGAGAGTGGGTGTCGGGCAGGGCAGCGAAGCAAAACGAGAACGTTCCTAAGTCTTGCTCTCACTGTTCTTTCAAGTTACCAACCCGAAATCGCTTCATGACGCTCCGAGCCTTTTGTCTTCACATTCAGGTGCCCTTGAAAACATCTGGTGAACGTCTTCGACGGTTCCCCACTTAAACTCGCAAAACTTGCTTTGCTCCCAGTTGAGAGTCTTCTGGAATAAAGTCTATATAGATATAGTCAGAGTCTAGAGTGACACGTGGCTCTCTTCGACAGTTGTTGGAGAAAACTGGGGCGGCGCCGTGTGGTTAAGCTTTGCTGCCAGGCCTTTGTCGTTCTTCTCAACATGAAACAAGAACCTAAATTTCCTAAATGCCTACAGGCTGCAGTACACATGTAATTCCATGTAATTCTGGTCGCCTCAGCATGCAGGCTAACAGAGTCTGAAAGTCCAAGCGGCATTCCCAGTTCAATAGCGACAGCCCGAAGATGCATATGGCAAAAGCACACCATGCCAGGGATGCGCCCAAACTCGTCGAATACGCGATAACGGACACTAGAAACCCGGTGATGCCAACCACGAAGCTCACAAGGAAGACCATGACACTCTGAAGCCAATCCTCGGAGACATCTCTACAGTAAGACTAGACTGTCATCACGACCTCTCTGTCCCCGGGCCATGAACCATCTAGGATATCCTAAGATCATGTCTGAGCATGTTCATCCTGTGCAAGCTGCGCTTTATCCTCATGATCTACAGAAGGGGTAGAACACTTAGTCGTGACTTTGTCCTTGTCAGATGTAACTTTCCTTCTTTTCAGCAAAATGGCTGAGTTGTAACTTTTTTGTTAAGAAGAACAAATCTCTGCAAAGGGTTGCAAGCCAGGCATCTTAGTCATAGCTTTTTGGCACCAAGCCACTAACTGTTTCTGGTGTATTTAGGACCAAATCCCCCCACAATTTGTGTGCCGTGTTTAGCACCAAACCAGAACCGTCACACAAGGTTCATCTTGGGTTTTCGTCTTGGGTAGAGGGTTCTCGCTGGATTTACTCCTTAGCCTTATCGTCTTGGGCAAAAGGTTCTTGTCGGATTCACTCCGTAGGGCTTTCGTCTTCGAGAAAAGGTTCCTGCTGAGCAGTGCTTAATCACGGTGACCCACGCAATGCTACGAGTAAAGCCCGGAGTGTAGCTTGATTCCCAAAGCCGAACAGATACAGCTTTGACCTGCAAAATACGGATGCACCGGAAACTCAAGCTCCCAATGAGACAACAGGGCTGAAACTGACAGTTGAAAATGAAATCCGTACCTCTTGCCAGCTTTCCCAAGTCAGGCTTCACAGCAGCCCGACTTGTACGGAGCGGCGAAGCGTTCGCATACCCACATGCTGATCCGGATCTGCACCTGTCACTCCGGACAGTTTGGGACTTGTGGATGCCTCTGATGCATTCAGGCTCAGGGGCCCCATCCCTGTCGAGCTAGCAGCTAGCCGCCGTCAGAGCCCAACACGTGCAACCCTGCACCCATGAAGACTTACACGGAGTTTCTCTTATCACAGTAACAATAGGCAAGCGAGGTGCCGCCCCACTGAAGAGGATTGTGCCGAAGAGGATACTGAGGACATAGCAAAAGATGAAGCGAAGTGGCAACCCTCTTTTGATGATGCCGAGCCTCAGACTTGCCAGCTTAGGAAGCCGTTGGGAACTCTCTGGCAGAATACAAAGTGGCACAGATCAGAAAAAGCTTTCTTATTGCTTGCTGCTTGCTATCTAGACACAAAATGTCAATACAGAGGCTCAGGGTCGGCGATACGATGACGAAGATGTACTGCAGCGGTAAGCCGCTGTTGGCCTTGGCCAGCAGCTCTTTCCGGAGAGGACCCCGAACGTAGTCGGTGAAAGCTTCTCGACTGCCGTACCATCCCTCAATCGCTTGAAGGACAAACTCCCTGTCGAACTCCTTCGCACAGTCCGCCTTGTCAACATCGAAATTATCAAGCGATGCAAACAGTTCCTGTTTGGCCGACAGATTTCTCCGCAGAATGTGCACCATTACAACGAATGGAGCAATAGCCGCAGGTGCCATGAATCTTGGGAGCGTAGGACTTACCATCAGAAGCTGAATGTAGATGATCATGATGATGTACTGACCCAACCAAAGCATCGCCACCCCGGTCTCGAAGAACAAGGGTGCGAGGGTGATCTTGCCGTTTGGATTTATAAACCGATAGGCCGCTATCTCGAAGACACACCAGAGTCTCGACCTCGGTCGAGCCATTCTTGCCATTCTTTGTAAGATGTCAACCTGTACATACGTAGAAGAAGCAGTTAACTGGGTCGGGTATTCTGCGTATGCTGCTATAGGATGTACAAGAAGCGTTCTGTCGTTGGCTGTGAACCTTTCATGGGTTCACTGTTGGGTGTGTCGGGCTTGCTGATCCGCTCTGCTGCTGTTATTAGCCTGCTGGTGTCTGTGGGTTGCAAACAAATACGAGGGTCTGGGAAAGCGAATTCCAAAGGGCAAGCTGCAAGTATGGCTTCGACCAGAGGATGCGCAACTCCTTGGATACCTTGGACTATTCGGGTCAACCGTGGGATCCTTTGGGAACTGGGGGCCTCTTGCCAAAGTCCGCAAGTCTCGAGCCAGGAGACCGCCAAGCATCCTCCGAGACCTGAGTGCCAAGCTTGTGGGTTTCGCGGCTCGGACTGCAAGCCCATGACGTTTGACAGGCGGTAGACTTCAATGGGTAGACAGCATTTATAAATGTTTTTGCCGGACTTTCGACCTTGGATAGTCCACCGAGCACTGTTCAGTCTTCCAACACTGTAACATGGTCCATGAGCTTAACACGTTCTGGCTAAATACCGCTGTAGCAAGACACGGTCTCTTGCGATAGTATTTTGTTGCTTACCAGGATCAGGAGGTCTTGACGCCGGAGATTAGCTCTGGCAGAAGGGGCCATACACGAACCCAGCCCATGACTCGTTTCGCTGATCTAGCATCAAGAGATGCGCAAGACGAAGCTGCAGAAGTCTTCTCACAAGTCAGTTGGGAGCGGTTGACTGGTCTCCGTCTGGATGCAAGCCAGGTGGCCATAAATGCCACGCTCCATCAAGTCCTCATCCACTTGGTTGATGCCTTGCAGTGTGGTGCGTTTGCAAAGCTTGCCAATCTGAAACCTTCGCTAGGCTTACAAAGGAGGCTCAATGTTGCGACGGAGTTGTGTGAGTCGGAGTTTGGCACCATAACTTGTAAAATTGAGAAAAACCGCATCTTGGATGCCCTGGCGACGCAAAGTTCAAAGGGGCCATTTGTGATTTTCGTAGAATGAAACTTTTCGCGGTGGCAGATACCTCGGCGCTTATCATGTTTCATTTGCGAAGCAGAACCTGTGCAATGACGATGAAAGGCATCAGAGTTTGCTCTCGCAGGCAACCAACTGTCCGAGTAACAGGCCGAGATGCTGACGATGTCCAGGAAACAGTCTTTGGCACCCCCGGGAGCTACAATGGCCGTGACCACGGGCGCAAGATTTGCCAAGAAGAGACCCCAAGCTCCTGCGCCAAAGAATGCTAAGCTCCTACGGTAGAGAACTGAGATCGGCCTTGCGCGCCATGCAGGCTTCAGCACCAAGCCAAATCTACGAGTCCACTGCTAGCACTGTTCCTTGACATTGCATGCTGCTCATAGCCTTCGCTCATGCCTTGGCAAAAGCCTGGCAAAAGGTCCAGCCCCAAACCCTAACTCAACTTGACGCCGGCACCCGACCCCCAGCTCCGAAAGGGAAGACGTAGCTGTCGCCTTCAAAAACAGCCTCGGCTCGAGTCTCTCTCCGACGCCTGCAGGCCTGAGGGATTCCCAAACCGAAAGATTGTGCATCATCTATTGGGTCTTGGTGTCCGGAAACGGCTTCGCATGCGCGTTGATGCACATTGACTATAGTCACCAGTCACGAGGACAGGTTTAAGGTTTAAGGGTTCGAAGCCGCAAGCGCCTACTGAGACCCCACTGACAACAAAGGGGCACACATGACGTGGCAGCCTTTCGCACAGTTCTGACGTCCTACAAGGGAAAGCCGCAAGTCCACAACTGGTACCTGCCGCACATTTCTGCCCAGGCACTGTGAAGTTCATATGGAACGGTAGAATGTCGAAGAAAGCCAGAGTCTCCACGAGAATTAAAGCGAGGAGCCAGCTAAGCAGGAGCCGCTGCCATCCACACTGCAGAGTCAAAGCCAAAAACTTCCACAACCCTCTGGTTCGCCAAGTGTGCGATAAAAACAAATCAAAGGACTGCATCTGCCTTGAACGATCCCACATCGCAGCCCGAAGCTCTTCGGACAGGTCCATGGGAGAATAGCGCCAAAGCCGACCGAAACCCCTCAGTGTATCTTTCACGGAAACACCGCGAATGATGTCGAGGTCAGGAACCAACGCGTCACGCAAGAGCAGGCTTCGTCGACGCCCCTTCTTGGGGCCGGGGACCGCTGCAGCTCCGCCAAGATCGACCTGAGCCTGAGCCTGCAAGTCATTGTCTGCGTTGGGACCCGGCGCAGGCAGTGCAGGTGGTACGGAAGTCACCTCAACATCAACTTCTTGGTCTCTTGAGCAGCCGCATGCACTCGCCGTGCTAGCAGTCGCCCCCATGGTGCACTGTAGGGCCCGGATGGCTGCGGCAGATGTCTCCCAGAAGCGCCAGCGCCGTTGGAACAGCTTGCAATTGAATTCACCCGGGCCTTTACCTATACATACCCACCAGATCATACATGCATAGAGTAATAGAGTCATAGAGAGACGTCCCTTTCTGGCCTTGAGACTCTGGACAGGGCCAAAGCAGCTTCTTGATCTGGAGCTTGGACTCCCGCAGCCTCGAGCCAGGGCTTTGCGAAAAGCCAGGGGCTTCGAGAGATAAGGAATCTTCTCTAGTTGCTCGAGTCCCAGACGGTCAAGTTCCCGAACGGCGTAGTGAGCTGGTGCGTCCACCATCTTCGACCTACGAGTGCCAAAGCTGTGTTCATTCCGGGTGGAGGGCGCGGTTTGTAAGCCGCCCACCACACAACTGACGATGTTAGTCAGCGTCCTGCAACACCGGCATATGACAAAGACTCCGCAGAGAAGATCAACAAGATGGAGCCTCTGAATCGGATGTCACACCGTCGTCTTTGCCTGCCTTGGCGAACGACTTGACTCACTTCTACACACTCCAGCATGGGACACAGGCCAGTGCCACGAAATGACTTGTCACAGCTGGGGTATTTATGCTGCTTCTTGCACTGGGTGAACAAGTAATCCTCACTTGTCGGTGTGCCAGAGTGCTTGAGCTACTGCGGTGAAGCTTGCACTTCTTCTTTCACTTCCCTTATCGATGCAAAAGCTATGCTATGTCCGAGGTTGCAGGGAGAAACGGCCAACTCAGGCTCTTGAAACTCTTCCCAGAGCAGGGAGTGGCAAATGCTATCAAGGAAGCGGGACTCTGACAAAAAGGACGCTGAAAGCCGGTGTCGTCCAGCAAAGAAAGTGCATTTACTGCAGCAGATGTCCAATCCAGAACAAGCCCGGCGTGGTGCCCGTCGTCAGTGCGCGAAAAGAAAATTGCCCATGCAGCAGATTTGAAGCGGCGACTGCGGAAAGATAAGGCCTGCAGGCCGCGGCCGTTGTCCAGTGAAGCACGAGTTTCTGAATCAAGGACCGGCTGTCTTGCAGGGGCATAGGGCAGGTCTCCACAGGGAGTAGGGCAGAACAAGATGTCCAGTGAAAGCTAGCTCCCAACTCAGCGCGCTCACATCAGGATTGAAAAGCAGAAGTGCCAATTCAGTTACAACGAGCACGCGTTAATGAGCAAAGGCTCGATTTAGGTTCTCTCTCTCACTCTCTCTCTCTCTCTATCCTAGGCTTGGGGACCGATCAAAGTCCCCGGGCATATTAGCCCACCCAATGCATTGATTGGGCCCTCTCTGCTTTGCTAGGGGCTAGGAGCGGGACCCTCGCGCTTTACCGCGCACAGGGGTTGGTACAGGAAGGAAAGAAAGGCCGAGATTTCTTGTGGAACGACTCACGGGTACCCCCACCAGAAACCTCTATACTAAACCACAACCCGCCTCGACGGCTAAGGTGTGAGTGCCCCCCTACAGCCGGTGTCGATCCCCCATCTCGAGCTCAGTGCCCGACTGTCGCTTGGGGGGTCAAACCCTTGTCCATTTACCGTTCATGAAGGGTTGGGGGGTCCAACCCTTGTCCATTTGCCGTTCATAAAGGGTTGGGGAGGTCAAACCCTTGTCCACTTCTTGGAGGGTCGGGGGACTTAGTTAGTAAGTAGGTAGTAAGTAGACTTATAAGTACCCTAAGAGGGAACCTAATTGGGGTTATGGTACTTATAAGTCTCCAAAATAACTACTTACTAAGTCCCCCGACCCTCCAAGTTGCCGTTCATGAAGGGTTGGGGGGTCAAACCCTTGTCCATTTGGGAACTGGCCAAAAAGGAGGAACCCAGAGATCGGCCGACAGCCTAATGTAAATGGCACATTTTATAAGCAGAATTTGGTAACAGAAAATCAGCTGTCAGCTTCCTGGAAAGGAACACCCGCCAAGTCGTGAAGGGTTGGGGGGGTCCAACCCTTGTCCATTTGGGAACCGCTCCAAGTCGTGAAGGGTTGGGGGGTCAAGCCCTTGTCCCCCCGTTTTGGGGCTTATATGCACACTGCCGATCCCCCAACAACACTAACAGGCAACAGCGTAGTACAGTAAGTCAGTTTGTGCTGGCTGGTGTGCGACTGTCTTGTGGCACTAACTGAACATGAAAATCTGTACAACTGAGGCCCTGGCGACACCCACTCACTTGCACTTGCATGTCAAACTCTAACCACAGTCATCACTCTTTACGGTAACCCCCACTAGAGGCAACAGCTACAGTAAACCGAGAGTTCGCAACTTTGCTTTGCTTTGCTCCGGGGTATGGATCGTGGGCAGTCCCCACGACCCGCGCGTTCGCGCGACCCCATCCGTCCTATTGGACAGATGGGCTTGGCTGTACACGGAGCATGGTTTCGTGGGATTGGCTGGTGCCCATGTTCGTCCCCAAAGAACAGCAACAACTGGTACCCACTAGAGACAGGTCTCCCAACACCGAACACGTTTACATACTGTCACTAGGTTCCCTGGGCCCCGAGTCTTCCCACTGTTGTGTTGGGCTTGTGCCCTCTGTGCTACTTGAAACCAACCTTTCGCGAACTCTCTCTCTCTCTCTCTCGCTCTCTCTCGCTCTCTCTCTCTGTCTGCAAACCAAACTCAAGGGCTCTCATGTCTACCTCCCAGCATCTGGTCAGCTGGTCAGCTTCTCGTCACCCCCTCCTCCAATTTCCCAAAATGAAAGCACATCTTCACCCTGGGTCAAAGGCCAGCAGGTCAGAGACTTCCGCAACACGCTCCAGGCATGCGAGAACCTGGCAGTGGCACTGGGCTTAGTTCATTGGGCCTTTGGGGTTGCAGGGAGTGGAGCTGTGAGGGAAGCTGCCTGCGGAATAAGACTCGGCTGCGACCGCACCCATGTCAATGCCGGCTCACCGAACCTCCAAGACCGGGGATGGCCGGGGATGCAACAGATGGGAAACGCAGACCTCTCCCTACATGAGGTGGTCTCGCTGCCCAGCTCTTTAGTCTTGGCTCCAGGCTTGTGCCATCGGAGACCAATTTGGCGCAGACACATCTCCCGCAAGGTGCAAACCGGCGCAGGCCGCCAGTGAGCACCTGCAAAGTTGAAAACCGACACTTCACCACAGCGGCGCCGAAGACTGACATCATAAGCCCACATTAAGCTGCTTGTGCCTTTGAAGCCCAATCCTCGGAAGAAAGGATGCTCCTCATCCCAACAGTTTCCAAACTTTTCGAGGGCTGAGTTGTGGCTGCTCTTGTCTGACTCTTCTCAGCGCTCCTCCACTTCTCGCAAATCCTTTGCACCAAGTCGGGCGTCTGGATCCTGACTGCATGCTTTCCGCTAGGCTTCTAAAAGTGGAGCCACACAACCTCAAAGAGGTACCTTGACCACCATACTTTGGATCAGGTCAACGGCATCGTCTTGAAGCCACTTGCTGGGAAACTCCAAAACACCCTTGCCTGAGTGATTCACAGCGACTTCTCAATTCTGGAAAAGTGCTTTCTTACCCTTACGGATTAAACTCTCGGCACTTGGCTGATCTTCTTGTAGACTCGAACGATGGACCTGAAGGCTTCCAGCACGCCATCCTGCTTCAGGCTAGGCGGCTAGGATAGGATAAGGTGCCGACCCACCATGAAAGGGCGGAAGCCCAGCCAGAACTTGGAATACCTGTCAGGACTGCGGCATTTCAGAATCTCATACGTAGCATCTCTGTTATCCACGATCTCCCTCCATTCAAGCCCGAGGGACCAGGCATCCCAGTGACCAGGTGTCGGATCGAAAGTCAGAAGACAGGTTCTTCACCACCTCACCGAGAAGGCCCAACAACCTTCTTTTCATGTGACAGCCTGGAGTCGAAGAAGCCTCCGGAGCCATGAAGTTCGAAGTCCCCACGTACTCCTGCAGTACTACAGTACTGAATACATGCAGCTAGCCTTGCATACGATATCATGCCATTCCAGGTCACGTCAAATCCATATGATGAACTCATGATGTTGGAAGAGTACCGGCGGAATCCTGCTGATCTCGTGAATCCGCGGGCGGTCCTCCATGACCGTCTTGAAGTTTCGAGTCCCTGCTCCCTTGACCTGCACCGGGTCTGCGTGGGGGAGGTCGAAAGATTCATCGCACTTGCCTGCGGGTTCGCCAAATCCCGGGCGCTGCCAAAGTCGATGAGCTTGCAGTTGCCTGCAAGCCCATGCCAGGGTGGACGAGCAGGGGCAGCCTCAATTAGTGCGCGTGCCTCGCGGTCCAATGAGCACGTTCTCTGCCCTGCCGTCCGTTCTTCACAACTTTAATTACGTACCGGGCAGGTAGTTTTCTGGCAGTTCTCAGCGTGCCGTACTGCCGAAATCCAACCCAGGCCGAGGTGCTTCAGATCCCTGTGAACAATACGCGCGTCTCTCAGGTACTGGACCTGAGGTTTCGAGCGGTTTCGCTTCAAGGCGCATCGTTGCAGGGACCGACCCCTTCTCTGGTGACTTTGATGGGTCGCCGGCTGCTTCGAAGACCTGGCAGAGGCAGTGCCTGCACAGTGCAACAGGCTTCGCATGGCTTCGCCGCATGGCTTTCCTGCTCATGGCCTCCCAAGGCTCTCTGGGCAGCCGACGGCACGGGACAGGCTCCAGAGCTCGCCCTCCCGGATGATATGCGACTCTCTGCTGCGCGCGTGTCGGACTCAGGCTGGCCGGGTGGCGCACTCCGGGACAGAGCTCTAAAGTGAAGTAGTGCCACTCCTGCAATGTCGCTTGCGAAGACAAAACGTGAGCCGAAGCAGAGCTTTGCGAAAAGTAACTTTCGTTCTTTCTTGTGCTCGTCTTTTCTGTGCGCCTCGTCTCTGAAGGACGCATGAAGCTTGACCTTTTTTGGGCACAAGGAGCGGCACAAGGCTCACTGCGGAGTTGCAGCCAAGTGCCCTGGCCCAAAGGTTCTCAGCGCGAGGCAATGCCGGGATGGTTGGCTCTTCGCAAGCAGTGCTCCTGAAAACCCAAAGAAATATCGTCTTAGGTGAGCTCCAACCGAGACTTCCTAAAGCTCTACGCATACCGGGATTCCGAGGGGGATCCTCGATAGTCACGTCGGCTTCCTTATGGTTGCTCCGCAGAAGTCTGCGATCGAAGGCCTGCAAACACACGACGTCACACGACACTCTAGGACCTGAGTGAAGAGACCTTTTGTGTTCAACTCGAAGCCTTCAGAGCGTACTTCTTGCCGGTGGCTTTCTCCTTTGCCACGCGCACCAAAGCTAGGGAGCCATCGCCAATGACCTTCCGAGCTCTCAGCTCCGAATCGAGGGACGAAAATAAATTTCAACCACAGCCTGACCTCCTGCTCCACATCGAAGTCTGCCAAGCGCCGACGCGGCTTCGGCGGAAGCGGGAACGACATTGCCACGGCCTCATCTCCTAAGTACGAACACCGAAGACGACGCAAACTCTTCTTCCCTGCCAGCTGCTTTGAGAAGCGCTTACTAGAGCCCGGTAGGGCATCCGGGCATAGCCCCATTTTGCATCGGGAAGTTGAACAGTTCTGCAAACTGCTTGCACGCTGTTGGTGCAAAATCCGGCTTGACCTGCACGCGCTGCAAGTCGCAACATGCAACAAGTGCTGCGCGCAAAGGCCGGACCACGGTGTGTGCTGATTTGTATCCGTTCAAGACACATGTGTTCAAGACACATCTTGTCTCCTACATGCCGCTGCATATCTGTGCCAACATGTTGAAGTCAAGTTTTACTCGTGATGCTCGTGTGGGGCTGCTGTCAGTGTCTCTGCGTGCGAACAAACCCCATGGCAGTTTGGATATGTATGGATATAGGGAAGAATACTGGGAATGTTAACGATTCTAGTACTAATTGCAGGTGAGGATTATACACTACTAATGACAGGTAGGTCTTACGAGCATGATGAGCATGGTGCTCATGCTCGGCCAAGCCGTCTACGATAGATCATGAACAGCCACCATTTGGACCTGCCGCCCGTCCAGAACGATGAGCACCAGCCGGCTGCTTTGAGGCACGTGTTTGAGGTTCTGATATCAACTGCATTGAGGAGTGCTTGACCAGCTAGCACACGTCGCAGACTTTGGCGAAGGCTCTGTCGCTGTCCAGGGTGTGGATTAAAGGGAGGCCGTTTCGTGAGTTGGCCTGTCCAATATGCCAGCTAATGCGGAAGGGGACAGTTTTCGTGATGTACTGCTTGACTTAAGGCGCCGGTGGCGGGAGGCAGGCCCCTTGTTAAGGCCCGATCGACGCAAGACTTCAGCTTCACCTAACACAAAACGTTCCGTCAGCCAGTACAGCAGCTTTTCGAATGCTCTGGAGCCTCTACGGTGTGTGGAACAGCACCTTCAGGATGGGTCTCCTTCGTGCGGCCTCTCAGTCTGAACTTGCAAAGTCCCATGCGTACCGGCGCACGTGTTTTTCGGGAAAAGGAGCACAGGCTCAGCCGTCAGTCGCCGCCGTGTCTGCACCGTTGGCTACAGCATTCAAAGGCCCGCCAAGCAGCTCTCGACTCTCGTCTTTCAACCCCTGCAATTCGTCTAAGTCCAGCTTTCAACACCAGCGAGAGCTTTGCTTGGCTCGGTGGGACTCATCAATCGTTGCAGCTCCGTGCCGGTGCAGTCATAGGGATTCGTGCAACTGGCCGGGCTCCACAGAAAACCACGAGACTTCTTCGCCTTTCGTCTCGGATTGCACGTCCGGCCAATCTCTCTTTGTAATGAGATTCGAAGGGCCGCAGGGGCCGAAAATTTTGAGACTCTCCAGGCTCTAGAGCAGCTTCACGATCTCCTCTTCGAAGGACTTCGGCGACTGCACAGGCCAGCACCGAAACTCAACACAAAGACAGTGACGGCATCAGCAGGTTGTCGTGAGAGCTGAGTGATGGGAGTACGGGCGGTGGCGACACACCAGTCGTGGTTGTTTTCGTCGTCTCTATCAGCACTATTGTAGCAGCAGCAGCAGCAGCAGTAAAAAGTACGAGCAATTACAGTAGTAGGGCAGTAGCAGCAAGCGTACAGGGAGTAGCCGAGTGGGGGCATGGAAGTGGGACTAATAGCAGTCGCAGAATGAGGAGCAGTAAGTACTTGGTGTCATCAACATCATTGTCATGGCTGCAGCCATCGCTGGTAATTACCAGCATTATGAGGATAGACCCTGATACAGCTTTCTGTGGGTCGCGAGGCCTGCTGCGGCCCGAAGCGTGCAACAGGCTGTCCTTGCCGGTCCTCAGCGAAGGCACATCCTAGACTTGTCGGCCGATACAGATGCGTCGAATGCGCAAGTCTTGTGAAAATGTTGCTGTGTGGTGACGGCCCTGATCTCAATTCAGAGCAGGAGGTGTGTTGGTTATTGAACAAGAAGAGCCCCGTGCCACCAGGAACTTGGCAAAGTTCCACTTGATGTCGCTTCCCAACCTCAGACAAAGACCCACTACGAAGTGCTGTTTCGCCAGTAAGCGAGACCCGAACAGCTCTCCCTGTCGGGCTTTCAAGAAGGTGTACAAAGGAGCCTGTGGCTCACCAGCTTCACAGATGAACCTCCGCACGTCACTGTTAGGCCTCGTTGTCGCCGTTGACGTCAATCTTCGCGAAGAGGGGGAAGGTGTCCGGGCACTTTGACTGGGCAAAAGCCTTCCAGAACCCGCAAACTCCACGCAGAACCAAGCTAAAGTAATAAAGAGGCTGTTTCTGGCGCCATCCAGACGAGCCTTGACCTCGGCATTGCTGCCAGGCTCCTGGCTTATGATCTGGGCCTCGACATGACCGTGACATGATATTGCCCGCCTGGCCCCCGAACTGGTTGCACGGAAATCCAAGCACCTCTACGAGACACTTGGCTGCGATCAAAGGTGCTGTGATTTTTTTGAGGGAGAAATACTCACTACCCCGTGTCAGATGCAGGAACAGGAACCAGTACAGTTCAGTACAGTTCTGGCTTATTTGATGTAGCTGTCTTCCATGCCGTTCCCATCACAAGCCCCGCAGTTTGAGAACAGAAGCGTGCCGGACCGGGAGGGTCAGAGACCTGATCTTCTGCAGGGCGGACCTCGAATCCTCGAGATCGGTACTTTCCATACAGTTCACACCTGGCAAGTTCGCTTCCCCTTCTGTAATTAGAGCAGCAAAAGGCCGGTGCAGGCTCAGGCCGCGACAATTCAGCATAATTCGTCTTTGTCAAACCTTGTCAGGTTCCACTAACAAGGTGCAGACATGGAGCGGGGGGGGGGGGGGCCTCATTTGCTTGCAAGATTGACGACGAGCACCACTTTGCCCGAGTACTCCTGCAGCGAGACCTCCTGGCCATCGATGTTCTGGACCTCAGAGCAGCGCTTTGAGAGCTGAAAGGCGGCGGATCCCACGCGGCCTGGAAGTCGTAGATGCTGTCGCCAGCAACTTCCTGCCGTCGAGTTGGAAGCCATGTAAGCGTCAGGTGCCAAGGTCCGAAGCAAGGCGTGCTCTTGGTGGACACGGCTTTACGTACGAATGTCTAATCGCCAAGTCATTCACAACAACCTTCATTGCACGATGCCTCATGCTGGCGACTACACTGCAGTACATACAGCCCGTGGTTTAATGTGGTACGGTGTATCAACACACCCATGTATGTGATGCCATCACGCGAACGTATGCATGTATGTATGTGATGTGATGTGACGTATGTATGTATGTATGCATGCATGCGTGTGTACATGCATGTATTTATGAATGTATGCATGTATGCGCGTAGTAATTCGCTAATCCACAAATGTATGCATGCATGCATGCATGCATGCATGTATGTAGGCATGGCTGCCTGTCTGCCTGCCTATGTGTATGGATGTATGTATGTATGTACATTACTTACAGCACGTGTATGTGGTGTGTATGTGATATGCTTCTAGTCATGTATGTTCGGTATGTATAAGGATGCCAGGGGAACGACAACTTGTAGGCATTCCCAAGTCTATTACATAACACCGTTCGGGGATTTTGGTAACGACGTTCGTGGGGATTTGGCTGTCCTTTATCGCGAACCTTTCACGGACCCGCTGTTTTACATCTAAAGGCCGGCACATACATATTATATATATATATATATATATATGTGTATATAGGTGTGTGTGTGTGTACACTGCATATGATATGCAGACACGGGCCTTTGGATCAATGCACTTCCCTGTGGGTGTTCGCAACATCCCATTCATACGCGCTGGACGGCTCCCAGCAGAAGGTAGCTCAGCAATCGTCGGGTCATGAGGCCTTGCTGCTGCCACCGCCCATGAGCTCACGAGCAACTCCTGGGGATCGCCTGCAGAAATTGAAGCAAAAAGTCCGAGCCAAGAGGAAGAGAGGGCGGACACCTTCTGACCTTTTCCTGCTGTGGTCAGCGCCGAGGGAAAGTCTCATGTCCCGGCTGCGGGGTGGCTCTCGAAAATCAAGGGCAGCAAGGCAGGGGGGAGCTGGCTGGGAGGGCAAAGGCGCTAAGAGGAGCTCTTCTGGCCCATCGGTCTATGCCTCAGCAGGAGCTGGCGCGCGTATCTCACTTGAGTCGTTTCTGAGCCTTCCGAAGTGTCGCAGAATCCTGGCGCCACACGAGCGGGGCCCATCACTCGGCACATGTTCTCTCAGTCCGCACCTCGGCCAAACACCTGCTGCAAGTGCACGTGAAGCCATATTCCAACAGCCTCGAGCCAAATCACACGGACCGATTCTGCAGGACCATCACTTATTTATTTTCTCCGTGGTTGTGCCTGCGTCTGCGTGTTTGCACATCTGCTTCCTGGAGGAGTTTTCAGCCCAGTGATATCGACTGCCGGGCAAGACTCATGCCTGGTTGACGTAGCAGATGCAGAGCTCGTCACCCGGCGAAATGTTCAAGACCTAATAGCTTACTGTGTGACATATCCAACATTCACTGGACAACTGCGAGGCGACCCTCATGATACGGGCACTACAAGTAGCGTAAGAACCTGATGAAGATAACCTGGCTATGAATTCTGGATCCACGTCAAGGCCATGGCCTATCGTAACCGGGTTCCTACGATTCTGGCCACGCAGCGGAAGTCGCCGTCAAGCGGGCCGAGTTTCCCGGAAAGGCGACCTTTTGGCTGCAGACAGTGGCTGGCTTGAAGAAACTGGAGTTGCAGAGCTGCAGACTTTATATGCTGTAACAGCAAGGACCCTCCTAACCGGTGTGCGGTCAGAGCACCTTCATGTTGGGCGCACCTGTGGCAAGGCAGATCAAATGCAATGCAGTGTACGCAAAGCATGGCACGACTGTTTGTCACCGAGGCACAGGAATGGTTCATTCGAGCAACCTCGCATTGGGATGGGCATGCGGGCATGCGGAACGTGATTTCGAGCATGATTGCAACACTCCCTCTCCCGAGCAAGAAACTGAAGCGAAGAGCGCCGTCCCGTGCATTTGCGGCCACACGCCCTGGGAAAGAGACTGCGTCCCGTTGAAAGAAGAAGCTCGTCCCCCGGTCCCCGAGTTCCCGTCCCCACCTGCAGCAGCTGCTCGAGGGAGAGTCTGGCAACTTCTGCGGTGGCTTGGGCCATGGCTGCCTTTTTACAAAGGCGCGCACTCACAAGCGCTTCTGTCAAAGTCTCAAGGATCCTGCTCCCTGCGCAGGGACAGTGAAAAGCTCGGCCCCCAGACACTTGCAACCTCGGCATCGTTGCCCTGCTCAGCAGCCTCCCCCACAGTTCCACGGCACTGTGCGCTTTCTGATGAAATCAAATGCCCCCTTATGCTGAGACCTTCATGAGGCTGTCCATCGGCTCTGCATCTTGGGTTGCCGGGTTTGTGGCCGCCACGTCGGCCTCGTCGCCTCAAGCGAGATGCCCAAAAGCCCGAGGCGACGGGGAGCTCCAAACCTCTGAGGCCGGAGCCGAAGATCCCAGTCGTCTCCTGCAGAAGTTAGCCATGCCATGCCAGGACCCATGCAGGTCCCATCTTTGCCTTTATCCCCTCCCATGCACCTCAAAAGTGGACAAACTGTTTTTTGGGTTTGGCACTTTGTGAAGCAGGTCGGAGGGGATGGCCAGGAGGACCTGAGTTTTTGATGGCTGTGCCGCTGGGTTGTCCAGGAATTTCAACCCCCTCGCCCCCTTCTCGGTCGTTCTTCCCACTTCCCAGGTGCCCTCCCTTCCTTCCTTTTGCCAATCCTTCAGGGCACTGATTCCAAGAAATGGCTACGGACATGTCAACACTCGACAGGTCTGAGGCGGAGAGCCCCGCGCGAGTGTCTGATTGCAGCAGCTGGTCTGACCAAGAGCAACAAAGCACGCGTCGGGTCTGCTCCAGAACCCACCCAACATGCAGATGCCGGAGTATCCTTGATCATGGCTAACAACCATGCGAAGACAAGAGCGCAAGATCTGTCTGCATCTGTCTGCGAAAACACTGGATATGGCAAGCACAATATGCGCACGCACCTTTCCGAGACAAAAAGAAATCAGAAGGTGCGCAGCCCCGTCCGCACCTCGCCCCAGATGCAGCGCATTACCTTGGCAGTCCGGCCACTGTACAAGAAGAATCCACGGCCTTTTTGCGTCCGTGTGCTTGAAAAGTCAGGCTGCCCATTCCTTCTCCCGGAGCAGAGCGTCCAATTGCTTGAGCTCAGCTACTGCCTGGCGAGAGGCTGGTGCAGGCAACGAATGCAAGCTCTCGCGGCGCTAGCGACAGAACGCCTGAGGATTCGAGATGTGGGGTGCCAGCGCTTTGGCCTCAGATTTGGCTGCTGTAACTCAAGTTGCCACCACAGCCTCACTGCTAGCTTGATAGTTCATGATTCCGTGACGCAAAACGGCAAAAAAAACACAAAGAGATCCATCTTGGGCACTGACTCGGTTATGGAGCAGTGGCCCCACGGGCGATTGCACCTGGCACACCAGACATGCAGTGTAATTCCGCGTTGCTGTCTCGCGTCGTCGAAACCTCGAGGTCAATGTTGTTGTACTCCTCGGCTCGCACAAGCTTTGACTCAGATTCACCGGTCTTATAGAGTACGAGTAAAACATATTCTCACGGCTGAGATGCGAAAAGCCCCAGCACTTCAGCGAAGAAGTTCGGCCTCAGCTTCGGAGAGTCACAGGTCGGAGGTGTCTGCTTTTCATAAAAGCGGATATCTCAGGGGAGCCAACCCAGAGGCAAAAAGCGCTCCGACCTGCCGAGTATTTGGGGCAGTCAGGCGCTGGCTTCTTCTGTCAGTGGTCTAAGGTCTACCGAAGGCTCCAGCTGGGAGTGACATATCTTGAATCACTGTGTCACTGTCCCAGTGCCGATCGAGATGCTTCGGATATCGGATCTCTGACGACTGGGAACTGGGAACGAGCCGTTTCGAGCTGCGTCAACAACGGTACTAGGATACGGGAGGATCATTGTCGAAATTCGCCTCGGCCCCGGCCGAAGCGGTCAGAGTTTTGCACGCGTTACCCCACCTCTTTGAGTGGCGCGCGGGGCACGTGCGACCCCCACCACCCCGTCTGGGGCGGGGCCCGTGCGACCCCCACCCCCTCGCGTCCTGTTTTTGTAAAACTTGAAGTCGGGTTCGCAACCTCCACATCCAGAGATTCGGGGCCTTGCTGGGAGCCGGAAAGCCTGGTGAACGAGACACTTTATAAGGCATCAGAACGGGCGATGGGATACTGTGCGCCGCCCTCACTCCACCCCCATACTGTACGATTTTGATCGGGGGCAGAGAGACAACAGGCTTGTAAAGAGAAAGAAGACAAGCGGATGATGTGAAGGATGGCAGCAGCTGGGGCGGAAAACGAAGTGTCATCGGAAGTCTCGCGAGATTCGAGGGCCTCGGCCGGGGCGTGCGGCTCCAGCGCGGCGCGGAGCAGAGCCGCCGCTTCGCTGACGAGGCCGTCCGCGTGTGCCTCAGTGAAGCTTGGAGAGCTTGAGTTAACAGAGGTGGCTGTTTACTGAGGGAGCCTCGAAGTATTGCTACATCATTTCCCCTACCCCTCTGTCTGTGATGGCACTGTGGCGGCACGACTCAACTGAAAGAAGCTTGAAAGAGCTGAAACAAGCGACGTAGAACTCTGCATCCTTGGACCGGCCAGGAGGTGGTCTGCACCTCGGCAAGGGACCGCGACGGCTATACTGAAGCTAGCGACTCTAGCGATCTGACAGCTTGGTGATTTCGAGGCGGGGACGCTTCCCGAAAGGGCGCATGGCCTGAAGTGGGCAGTCTGCTATAGATTGTTAAGATCCGCTTCAATCACGGAGTCTTTGCTTTCTGGATGAGGCTCTGACAGAAGCACAGGAGCTCCTGCATGAGGCCTTGCGTTACCTCCCAGTTCGCCCCATGACGAGCTGTAGGCTGTACACTGCACATCAGCGCATCTCGACCTCCGCTCCGCCACCCGCTGCTTTGGCGCGGTTGATGAGGAAGGCAAAGACCTGCTGGATACGGGGACCTTCAAACTTACTGGGGCCCATCTCCGGATCCCATCTATAGACAGCAATCAGGCGAACGGATACGGGAGGGCTGAAAAGCCGGCAGGACGTTCGCCTACCTGCGCGGCCAAGAGCAAGGTGTCAGCATGCTCGAGGGCGTGGTACTTGAAGCGAAGAAGTGGGTGGTCCTGCAGATTCAGGGCAGTCAGAGCAGTGAGGAGCCTCGTGCAGGGGCCAGCCAGGACTCCTCCGTCGTCAAAGGACCGACCTAACCCACACAGGAAATCTGCGCAGATGCGAGCATATTTGCATGCCTGTGGGGGCAGCACTCTGCCGGCTGTTCGCACGGAGCCCCGGGACCCATCTGTTGGCGGTTCGATATCATGCCGAGCCTTGTTCCCCTGACTTTCAAAGAGTGGGATCGCAACAGCGACGCAGCCCCCCGTAAGAAAGACTGGGACTCTACGGAGCCGTATACATGAGCATATAGTGTTACCCAAACAGTCGTAGGACACGTGCCGAGCCCGAACTGGTCTCTATGAACTCTCTCCCTCTTGCTTGCACCCGGACAAGGAGCCGGAGCTCCCGCGTGCGGGCGCGCACCGGTCTCAAGTTCGTCTGTGACACTTCACGGCTGTGACGAAGGCCCCGTTTTGTTTTTTTCTCTCTCTCTTTTCTTTCTTTTCTTTCTGCAGGGCATAGGGGTCGCGCGCCCCTGTGCTATGGAGTGGCTGGCAACGGGGTCTTTCCTGACTACGGCACTGAACTACACCTTCTTCTCCTTTCTCTCGTGTAGAAACCCCCGCCTAGAACTCTAACTAACTCTCTCTCTCTCTCTCTCTCTCTCTCTCTCTCATGTGTGTAGTTTAGCCTTTTTGCTTCCCTGTTCCTGGAAACCTTGCTTCCAGGCTTGAGTCATCTTTGGGTAAGACGATATGATCTCACACTGATGACGCAGTGATGGCACCAGTGCAGGCACGGGACACAGAGGAGGTTGTGAGAGTGCTGGAAGTGCATGTCTCTGCAGGCCTGGCGACATCTTCGGTAGGAGCGACGTTATCTTCACTGCACGTCACTCCTCGGAGCAGTAGAGTTCACCACAGCCTGGCAGCTGATGCGAAGCTACCAGTACTTCATGCTTTGAGTGCATTTATCACGGTTCTGACCTTGCTTGCATCGCACAACAGAAGCTTGTCCTTCTCCACTATTCTCCTGCGGCAGCATTCAACTGGACTGCCCAAGAAGGAGGAACAGACAGGCCAAGCGCTCCTGCCACCTGGAGGGCAAATCCCCCAGGGCTGTCAGCAAAGGAGCGAAGCGGCTCTCACCGAACAGCACCTGCACAAAAGCACCGGCCGCTGGCGGCCTGCTTCTGCCCCTGCGCGGAGTGGATGCGCCTCCAGCTGCAAAGGCACGGAGGGCACGAAGCCACAGCAGCGCGCGCAAGCGGCGACCTGGCTCAAGGTCCGATGGTCCCTGATGCCTGCGCGAACACCAGAAACCCGAGGGCGAGGCCACGCGACGATTGCCGGAATGCTGCATAGCAAAAAGAGGCTCCTGATCCACAGACAGAGCTTAGCAGGCGTTGCACGGCTTTTCTCGGCCCTCCTCTGTGAACATGTCGGTGTAGGCGGAGCAGCTGGAACAGGCAAACAGACCGAATCCCTTGGGAGGAGCCGCGGCGCGCACCTCACGAACTTTCACATTGCATAGGACGGTCGGGTGCTGTGTGCTGTCGTGTGCTGGGCCTCGCAGCCGGCAGGACAAGGGCCTCCTGGTCCACCAGATGGCACCGCCACCACCATCACGCTGTGCCTCTGGCACAGATCTAGCCAGGAGGTGCGCAATTCATGTTAGCTGGCAGCTGCATGGCCTGTAGCGCAGTCTTACGGCTGCATGACCACTGCAAGGCTCTGACCCATGCAGTGCATGGCCACAGGTCTATGTTCAAGCTTGTGTTTGCAGAGTTTCAATGATCTCCCGGCACAGGCCAAAATTCGACTCTGACATGCCTGCACCAGAACCGAAGGTGTTGCTGGAATCACAAGGGTACTTGGTGGCTGGGATAGACTCAAGCTCAGCCAAATGCTCGCGCTGGTGTGGCTAGCAAGAAGCGAGGACCAGGAACTTGCAGACTTGTCGTAGCTTTTGGCGCCTGAGCACCAGGGCTGCAGACAGACCGAACCTCAAGGCAAAGCATGAGGGACCAGGGATGCGTTTTGCCTAAGTTCATCCGGTGATTTTCGGAACGGCACGTGGCCAGGCAGGCCGCTCCGCTCAAAGTCACACTGGTCCTCGATGTCGGCCTGCCAAGCGGAGAGAGCGTAGGCATGTGTCTTCGTTGTTCCTCAATATGCTGCATGCGGACAACACCTCACCTTCATAGCCAGTTGACAAGCCCCGCCGTCAACAGAAAGCTTTGTTTAAACAATGCAGCAACCATACAATATTGGATCAATGTTGGTGTGTATACAACACAGTATAGCAAAAACATGTCTATGATGTACGATGCCATAGCATAGAAATACACAAAGCACATGCAGGTCAAAAGCTGGAAGGGACCTACGAACCGAATGCAGACACGCGTCATGTACATCGCGAAGAACTTTGGGCACCAACGGCATTGTCATGCTTGCGGTATCCATAAGCAGCTGTTGATGCATACATCATACATCATACATTTCTGCATCACATGATATGTGATATGGCATATTCCATGCTAAACGGCCATGTTGTGGTATGCTGTACCATGTTACATCATGCAATTCAAGACCATTTTGTGCCAGCTTACGCTGTTTTTAGCATCGCATCATGTCTATGTCCGCCTGCAGCATTACATGCCCAGAATCCCAGCGGCAGGGCGGTGCGGTCCTGCGAGCGGTTCCCGCAGCACGAGCCTGGGAGATGCCCCGCGCGGCTCCAAAGGGGCTCACAAAGCCGGCGGACCTTTGCACAAACAGCATACACAATGGGATTGATAGGTGCTTGACATTAGAGTATGGTACGCATTGAGAGTATGGGCATGGGTGCTTGATTTTCGGGAATCAGTAGCCCAGAACAAGGCGATTCAAAACCGCGGCTGTTCCTAAGTGCCCCGGCCAGACGCCCAGCGCAAGGGCGGCCAGCGCTCGTTTGCGTGCCATGGCCTTGGTCGAAGCCCCCACAGGAAGGGTTCAGCGGCTTCCGAGAAGCACTCGTGAAGTCTTTGTGACGCATATCTTCAGCTCCAGGCTGCTCTTGCTCGGCTGGGATTGGAGCAAACACCCAGAGGAAGAGCGGCGGCGTAGAAACGATCTTTCCACTTTCCAGCATGGCTTTTCTCAAAGGCCTTGCACAGTCCGACCCTTACGAGGCCGTTTGTTCTGCATCGCTCCGCCTGGCCCCGGCAACTTTGGCCAAGACGTCCCCTCCAGGCCCCCCAAGAACGAAGTCTCGTTTTGGCGTCCAAGCCCGAGCTTGGTTCACGACTGCGTCTAGTCGGAGAATAAGTCCTGAGATCGCACAGCTTTACTACGCGCCGAAGACAAACACAAATGGCATCCCGCACCTCTTTGGCCTCCACACCCATGACCTCGAGTGCGGGAAATCGGTTCCAAGCGATGAACTTGGCACCAACACAAATGCACGTAAGAAGTGGATGGAATCAGCTCAGTGGATCCCTCTTGAACTTATGCTCTGCGGTCCTGCCGGATCGGCCGAGCCCCCACCCTACCTTCAACAACATGGCTGGTGGACTCTCCCGTCCTGGGGCGGTGTGCTTCTGGGTTTGCTTGATGTATGCGGCAGCGACAGTGAAATGGAGGCTGGGGGTATGAGGTTCGGTGAACCCGTGCATGCCTCTGATCTTGAGGAGACGTGCAGGTGTCAAGTCGAGCCAAGAGGCATCCCACCGGAGCTCTGCCATCTCCCGATAGACTTGCTCCAAATCTGTTGGCCGGGTAGTCGTGTGAGTCGTGTGGTGCGGCATCCGGTCAGATGATCCCTGGCTTCAAGCAGCCTCTGCGCTGATTCTAGCACGCTTGTCACGGGCTTCCAGCCTGCAAGGTGACGGAAGCGCACTCCTGCAGGTACCTTAGTGGAAGGGTTCCATCAAGATTGTCTCCGCATGTCTCCGCTGAGTGCAGCTGAGAAAGAGACTTCTGAAGCAACGCCTGCTCCTGGACGGCCAAGTGCCAGCTCGAAAAGACCTGCAGATGCTGCTGCTGCTGCTGCTACTCTGATGAACAAAAGAAGTTGAGGCAACCGGTCGGTCGGTGACTGGCCGACTGGCCTTTCGGATGCGGGCAGCCTTCGCGGCCTCACACCGGAGCCGCACGGCTGTGCTCCAATGGGCAAAAGCTCTGCTCGCCGCCTCAAGAACAGAGAAATCTGTCAAAAACAAAAATGCAGGCTCGAGTTCAGGAGACTCGCCTTTCGGCGGCAGCGCCGCCGAATGTCATCTGCCTTCACGTGCTACCGTCGATGGATGCAACGAGAAGCTCTGACCGCACTGACTGTCATCGAACCTGTAGCAAGCGGCGGGTCTCCTCGTGAGTTGGGGTTGTTAGCTGAGCAAAGCCTATCGTCGCGCATCAGCAACGTTACCCCAGAAGACTTGACAGGCGGATGCGTGTTTTTGACTCCTGCATGGCCAGGGACCGTGCGGCCTTTTCAGAAGTAGCGAAAGCTTCGTGCTTCTGAAAATGATTCCATGCCACTGCCTCCGCCCAAGCCATCAGTATTCGCGCACCACAGGACTGCCTCAATCGGCTGAGCCCCTAAAAATACACACACTACACAGTTCATAACCCGTATGTAGTCTACGCAGAAGGCGCGGAGCTCCTCCTCCGCAGCTCCCTCGTCCCCCGGGAGCCGGGCTTCCACTCTTCGAAAAGTTGACTTCCACGTTCCTGAGCCACGGCGACCTCAATTCGAGGTCGATTCTAACTGAGTGCCATCAGATGTGTGGGGGCGGCCACGCATTCGTGTATCCATGCAGCAGTCCATCTACCCATTCTTGACTGAACCAATTTTAAATATGGAGCAGACTTACTCCCCAATAGCCATCGGGTTTTTTTCCATCACTAACGGGGCGCCGGACGACGCGTCAACCCCGATCAGTGCCAACAGAGGTCCGGCCAGCCGGTGTCCCGGTCTGCGGTCAGTTTGGGTGGGTGTCCCGGTCATGTCGCGATCCGCGTCCTTGACGTATCCCGGTCGCTGCACAGGCCTTCCTGTACCGGTCGCATTTCGGTCAGTGTCCCGGTCGTGTGCTCCGGTCATGTCCCGATCGGTTGAAAGTGTCGTGGTTGGTGTCCTGGTCGTATCCCGGTCGTGTTTCCATCAGTGTCCCCGTCGTCGTCCCAGTGGCGGTCGGTGTGTGATCGTGTTTAATTTCGCTCCCTCACATTTGTGACACGGCTTTGCGCAACAGAGAGCCTGAATTGCACGCAAGCATGGCCAGCATGGCTGCAAACTGCCGGCAGACTTTCTATGTGCTATACCATGTGCTCCTTTGCTGAGATGTGCGATGTGTTGCCGCTCGAAGCTGCGGCACCCCACGGGAAAGATGTTTCTGTGGCTCCAACTGCTGCCTCAGCGCGAAAATGCTGCCGGCATTTTGTGCTCCAAGGTACGCCCCAATTCGATTTGTTGCCGGTTTACTTGGTGAGAAGGCTCACAGATCCGATTGTTAATGGGGAATGTGTTGATGCTCGTTGCCCAAAGCTACGACGAATTGATGCTGATGTCTTCGGCTCCAAATGTCTTTCTTGCGCGAAGATGTACGACTCGATTCCGGTGGGTTTTGGCCCCAATTGCCCTCGCGCTACGATGAAGATTTGTTGCCGCTGTCCTGTCACCAAGATGTACGATTTGCTGCCGGTCCCCTGTGCTCCAAGGGGCGCCCCAAGGCTAAGATGTAAAATGTGTGACTTGCTGCCGGTGTCCTGGTGCCCCAGCAAGAAGATGAATTGGCTGCCGATGTTTGGGGTTCGAAGTTGTGCGCACGGCAAATTTTTACGAGTTGTTGGCTTGGTTTGTGCTCCAAGTAACCCCCCAGGGCTGAATGAACAATTGGTTGCCGGTGTCTTCGGCTCCGACGCGTGCCTCAACACTGAAATATTCGTTGTCATGTTGCCGTTGCTTTGGGCTCCAAGGCTGACATGTACGATTTGTTGGAGGTGTCCGATAAGTGAGCCAAAATTACCACTTGTTGCCGGCTTATTTGTCTCCCAGTGCTAAATCAGTTGTTGCCAGTGTCAAGTGCTCCCTGCAAGTGGCGCCGGGACGTCCAGATGAACGATTTGTTGCCTGTGTCTTTGGCTCAGATTGGTGCCGCAGTGCCAGAAGTTAGATGTATACGACTTGTTGCTGGTGTCCTGTGCTCCAGGTGGTGGGTGCCCCAGGCGAAGATGCACGATTTGTTGCCGACGGTCTGTGCCGCAAATGGCGCCGCAATGCTAGGATTTACGATTGGTTGCCGGTGTCCTGTGTTCCGCGCGGCACCCCAATGCTAATGTTTTTGGCTAGAAGGTGGCGCTTTTGTTGCCAGTGTCCTGCGCTCCAAGTAGCGCCCTAGGTACCCTCCAAAAGACCGACAGACGGCGCTGCTAACGGACTGACGGCACCGTCGAAAGTCCATTATTCACAGGGTGGGGTAGATTCCGTCTTCTCGGAGCAATTGACGGTCGATGTTGGTGGTGCTCGCTAAGGGCCCCTCCCCAGGTCCCGCCTAGAGAAAGGGCTGGGACCCACCTCCGAGGTAAGAGCTGGCACCCACCGGGCCCCACCGAACCCGACCTGGATCCCACTGCAAAGAAGGTCTTTGGCAGCCACAGGACTGGACAAATCGAAGGCAGCCGTGATGCCCAGTCCGCCAAACTGAGGTTCTGACGGCACTCTCATGAAACCGACGGCGTCTGGAGCATCGTGATCGAGCCTCTTCTGCAAATGTCCCACATGCTGAAGCCATAATCCACCTTACCAAGCCTGCCATTCCCTTACGCATCGTCTCAGTGCGCCCTGTTTGGCTTGCTCAAGGCGGTCCTGGATGTCATGCACCTGCAGACAGGCAACAACAACAACCAGAGAGACACGGCCGAAAGAAAAACTTCACTCGAAGGGGCTGAGGCACGCCTGAGCAAGCCATGAAAGCATGATCTTCTTGAGAAGGGCGCTGGCAAACAACGCCAGCAGGGACGGTTGCACTGCCTGTAGCAGGAGGCTCAAGAGTCTAGCATGGTTCGCGGTCATCAATTTTCACCATTTAACCGCCTCACCATGAACTCGCATGCTGCTAGTACCTTACCTCAATGTGGTGCGGGTGGACGTCGAAGGGGGCCGAGCCGAAGAGCAGCTCGGCGGCCACGGGCTGCCTGGGCCACAAAACGCATATTTGGAGACACCCTGCGCCCTGCGCCCCCTGATGCGTGCTAGCCCCTGTCAGCCCGGCGCCATGGAGCAGCCGCTGTGGTATCAGTTGGAAGTTGCAGCCTCCAGTGCAGGAGCTGTGTACTGAGCCATCGCACACCCTGCTCCGCAAGAGCATCCCGCGAACGGCGGACGGCCGGCAGGCCTGCGCACGCTCTGCCCAGGGGCAGAGCAGGCTGCGTGGACTCGGAGCCAGCGCCAGGCCGCCAGCAGCTGCGGGGCGCTGCGCATGGCCACCACCTCTTACACTCAAATCCAGGATATGTTTCGAGGATATACAGAGCATGCAGGGATGGACACACTCACCAGGTATCCAATCGTGTATATCTGTCGCCTTGCCGCGCTTGCGGAACCAGCTGAGCCACGCCTACAATGCATCAGGAAAATCACTCTAGGGGTATAACATCTCTATACGGCAAAGTTTGCGGTGTGCACCCCTCAATCTGTTGCCAGCAGCCTGCCACGCTGTTGCCAGCATCGCCCGGAGGCGGTGTACGTCCGCCCAGCTTTGATACCTATTCGTGCCAGATTGCCAGAGCAACTGCGCTTGCAGCCATGCACCGAAGGAGCCATTCAGATGAGACACAGCTTTCTGAGCCGCTGCTGCTCTGCATGGTTCACCAAAGCCGCCCAAGAAGCCTCCGGACTCAAAAGCCGCCAGCGCCACAGCAGTGGCACAGAAGCTTCAACTCAAAGCTTCACGCGCACTGGCAGGGCTTTGCCACTCGCCTCTAGGAGCTGCCGCCGAGTCGCAGAGGCCCGGTCGCGGACCTGCGCTCACGGTGTCATGGGAAAACACAGACTTGCAAACAGAGAAAGCGAGAGAGAGAGAGAGAGAGAGACAGACAGACAGACAGACAGACAGACAGACAGACAGACAGACAGACAGACAGCCAGCCAGCCAGCCAGGCAGGCAGGCAGGCAGGCAGGCAGGCAGGCAGGCAGGCAGGCAGGCAGACAGACAGACAGACAGACAGACACACACACACACACACCCACACACCCACACACGCTCTCTCTGACTTTGCTTTCTTTGCTTTGCTCTCTGGCCACTGGGGCCCCACCCCCATTTTGTGGGGACTTTGGAGGAGTGTGAGTGTTTTGTAGTTGTTTCCCCCGGGTACTGCGTATTTTCCATATGATTATTCGTCATAAGCTGTATATCCCCCGGGTAATCGCAACTAAGTTGCACTTGTAGTGTTGTAGTTCTTTGTGAGGATCGGTCTATGCTCTCAGCAACACTTCAACAACACAATTTTGCTATAAAAGAGATACGCTCTCTCTCTCGCTCTCTCTCTTACTCTGTCCCTGTGTCTTTCTGCTTCCTTGCTTGCTTCCTTCTTTCCTTCCTTCTTGGGAATCAAGCGCAGGCAGACGCTGCACCTTGCCACACCGGCGTGAGGAACACACCAACAGCTAATTGCTCCTTTAAAGGATTCCAGCTACATAACCTTATATACGGCCTTATAAGGTCAAAGGTGGAGACTAACCTGATTGTTCTTCGGGCACAAAAAGGGACCCTCCTCGGCCTCGGGAGCCTTTCCGCATTTGGACTGAGTGTGGAGAGATGGCCAAAGGGCCATAATGTTGAGAGAGGACAACTGGAGCGAGAGCAAGTCATTTCATTACTTTGCAGGGGAAGAAAGCCGCTGTTCCCCCAGCGTGAATTGAACTGGGCCATACCTCTCCTGAGCATTGAAACCTTCAAGACGAACGGGAAGACTTCGCATCGGAGGCACCCCGCTGCACACTTCAAAAGGGTGGCGCGCAACAGGTGTCGGGGCCCTTGAATGCAACCCTCTCGATATTTGATTCGAGTTTTGGGACGACCCTGCGCATGTCAGTCACATCAAACGCGCAGATGCCCGTTGACATCTTCACCCATTCTGATGTGTGCAGGGCCTTCTGATGCGCTCGCCGCCTCGCTTGTCTTCGAACCTCGCCGGGTTGTATCTGACACCGAAAAATGAAGTGTCTGAGAGACTTCAACGCTTGGACATGCTTCTGTCGATTCATGATCGCTGATCTCTCGATTCGTATGCCCCGGCGGCTCGAAGAGATCCGGTCTGGCCTGCAAGCGAAGGGCCTGCAACCCGGCTTGGAGACCTCGGCCGAGTATCTCTGGCTTTGTCTCGTGCACTCCTGCTACACCCTGCGCAAAGTCTCCAGCCTTTATAGGCATTAAACCGCCTCCCAAAGCTCTTCAAACCGCTTTGTTCCGTGTTCTGGGCTTGTTAAGTTCTGGGCTGCGCTGCCGCAGACAGAGTGCCGACAGGCGGAGCAGTGCCGCCTCCTCAGAAAGCAAAGATGTCAGCTCTGTATATTGGCCTGCATACATGTGGCACCTGTACTGGGTTGCCACTCCCCCATAAGAAAATACAGATACAGATACAGAGAGAGATTTAGAAAGAGATAGCGATAGACACACGGGTGTAGATATAAAAGATGAATGTCGATATCATCAAACATCCTGAGGTATATATAAAGATATGGATACATTTAGGTATCGATGTATATCTAGACATACAAAGAGAGACTGTTCAGTAAATATACAGATAGCGATATATGCACTCATGATAAAGATGTACAGAAACCCAATATACAAGTATTTCCGTACTTATAATCAAATGTTCTGTATCATTGTTCCGACCTACCCGTCTAAAGATGCACCATATTTTGTCTTCTTCAAAATACCAGACGCATACAGACAATGCAGAGAAAGATACAGACACAGATGCAGAATTCGAGAAGTAGAGAAAAGGAGACACATGTAGATATACAGAGCAGATGCAGATTTAGATATACATATATATATATAGGCTCATGCAACAGACACTGATATAGAGAAATCTATTGTATATCCATCAAATATATATCTATATATATATGTATGTATGATATGATATGATATGATATGATATGATATGATATATATATATATAGTTATCTACAAATCTATTTCTGGACATACGTATATACTATATACAGATCGATAGGTGTATATATGGTGTATCTGTATATATGGTAGAGAGATAGATGGACTGAAAACTCAGAGAAAAAACAGACGCACATCGCCCGCCCCGCCCTCCCGCATCCGACCTGTCGGCCGTCCTGCCACTGGGCCACCCAAGCCTGCACAGGAGAGTGGGGATCGGTAGAGCAAGAGCTTAGAGGCGAGCTCCTCTTTGGCGCCTGGAGTGTGCAGCGCAGCCTCCGCTGCTGTGCCCTGCGAGTGGCTGCAGCCTGCGGATGAGAGTGGAGGCCCAAGTGCCGGAGGCTGTCGCTCTGTGCCTCGTGGCGTAGCAGCCGCCAAGCCGCCAAAAACCTGAGAAGACGAAGACTTCCGCACTTCCGCTCCTTTCATCTCTGCGTCCGCCTCCGGCCAGTCCGCCGCCGGATCGCCCCCTTCAAGTCACAGGCCCGCTGTCGCTGCTGCACTCTCTGCTGCGACCTGCAAGCAGGGACTGCTTTGTGCACGTGCTAGGAGCTGGGAGATGGAGGTGTGGTGCCACCTCGTTGCCCAGCTGCGCAGGGCAAGCGATCGCGAGTGGCGCACTCTCTTCGCGACCAACTGAGTTGAAACTGAATGCTGCACGTTTCCACGGCAGTGACAGGTGACCGTATGTGACTGCTCACAACGACTGCTTGACTGAGTGCTGCTGCACTTTGCTGACGGTCGCGCAGCTGATGGCCCACAGAAGCCTGGGCCTGCGTATATAGTATAATCCTGTTGGCCTACTGCGGCAAAGGCACAACATGTGTAAGAAGAGGACTCCCGACTGTCACTGTATCTCAGCCTACCGGGCTGGGGCCGGGGTGGCACCTTCCAAGCGTGTAGCCAGCTGCGGCGATGGCGCTCTAAGGCACGACGAGAGAAGCCAGCGGTCTTCGCAGCCTGCAGGAGGCTTTTCCGCGCAAGTTTCGTTGCTCTTATCCGCGACGGATCACTTAGTGCGGCCTCTGTCACCCAAGAACCGAAGATCTTCTTCAGCAATGCGCTTCGAAACAGGATCAGCAAGCTTTGCTGCATGGCCTGGAACAGGATTCGCGCCAACATGGCCCGCCCTGCACTCAGCACTCCAGCCCTGTAGCAGTAAAGGTTGCGTCTTGTGTCACGTGCAGCAACGCAAGCCCCGTCGGCTCCCGCATGTGGTGCGTGTGGACGTCGAAGGGGGCCGAGCCGAAGAGCAGCTCGGCGGCCACGGGCTGCCTGGGCCACAAAACGCATATTTGGAGACACCCTGCGCCCTGCGCCCCATGATGCGTGCTAGCCCCTGTCAGCCCGGCGCCATGGAGCAGCCGCTGTGGTATCAGTTGGAAGTTGCAGCCTCCAGTGCAAGGGCTGTGTACTGAGCCATCGCACACCCTGCTCCGCAAGAGCATCCCGCGGACGGCGGACGGCCGGCAAGGCCTGCGCACGCTCTGCCCAGGGGCAGAGCAGGCTGCGTGGACTCGGAGCCAGCGCCAGGCCGCCAGCAGCTGCGGGGCGCTGCGCATGGCCACCACCTCTCAACAAAGCCCAAAGTCAAAGAGCGGACACGCCGAATTTGCAAAGGCCAGAAGCCTTCCCGCGTTTGCGGAACCACTGGAGCCAGGCCTGCAAGAAGTGACAGGCAGGATATTACGCTACAGACGGCCTTCAAAGGGACACCCCGGCCTGCCATGCCGCAGTCAGCCGAGAGCGGAGCCAGTGGACGTCCGCCCAGCTCCGATACCTCGCATAACGAATGGAGCAGAATGTCCCTTGCAGCTTGATGCAAACTTGTAGGCTTTGCAAGTAGTTCGTCAGAGCACAGCTTCATCAAGCGCCGACTCTCAGCATATCTCACGAAGCACATCCAGCATACCTTCACAAAGGCTCCAGAGGTTGTAGCACCGTACACACTCTCTGCACATGTACGCGGCCTCCAACAGTTTGCGACTTGCCTCTGCAGCTGCATCACGCACCTGCAGACTTGACTTCTCGTGGCACTTAATTCCTGGCCTGCTAAAGTTGCAGCGTCGTCGGCGGACATGCAGCAAGCTTTTACCACCGCAGTTCTTGTAGCGGTCAGTAAGCTCCTGCGGCTGACGCGCAAACGAGTGCAATCACTGGCACTGGCAGTTCTTGAAGTGGCAACTCCATATCCCCCGCATTCGGACCGCTCTGTGTGCCCATAAACTCTGCCCGAATCACAGGTTTCAATGAGTGCATGTTGAGCAGGAAAGCTGCAGCGAGGCCCCCTCTCCCTCTCTATGCCGGACCCTCAGAGAGGCCTCACAATACGCCGGACAGTAAGAAGAAGGCCACTGGTGATTTTGGTAAAACATGTTGAAGATCCCGGCCCTGCGTTTGGATTTGGATACTTGCTAATATGCAGGTTCAGTTTTCAGATTTGCAGCCTCGATCGGAGGGGTTGTGGAAGGACTGCGCAAGTGGCAACGCAGCTACTTCTCCTCTGTTCAAAAACCCTGTCAGGATCTGAGCAATCGCCCTTCAACTTGATAAAAGGGTGAAGAAAGGTAGGGGAAGTAAGCTTAGCAGGGAAAGGGTGCGGCGAATCGTCAAGCGAATCGGTTGCGGCACAGTGCTGCGAATCCCTTGAGAGTGGCGGACTCTTAGCATGAAGAGTACAGTGACAACTGAAGCACATCCTGGATGTCCGGCATTTTCGGGCTGGCACACACCAACCAGGATTTTACCTCCCAGTCCTGTAGTGTCCTAGTGGGTCAAAGAAATATCGTCTCAAAGATGTCGAGAGGACCCCTCCGTTTTTGCTAAATGCGCTTGCTGCTGACAGTTGTTGCGACATTCACTTGCACAAGAAGCATGGTTGGCATGTGCCGGCCCCATGAAAGCAGGTCCTAGACACGTTTTGACCTGGGTCACTATACTACTTAGGTGACATGGTAAACGGCAACTCCCAGGCTCCACGGAACTTTCGTGACACATGAGATTGAACTGGTGCATCGGACCACTCCCAGGGTCTTGCGCTACTGCTTCCAGCTGCAACCCATATACCAACATCCCTGGAGCAACGCACCTGTGCGACTCAACGCATTTTTCCCGCCACGTGAGACTTGCACGTCTGGTAGCGTGCACTCAGTTGGTTCGCAGACAAGCCACTGCACGCCGTCGGAGCGTCAGTTGGATAGAAAAGGCACATGTCCATTGCGTAAGCTTTCTCGATTCTTTGACGTGTCTCCTTTGGAAAGTCAGAGCATTTGGAATGTGTTGTGTTGCGTGCGTGCGTATGTCTGAACGGAGGGATCGCTGCAGGCTTCATGTACTCGCGCAATCTCTGGATGCTGCTCGTCCAATTGTCTTGGCACAGCAGGAGATCCACGCCGAAAGTCTTGTTGGCAAAGAAAAGGAACGAGTGCTGTGGCTGGAAATGCAAAAATCTCCAGAACACATCACCTGAGATGAACATTGGCATTGCAGAAGGGCCACAAGCTCGGCTACGAAGTGATTCAAATCGTCAGAAATGGAAGAAAGCGGCCTCACTTGCAGCTTTGGCGCCCCCGAAGTCACTCGAAGCCACATAGGTAGTCAAAGTCCTGTTGCCGATATTCCTGAGCTGCGACTTTCAAGCCCTGCAGCCTTCTGTTGGAACAGCTTGATCAGGCCTAGGCTCTTCTGGTGCCAGCGTAGCTCGGGCTCTGGGGCCGACGTGAGAGTGTAGGTAAACGCAGATATGAACCGCTCGCAGGGATGTCGAACCATGGAAAAGCTGCGAAAACCCGGCGCCAGGTTCCGCCTCGAGAGTTGCTCTTCCGAGGCATGATTTTCCCGGTACATGTAGTTGATAAGATGTTCACAACAAGCTAAGAGCCCTCTATGCGTGGGAGTTGCGCGCACGTAAGTCCGACTTGCACTATAGGACAAAAAGAACCGCCCTAGACACATCAAATGCATCAGGAAGCAGTTTTTCAGCCTTGGTATGACCGCCGATGGGATGATGCTTCTTAGCGTCGTAGAACAACTTCGACTGCTCGATTGTGCTCCCACCAGTCTTGGGCACATGGACGAAGATCAATTTGTATGTTCTGCTAATCTGGCCCACGTCCTTGTCGTACGCTGGATCTTTGACTGGCCGCGTCCATTTCGGTTTCTTACCCTTTCTTTTCGGATGGCCGGAGGGAGCAGCTCCAAGATGCACGGACTTGACCGTGCCGGGCTTGTTGAGGTCGCTGGGCCTCAGCTCTTCCCAGAAAGTGGTGGGGGCGGAGTCGAATCGCCAATACTTGCCCGGTCTGGCAAACCTCAACACGGAGAGCCCAAGTGACAGAAGCGCGGCAAGGCTGCATGCACATGCACAGGCAAGAGCGAAGACATTCATCAACCTTGCAACAGCCTCGTCAAACGTGCCCGGTTTCATGTGTCTGAGTGTGGCGAGCTAGCTGTTGAATGCTTCAAGCCATATCATGGGCCTTGAGAGCCTTACAGCTGCAGCGCTCTGGAGGCAAGGGGCTTTGCACTCGTGCCACGAAATGCCGGCGATTTGCGACTGCCTACTGTGCAAACGATTGCGAGCCCTCAGCCCTCCATGTCACTGGCGTTGCATGGATTACGGAGGACCTTGCAACACAGTGGCGTCGAGTTGCTGGAATCACCGTATACTCGTGTGCCCTCTTCCCCTCTCAGTATACCGGAGCCTGAACAGGCACAGCATGTCTCCAAGTAGAAGGTGCTCGGTAGCGCCAGCCGCAGCGCCTCTTGACCCGAGCCAAATACTGCTGAAGAGATATTCCAGGCTCCTCACCGGAATCACAGAGTTCCATTGAGGGGCGGCCAAGTATACACCTGATTCGCAGTCTCGGTCAGATTTGTTGTTGCCCAGTCCGTCGAATCCAATCGGTCGTTGAAAGAATCGGCAGCTGCCTAAACCCTGTCAGGATCTGAGTGATTCTGAGTGTTCATCCGTCTGCGACGCTCACAACCAAGAGGCATGAAGCAAGTCGCCTCTGCGACTCAACGCATTTTGCCCCCCACGTGAGACTTGCACGTCTGGTAGCGTGCAGACAGTTCGTTCGCAGACAACCCACTGCACGCCGTCGGAGCGTCAGTTGGATAAAAAAGGCACATGTCCATTGCGTAAACTTTCTCGATTCTCTGGCGTGCCCTCTGGGGCAGGTCGGAGCACGTCTGGTGCGTCGTATTGCGCTTGTGCTTCCGCTCGATGTCACCAGGGAGCATTACGGGCTTTAAGTACTCGCCCAACCTCTCGATGCTTCTTGTCCAGTTGTCCTGACATAGAAGGAGATCCACTCCAAACGTCTTGTTGGCAAAGAAAAGAAACGAATATTGGGGCCGGAAATGCATGAATTTCCAGAAAGGGTCACCTCAGATGCCGGTGGCGCAAAGTCTGCGCGGAAGCATCCTCAGTTGCAGCTGTGGCGCCACCGAAGTCCCGGGAAGCCACGTAGCTGGTGAGATTCCTGTCGCCGACCTTCCTGGGCTGGAGGTATTCAGTTTCGGTTCTTTGCGGCGGGCTGTGCATTTCTTCGATTAAGATAATAGACTGACGGTGCTTTGGCCGAGGCTCTCGCGATGCCACTTTATCTCAGAGGGATTCGCATAGCTTCGCGAGTAGGTAAAGGCAGATACAAACCGCTCGCAAGGATGTCGCACCATGGAAAAGCTGCGAAAGCCAGGTGCAAGGTCCCTCCTTGGCTCAGACTCTGCTTCGTTTTCGCAACAGCTTCGGATTCGGCTGAAGGCTCAACCAATTCGCCAATTGACGCGTGACGATTTGATTGTGCTCACTGAAGTGGCATGTGCAACTAGGATGATCAAAAAGCGCTACGGTAGAACACATCTCATGCAACATCTGCCAGATGCAGCAAGCATCAGCCTCTGAGCTGGATTGTGGCTGCCAACGGGATGATGCTTTCTGGCATCGTTGAACAATGTCGACTGCTCGATTGTGCTCCCGCCAGTCTTTGGCACATGCACAAATACGACTCTGTTTGTTCGGCTGATCTGGCCCACGTCGTTTTTGTATTCTTCATCCCTGACTGTCCAAGTTTTGTGGGCAATCGTCCCCTTTGTGACCTTGTGTTCTTTGGACAGCTGGCCGGGTAGAGTGGCTGGAACACGCTCAGATTTGACCGTGCCGGGCTTGTTGAGGTCGCTGGGTCTCAGCTCTTCCCAGAAAGTGGTGGGGGCGGAGTCGAATCGCCAATACTTGCCCGGTCTGGCAAACCTCAACACGGAGAGCCCAAGTGACAGAAGCGCGGCAAGGCTGCATGCACATGCACAGGCAAGAGCGAAGACATTCATCAACCTTGCAACAGCCTCGTCAAACGTGCCCGGTTTCATGTGTCTGAGTGTGGCGAGCTAGCTGTTGAATGCTTCAAGCCATATCATGGGCCTTGAGAGCCTTACAGCTGCAGCGCTCTCACTGTTGAGGGCCGAGGTTTCGTAGGTTGCATACTGCACTCAAAAACAGAGCGGACTCAGCCCATGCGTATACGTCCGTTCTCTCTGTTGGCAGATCTCTGGAGTCACCGACCTTGCGACAAGCTCGAAGGGCTACTTCCCGCCGGACCTTCAGGGCATGAGGCGTCGTTTCCTGTATCTCGCAGCAGCCTCGAAGCCCAGGTACCTGTGAGTGCAGGGCCAAGAGCCCGATTCGGAGACCTGGCACTTGGGCCACTTGGGTCCGGGTAGTGGACTGGTGCATGCTGTACTGCTTCTCGATCGCATGCCGCTGGGCTTCCGAGCTACGCTTCCGCAGGCAGAGTGCCGACAGGCGGAGGAGCGCTGCCTCCTGCCAGAGACAAAGACAAGCTGCCACTGCGTCGCCTGCGTTCGCATGTGTCCTGTCGATCGTCCTGCCATTGAGCGACCCATGCCTGTGGCTGCGGAGGGAGCGAGGCAGCACGGATTTGCTGCGCAGGTGCAACGGCCTGGAACTGACTTCGCAGCTGACGCTTGTGCACCCGCAGCGCCAGTGCCTCACGACAAAATTGCTGTTTCGGGCAAGGACTTAAATCTGACATCGGGGCTGTGGGAGCAACAACAGCACCAGTACAATTGAAATGGCAGCGCAACAATTAAGCAGCTGCAATTAATCGAGGAAGCTCGTCGCCTAGAATGCTCAAGGATTGCAGTCGTCTCCAGACAATTCATATGTCTCTTTGCAGCAGCCGCTCTAAATCTATGTCGATATATATATATATATATATATATATATATATATATATATATATATATATATATATATATATATTTACATATATATATATATATACACATACATATAAGCCTACAAATCTATGTGTGTGTATATATATATATATGTAAGATTATCTACACACATGTAACTTTGTATTTCTCTACAATTTCTATACAACATCTATCTATCTATAATGCATATATATATATATATATATATATACATATATAACAGTCTACGTACAGACATTGGACTCATTTACAGACATTAGATTCATTGGATAGGTAGAGAGATAGGTGGGTAGATAGATAAAAATCCAGAAAATAACACATTACGGGCCGCAAGAAGCACATATACATAGACCAACAGATAGACAGATATCCTGTACTTGACGTGACATGCTCCGTCGCAGCGAGGAACAATGCAAAATGCTCCTTGAAAGCACTGAGGAGGGCATCCTACCTGAGAGATTGGCGTGCCTCGCGGTTTGCAAACATTTGCTACACATTTGTCGACTCGCTGTGCCTGCCATCTCTGCGCCCTCAACCATGCATCCAAGGCCCTGCATGCAAAGCACGGACACCGCAAGGCCATGAAGACCGCACTCGAAAACCCCACTGGCACTGTGCCTCCGGCAAGTGCGATGCAAGCATGCGAGCAGCAAGTCTTGAGCTCTCTGGCGACACTCTGCTCGCTGGGTGGTCCTGCCAAGCGCTGACACCACAGTTCGACGAGTGGCGCTCCAAGCTCGAGAGCTTGGAAACTCTCTGAGCTGTGCTCATCGAGACCTCCGGCTCCAACAATGAAGCAGCCGCCGGCGAGCACGCTGGCAGCGAAAGTTGAGGACCTCAGGGAAGGATCTCCCAGACCCTGGACCTTGAGGCTCGCAAGTCTCGGAGCAGCGCCGCAGTCTTGATGCTGTGCAAGCGCTTGCACTTCTCTGCGGCTGCCTTTGGCAGGCTGTGCTGGGCCCAGAAGATCTTTCCTTTGCAGGTCCTTCGGCCTTCCAGGCCCAAAGCCATCTTCGAGACATGCAGGACTTCCTTCTCTGCATTCTGTCGCGGCTCCGGGAAACCTCACGGGGTTTAAACCAGAGTCTCTCTCTGAGAGCTCCGCTCCGCCGACCTCTTTCTTCCAGAAGGCCATGACTTTCAGCCGCAAGGCGTTGGCGAAGAGCTCCAGGAGTCCACAGCGCATCGCCTAAAACTCGCATGTGATGTCCGCAGACGGTGTCTAGCTTACGAGAGTATATGACTTGCTTGCTTGCCGGGGGTAGGCAGGGGTGAGAGGAGAGGGCAGGCCCCAACCCCCGCATCCATTCTTCTGAAAGGGTGGGCTCAGCTGGACAGGGCTGCAGTGCCCAAACTTGTGCCCTTTGCTTTTGTGGGGGAAGCGAGTTGACTCTTCCACACAGCCAAGAGGGACAGTCGAGACTACCACTCCGCGCACGTGCGAGCCCTGGATTATAGGGGCTTTACGGCGAGCGGGAGAAAGATGCCTGGCTGGAACGAGCAAGAGCTGTAATGTAGGCCTTTGATGGCCTTTGTGTTGGCACTGCTTTTGTATCCCCAAGTGCAGACACTCAGAGCCCCCGGCATCTGGCATGAGCCCCTTCTGCAACATGACGGAAGATCGAGGATTCTAGTGAAGTACGGTAGTTGGGGCTTACATGCGATGCTCGGCGACTGGTCTTTCATTTGACCCCTGACACCTCGCCTTCGAGAACAACCGCCGAATCCTTGTTGACTCTCTCTCTCTCTCTCTCTCTCTCGCTTGTCTTTCTTGTCTCAGTTTCCTCTGTTTTCCAACATGTCGGGTTGCAGGTTGCACAGGCAGTGGCCTTCCGTTGCCCCGAAACGCAAGAACCTCAAGCCGGTCGACGACCATTTTCATTGGCACACCTCACAAGCATCTCAGGTATAGTATTGACTAATTGGCAATGTCTCTCTATGTCATCGTCTTGTGTCAAATGTGTCACGTTAAGGTGGCATACTAGTAACAATCATCCTCTACATAGTTTTCGTAGATACGGATAGACAGGCAGGTACACAAGCAGATAGATGGACGTTCGATGTACATGTGCCGTGGCGCTCCCGACAGTTCTTGCCAGTGCCCGGTCCGGACGTAGGAACAAGTTCGATGCTGCTCCTGTATGTTGTGAACATTTAACACACGAGCTTTATTTCGTCGTAGGCTGATGGTGTTCCATTCTTACCGTGCCCCGGATCTCGCTCCCCAAGTAGTGTTCGTTTCCGGTAGTTGGTCCCGTTCAAGCCATTTATCTCGGCTCAACGCGGCACCAGCAACAGCAGAAACAGTAGTAGTAGTAGTAGTAGTAGTAGTAGTAGTAGTAGTAGTAGTAGTAGTAGTAGTAGTAGTAGTAGTAGTAGTAGTAGTAGTAGTAGTAGTAGTAGTAGTAGTAGTAGTAGTAGTAGTAGTAGTAGTAGTAGTAGTAGTAGTAGTAGTAGTAGTAGTAGTAGTAGTAGTAGTAGTAGTAGTAGTAGTAGTAGTAGTAGTAGTAGTAGTAGTAGTAGTAGTAGTAGTAGTAGTAGTAGTAGTAGTAGTAGTAGTAGTAGTACCAGTAGTAGTAGTAGTAGTAGTAGTAGTAGTAGGAGGAGGAGGAGGAAGTAGTAGCAGTAGTAGTATAGTAGTTGTTGTTGTAGCTGTTGTTTTTGTTGTAGTAGTGGTTGTTGTAGGAGTAATCGTCGTCGTCGTCGCGGGACTCGTCGTCGTCCTACCATGGTACAACAGTATCAGTCTGCAATAGGAATTGGCTCTGACTCTCCCTTTCCGGAACCGCTTCTGCAATTACAACCCATCTCGTGTGCTATCTCGTTCTGATCCGACACTCCGAACCGACTGTCATGCACCAAGATTCAAGCAGATCCGTAATACATATCATCGCATTATCATTACCATGTCCGCCACTCTGCCGCGCACGTCTTACCGGAATCTGGAAGCGTGCCTGCATGTGGTGCGGGTGGATGTCGAAGGGGGCCGAGCCGAAGAGCAGCTCGTCGGCCACGCGCTGCCTGGGTCTGCAGAATCCACTGTGATGCCGATGCCTGTGACTGCTTGCCAGCCCGGCACCATGGTGCCGCAACCGCATCCATGGGAAGTTGCGGCCTCGGTTCACGCTCTTGCTGAGCACTCGTCACCTGAGTGCGACCCGGCCTGCACGTGAATTCCACACGGGCAGAGCAGGCTGCGTGGACTCGGAGCCAGCGCCAGGCCGCCAGCAGCTGCGGGGCGCTGCGCATGGCCACCACCTCTCAACAAAGCCCAAAGTCAAAGAGCGGACACGCCGAATTTGCAAAGGCCAGAAGCCTTCCCGCGTTTGCGGAACCACTGGAGCCAGGCCTGCAAGAAGTGACAGGCAGGATATTACGTTACAGACGGCCTTCAAAGGGACACCCCGGCCTGCCATGCCGCAGTCAGCCGAGAGCGGAGCCAGTGGACGTCCGCCCAGCTCCGATACCTCGCGCACATCACAATCCCACTTGAACAGTGGAGCATCATCGAGCACGTAGGTGGGGGTACAGTTTCATGAGCCGACTATGCTCGGCTTGTCTTCTCCAAGCACCCCAGCAGGCCTCAACAGGAGTGCTTTCTTTCCTTCATGGCGGCGCGGCTTGGTTAGGGAAAAAAGCCGGCGGCCTCAAGCCAGCGCCAGCTTTTCCGAAGCTGAGCCTCTCGAAGCTGAGCTTCCGCCTGCAGCGACCGTTGGAGTCAAAAGGGAGAGCCGAAAGAGCTCCCGAGCCCCTGGACCTGCAGCAAGGCCCGGCGGCGGGCCTGTTTGTCGACCTGGAAAATGAAGAGACGCCCATTTCTTTCAGGATATTATGTCTCTATTATTCTCTATATCTTCTTATCACCTGGGCTCTTCCAGAACCAGTCTTTGGGAGTTTCGCTCAAGCCGAGCCGGGCGCGTGGACGTGGAGCTGCCGCAGCCCGCTTTTCAGGCCTCCGATCTTCGAAAGCAGCCAGGAAGAGGGCAGGTCTGCCTGCAGGGGGCTGAGGCTGAAGCTGTACTTTCGCAGGAAGAGCCCGGAGAGCCGCAGGAGGATGGCTTCCTGGAAGACCCAGTCAACACACACTGCTGAGACTGAGTTTTGAAAGGGCACGCATACGTCGATCTCGATCAAGGTGCAGTCTCCTGTCGCTCGTAGTGCCACAATCCGACCCAAGCCTGTCATGTGTGCATGGGCACAGACGAGTGACCGTAACGTCGCAAGGATGCACGAGGTTGAGTGCTCTTGTCTGTGGCGCATGCGAGCTTTGCCGGCCCGTGTGGGTTTCCGTCGTGTTTCTTCTCTGTTTCTCTGTAGCGGGTCTCTTCTGCTTGGGATGTGTTGCTTGTGTCGAAGCTTCCGTGCATTTTGCGCTGTGAGCCTGGTTGTTGCTCGTCTCCGCGCAGATTCTACACGCGTTCTCATCAGGGTGTACCGCAGCCCAACAGCTCAACTTGTTCATGCTCGACATGGGGAAACTAGCCGATAGTAGCCTTCATGACCGCGCCAAGAAGTCGTACCCCAGCACGAGACTGCGCTTTGAGGACTGCAGCCTGAAAATGTGCGCAAAAGACTCGAGAAGCGGGTCACAAAAGGTGCTCTGTCACATGCGTCTCAGCTGCACACCTCCCAGTCCCAAGCTATGCGCCACGCCAAGAAAGCCCTGAGTAGATCTGTGATGATTTGCGAAGATCTCAAAGCATCGGGACCATCTTTCCATTTGAAGCTGTGGCTGCCTCCTGCAGCTTCGATGCCAACAGTCTGCAGCGAAATCTTGGGCCCGTTGTCGGTGCTCAATTTGACGTCGGCACCTGTCGCCGTGTCAATCGACGCCTTTGAACAGGACCCCAGGACCCCAGAACCCCGGTGGTAGCGGATTTCTGGCCTTCGGCTCCAGGTTTTCAAGGCCCTGGCTCGGCTCCGGCCCGCTCGCAGCGAAGCGACCTGCGGGGCGCTGCGAGTCTGCAGATCCCTGCGGACACCCAGCGTGTCGTAACGTGGTGTGAGCTGTGAGCTCACGGCTTCTTGCTGGCAGCCGCGGCTTCGCTGGACGTCTTCGGCTTGGACCTGTAGATCGGACCGGACCGGACCGGACCGATCGAACGCGAAAGCTGCGCCCTGCACCTGGCCTGCCAGGCCGAGAGGTACGCGGAGAGCGTGCGAAGGCGGACTTTGAGGAGGAAGCTGCTGGTAGCTCGGGCCTTCAAGGCAGGGCCCGCAGGGTTCTCAAGTTGTGGAATCAGTGATTCGGAGTGCTTGCGGTTGGGACCTGCATCTGCCAAGAGCTGAACATCTTCTTCAACAGCGCGGTGACGAAGCCGCGCAGTACAGTGAGCTGCACAGCCTGCAATCATGAGACTGCAGATGGATGGCTCGGTTCTGCAATAAACTTGTAAAGTACGCTGCTGTCGGGGGAGCGCCTGCATGTGGTGCGGATGGATTTCGAAGGGTGCTGGATCGAAAAGAAGGTCAACCGCAGGGTCCCACCACCTGAAATATGCCGGAGCATGTGTATGCGGATGCGTGAAACCACGACTGAGGCTTTGGACCATGTGCGCGGTTGGGAGTGACCTTATAAGGCACGACGGCTTTTGCAAGAGTGCCAGCGTCAATGAATTTAGTGAATTCGGGATCTCGGCCTGAGCTGGGTGGCAGCCACTTTCTGGCGACACAGGCAGGGCAGCGAAGGGAAGCAGCTTAACTTGCGACTTGCACCCTCGCCGCTTGCCTGTGGCGTCCGGATCCCGCAGCATGCACCCGAAGCCAGCACCAGGATGCCAGCAGCTGCCGCTCACTGCGCATGGCCACCACCTCTCACACATCGCTCGCAAAATATTTCGCATGTGGCGCAGGGCGCAGGGCTAGAATCTATAGAAGCCTTCCCGCGCTTCCGGAACCAGCGAAGCCAGGCCTGCGAGCTGCAACTCCGAAACTCGACTCGACCGAACTCGACCGTCTCGAATTGCTTGGGGCTTCAGCCTGCCAGGCCGCAGTCAGCCGAGAGCGGAGCCAGTGCACGTCCGCCCAGCTCCGGTACCTCCGCCCGCAAGGCCGCAAGGCTTGAACGGCCTGCGCATGTCTACCTTCCCTGCAGCACAAGGCCATGAGCTGTCGCTGATGAGAATACGCCCGCAGCGCTGTCCAGCATGCCTGACCAACAGTGAAGCGTGAAGACAAGAGGCTTTTCAACCGGCCGGGTCAGCGACGCAGCCTGTAGCACTCGGCAGCGTGCGAGTCGCGTGCCACGGGCCAGGAGCTCTTTGGCCTCTGCAGGGGACCCAGGCCAAGTCCCTGTGTTTCGGCCAAAAACAGAAAATTCTGCGCATTTCAGGGCTGAGCAGAGTGCACCTTAAAGGTGACCGTCGGACAGTCAAACCGCACGGGAGTCCGCACGGCTCACTGCAGGCTGAGCAGCGAAAATCTACTTCTGAGGGAGTGACATGCAGCAGCCAGCTGCCGCAAGCTGCGTGCAACAAGCGTCGGCACTGGAGCCTAAGCCGAAGAAAGCCCAAGTGCCCTTGTACCCTGCTTGTATGTATGTGTATATATATATATATATATATATATATATATATGTATGCTCACCCCCCCCGTTGACAGACCATGCCCTTGTGATAGTGTACTCTTGGCAGGTGACTCAGCTGAGATACTGTATCTAAACACACCACACCCGACGATGATCTGTAAAGTAAGACCTTTACAGCAGATATACAACGTATACTTTGACATGCCATGTACTGAGGACGCACCAGACGTGCGGCACATGAGTTACGTAATAGTTTTGTGGTAGTATCGGTATTAGGATGAGTATGATTTTTAATATTAGTACTATTGTTGGCTGTAAGTATACATGCCAATATTAGTAACTATAAACTAGTGTTTCTACTCATGTTCGTGTTAGAGTTAGCGCTAGTGCCAGTGTCAATGTCAGTAATACAGCACCACTGCAACTAGTAGTATCAGTATGAGTCTTAATGCTGGGTTTAATAGCAGCTTATATTCGCAGAAGTGCTAGTATTAGTATCAATATTAGAATTAGTTAGTTTTAGTCTCGTCTATTAGCAGATCAGTATATCAATACATCAATGTATTCGAACAGTAAAATATTTGTATACTTGTATACAAGTCTATGTGAAATGTTAGTACATCTGGTGCATGAATACACTAGTATATTGGTGTAACAACGGGAAGTATATCGTTACATTGGTATATGGGTATATGCTTATGCCAAAGCATTAATACATGAATGCACTAATGTATATATATGTATCTTAAGATAATGATATGTATTCCCGCGTATTTTTGTGTACATTAGTAAATGCAGGTGTCTATTAGTAATGATATTAGTATTCATATCAATATGAATATACTATTGGTATTCGTAGGAGTATAAATGTCAATAGTATTAGAATTAGGACTGTTTATTGTCGTATTAGCCATAATATGAGTTTTCATGCTGGTAATACTACTGGCATTCTTGAATATTCAACAGATCATAAATGTCCGTATTACTGTTGGTGATAGCACTACTGTTAACGCACAAGGGTTTACGTATTCGTATTCGTAGCAGTAACAACACTTATGTAAATATTGATGTTAGTGTAAATATTGTGGTAACTATTAGAAGTAGTGTTAGCGTTAGTACTATAATGTTATGGATGATTTACATTTGCAGGAAGGTTTGTATTAGTATTACTCTTGATCACGTGAAAATACAAACAGTTGAGTACATGAGTGAGCTAAAGTATTTGTATTTTAATATAGTGGTATGCATAGTTATGTACACTCGTACATACAGGTGTGTGTTAGTATTCATACTAATATACAGTATTATCATTCTGAGTATGATTATGGTTGATATGCGTAGGAGTATTAATAGCAGTATTAATAAATATTAGTATTCGTGTTATGCATATTCGTACCTATCTTTATAGAAGTGTAACATTAGTAGTAATGCTGGTATTAGTTTGGGCATTCAACAAATGATCAATGTCAACTTGCAATGGCAATACTATATGTAGGAGTATCAATACATATGTCTATAGATAGATAGATAATAGATAGATAGATAGATAGATAGATATTCGTCTAAATATGGGCGTGAGTATTGACAGCCCTTGCCTTTGCAAGTGAGTCGTAGTGCATGGTCTGTCATCGGATGGGTCACAATCAGCCCTCCTGAGAATCAATTCCAAGAATTCCAAGAATTCCAAAATTTCCAAAACCTAGTGGACAGGATTTTCTAAAACATAAGGGCTGCCTTTTTGGAAATTTTGGAAAATTTAGAAATTTCGGAAATTCTGGAAACTTTGGAAATATTGAAAATTTCGGAAATTTTGAGAAATTTTGGAAATTCCAAAATCCCCAGACCTAGTGGACAGGATTTGTCCAAACCATAAGGACGAACTTTTTGGAAATTTTGGAATTCCTGGAACGTCCTCGAAATTTTGGAAAACTGAAAGTTAGGGGCGAGAATTTTGGACATTCCTGAATTGATTTCTCGAGGGCTGATTGTCACCCATCCGATGACAGACCAGGCGTTACGACTCACCTGAAAGGGCATGGTCTGTCAACGGGGGGGGGCGACCATATGTATGTATGTATGTATACAATAATTTTTCAACACACATCATTCCTTAATTTGCAAGGTAGATAGAGTGTTGGATCCCTACGCAATTTTGCAAATTTGCAGCCTCGGACTGGGAAGCAGGGACAGGTGCTGTACCACACCGGGACCTGGACCCGTGCAACCGGGCGAATCTATCGCGGAAGCTTCTTCTCGCCGTGAGGCAAAGATGCCATCTCGCCACGCCAAGCCTCGAAGCCAGAATCACATCAAAGCCCCTCCCATTGGAGCCTGTCAGAAACTAGCAGAGCCCACTCTTGCTAGCATGATAAAAACAGTTGTCTGAACCCCCCCCTGGTCATGGTTCATGAGTTCCTGACTTCAGTGTTTGTCGACGCTGCGAGGACCTCCGCGCAAGGTCCGCAGCCCTCTCGGCCATGTCCGACCTGTGGGGCTTTGCAAGATTGGAGGGGATACGCTGAGAAGCATGTCCTGCGTCCTGCCTCGTCCTGCGGTACCAGTATCCCAGCGCCTCCGCAGACGCAGGAGTCATAGATGGTCATAGAGTCACAGTCATAGAGCAGGTCCAGATGTGTCTACAATTAGACACCTGACCTAGCAATCTAGCATTTCCTCTGCGCCTGCTTTCGTCGAAGCTCCAGCACGAGCTCTCGCTCGTCGTGCACGGCACTCTGCCAAGCACCAACCGCCTGGACAAAGGACTCGACTCTGGAGCTCCCGAGTCAGAACTTCCGAACTTGGAACTCCACTCTTGCGAGGCTCTTCCGATAGGCAAAAGCATCCGCAAGGATGGCCATGGCAGGGTCGCCCAAGTCGGGTTGGGGCCTCCAGGACAGGAGAGTCGGACTTGGGACGAAAGCGCATCCAACGCTTCCGACTCCGTCAATCCTCGGCTGCCACGCGCTGGCTTCCTGACAGCATGCCGCTTTCAATGGAAGCTTGTATGCGTTGCGCATCTGCGCAGCCTGCCGTGGGTCCTCCGGAGATCGGAAGGGAAGCATCGAAGTGGAGACCAGTGCAGAGGCAGTGGGAAGCAGGTCCACCAGGTCCGGACCTGCAATGACAAGTTCTGCTTTGCAGATTGTCTCAATTTTCAGTGGCTGCCTGGATCTTTGTCTCCCTTTCCGATCGCCGGGACGGCCTTAAGATTTGCGCTGACTCCGCTGCCGCTGCCAAGAGCTCATTGGGCAGGGGCCGGTGTAGCTGCCACTGCCGTCAAGGGTTCTTCCGGGCTGGCTTTCGTCTCGCCCAGAACGGGCTCGCCTCCAGCTTCCTTCAGCCGACTCTCGGCGGCCGAAGGCTTCCGAGTCCTCTATACTGCAGAACTTTTCAGAATCTGCAAGCGTTCTGTTAGAGCTATCGAGTCTTGGCTGACCTCTGCGGAGTCGGAGAAGTCTGACCCAGGACCACTGGCACCGAGACGAGTGCCGGAGTCTGCCGCGGACCTCAGGAGCAAAGCTCTGCAGAGATGCTCACAGTCCATTCTTCCTGGGCCTGTCGTTGGCTCGACGGGGATGTCCGCCTGCAAACCCAGGGTCTATAGGAGAAAAGCCTTGGAACTAGGCGCTCGTGCACTTTTCTTACACGCCACCAACCAACTCCCCATCGTGAGCACGAAAACTACTTGTACCCAGGAGGCCCACAGCGCGTACACAGTACTGTAAGCAGCCTCGCCTTGGGATCTTGCGCTGGCAAGCTGTTGCTTTTCCTTAAGGGGGTTTAAGTGGGACCCGGGATCGGATGAGCAGCAACTCGGGACCCTGCCAACAAACCGCATCGGGCAAGATGGGTTCCAGTGGCGCGCGGGCATTCGCTTGATTCCCGGTATGTCTGCCCCACCTGAACTCCACGGAGGGCGGCTGGCGCCTTCGAGTCGGATGCTTGAGACGCGGGCTGCAGCAAAGCCCTGTAGATCTGAATCCCGGCGAGGTCCGTGGCCTGCAGAAAATGTTGTGGCGGCGAGGAGAAGCGTCTTCAAGCGACACACGCAGAAAAGTACTACTAAACCCTGTCATGACCAGTGGTTTCAAGAACTTGCTTGGCTGCTTGACCCTTGGCGCACGCGCCAACTGCAGCTCCGAATACGAATTCAGACTGCTGTAGGCAATAGCCCTGCAGCCAGGGCAGGAGCAGTGCGGCACGCTGCCACTGGCTAGCTTGCCCACACGCACCCATGCTAGCTGTGCAAGCAAGCTCATCAAAAAGGAAATCGTGCAATGCTGCTCTCTGAAGCAAATTACATGCGAGCTGCCACTGGGCAGAGGCACGGCAAGCACTAATGGCTGCAGTCAAGCAGATCCCGTTTGCAGGAATTCGCCAGTCATCCATGCACTCCAACAAGTCTACCGCCAGCTGCCAGTTGCCAGAATCAGCACACGCAGAAATGGTTGCGCTGAGGGTGAAGCTGTCAGGTCGGAGTTCCTGCTGCAGCATCGCGTGAAGCAGCTCCAAGGCGATCTCCCACTCCCCACAGTTCTCACAGGCACTGATTGCAGTGCTGCAGCCTCATTGAAGGAGACAACAACTTCTGGAAGAAAGATGAGTGAAAGCTTGATTTCTTGGAGTTTAAGGGCTGCCTGGGCACTGTTGTCGTCGTTAAAGCCGGCCGCCTGTGAAGCGTCGAGGACGCGAAGTCCGCACTGCCATTGCGAGCCCCTCTCGCATGCTGTAAGGCTTGTCCGAAATGTCGGCAGCTGATTCTGCTCGTCATGCAAGAGCAAGGATTTCCCCCACTCACTGGCATCCCCAAAGCTAGTGGACATGACACAGAAGGCTACGACATCAGCCTGAACACCTCGACTCAACCGATGAAAAATGGAAAGTGCCAGCCGCCACATTGAACTTTCCGTGCCCACGGAGTCCATGACAGAGCTCTGTACAACCATCGAAGAAGGGATCCCCACCTGACCCATCCGCTCTGCAATGTGAAGGGATTGCGGCCACTTCCGGAGGCCTGCTATGTTTGCGAAGCTCACGCAGCTACGCCTCAGGCCCGCTGCCGGGTAGTGGAAGAAGGCCAGGACCCTGCGCCAGGCTGGCCCTGGCTGGGACGTAGCCTTGGAGGCTGAGACGGCGCTGAGCAGGGCAGCCTCGAAGGCCTGGCGGCGGCGGTCACCGTGGCCATACGAGAGGCTGAGAAGACCGTGCTCCCATGCCCAGGGCCCTTTTGGGAGACCAAGGGCAGAGAGAGCACGTGGCCAGTGCCAGGCCTCGGCCTCAGGCCGAGCCATCAAAGCAGCGAGCGCCGTCTGGGTGTATTGATCCGAACGGAGGGAATATGCGGGCATCCGTTGCAGCAGCAGCAACGCCAAATCCCAGGCAGTTGTTGAACCAGCACAAGCTGCAATCGTGGGGTTGTAAGAGAGGTTATCCAGCCGAAGACTCCTGGGCCGGAACGTGGACAGCAAGGCGAGGGCGGCTTCCCAGCAGCCTCGGATTCTCAAACGAGTGCACGCTCACGCTCTGGTGTTCAAGTCTGAGTCTGGATGGAACCTATCCCTAACTGGAGTTCGTGCGCTGTCTCCACAGGCGTCCCACTCTGGCTGCGCCATCTGGAGCCGGGTGGGTCACGTGGGTGCACCGTCTGTGTACATAGACCGACTGCATGCCAGGTCAATTTTTGGAAGAAGTTGAGAACTAGAGTGCTCGTCTAGCAGTATCACAGCCTCCAACATCGTCAAAATCATTATATAAACTGTCATCACTGCACAGTTTTTGTGAAGCAGCTGGCTTTGCTGCATGCGCTGATGGCCGCGCTGCAAATGATTTCGTTCACGAAGAGTTTCTGGTCCACCAGGGCACTCAGCATGTGTAATGCGGTGGACCACTGACTCCCGTTTGCACAAGCAGTGATCACAGCGCCAAAGGTGAATTCATTGGCCCTCACTCTCCCATCCATATCAGCCAACACTGCTAGAGCCATCTGCCACTGTTGACAACTTCCACAGGCACGAATCAGAGAAGTGTAGGCGATGACATCTGGGTAGAGCCGAATCTGCGTCGGTAAGGAGCTGAGAAGCATCAGCGCAGTCTGCCACTGCTCGTCGCAGGCAGACAACGCCGCTCCACAACTCACCTGGTCTGGCCAGGGCATGAGCAACTCCAAGGCTTCGGTCCAAAGACGTCCGCGAGCACAGGCAGACATCGCAGCATTCAAGGTACTCCTCGGCCTGCATTCCGCAAATTCCGCTTCCTTCGGGGCATCTTCCAGCGCTCCGAGGGCCCTCTGCCATCTCGCGGAGAGCCAGGAGATGAGCTGGTTGAAACTGACGATACTCGGAAGCACACCCTCCTGCTGCATGCGATGAAAGACTTGCACCGCTGCAGCCCAGGCCCACACATCCCGACTCTTGCGTGCAGACATGGCGACGTTGAAGTGCAGCACATTCCTCGGCTCAAGCTCTCCCCGCTCTGCGAAGCTCTGACCCGTCCTTGCAGCCTTGCAGTCCTCTGAGCTCTGCACACTTGCAGCTGCTGCCGGTGCCTTGGACGCAGAATGTCTGGATTCTGGATCTGGCATGTCAACAAGACACACAGTCAGCACAGCTTTTCATGCAGACGGGTGTCATTTTCTCCAGCACCTGCAGCGCGACTTGCTCTTGTTTGATCTTGACTTGCTTCCAGGGATCTCACATCCGGGTACTTCGGCCGAGCGGCTTCGGTGGTAGATTTGACGCTGCTGGTCTTGGCGAGATCCTTGAGGTAGACCGTTGCCTGCTTCGGATCTCGCCATATCTTCTCAGCGCCCTGCACAGGCGTGTAGAGAGAACAGCTCCCTGAATCATGAACGATACATTAGCAGACCATCTTGGAGGCTAAGCATTCTGGCGCAAGGTGGTTGAACCACGGTCCCCTTCGAAGTAATTGTGCTGCTACTTCTTATGTGCATGCACGTAAAAAGTAGCAGCACAAAGACCCCGTCCTTGACCAGCCTAAGACCGTTGAGTTGAGGTTATGCAACAGCTTCGCGGGCCTCAAGACCAAGAAAGCGCTCGTGCTTCGCCACCATTTTTACCAACCAGCGCCCGGCAGTTCATGGGAGCCGGACACTGCCAAAAGCATTCTACTGACATCGCTTTCCGGTGCCGGGATTTGTTGTTGAGTACAAGCTGTTGTCGACGCTCTTCTGAAACTCAGTCCTGTGCAGGACCGTTCTTTGCAGAAGCCTGGAACCCTGATAGAAAGGGCGACGGGCGACCAGGAAGCGGCTTAAGCCACATTGCAGGAACAAACTCACCCAGGAGGCGGCACAGATTCCATGCTTGGCAATGGTGGCATCGTAGACCTGCAGATCATCGCAATGGGCCAACACTCACGTACTGCACTTCTGCAGGCACCTTCAGCACGTGGCCGAGTGTGAGGGCTCTTTCCCCCTCCGCAGACCTGAACATGGTGACTGGCGCATGGCCGACCAGCATCGCATGTCTCGTCTCTGGCGGGTCGCCTAAAGATTTCGCTGACGATCACCTGCTGCGCGTGAATGCTGGCCGGATCCAGATTCTCCGCTCCAAGCATAGACATCCTGCAATCGCTTGCACAGACGGAATCATTATACTTAGCATGATTCATTCAAAGGCCAGTTCGAAGCTGTATCTCAACTACTCGCAACTGTGGGCTGTGAACATCTCTAGATCTGTAAGTCCAAGACAGATTCTCCATCCGCAGGGAGGATGTTACGGCAAGAAGCGCCTGGCCCGGCAATACTCTCTTGAAACCTCAAGGCCTCCAGGGGATCGCCTGGACATCTTCGGGTGTCCACTCGACCTCAGCTCACGAAGGCTCCAGTTCCAGTGAGGCAACACTCGTCACTGGATCAGCGAGAGAGTGCCCGAGGCACTTTTCTCCCCACTCCCCAAGAAGGCGTCCCGCGCTGAGCTGGCTGTCGCTTCAGGCTCTCAGCTCTCCCTTTTCGCATGCACTGATCGCTGAATTGAAAGTGATGTCGTCGACCGGCAGGCTTTCCCTGAGCATGTCCTGAAGCAGTGCCAGGGCCCGGATCCACTGAGAGCTCCTCTCACATGCACTGATCGCAGAGTTGAAGGCGATAGAACAGGAAGCGCCCGTGGCGGGGCTAATTCTTCTTGAGGGAAGCTCTGCCAAAACCGCGAGTGCCCACTGCCACTGGGCCCCTCTCGAGCAGGCACTGATTACAGCAGTCAGCGTGATCTCATCAGGCTGTAGCTTCGCTTCAAGTTCCGTCATCAGTGCCAGAGCCAGTCTCCAGTTTTCCGCTTTATCCGCAGCGCTGATGGCCGCATTGAACAAGAGGAGGTCGGCCGAGTGCAGCTGCTGAGCTAACTGGAAGACAAGGAAAGCCCTCTGCCATTCACAGCCTCTTTCGCAGGCAGTAAGTGCTGCACCGTAGGCCTTCAGATCAGGATCTGACATCTTAGAGAGCTGAAGAAGAGCCCACTGCCACTGCGCGCCCTTTCCCAAGGCGTGGATCAGGGCAGTTCGGACAGGGACGGCCTGGACGGCAAGCTCCCCAAAACACGCTTGAAGCCACAAGGCCCAGGGCCAGCGGTCGCCCTGGAAAGCTCGGCAAGCCGCTGTAAAAGTTGCTTCTGTCTTCCTGACCTGCAAGCGGGACATCTCCCCGAGCAGGCCCAAGGCTTCCTGCCAGAGCTTCTCGTCTTCCCCGCAGAGCTTCAAAAGAAGGTTGAAGCTGACGGTGAAGTTCTCCGTGTTCTCTTCCATCATCCCTCTCATACGCTCCAGCAGGCTCCGGCCCAGTTCGTACTTGCCACCGGCTCGGCATGCATACAAAGCAGCATTCAAAGTCGGTATGCTGGGAGCCTCTTTGGCACCAGACTCGCATAAAGCCAAGGCGTGCGACCAGCAACGTTGCTCACACATGCCTTGGGCAAGACTCCTTGCACAATTAGAGGGGAACAGCCCGCGATTCAATGCATCAATGCTCGAGAGAGCTGTGCTCCACGATCCTTCGGCGCCCAAGTCTCTGATAAGTAGCAACATGGAAGACCAGCTGCATAGGTGTTGTGACGAAAATCCGCAGCCTTACTCTGGCACTTACTCCCTTCTGGCCGGCCAAGCCACTAAACTCGCTTCATATGTTCGCAGTATGATTAAACTCCAAATTTAACAGAAAGGTACGCTGCCCTAGCATTTGTATATATGTTCTTGCTGACACATAACTCGCAAATGCATGAACTAAGTAAAGACCCAATATATGGACGCACAATGGACCCGAACACATGCACACGAATGGGGAAAGGAGGCAGGAGGTCAAGGTACATACTCCTGGGCGCAGGCCCGGGGCGATGTTATATGTGGGATATACCACAACCATGCGATGTGATCACATGTAACGGCATAGACATATCCACATAAACGGTTGGAGGTTTGTGTGAAGCTCAAGTGCCGGACGAATTTCTGCGATACTTCTGGATATCAGATGGAAAAAATCTGCATTGCAGGATAAGGAGCTTCTGGCATCTTGCACAGCCTGCACGACTGCCGACCACACGGACGTGAGGGCTACCGGAAAACCAGCAGCGTAGGCAGAGAGATCCTTGCGCAGCGAGTAGTGCTGCATGACTGAAAGCAACTGCTGCGAAGTCTTCCACTGCCTTTGCCGGGAGCAAGCCTGCACGCATCCCGCCAAAGGTCCGCCCTCGTCCAGAAGCTTGTTTCGCGGACACTTGCGTGCATCTGCCAAAAGTTGAACTCCCGTCTGCCACACGGCTTTGCATGCCAGAATCAAAGAACTTAAGCCAACATCGTCCAGTCCGTCTCTGCCACGGAAACCTGGCTGACAGATGGCTATCAGAAGAGCCCACGGTAGCCGGTTCCTACATGTGACTGGAGACATGGGGTGACTGAGAAATCATGGCCCTCCTGGGAAAGACGCCAGAAGCTGACGAGCGGCTTATCGACAGCGCATGCTGCCAGTTTTCACAGGAGCCTGCGGAGCCTGTCGCAGAGGTCAAGCAAACCTTGTTGGGTCGGGAGGTGGCAGTTCTCATGCGTAGGAGGAAGTCCAAGCATGTTCTCCAGCGCTCCGAAAACGAGCGCAAAGCTGAACCCAAAGTGATCACATCTGGCTGGAGGTCGAGTCCTGTCGCGACTCTGAGCATCGCCATCACCTTCTGCCAAGACGAGCCAGAGAAGGCAGACCCAAAGCTTGCACGATTGTAGCTGATTCCTTGCTGCCGCATCGCCATGAGTTTCTCCAACGGCCTCTCCCAAGAGAGTGGTGCGAAGCTGTCGATCACCGTATTCTCCACGACTGCATTCACTTCCAGTCCCACCTGCTTCAAGTTCAAAGCCAGTGCCGATGCCGCAACCCATCTGCGGCTTCTGGCACAAGCATTGAGGACGGCACCGTAGTTGATGCTGTCTGCACACTGAAAGGAACGGAGGACATGTATCGCATGTTGCCATTGCTGGGACATCTGGAAAGATGCGAGTACCTGAAGCACAAAAGCAGAGACGAGATACAACTGAGCGAGGCAACGTAAGCGCAATGCCCGTGAACCCGGCTGCCTGCTGAGCCTCCGTCGGCGTCACATCGCAGCGCTGTCGCTGCAGCCTCTGTAGTAGCTGCAAAACTGAAATAGCTCGGACCGGCTTGGACTTTTTGGTGACGGTGTCCTGGGCAGCCGAGTGGAAATCTTTTCCTGATTGTTCGTTTCGGTTCCTTCAGTGCGGCTATTCTGGGTTACTTGCAACAAACATCTGACTATGCTATTCGAGCAACATGCTGGGCTGCAGACCGAGGGAGGGTGAAAGCAACCAGTGAGAACGACATGTCGGAGCATGTAGGCCCCAATGCACGGTCAAGAATGTCTCACATTCTTCCATGCCTGACAGCTCAGACTGGCTACATGTTGCTGCCTCGGCATATTGCAGTAGCCGAGTTGACTTGAGCCCACTGCGGCTGCGAAGTTCTTCCTGTCAATACATTTACACATGGACACCGTGAACCAAATCATCTCAGGGCGCGTCGCAGCCCGTCGCTGCTCAAGCTGTGACCTTCGCTGCGGAACTCCGAAAACAGGCCATGCAACACAAGAACTTGTGAACCAATGGGTGAGTGCCACACGCACTTTTGAGAGCCTCCACAAGTGTCAAGCTTGAGCCGACGGACATTGAGGTGCGTGCGCAACTGCGTCATGTTTGACGCTTGCAACACAGACTCAAGCAGGGCATAGCTCCCAGCCGGCAGGGTTTGAGTGACAAATCACAAGGAAAAGATCGTACGTCGGGCACGACTCTGGCCGAAATAGGGTGGGTTGAGAGGGCGTGGATCTGACTAATACATATATTATATATGCGTATACTTGGTTATTCTCAAGCAGGTGAACCTCATTTTTTTGCACGAATCATTTGCCACGGCCCGGGTCTGCGAAACAGGTCCGGGTACAGCTTGGTTTGCCAGCGTCGGGCATCTCTTTGTCTGGCCGATACGATCGCAGCGCATAACAAGAACGCAACAAAGAACAGATACATCGAGTAGAAACGCGGTACGATATTGAGGTCGGGAAGCTTGGCTGATTCTTTCAAACCCTCAAGAACATCCACGCTTCGCCTCGCAACTCTTTCACTGACAGAGCTTTCCCTGAATTGTAATTTTCGATATCCGGGTACGGAGTAGAGTCTAAGTAGAGCAACCTTGAACACCTGCCCTAAAATGTCTTCCTCCCCCCCGCGGATGATTTGTATAATTGTAGGGGTCATTATTATTGTGTTCCGGGCACGGGATTGTATCATTGCGGGGGGAGTCGGTAATGTGAAGTCAACATTATAGCATTCTGTGCTGCGAGGACACGATACAATCGACACAGCTTGAAAGGCGTTCACTGTGAAGCCTTGTGGTCCAAAGATGCTGCCGATGTTTGTTTAGCTCGTACCGGGATGGCATTTGCACGATTCTGTTTGCCGCGGTATGCTGCACGCGAGCACGTCCACGATACCGCAGTCACGCAACACTGTAGGCACACGCGAGGGTATATAGGCATTTGCGCATGAAACGTGCATGTTCCCATGGGTGTCTGGCCGGACCGGGCTTAGAGCCAATGAAGTTCTGCTTCTGTCTTGCATGCCACTTGTGTTACTTTCTTGCAGTGCTCTATTACAGGCTTCATGTGCACGTACTGTTTCCGCTTGGGCGCAGAACACATGCTCTGAAATCAAGTTGCGCGCATCTCAGTTCATCTCTTTGGATCTCCTTTGCTGAACGTTGGCCACGAGCAGCCATCCGCTGCACGACTCAAGCTTTAGGGATGCCAGCCCAAGATCGTTTCATCTGGGCCACAAGGCATGTCATCAGAATTCTTCTGACACGAGTCAGCTTGGGGTTTCAGGCTAAACTCGGCACGTGGACCCAAACCTTGCTGCTGAATCTACAAACCTAGCCACCGCAACTGCCATTAGCATATGAGAACGATGGGAAAAAACAGCAAGCGGCAGTTCGTCTGATGGGTCACACGACGGCGCACGGCTTTGTATCATTTCCAAATCGTGGTCTGTGACCTTCGCCTTGCAGTCTTGGAGAGGTGTGTGCACGGAGCGCCGTGCTGGAGCTCCACCAAACTCTTGCATGTCAAGGTTAGATGCAAGGCATTGGGTTCTGGATAGCCTTTGGGCAACATCGCAACCAGCAACCCGTAAACGGCGCTTGCTGGGCTGGATGCGCCACACTCTCCAAGCCAATGCAAAGTCTCAGGCATTAAAAGTCAGCTGCAATTTTCTGTATCAAGTGAACGATGTCTCATGCATTCTCATGCTCAACATGGAGAATGCTTGCATGACAGTCCACGCGTCATCGGTTTCGCATCCAACAGCAAGTCCCACCTCAGCCAAACACACTCTGCGCAGGGGTATTGGGGCACAACAAACCAAAACCAAAACGACTGAAAGCAATCCTCTTTCGCTCTGTTGACGGCGCCTTGCAAGCAACAGATCGTATCAGCAACGGCCTGGCGAACGCGAGCAGACACAACAGCAACGAAGCGGAGCAGCAAGCACTGAATACGACTGCTGAGCTGGCCTGCACGAAGCTCTTTTGGCATGCCGCGGCTGTGGCATCCTGGCAGAACATAATGGGCAGCATGTCAGCATGCTCACGAAGTTGCGCCACGGCTGAATGTTTCCTGGCCAGGAGACTCTCGGGGCCTGCCAGCACATGCAAAACTGCAGTTTGTTGCAGTTTGAAAACGCGCCGCTTCTGGGAGAAACACGGTGGCAGCTCCTGCACAGCCTGCCGAACAATGCCCCGTGTACCGTTACCACGCCGACACGTCGCATAGCACAACACGACCACGCAAACGCACGCGAGTGCCTGAGACTGATCGTACAGCAAATCAACTGCCATGGCGACGTCTTCGTCCCTAACATAGGAGTTTTCTCCGGTGACCTTCACTTCCATTTTGCCAGCAACCTGTCCATCGAGCAGGCAGGCATCACCTCGTGGAAACACCTTGCCGCTCGCAGCCTCTTGGCCACGCAGCACCACCATTGCCAGCTCCACGCTGACCTTGTCAGGAACATGGCAGTCGAACATATGGGCCCTGGGAGGAAGGAAAAAGAAATCGTCCGCCCACCCCTTTCAAAATTATTGGATTATATTGGGTTGCTATATGTTGCTGTTGGGCCGCTGGTTTGCATTCTAGCACAAGACTGCTACGTTGTCCTCGTGCAGAGACCGTGTAATGTAGATATTTCGGGAGCCTTTTCGAGCACGGTATGTCGGAGAACACAGGCCTTGGTTCTGGAGCGTTTATATATCGGGATTGAGTGGGAACATCTAAAGCACTCCTGCTCTTCTCACAACTCGCCGACGCAACCCTAAACCCTAAACCCATTTTTTTCAGGGCTCCAACCCTGGGGGTGGTCACAGTAGGGTTGCTTACTACCTCTGCGCTGGTTCGCCATGCGCCGAAGTGTTGGGCTGAGTGTATGCCGGCTAGGCCGACCAAAGCAGCTCATAGCGTTCGTTCTGGTGACATTGGGTTCCGTTTTGGGGGTCAGAAGATGCTTGGCTTGAAGCGCCAACTCCGCGGATCGTGGCAAGGACGCGGCTGCTCCTGCGACCAAACCTGACCAAAGAAGAGATCCTGCAACTTTCGCTTGGCATGAACCATTGAGGCCGGTGCTTCACCGTAGCGAAAGCCAGCACAGACTGCGATTGCTGGGAGCGCATTTTGCAGTTCTCAAAGTCTGGAGCGCAGCGCTGCCTCTGCAACGTGGGCCGATGTTGTGACGATGTGTCCATTATTGGGCGAACGCTGCACCTCGAACTCAACTGCACGGACAACGCATTCGCATAGGCACGCTGCTTTGAACTGCCTGGCAAACTCGGCCCTGGATATGCGGACCTAAAACGACGTCAGCTCACGCCCTCCCCAACACCGGACATGGACCAGCAGTGAGAGGCTAGGCTCACAGCTTGAAAGCCGCGTCATGGCTCTCAACACGACAACTACCTGCCCTTCAGCCAGCTCAAAGCCTATCTACTCAGACCAGCAAGGCTTCAAGAATCCGCTTGCGCATGTTCAAACACTAACAAAGACCGGCGTCCGTTTTCAAAGACGCACGTTCCGCCAAGATTGAAACCTGATTGCCCGGTGTAAGGCACCACACCGCTACTTCACAACACAGCTGCGTGATGCTGCGTGCTCGGAACAGCGGCCGCGCTCCACACTTGGCGCAGGTTGCTGACGTTGAGGGCGGCGAGTCGAGCCATGAATGCATATTGACTGTTGCAGAAGCTGCTTCGTCTTGGAGCGCAGTGCCACCTATGTTTCGATTGTTGGCAATTATTTCGAGTGACTTGACACTGAAGCGTGAAGTCGAGGGACTGTGCTAGATTGCACAGAAACAACACGCTGTGATTGTACCCCGATTGTTGTTTCACCCAACCCCGTTATCGGCAACAGATGACGACAACCCAACCCTTCCCCCCGAGAACAACAACCCAACATCCCCCAGAGAACAACACCCCCCCTCCCGAAAACAACAAAGCCCCCGAGAACAACACGCACCCCCCGTGTGCAGCTTAAACCGGTTCTATGTGGAAGCTGGCTCTTGTATTTTACGCAGGAAATATTGAGCTAAATCCCAATTGCATGTACAAAAGCCTGCTTCCAAATAAACCCTATTTTGCGTCCCGGGAGGTTACAATGCCAGAAATAAATGCAGTAAGTTTCATCTTCACCTCGAATCAGTAGAAAGAAAGACTTTAATTCCCGCCGCGTCCGGGAAACAAAGAATTCAAAGACTTTAAATTCCCGGCCCCCGAATGAAAAAACATTAAATTCTGTAATTCCCGGTGGGGAGGGATTCCATCTGGTCTCTTCGGGATGTTTCGGCAGGTTCCGCTCTTGTCACTTTGTCCAGCTTTGGGACACGAGGTTCGTTATCGCTTGGCCCGGCGTGCTTCGCTCAGCCAAAGAGAGGCGGTCTTGGGATCCGTCGTGCCTGCAAGCTTTCTGAGCTTCTGCATGAAAGGCATCTTGACATCTCATCTACACTGAGTCCCTCCGAGCCTGATTAGGCCAGGCCTCCCATCCAACGAAGGAGCTCCTGGACGAAGTGAGGCATCTCTCTATGGCGAGACTGAGGCTCTCTCCGACCTCGATGCGCACCAGGGGCTCATCCTGAAGGCACGATTTAAAGAAACTTTCGGAGTCGATGGTATCATTGAACTGGGTGCCACGTCATTTACGTCATTACTTCTTCTCAATCTAAGCTTTCCGCCGCCTGATCATCCTTTTCCAGGACACACCTGTTCCCCACTGCCCCAGGGCCACGGGCCAAGTTTTTGGGCTCTTTTGAATATTGTGAGTCCACTCTGAGCTTCTCGCCAGAGCCGGCTGATGTCTGGCGACCTGAGCCACTGAGCGGCTGGGAGCCAAGCCGGAATCCGAGGATCCAGCCGAGCTGGGCCTCGGCCGCCTGGGCCTCGCACGTCATCGAGGAGTCCACGGCCGTGAGCAGTGTGGAGAAGGCTCCAAAGTTCTGCCACGCATCGGAATTCAAGTTTGGACACTGGCAGTAGCAGTTAGAGTAGTGTGGCACGTCGAAAATTCATGCTCCTTTTTCGCCGCGATGCACTGAAGGCGACCATCCTGGTTGTCGAGCTGGGCCGGGAAGGGGCAGCTGGACACGGAAAAGGCTGCCGCGACCTGCTGCCCATCGGCTCGGCGGCAGAGCTTGCAGCTGAGCTCTGCATTTTGGACTTGGCAGCCCTGACAGGACTTTAAGTAGGGCCCTTCGGGGATGCCGGGCTCGTTCGGGAGGCCCTGGCAGCTAAGCTTCCCATTGTCGTTGTCCAGAGACGCAGGTGCAGGGCAAGCATTGAGCGGAAAAGCTGATGGCATCTGCCTTCCTGAGGCTGTGGAGCAGTGGCTGCATTCCAGCAACCCGTTGCTCAGTGCGCAGCCTTTGCAAGACTGCTGATATCCACCAGCCGGAATGCCCACGTCGTTGGGCTTCGGCTCACACTGTAGCTGACCGTGGATGTTGTTAACCTGCGGAGTCCAGCAAGTGGCCAAGTCCAGAGAGGAGCTGGCGGAGGGCGATCCGGGCTGCCGGCAGTGGCTGCAGGAGAGCAGGCCCCCGCCCTTCCCCTTTCCCGTGATGCGACAGCCGCGGCAGGAGTCCAAGAAGCTTCCCTCTGGCAATCCTCGGTTCTAACTTTAGGAAAACTATATTACTAGAGTAGCATGGTACACTCAGCATGGCACTTACAAAGCACGGTAACCGGTAACGTGAATGCTCCTCAAGAGCTCAGGAGCCTTCTCCGTTGGGCAGAGGCCTTTCCAGGAGCTGCTCCTGGACTCGCGCCTCGTAGGCCGATTGGTACCGCGCGGCCTCCGCCGTTTGAAACGGGCTCCCAGGCTCCGAGGCATTCTTGAAGAGGGCCTCCCAACAAGGGGCTTCAAGAGTCCGAATGTGATGAAAGGAGGGGTGCCCGAGTTGGAGCTTCTTTTGAGAACCCCTCTGCTTTTCGATGTGCACACCGTATATCGCGGAGCCTTTGCGTTTTCATGGTCTCTCTTTAAGCGGGGGGCTTCATTGAAGAGACCCTGGCCCTGGGCCCTGGCCTTGAGCTTCGGCGGGTAGGTGCCCGGACAGTACCAGCTTTTCGGCGCATCGCAGAGGCGGTTCTCGGGGTCTGCGGACCAGGCGCGGGAGTCCAGGGCTACCTGGTGCACCTTCAAAATGCGCACGCGCCGGTTCTTGCTGAAGTAGACCTCCTCGAAGAGCTTGGAGTCTAGTTCAGCACGGCCACAAAGGCCGTAGACCAAGGAGGCTTTCATCATCTTGCTGGGGCGGCCGTCCGGGAAGATGCCGTAGGCGTCGCAATCCTCCTCGGAGCAGTGACCCTTGTAGACGGAGTTGGCGATGCGGGCCATGTGCTTGGACTTGCCTACGTCATCCTTCCCGCCACCCCCAGCCCAAACAAGGGCGTAGTCTGCTAAATGCCGGGCGATGGCATGGGCCTCTGGTACGGGAGAAGAAAGGCACAAGCCCAGCAGAGCGATGTGCTCGTGGTTCCAGGTGTTTCCATCAGCTATGGTCGTTCTGTTGGCAATCCCAGCAATTTGGTAGCCGTAGTCCCACCAAGCCATCACTCGAGCATCTTCCGGTGTGTTGTCCCTGAGCCAGTTGTAGGCTTCTCGATAGTCATCGATGATTTGCCCATTCCGGGCCTTGGTGACGATCGTGGGGTGCGACAGGGACCAGCGAGCCTTGTCTTCGCAAAACTCGAGAAACTCTTGGGCTTTTGGCCAAAGCTGATGACCGAGCACGAAACCACCGCCAAGCCGAAGAACGCGCACAAGTCCGCGGTTCCAGAGCTTTCCAGAGCCCTCTTTGCCAGCTCCCAAGATGGGCCGGGCCAGCAATTGCTCGAAGGCAAGGCCCAGAGCACAGCCTGTGAGGGCGGAGGCGGGCAAAGCCATCAGAATCACCTCAGCAAGATTTTTACTGTTTTACTGAGTTGTCACATCCATATAACCGTACTACACACAAAGACCTCTCCACATCCCGGTCACCAGGCGGCGCATGCGCAGGGAGAAGAAAAGGCTGACGGCACCGAGCGCCAGCAAGAATAGGCCTAGATCCTTGCGCAGTCTCAAGAGCAGGGCCGGCACACCCAAAGGCGCCACATAGGAGACGAGGCCGAGATATCTCAGGAATGCGTCGGGGCTCCCTGGCTGGTGCTCGGCCACGGAGTCCACCAAAGGGTTCCCGGTTTTCGTGTGCTTCACAAAGAGGGCCCGGACCCTCACCGAAAAGGGGCCGATGAATCCTGGGCAGAGATAAGCACACCTCTACGACCAACGCACCTGCCAACATCTGCCAACAACCCCAATGCGCCCCCCCCCCCCCCCCTCCGAAAAACATCTGTTCCCATGGCTTCACGAACGAAATGGCACAGCGGGTCTCTCGGCACCGACTGCTGTACGGACTGAAAAACACGCAACTGCGACGTGACAAGCGACAACTCTCTAATTATTTCCATCTCTCACCCATTCTCTGTCTCTCTGTCTCTCTGTCTCTCTGTCTCTCTGTCTCTCTGTCTCTCTGTCTCTCTGTCTCTCTGTCTCTCTGTCTCTCTGTCTCTGTCTCTCTCTCTCTCTCTCTTGCTTGCTTGCTTGCATGGCGTGTGGGGTAAGGGGGAAGCCCCCAAAACCCCCGCGCGCGAGCGCAACGCCTGAAGTCTGTGTTCGGTGTGAGACTGTTTGGTGACCTCCAAGCTGCATGGCGCTTCAACTCGCATCCCCATTACTCCAGCCCTTGCTACTTGCGCCTCGTACAGCTTGTCGGTCTCTGTGCTATTTTCCGTGTTATTCACGGGTTTGCAGTTGGGTTCCGTTCGGCCCCGCGGGAGCCCCCGTACCATATGCACCATGACGTACACACAAGCACACAAAGGTATCATACCACCAACACGAGCGGCTCCCCGTGCTGCTTCTACCTCTTGCTCCCTATGTGCTGGTTTGGTGGAACTATGTTGTTTGCGCCAGTGCGGGTCCCGGGGGGAAAACAGGCAGGCCGAGGTACAGAACACAGTAAGGGAACATCACACTTTGGGTCCCCGCACTGGTGGTGATGGTGTTGCTGTGGAGGGGCTCCGGTACGCGGGGGGGAAGCAAGGGGGGTCGAGGTTACAGACCATAAGTGGGAACGTCACAAACTGTACCGGATGCCCCGACGTTGGTTGCTGGTGGTTGTGTCTTGTCAACTATTGAAGGGGTGGGTCCCCTGTGCACTGTCAAAAAACACCTTGCTGCTGCACGCCGTTAGGCTAAACCTTTCTGAAGGCACACAGTATTACGCACTGAGGGGAGTCCCCTTACTTAGTTGGGGTCGAACACAGCGTGCATGCGCCGTCTGCGGTGAGTGGCTCGGTTGTCGAGCTCACTGTCCCCGTTCAGGTGTGCTTGCTGTTCGAAACTTTGCCCGGATCGACTTGTTGGGGTAGTCCACGGTCTCCCCGTTGTCGTCGTGCGTCTTCTTCTGGGGAGGCCCCAAGCTTCGTCTTCCGTCTCCGTGGAAGGGATATCTCGGGGGTCCCACCCCGGGAAGGCCGCCAGTCTGGCTTCGGTGGTGGCTCTTCTTCGGGCGTCCCCGTCTTGATCTTGTAGCCCCGCAGGTCGCCAGAGCTCGTCAGGCTCGGGACCCGGTTCTGCAGGCGGTGGGTCCCATTGCACGGTCTCAGCCAAGTCATCCCCGACCAGACGGATCGGTTCGTTCCACAAAGCGGTTGTCCACCGTTGGAGTAGGCGTAGCGCTTCCATTGCTACCGGTACTTGGTCTCCCACGAGTGTGGGCATGAGCTGCTGCAGCAGTTGTTGCGCTCGCAGGATCATATACGGTGTTGCTTCAGGGTTTTCCCCGGTGTCAGCAGCTGAGGGCCGCGTGTCTGCAACCTCGACGAGTCTTCGACGCTTTGGCGCGGGCTCTCTTGTGGCAGCGAGTTGGATGGCTGCCCCGACTCGTGGTGGTGAATCACGTCGTTGCCCGGTGGCTGTGGTGGTAGAGAGGGGGGGGTCCCCTGCTGTGCTTAACGCTCGGCTGTGGAATGCGGTGCTAGCTGCTGCGGTGTGGCTGTGGGTACCTCCTTCCCCGTGGTGAGGGAGTTGGTGTTCCTGGGCCGGTTGCGTGGTCCCCGCACTGTCTGCTTGGGTGGCTGCTGGCAGGGGGTGGGTTGCTTGGTGGTCTTCAAGTGCTTGCTGGGCTTCGATCTCCAGGATAGCGTGGATCATTGCTTCCTGTGTGTCTTCTCCCGGCAGCAGCCAGGCCGAGCCCCTGGGGAGCGATCCTGCTTGGATGCTGGAAGGGTTTGCCTGTCCACCATGTGCGCTTGGAGTGGGAAAGCTTGGGGTACCTGTGGTGTGACTGGACACGGGTCCGAGGAGCAGGTCACGGAGCTGCCGGATATTGTGGAACTGCTGCGGTTGTGGTTGTGGTTGCTCTTGGTGGCTGTCCTGTCCCTGCTGGTGCCCTTCCCTCGTCTGTCCTTGGTTATGCCGCAGGGCCTCACCTCTGCTGAATGCCGCTTCTCCGGCTGCGAAGTGGTGGTTGTCTGTGGTGGAGGTAGTGGTTGTGGTGTGTCCCCTGCTGGGGCCATGGGTTAGCGGTGTTCTGCAGGTGTCATCGGGGGTTACGGTCCAGGCAGGGGCAGCTGTCGCCGGTGGCTGTTGGTGGGGAGTCTGGTGTGGGGCTCCGTGCTCAAGTCGGGTTGTGGGTCCCCGTTCTCTCTCTCTCTCTCTCTCTCGCTGTCGCTATCACCAGAAAGAACGCAATGTTTGTGCTAGAGTGTCACCCCGAGGCTTCCCGCCTGAGGGGATGAGGAGGGCAACAACCAGGACGAAGATCGCCAGGAGCCCGAGCTCACGGACAGAGTTCTTGCAGAAGACCTGGACAGCCTCTCAGCCAGGGCTCTGAAGGTCAGGACTCCTCGCGCAGGAAGGTTGGTGAGGTGACACAATGGATTGCTTAACATACCATGTGCACATACCTGCTGGACTTGCGATATGCACAGCATGAGAGCTTCAAACTTCCCTCTTATAATAATAACAATATGCATCATACGAAATGCAAAGATGGATCTGCACCCTTGAGTGTTGAGACCTTTCGCAGCTGCAAGGCAAAGAACAGCACCAGTGGCCCGAGTTGTTCTGCAGAGCGAAGTGGAGTCCAGGACACCACTGGCACCTGCAGCAGCACACGGTGCAGAAAATGGGCGAGCACCTTTTCTGCCTCAGGCGGGACCTCTCAGGCGGTAAGTGTTCACACTTGGGGCTTCTTTTGGGCTTTAAGGTTCAGAGTCTTGTAGGGCTTTAGGGTAAGTACCTGACAGGTCGCGGCCGGCCATTAGTACTGTACGGACACCACGTTTCGGCAATGCAAAAGCTGCCACAGAGCAACATCTGAAAACGTCGTCCCATCACTTTGCAGTGCGGAGCCCAAGCAAGCTGCCTGGATGGCCAGCGACGTCCCCACAGTGAAAAAGAGGGTGTAAGCCTTCCGAACCACTCGACATCCAAGATCATGATTCATGATGGAGAGATGGGCCAAGCTTTAGTACAAACCTGTATCTGGGGACTCCACGGCATAGAGCTGACCTTCCGAGCCCAGCAGCATCAAGAGACCTGCGTGCAGGCCGACCATGTTCCTGGAGGCAGACGCCAGGGGACACCGAGTCCAAGAACTGACACTGACACACTGTGGCCGGCTTCCACTTGAGCTGAAGGTCAGTGCGAGGATGTAACCGCCCCAGGATGCTGCCATGTAAGCGTAGGCGAGCCTGGCCACTGGGCCGTGCTGCAGTGCTGCAGTGCAGCCAGTGGCAATGGAAGCATGGCGAACACCGCACCCAAGCGTCTGAGGCGCATGCCCTGCCAGGGCCGCGATGGGCCAGGAGCTCTTTGACCGGAGAGCTCTGCACCAGAAGTAGAAGGTTGCACACATCGCGGGCACTGCGACGGACTCGTTGTCAAAGCCTCAGCTCTAGAGCAGCGACAGAGACAGAGACGGCGACAGCGACTCGCAGCACGCTCCCATATCCTGTCGCATCTCGGCCCGCCTCCTCCGACGGACCTCGAGAGATGAGCTGGAAGGATGGCCATGACCAGGCTGGAAACCACTGCCGCGGAGCCCAGGCCCCCAGAGCACTCCAGCGCCAGAAGCCCTGAGAAAATGCAGGAAACCGCCCCCAACCTCAAGCGCTGCAGACACTGCAAACACTGGCACAAGATGACTTTGGGGAGCTTCGCGTTTCTGCACATGCGGGGCAAGCAGCCATGCCGGCATGTAGCAGCAAACGAGGTTCAGAGTCCAGGAAGGTTCCCACAGTCGCAGCGTCTGCCACAAGGCGACGGCTGTTATCTGCATACCGGGATAGATCGTCCTGCAATGATATGGTGCCATGCATACGCATGCTGAGTGTCGAGCACTGTGGCATCACACACTTCAGACGGGGCTCGTTGCCACAGGGCGGCCTAGTGGATACCAAGACTGGTGGTCGAACCACGTGAAGAACCTCTGATGACTGATGGAAACAGAGCCCGCTGATACGGCAACAAAACCCACACTCACGGCAGGGCTGAGCCACTTCTTCCAGCCATGAGTTGCCAAGTACTCCGCCGCGCGGTAGTTGAACCAGGGGTCAAATTCATGAATTACCGGGCCATACTCCTACGTAGCAGTCTCACGGTCTCACAGCAGGATATAGCAGGTTCAGACGCCCTCCTGGCCTGGATGGCATAGAGGCGGATCCGATAAGCCCGGCGGGCAGCCTCGCCCAGCAGCAGCAGAACGGAAAGCCAGCCCAGGCTTCGGAGGATGCGAAGGCCAAGATCCTGCTCAAGAGGCCGCCCGCAAGCAAGAAGAACGAGGGGTTTAAGGTCAGAGCCAGAGTGCTCCCAGGCTCGACATCTGCTCCAGTGAATGCCGTGCGCCAGGGCTGGTGGATCGATCGCTGCGCTTCTGCCATGAACAATCAACCCGCACCGGAGATGAGATGCATTTAATTCTTAGTTCAAAATTTCCAGTTGGGCGGGGGAGGAGGGGGCGTTGGGTGTAGATGGCCCGGGTGCTGCACACACGCAACAGACAGTCTATGTAGAAATAATTCGATGTGTGTGTGTGTGTATGTATATATGCATCGTCTAGTCTGGTATGGTCTAGTCTGGTCTAGTATGCAGATGTGCAAGTCTGCATAGACATGTAAATGTGTATGTGTGTGTATGTATGCAAAAGTATGCATGCTGCATGTATGTATGCGTGCATGTACGTGATATGTACGCCGTACAATGTGAGTGTGCAGACAGGTGTCCTTATCCGGTTGGTGAGCTAGTTTTGCAGACCTGCCTGCGTGCACCAATGTTGGTGTGGGATGTGGAGAGTGAAATGTCGACCAGCTGTTCTCATGGCTCTGCCCCACGCGTCTAAAACTCTGAGTCAATTGTGGCTGAGCAAATGGCTTGATCGGCCCTGGCCGGCAACGCAACAAAGCGGCACTTTGCAACATTGCAACCAACCCGGCTGGCCAAGAACTGCCGTACAGGTGGATCGGCGTAGTGCCTAGCGAAGACGGACAAGGACATGGGACATGGCTCTGCAGGCTCAGTACTCAGTACGCCGTGTCTGCACTTCGTCGAAGAGCGCCTCAAGAAGCGCAACCAGGACGAAGAGCACGAGGTGGCGGAATGTTGCAGCGATGGCGGCGGGACCTTTCTGGATGAGGCCGTCGGAAGATTCTACAGTGCCAGGGCCTAAGTTCCTCGGCCTCGCGAATTTTATTGAAGGTGCTTGTTGCCCATTCCTCTGCAGCCACAGCAATGAGGTTGTGGCACCGTCACCGAAGCGGAACATCTTGCGGCACTTAAGTGCACGTGCATCTTGCACAGTCCTTCAGGCGGCTGTCCTTGCTACTCTTGGCCACCAAGGACGCGAACAGGTCTATGGACACCTTCGCTAGATACGCTTCTGAAAACTTGTATCCCGCGCATCAGCGTAGTCGTTTGTCTGGGCGCAGCGTGACAAGATGAAGCATTGACAGCACATGCAACCCAATCAAACTGACTGAGACTGAAACCTGCCCCTTCGAATTCAGCCCGTTTGCTTCTTGCATTGTGCCATGCAGACTGTCAAAAGAAAACGCGAGGCTGAGCTCTTCCGGAAGGGCGCCACGCGCCTGACCCCTCATCAACGGATTAGGCAGCTCGGAGGTGCCTGCGGAGTTCTAGTACAAGTACAAAGTGAATGCCGGCAAAGAGTGCGGGTGAAAGCACCTGCGACCTTGAAAGAGCTGGCGCTCAGTGAGTTGAAGACCTGAACTCTTAAGTTGGAGATGTCATGTGCAACATGCATGAGTGGTCGCAGACAGCTTGCCGGCTTGCCTGCGCCACCTCCTTGTTGGAGAGGCCCAGGCGCAGCAAGCGGAGACCTCGGCCGTCCGGAGCCAGGCCAGGCAGAAAGGGACGAACAGCTCGTGCTGTGGCTGCTGTGGGCTGTGCTTTGCATGAACTCCGTATCCGACAGAGCACCCGAATTGCTGGAATCGAGCTCTGCAAGGGCCTCCCCAGCAGTTGGAATCTCTCCGAGCTTTAAAGTCTGAATCCGCAGCATTCATGCCTGCCCGATGGTTGTCCCGTTGGATGCCAGTCGGGACTGCGGCAGATTGCAGCAGCGAAAGGGCAACGGGCGCTTTGCATGAACGCCTCGATCCTGAACATGATGGCATTGAACTCTTCCGGGGACAACGCGTAGTGGAAGTCCCGACTGGCACAGGGCATCTGCCGAATCTTATGCAACTCGTGGTGGAGTTGGCTCTTACTGTAATAGTAGTGGCTCTTCTGCGCCTTGTCGCCAAGAAGCGCACGACCATTGTGCGGAAGCTCTGGTAGGACACCCTGCCCGATCCTGTCATATCACCACATCACCTCAGCCTCTAGGACTCTAGGCTCCGACCGGCCTTCGTGATCCAAGTATTGCACCAGCTGGTGGATTTCATCTTCAAGGAGCACCTGAGGCTTGGGCCGAGCTCTCTCTGCGCGTCGACGCGTCGCGTCTCTGCGTCGTGTCGTGTCGCGAGGCTGCAGCTTGCAAGTGGCTGATCTCCACCTGCTCGTGGCAAAGGCCACGGCGGCCACGGAGCTCCAGAAAGTCTACTGTAGTCAGACGAGTGCACGTCGCCTGCATTCGCTGGCTCGATACAGTCCAGTCCTGCAGACTCGTGCAGTGAGCGAGCTAGAAGCTTTCAAGCTTGGCGGTCTCCAGAGCTCTGGCTCCACTTTTTGCTATGCAGGAAGCTCAGAAGAATCGGAAAATCGGATTACAGCTTGGGGGCACGTAGACCTTATACAGGCCTTATTAGGCCCTCGGGGCCACCTTCTCTCCCTTCTCTTGCCTCACAGGCTCCTTGGCCTTTGCTTCCTTGGGCTTCTCCTCTTCATGAGACTCCTCAGGGCAGGGGCTGCAACAGCCCATACCAACACTGATGCAAGTGTCCGAGAGCCGAGCCTTCATCATCCGCAAGGCCTCCAGCTTGGCGGGCACGTCGCCCACCTCGCAGTCCGCAAAATGCCGCTTCTTGGGAAGGGTCGATGTATGCCGTACGCCTCTTCTTTCGGCACCGGCGGGGTCCACGCCTGAAGGGCGAAGGGCGAAGGTGAAGGAGCCCACCGGAAAAACCTGGCCCTGGCTCTTGAAGTCTTGGGCTGCCGGCGTAACTTGGTGGGGAGCCGAAGAGGGGCGTGACGGAACGGAGCAGCGTTGTACCTAATGTCGTAGGCACAGCTAGACAGCAGCTTCCCATGCCCTCGAATGGTCTATGCGCACCGTAGGTCAACGAAAAGCGGGCGATGCCACCGACTAGTTTCAGTGCCTGGGCTGCCGAAGGTCATGCGGCTGCCAAGAGTTCGAGTTCCCAGCTGGTGGCGCTTGGGCTGTTGCCACTGGCAAAGGGATCTTCGTGACAAGTTGAAGACCAAACCTGATGCGCAATGACAGCTCCTGCCGAGACTCGTTCCTTTCAAGCTCGGTGGCAGGCGATAGGCGGGGCAGCCAAGACCTGACAATCCGGGTGTTGAGATACGATCGTCATCTTACCACGATTTGAAGGTGGACCGAGGGGGCAGTATGGCTGATGACACGAGAATTCTTGCATCAGGCGGAACCTCGCAGCCCCGAGACTGCGTCTCTGGGTCGACAATACTGCTGCGAAGGCATGTCTTCAAGTGGGAACGACAAGCAAAGTCAGTCGCGAGTCTTAGGCGCGGCAGATGTCTTAACAAATGACCTCAAGCAAGGTGGGGCTGCAAACATCAGGTCAGAGCTTGGGCAGGGCTTCCATGGATTCTATGGGCATCAAGGAGAAAGGGCCAAACTCAAGAACGGTAGGATTCGGACTCGTGGTTCACATTGCCAGGCAGCGATGGCCTCGGCAACTTGGAAGGCGAAGCCGAAGGCAGCTGATTCGACTCTGTGATGCTTCTGCAGTCTTGAATTATATCCCAGCAGGCGGCCAGCCAGCAAGAAAGCCCGCCCACAGCTCCTGCCACGCTGATTCGACCAAGAAGGAAATGCTGTGAAGCTTCCACGAGCTTCCCGGCCAGGCCTCTGGCAAGTTGAAGAAGCCCTGAAACCACCCCCGAAGGCCAGCCACGTCCAGCTCCATGAGAAACCTCCGGCCCCGGCATCATGGCTTTACATGAGCTGCACTGGTGAAATCATTCAGCCAGGCCACTCACCGCCGAAGACCGCAAAGTCTCGCTGACCCTGGTTCTGTTGGCCTCGCTTGTGAGAGTTGGGGAGCCTCAACTGGCCTGAAAGGCGTACTTGAGGCGAGCGTAACCCGTTCCGAGCTTGCTGTTGGGGGGAGTTGACTTACCTCACCATGATGGGGATATACAAGTACAAATAACGGTGTGCTGAGTGGTGTCTTTGTGTCAGGCGCCGGGCTCCAGATAGCCTCATAAGCCGCCGCAGCCACTGCATCCGGCCTCGCTGGCAGAAAAACGCCGGAAACCATGATTGGGAACCTTTCTCTCTGTGAGTTTCCAGCGGGGAGCCGTTGTTCAACTCTCCGGCGATGGCAGCCGCAACATCCTCTTCAGAGCTCAACCCTCATGACACATGCCCGCCTTTTAAGGCACATTCTGGACTTCCGGGCTCCTTCGAGGCGGACATCATCCGACAGAGCTGGTAGCCTCCACGTCTTGCAGCATGGGCAACTACCCCCCTTCTGCAACAACACCAGGTAACAGCGCACACATGCTGCGCTCTTTCTCCCTTTTTCTATCGGAGCAGTCCAAGAAAAGTTTAAAAGAGCTTGCATCACTTTTCTGCCCACAGCCGCAGCACTCGCAAAGAGGATGTGCAACGGCGGAGATGGTGCGACTGTGATTCGAGCCGAGTTTGAGCTCTAATCGTGTGGCTGATCGTTGCAGCCGTGGCTTTTGCTAAGGCTAGGCCACCAATCAACTCAGGTGTAGATGTGCCACCGGATGACCCACTCGACCATGGTGCATGGGAACATGATGACGCTGTAGGGGAACTCCAAGGCAAAGCCGTTCGTCAGCTGGTAGTAGAAACCAGCCTTACCAGAGGCGAGGCAGAGGCAGAACACTGCAAATTCTTTGAGAACATCTCAGTTGAGGGACTGCCGCCAGAGGGAAGCCGATAATCTCATCAATGTAGGAACTCAGAGGCTCAAAGTTCTCCGGCAGAAAACCACCCCAAGGCCAAGGAGAGAGGAGGTTGAGGCTCCAACTCTTCCGGGTTGAAATCCTTCGGAACGTTGCAGCACTCAGGGAGGTAAGGACCTGGCACCAGTAAAGACACAGCGACAGCTCAGGCCGCTCAGCGCAGTGCTCCCTCTGAGCTTCGGGCTCACATACGGCATCACTCCATACATGAACCTGAGACAGAAAGTCTGAGAGCAAGGAGAGGCGCCGCTTTCCCGCCCGGTCCCGGGTCCCTTCGTCCAGGCGGCGCTTCTCCAAACAATCGGCCGCCCCGGAGGCCCGAGTAGAAGGCGCTGATGACGGCCTCTGCATCAGGCTACGCTACTACGGGATTCATGTATTGCCTGGCATCATCCGTGCAAGGCATTACAAAAGGCCTTGGGGTTATCTCACATCAGCTGGTGAGAATGCACATCAATGCCGGCAGACGCTGATTCAGGGAGAGTACACATCAGCGGGGAAATTACACATCAGAAATAGCTAATCCCCATGTAGACGCTGGCTTCAACAAGCACAGAGAAGATGGACCCAAGTGCCGGATTCGTTGCGGGCGCAAAGTATATACTACATTTAGAAGCATTCCAAGATAAGAAATCATGTTATTGCCGTGTAAACGCTTGGATTCGGAGTAGTCCACACGTCAGCTATCCTAAGGGCTTCTGGACACTACACAGTTCACAAGTGTCCACAATAATACACATGCACACACTCGTGCGAAGATGGGCGCGCGCAAGCCCACTGAGACTGGCAGATGCGAGTGTCTGCTGCAGACGCCGAAGAATGTGAAAGTGCAGATACAAAGCTTGATAAGAAGGTGTGACGTCAATAATGTGTTCCCTGAAGTAGACACCTTGCGCATGCACAAAACACCCAGGCGATAGAGATAGCCCCGGGACCAAATATCAATTTGTCAGCCTTTCAGCCTACGTAGGATAGTATATCGATATACACATCCAACAAGGACAAGAAGAAGCTCGATGCAACAGCGAAGCATTGCCAAAGTACCTCCTAGCAGATTGCTGCAGTATCAGCTGTTGTCGTGCTCGTCACTTGATGTTCGTACCATCAGTGACGAAGTCAGGTGCAGATTTGAAGCTTTGGGCTGCTTCAGGCCTGAATGTAAGAGGCGACGACCACGGCAATCACTTTCACTGTGGTCCCGATGATGGGTGCCACCCAGTGTGTCAAGTCCTCGCTCAGAGGCTCCCAAGGTCTGGACACTCCGGCTCTGGCTCGTGCCGTCCTTGCCCAGGAGCATGGCGAGCATGGGGCCGAAGACCTGCACCATGGGCAGCTCCAGCTGATCCGCGATGCCCAAGGCGATGGCCACGGTCTTCGCGAACCTGAAAGCGCTGAGATGAAGGGGGCCAGGGGGCCTGGGATCCTTCTCTTTGAAGCCCTTGCTTCGTGGCTTCTCTTCTGCTCTTCTGTCTTGGGTGCCGACTGCGACTTCAAGGTTGCAATGACCTGAGAGGCACAGGCAACTGGGTGAGGGGCCGCCGCCGTCCGTCCATGCGTGGGAACTTCGAGGATCTCACGGACACCCAGGCGGTGAAGAGATACTGCGTGGCCTCCCAGCGGAAATCAACTTGAAGCACATTGGGGTGCGTGTTTTGTTGCTGAGAACACCTTCATCAGCCGGTCCGGCTTCTCAACGGCCATCATAGCCATTTTGGCCTCAAGGGCTCAACGCTCCCCGACGCAGCCATAGTGCACCAGCTTTCGGATGCTTTCGTCAAGGCCTTGTGGTTGATCAGCTCGTTGTAGCTCATCTGCTGAACGTCCGCGATGCCATCCTGGGCCCGAGTGCGCGGAAGATCGGCCACACGTAGCACCCAAGCCCCCCGGAAGCGCCTCGTTGAGATCCTTCTTGTCGTCCTCCTCATTGGCCTCAGGCAGAGAATGAGATGGAGGCTGTGATCTTTGAGAGGACCCCTGTTGCTATACAGGGTTCCAGACGGCTTTGACCAGGAGAGCCTCACAGCCCACTGACTCATTGACTTACAGTTTCCAAGGCAATCGCATGCAATCGCGATACTCCACCTGGCCTGATCCCAGCAAAGGGACAGCTCCTGGCAGCTTCAATTCGAGCTGAGAGCCACGGCCCAGGACAGCAGTGTACGAAATGCGGCCAGTGAACATCGATCAGCAGTTGGCCGCCAAAGTTTCGGAAGGCTTCAAAGGCTGCGATCGAGGCGAAGTACACGCCTGAACGGTGAACATGGGAAAGGGTCCGAAGCTCACGCGAGACATCTGAACGAAATTGATTTCCAGTCTTTAGAGACTGCGTCGGAGTTGTGCTCCCCCAACCACGGCCAAACAAACTTCCGCAAACTTCCGAAACGCATCGAAGGGTACGAAGCCTTTTTGTTTTCTTGCCCGCTCACGCTGAAGCCGTGCCTCCGAAGAAGCAGAGCCCCACTCCGAAGATCATCTCAAGCAAGTGGATAGGCAGGATCTTGTAGACCTGCATGCGACATGTCTGCTCAAAGAACCGGTCTGCCTTCGTGTTCATCACAGTTTGGGTGCGGGATTGAATCAGAAACCCAACGCATCCGAGAGAGAGAGAGAGAGAGAGAGAGAGAGAGAGAGAGAGAGAGAGAGAGAGAGGGAGAGAGAGGGAGAGAGGGAGAGAGGGAGAGAGAGAGAGAGAGGAAATGCTGGAAGCCGTCAGCGGCTGGACGCTGCTGCCTTGTACAGCTGCTGGGCGATGAAAACGTAAATCATCAGGATGATGATCAACGGCTTCATCAAATAGGTCCTGTGCAGGGGCGAGACGTGCATGAATCGCAGCCTATGCGCCTCTTGCGCCAACGATGCAGCCAGGGCGCATGAAGCACTTCATTCCCCTGAGCATCAGCTCGTTGAACACAATAAGCAAATGTCTGCAAAAGAGCACCAAGAGCCTAAACAATTGACCACCGCCATGCATCTTACGGTCCATGCACATTACAACCTCCGTAAACCGTAGATGTGAACAGTACCAGTGCATCCAGTAACGCACCGCATTGGAAAATCATTGCTGCGGCTTGTTTAGTACTGGTATAGCACGTTTGTTTTTGTCCGAGTCGCTTCTTCCACCAGGTGTCGTCTTCGGAATCCAGGGCCATGGTGAACTTGGCCGAGCGCATCCTTTCAGAGCGGAGCTCGGGACTTCTCGTCGGTTTTTTCAGCCTTGAAATTTCTCAAGGCCCGCCGAGAGGCTCTTCCCAGGTGGTGCCGATGTCTTGTTTGAGCTTTTTCGCAAAGTCTGCAGTGTCATCCTTGATGCTAGCCGCTGCTTCCTTCGCCTTGCTCGTATCCATTTTCATGCCTCACTTGGGCGAGGTCATCGCGGTGCGCAAGGCCGCAAGGCAAGGCAAGCGGCGGTCTGAGGGCACGGCCCAACTCAGGATCCTCTTTTTTGTCCTTCAGCAGTCCTTGCTGGGCCTCCTCCTCGCAAGCCGCTGCCAGGCGCAAAACCGAGCACACCAAGCACTCGCAGACTTGGAGCTGAGAACAGGGCCGTCCCGGCCATGGTGCTTTGCTACCGCACAGGACGCGGTGCGACCGCGCAATCGTAAGAGTCTACTCTCTCCCGAACCGGCCGCGGCTCCCGAACAAGCGAACACTGGCTGTGATCTGTTAGCAGAGCAAGCATGGGCCATGTCATGGGCCTCAAGACGTGCAGGAAGAGAGCGAAGAGAGAGTAGAATCAAAAGGAAATGCGGCTACATGGAGAGGTTTCTGAAGTCTCTCTCTCTTCGGCGGCTCGCTCTCGGCGGGCTCGATCCGCCTGTGGAGGGATGGACCATGGCCGCCGCCGCTCCGAAGGCGACGATGCGCTGCCCGGGCCTCTAAGCAGACGACGAGCCGTGACTAGCGCGACGGCCGCGCGCGGCGCGCGGTACAGGAAGCTTCTCCGACCTCTCTCAACGCCTCGACTCAACGCCTCTCTCTCTCCCTTTTAGAGACACGGCTGTGTTTCTGCGCTGAGTCGCTCGGGTAGAGGGCCGCCCATGGGTATGTAGCAGAACTCCTGCGGAAGAGCTCCCAGCCCTTTTCTGAGAGAGGCTGTGAGCGAAGGAGCCTCGTCGGTGATGGTGTCTTCCCTGAAGCTGACACCTTTGAGCCAACAGAGTCTAATTATGTCTAATTACGGCCTACGGTCAAGGTTGCATTTGCCTTGCTCCAACTCCGAGAGCCCTCGCCTAGATACTTGAGTCTCTGGAAGCACCGTTTCTTGCACTCCTCGAAGCTCACTGCCGGCCGCGCAACCTCAGGAGGCCAGTACAGCGCTACCAGCTCAAACCTTCTGGTCCGCAGGCTAGGCTGCCAGGAAATCGGCCAAAGAGGTCTCTTCAAAGAAGACCTCGCTTGGATGCACGCTGCGCGCCTACCTGATGCCTCAGAAAGCCCCTGGCCGGCCCTAGCCCCTATCGGCCCTGTATAGACTGTGTACTGGGCACTGCACCCTTTGGGCGCCAGGCTCGCCTTCTACCTGTCGATGGCGTCCGGAGACAAAAGGTGCAGAGCCTCTCTCTCTGGGGCTCTGGCCGGACCGAGCGGCATGACGTACATGAAGGTTGGCTCCTTCTCTGCCCGGCCTTCCCACTCCTGCAAGAAAGCTGAGCCACCGACAGTGGATCGCCGAACCACTGAGGTTGCAGCTGGATCGAAACGGAGGTGGTCCGTGCCTGGCGGGCTATCCAGAGCAGGCCGTGTAAGCCAAGGTGCAAAGAGCAAGAGACAGGGACCGAGTTCCTGACGGTAGTCGAACAGCGTCATGGCCTCTGGTGCATAGTGGAAGGAACCATCCACCACCTGGAGCAGGGGCGGCGCCACCCACCCGGTCCCCGATGCAAAGCATGTGAGGGCATGGCGACTTCGCAGCCGTAGGCGATCTGATAGCCTGGCGCCGGAGCCGGTGGCTCTCCCTGAGATGCCATCAGGTGGAAGAAGACGCCTTCAACAAAAGACCCTTATACTAGTAGGTGGCTCGGGGAGCGGGCAGGGGCCGAAAGGCGCCGAGTGAGGCGAGACTCGAAGCCGGTGGTGTCCACGATGAGCCTCGAAGGCTTCGCCACGGAGGCGGAAGCGGCGCTCGGATTTCCGAAGGCTGCCCGGTGGCTTCGTCCGCACGGCCGAGCCGTCGGAGAGCAAAATTATGGAGCCTCCGGCAAAAGTCGCAATTCTTTCATTACGCCGAAATTTGATGGACAGCATAACTCAGCCCGTTGCCGGCTGAAGTATGTCGTATGGCAGGGGTGTCGTAGATGTTCGTGGCCACCACCTCCACGAGTGCTCATGTGCCGTCACCCGCAGGAGGGAGGACCCAGCGCAGCGCCCTGGCCTGACACTCCACCTCCTTTTCGAGCACCTGCACCTTCGAACCTCAGGAAAGAGCGCGTCTCCTGGTTCTCTCTCTTTGAGACCGTTTCTCCGAGACCCAAGCTGCTTCGCAGCAGCGCCTTGAGCTTGTCCCTGTCAACTCGGCCCTCACGACACGACAGCACGTCGCTGTTCTCTCTCCGCAGATCATCGAATCGCTCGCCGCCGCCCCAAGCTCCGTGCGTAGGGTCTGTCGAGGCGCAGCTGGTTCTCATCCGGCAACTCAGGGAGAGCAGAGACGAGAAAGCCAAAGCCCCACCCTCTGCTGCTTTTCTGCTCTTGGCTCTTCGCCTCCCAGGAGCCGCCGAAGTAGCAGTCCGTGACTTGCCACTTGCTGCCCAAGCCTCGGCAGAAACTCCGAGGCGCAGCATCCTGCCTGCACCTGCAGCCGCGGCTTTTGGCACGGACTGGGGGCTCTGGCAGCTGTCCAGGTCCAGCTCCAACTTCTCAGCCAAGGCCTCCCATTCGGCCTCCATGTTTCGAGGACTGCACTCCCTGCATAGTCGACGCTACTTGCCAGGTAGGCGCCTGCCAAACTCCATAGTTGTTGGGCCACTTCTTGTCAACCTTCGGGTCGATGAGACTCACCTTCCTGCATCTACCAGCAACACGAGCACGCTTTGCACTTTGACAGGGCAGCCCAGGCGTCGCGCTTCCCGTACTGCTCGGCGAGCAGGTAGGCCAGCAAGGTCCCCGCTGGGCCCGCGCCGATAATGGCGACATCCACCTGAAAGGGCGGAGTTTGTGGCAGGGCCGACATCTGGGTCTCTCGTGCCGCCGGGCACACCTCGTCCTCTTCGAAGACCTCTGCCGCCACAGAGAAGGCCTCCTTTCGCGACGGAGGGGGAGCGGAGGGAGCGGAGCGCAGCAGAGGGGAGCTCCCCATGCAGAGCTCTGCTCTGCTCAGCGCCTTCGAGTTCGAGGCCGCTCCCCGCAGGCTCCGCAAACTCCGTTTGCTCTGTCTCTGCCGGCGTCCGCGGGCGGCTGCAGCAGTCGCCTGGCAGAGCTTCGGCTAAGAGCCTATAGGGCCCCACACCAAAGCCAAGGCTTCCTTTTTTGTCGGCGCTGCCGATTCTGGCGATTCAGCGCTCTCTTCAGTCTTCGACCTCTACAAAACTAATGGCTACAGCATGAAACTCCACCGGGCGATGTTTACACCCAGCTGCGGGTCTTGTCCATGGAACCCAGCCAGTTTAACCACAATTTCGGATCATCTGCCTGCATCAGCCCAAGCTCCACTCTCAAGAAGCTGCACTCTTTCCAGCTCCCGTCGGGTTTCAGAAGAGCACCTGTCACAAAGCTGTCCACAGGGGATGCAGTTTCACTCTTGCCATCGAAGCTTCGCCACTTCTCCAGCAAGATGACATCACCCTCCCAGGACGGAAAAACGCCCGATAGGCTCACAAAGGCTTCTGGGGCTGCAGCGCTGGGTGAGAGCGAAAAGAAGAGCAACCCAAGGCAAACGCTGGCCCAGAGACGGCCTTTCACGTCTCCTTCCAGTCCCGGCGTGCTGATGTTCAGCCAGCCCTGAAGGCTGGGAAACCCCGCAAGCCATGGAACTTGTTCCGGCGTCGCCAACTGCGTCGGCGTCATCTGCATCTCGATCCCGAGCTTGCCCTCAAGACTCACCGAGCGTTCGCCCGTCAAGCCCGGCACACTGAGCTGCGGAATGGGGGACTTCCGCACTATGCACCAGATCTTGTAGAGCAGCTCGTCTGGAATCGCGTCACTGGTGTTCACCGTGGACTGCTGAAGAGACTTCCAAGCATCGAAATCCATGTCGTACCGCCGCTCATACAGGTGGTGGTGCAAGCAGAGCACCGACAGCATCAGGTGCTGCAGTGCCTCAGCGGTGCCAATGTCCGTCTTCAAGTCCACCCCCTGGACTTCATCCAGGCCCACAGAAGGAACCTAAGAGTCGGAAAGAAAGGAAGCTCAGAAGCTCCGGGCTCCAGCATGACATGGTCCTAGGTCTTAGGGTCCCAGGGTCCTACCCTGCGACCTGCGCTCCAGAAGGCTGTCCTTCTTCGTGGCAGGTCCACCAGTTGATGGCAATGGCATAGGTGATGCGGCTGATTTGCTGCAAGTCGTCCGGCCTCCAAAAACAGAGGCTTAACGCCTTGGGCCTTTGGTGGCTCTGGGCCCAGCTGGGATCCCGGCCAATCGAAGCCGATGCGGGCTTCCACTAAAGCCGAGATGACTCCAGTGCCCCAAAACTCACAGCGGCTGAAGAAGGCCAGGCGAAGTGTCTCACCTCAGCCGAAGCTAAGCGGCTAAGCAGCAAGGCCCGCACCTTTGCTTTGCGCCAATGTTTCTGGGAACTCTTTGAGGCACTGGCACATGGAAAAGGTCTGGCCAAGGAAATAGCCGACAGCCTCAAAGAACAGCAACGCAGAGCGTTCGATTCATTCGATTCCTTTATGTCTGACGCATCCCTATCTGAGCTGAGCCTGACTTGATGGGGCCAGAAGGGCCAGAATCGTGTGAGTGAGAGGAAATGGGCGGCACGAGAAGAACAACAAGGACAAGGGCGCCAGGGCGCGACTCTCAGGTCGCTACAGGTGGGCGAGCAAATTACGAGTCCCCACCACCAAATTCACATGACTTCGACTTCGCAGGCTTATCGTGCTTCGCGCCTGGCGGTTGATACCCTCTTGGTAGAGGAACTTGGAAGAGCTCCTGGGGTAGTCGTGGACCAAGCCAGCAGCCCGGATGAAAGCTATGCCGTAGCCGGGCTGCGCATTGAAGATTCGCGTGCCGACGACTACTGCTTCCTTCTGGCTGCGCAAGTTGGCCATGGGCTGCTGAGGCGTGAAGAATGGCGTTGGCAAGGGTGCTTCCAAATCTTCTGCCTCCGGCCTGTCCCAATAAAAGGTCCACGCAGCAGCCGTTATGTGGGAACCGCGGGAACCCGACAGTAAATACTCCTGGAAGGATGCGAACGCAGCGTGTGTGGCCCCATCCAGGCACATGTCCGAGGGCAGTTCCCCGTGGCTATTCCGAACCCAGGCTGGTGCACCAGCCTGCACACAGCACAAAACTTCGCCCTTATAATGTCTGAAGATCTGAATGACTCGGTTTCCTGTTATTACTTATACTACCTTAAACTACCATCTCGCCAACTTTTTTGGTAGGTTCTTATTATTCCCAATTCCAAGTTTCCTGGCCGGGCCTTGAGGAGGAGGACCACGACGCTGCAACGCGACATGCGGGCGGCCACGTGCAGCGGCGTCCAGCCGGCGACGTCGGCGCGGTCCAGCGCAGGTCGATGCCTCAGCAGCTCTAGGACCACGCTGCACGAGCCAGAACGGCAGGCCACCTCAGCTTTTCTCGTCTCACGCCAGCTGTTGGGGGTTGTGGAAAAGACAAAGACTTGGGATGGGTTTGACGATTTTACAGTACCAGAGTGAAAGAAAACGGGGCCGTTCCAGCAATTCATGGCGTTCGCGCGTCAAGCCTTCGTTTGCCAGCACTGTCGCCGCTACTTGCCTAAAGTCCTCCTCTAGCCCCGCATCTTGCTGCCACGATGCGTGCAAACCGGTGGTGCTGTTGGCATCATGGGTGCTTGGAGATGCACCGAAGCGCAGCACCCATCTCAGAGCCACCAGGTTGGAGGTTCCACAAAAGACCAGAAAGTGCCTCGAGGTGAGGTCGCAATCCGGGCTTGTCGATGTTACTTGCATACCGATGCCCAACTACTCACTGAGTCTTGAATTGCACACAGGGCAACAACTAGTGTCCCTGCTATCCGCCGGCCTGTCCAGCAGCTTCAAGTTCTGCAGCGTCTCTGGGAAGATGGCGCCAGCAGGACATTCGACTTCGATGATTTCTTCGTCAAAGGTTCCACACTGCCCGTGGCTTGGTATGGCCTCCAGCTGTCAAAGGACTACGAAGCATGAAGGCTGATGCCCCCAACAGTGACTGATGAGCGCTCTAGGATCAGCTTAAGCAACCCTACTACATACTAGCATAAACAGGCTCAGGCAGGCCTGCAGGCAGATACTATACAAACAGTCTTCGGCAGCCAGGTAGCAGTCACCAAGTCCAGGTATGTCTGCCCATCGCGGTCGCAAGCGTGGGGCGACAGGCACCAGGGCTTCTCAGCGCAGCTCCGTGCTGCGCCCATTACATGTCATCTTACGCACAGCGCCCTTCTTCCATCCGAAGTGAAGGCGCTGTCAGCGACTTAAGAAGAACGATGGCGAAGGATGCCAGGTGCATTTGAATCGCATGGGTCTGTTGTTGGCTCGAGGCTGGTTTGTGCTGGTTGCGATTCGAGTGCGACAGTACTGGACGAGCTAAAGGCTGTCGAGCATAATGGAAGTTGAAAACTTCACTGACTCACGGCAGCTATGCCAGCTATGCGGCTATGCCGATGAACACGCGTCTACAACAAGCCGGTTCTGCCAAGGTCAGGCTCAAGAAACCGGAGATACCACGGTTTCGCGGAGCCTGAGGGGAGCAGAATTCGGAGAACATGGAAAAATGTGACAGCTGCTTTCAGGGCCCGTCCTCCTGGGCAGACTTCACCCTGGACGGAAGGCCTTGCACTCTGGGCAGCTGTATCGTCACTGCAGGGAACTCAAGCAGGATCTAACGAAGAGTGGCCCTCGACTGAGCATCTGATGATTTTGCGTTGCTTGGGCGGTGACTGGGTGTGGCCCCGAAACCAACGTCGGCCGCGCCTCTGCGCTCTGTTGGGGAAGCTCCGGCAAAACTCTCACACTCACACACATAGACATGAGCCGCTTTGTTTTTGGGGCGCGGCGTGGGGCGCATAGGCGAAGGGTGCTCGGCAGGCCTAGCAGCGAGAGGAAGACGGTATGGTTTTTGTCTTGCCTATTGCATTCTTGCCGATCCTGGCGTGACCATTCTGCACCGTTTTGCCTTCACCAGGACTTCCGGAGAGGAACTAGAGCGAAAGCAGTGAAATCCGCAAACTGCCGATTGCCTGACTGGCTGGCGCCGCTGCAGCTCAGGCTCGGGACACAAGTGTGTTGGCTAGGTGCCGTCCAGTTTGCTTGGCTAGTAAACTCTTGGCACTCTCAGAGCAGAGTCAATAAGAGCTGCATGTGTGTGTGTGTGTGTGGATCAGTTTGTGCATATTGGGCTCTTGGGGCCGTGGTCTGAGCCGAAGATGGCAAAAAGCACCTCGGGACATCTCTGGACATCTGTGACCTGCAGGTGACAGCGCACTTGCTGTAGTGTCCTGATCTGGGCTGAAATGCAGGAACGCCGAGGAGGCGCTGGTCACACCTGCGCCGCAGGTGAGCAAGGACGGGGCTCGAGGTCTCCTTCGAGTAGAAACGGCCCACCGCGGCTTCGCAGGCACCGGAGGACTTTGCCCAGGTGATCCATGGCTCGGACCTTGCAACACATTATAATCTCATAGCCTATAGGGCCTAATATATGTGTGGGGCTACAGTCTATAGCCCTACCCCAGCCACTAGTAACCCCTGATTCCTGATCCTCAGCAGACGTAGATGACCGCGTCTGAGTCAAGGGCCGCCGCCGCGGCGGAACTCGACTGACCTTTTGGAGAAAGGCGGTGCCGTGCTTCGAAGCCCAAAGTTCCTGCGCCCTGCGCCTTGTGCCAAGCCCAGCGGCTCCAGGATGGCCAACACCGCCGAACGATCTGGGGGTTTCAAACATGCACCCTAAATAGCAGGTCCTGATTATACGGACCCCCCAATAAAAGGTAGCCCCAGTTTTCGGGAAGTTTCATCTGCTTCGCAAGCCGGGTAGGAGCGAGCTTCGACAGTCCCTTCCTGTTCCTGCCTCCGGCTTCTGCAGCCCGCAAGAGCCGCAGGCCCCGCTGTGACGTCTTGAGTACCTGAGCACATCGCAGTAGAGGCTGCGAGCCTTGCCCCAAGATCGCAGAAAAAAACAATCCCCTGGAGTCTACAGAACCCTCCCCTCCTCAAACTAGAACTCCTCTTGATAGAAACCCCCGGCCCAAGCCTTCAAAAGACCAGGGCCCTGGCATCCCGCAAAGTTTGTTGCTCCTTCTGCAGCGCAGCCAATTCCCGAGAGCACTCCTCGGCGAGGGAGTGCGTCTGCGCTCCTTCAAGAGTCCTTTGCCCTACACTCTCTCTTCGTGAATCTGCCTTGTGATGCCAGCTCGAGATCGCCATGCGAGCGATGGGCGACACGTCGAAATCCCCATCCTGCGCTGACACATGCACTGACCATGCATCGGGCGTCGAAGACAGACAGGGGGCACGGTGGCCAACCCATTTTTGCTGAATGACCCGAAAGCTTTCCTGTGATGGGATCTCAAGTGTCGGGTCTCTCCCGCAGCTCGGAGCATGCAGAATTACATCTCGGACAAGCGAGATATGTAGCGCTCCTGCAGTGCCGAGCCCTTTTGGGACGGAGAGGTTTCGCACTCCCGCTGTCTCACCTCAGCTGTCCACACCCAGCCTTAAAGCCACAGCCACAACTCCTAAGGGTCACGCCCAAGCATGCAAAAAGGCGGTTGGGTTCTCCGGCTGGCTGGCAATGCAGTCAATGGCCTCAGGCTCCAGTCCCAATCTCCCAGACCGGAACAAGTCTTGCCGAGAACGCGGCCAGAGCGCTCAACACGGGCTCCAGGTGATCTTGAAAATACCTCAAGCTCTGTTGAGCCTGTGGCTTGCGTTAAGCAGGCTGTGAGTGATTCAGGCACTGGTGGTTGAATTGAATCGGAAGGGATACGAGGACATGCGTCATGTGTGCGTGTGTGTATATGTTCAAATCTTACGGCTGAGGTATGCACTAAATGAAACTGGTCGACCGATATAGATAAGGAAGTTGTACCGTACTTAATGCAAAAAGAAAGGTATGCAGGTACAAGTTACACTTACAAGACGATCGTACGAGAACACATAATCATGAGCGACCCTCGGATGCTTCTCAACGGCACCTGCCTGTACTACTGTACTTTCTGTAATGTTCTCCTGCTCTACTACTGTACTGATGCATGTCGGTACTGCTCTTGATACTGTACTACTGCACTACTCTACTACTGTACTAGCCAATTCCTGTACTGCTGTATTCCTGTATTACTGTACTACTCCACGATTTATCCCACAGCCCTGCCCAGAGACCCCCTCAGATATATAAACACAACATTCCAAGTCAATGATATATCTCCGCTTTTGATTCTACTGTAAAGGGGAGGGGGGCAGCCAATCACAAGCACAGATTGGCGCATTTGGGCCATCTATCGAAGAGCTGGGGCCGCTGCTGCTCCACAGGCACGGCCTCTGGCCTGTGCTTCAAGCAGCCATCAACCTCGCAACTCGCAGAATCGGAAAGCAACGTGAAACACCACGTGATTACTAAACGCGTTTTCTAGAATCCGCAGACGTCTCCGCAGAAATCTCGTCGGGCGACTGAAACCGGCTCGTCTAGAGACAGAGCAGAACCCAGGCCAGGCCGAGAGGCCACGTCGATGAGGGCTTCTCGGAAGGAGCGGTCGAAGGGAGCCAAGGGAGCCTCAGACGCAGCACAGACGCACAGCTGGCGCAGCTGGCCAGGCGGGTCCTCCCTGGGCCAAGTGCCGCGTCGGTCATCTCCTGGGCTTGGGGTCTTTGGATGTCTTGGGTTTAGAGCCGAAGCTTACGAATCGAGCGCTGAGACGTGGGCAAAGGCTGCGAGCAGCGCATGCCTCGCTTTCGGATCCGGAGCGGCTCCGTCGCAAGGAACCGAAAGTTCAGGCTGCGACGGGCCATGGCTGTAGGCTGGGGACAATCTAAGTGAGCAGGAGCACACCGCGGGGGGACTGGCTGCGAGCCGACATCATTCGACGGACGACAACTTCTTCAGACAGCTCCTGCCAGCTGCACTTACACTGGAGCCAAGACTTGCGATTTCTGCAGACACTTCTTTCCTCCGAAGACCTCATTTTCAAGGCTCGCGGGCTGGATTACCCCTGAGACGCCGCTCGACTTTGCAGATCGGCCACATCCTGGGCCCGGGCTTCAAGTTATGTTTGGGAAGCATGGGCAGAGCAGAGCCGCCTGGGCAGCATCGCCCATATAGAAGAAGACGAACTCCTCGCCGTCCTCTGACAGTCGGCCGATGCGGTCACTAACGAAAGGAAAATGAACTGAGCTCCTTGAAGGGAGTATCTCGTATTCGGACCTGGGCTCAGACACGAAGAAGAAGAAGAATAGAAGCGTACGGGGGGGGCCTCCCTTAGGCCTCCGCCTCATCTTCAAGAATCCAGTTGGCAGGGAAGTTCCGCAAGCCTTGGCCATGAGTCTTCTCGCTGGGCTTCTCTTTGGCCACGATAATGCTCTCTACCTGACAAGTCTCCGATTCCATACATCCAGAAAAAGAGCACAGACATGGCTGCACCTTTAACCCAGGCATGCGGAGTGCCAGCCAATGTTTGGCGTGCTTCACTGTCTGTGACGGCTTGAGGCCTCCATCATGTGCAATATGATGTGCCACTGATCCAAAAGCATGCCAGGCTCCTGGCAGATGTCGCACAACTTGCTGTCGTCGATCGGTGAGAGGGCATAGAGCACCACTGGCTCCTTTCGTTTGCGACATCTTGCGACCATGCCGGAAGCGATTTTGCCATTGCCACACTCCGCCTCATCGCCCGGTCGCACCTCCTCCAACAGTGGCCCTGTGCCACATGAAAGCTTCTGTACTATGATGACCATTAATGTATACTCTAACTATGTGTGTGTATATATGTTGTATTGTATTTCATTGTATTGCATACATGTACTAGTATATACGAGAATGTTCTTCATTATGCACTGTATTTATTATACCTAACTGCGTATCTGCCTGTGTATCAACCTGCCTAGCTATTTAGCTATCAACATATAACGATAAAACGGATCACATGACAAGAGGCTATCAACATATGACACGTAAAAGATCACATGAACGGGGAGGCAGAGATCACATGAAAGGATATGAAGGATGCTATCAACACATGACGCTCAAGGAGATCACATGAAAGGGTGTCGCAGTCTGAGCCCCGGCCTGGCTGGTTGAAACCCGGGCCTTCCACCTCAGTTAATCCGGATGGCGTGAGACGGATCTTTGCTGAGCGAAGCTCGGCCGACCAGTAGCCATCCCGGCTTGTCTCCATCCAACCTCGGTGCTGCGCCAGTAACCCGTCATGCGATGGATATGTTAGCCGAACCGCACCTGTCTGGTGTCTTATCTGCATTGCGGGAGCCGAGCCCGTCAATCCCATTTCGACGATCACCGAAGCCCATCTCAAAGATCAGGACTCACGGCACATGCCGAGGGAGCACAGCAGATGCTGCTCATGTGGAGCAAAATGGGTCACCCACTCAAAGATAATGCAAGTAAGTGTGGGTGCCGCACGATTCTGTACATACACCGGCATGCATCAATCTATGTCTATCCGCATGCTGAGTGTTCCGTCTGCGTCTATTGTGTCACCTAGATCACGGGTCACCCGTTTTTCTCGCCGATGTGTGTCACTCTTCGTTCTCGCACAAACACATACAGCATATTCCAAAGAAAAACGCAGAAGGACATCTGGGACCCCTGCTCGAGCCAGAGGCCACCAGCAGGACCCTGCCACGTTTGGCCGGTGCTCTGCACCTCGCACCAGTATATACCGATTTGCAGACATGAGGACAAGCGGCGACCGTATGTGCATGCGTGCATACATTCGCTGACCTAGCTTCGCTGGAGCAGATCAGTCTGATTCCCCCCGCGTCCGTTAATTCCCTTGCCCAGGACACACGCACACACACACACACACACACACACAAGAGAGAGAGAGAGAGAGAGCTCATCAACCTGCGAGGCATTGCTCGACGCTACGTCAGACTACCTGGTGCGCGAGTGGGCACGGCTGGCATCCAGCAGGCAGCTGGCCCCCCTCAGTGCGAGCCTTGCTTCCCACTTTCCGGTTCAGCTTGATGACCTCATAAGGGAGCGCCGCGACACTTCGATGGTTCCCGGGCCCGCCGCGCCCCGGGCCTTCGAAGAGTTCGGGTCTTTGCTCGGCTTCTTGAAGAGCGGCCCCTGTGTAAAGGCTATGTGCAGATTCCGTGGGCCCGTGGGCATGTATGCCGACCTCGACTGGCCTGCTCTTTTCTGGCCGAAACTACTACATCCGTCAGGCAGACAAGACAGTGCTTCTCCCTGAAAACCATCACCTTCTTCTCTGAGGGCTGCAGCCTGCATCACCCGGTACTCGACGGGCAGCGCAACAGCTGCTTCTTCCCCCGCCTTGCAACAAAAACTTCGGCACAAGACTGAAGTCGTTGATGCAAGTCTGAGGCCCAATGCCATCGCGGCGGCAAGAATACAGACTACAGTGACTACAGCAACTACAGTCTCGGGTCATGTACGCTGTCCGAATTCTTGACCCTGAAACATCTCTAAGTGTCGTGGCCTCTCACCTGTCGAGACTGGAGTCGGGGGAGTCTCTGAGTTCATGTGCTGCTCGAGGGCGTGACAAGCCGAGTTGCTTGCATCAAAGAACTGCTTGCATTCCTTGCGCACAATCTTGCTTTGAACCGACGCAAACGGCGCATGCAGCAAAGCCCGGACACCCACGGCTCGCGGTACTGATTCATATTCAGACTACGTGATTCTTCTCTCATTACACGTCCTGCATGGCCCCTGCGTAAGGATGACGCCGTGAACTCTGAACCGATGGCCACTCGAACGTGGCTCAAGTCCGAAGTGCGATGAGTGTAATGCCTGGGTTTTTGTTTCTTATCATCTCTCTTTAGTTGTTTGTTTGGGGGGGTATGCTTGTTGAGGGGCCTTGTAGTGCACTGTACTGCCCCTGTACCCTCAACTATGCCCCCAAAGCATGATCCATTAGATGACCTGCCGTTGCAGTTTCATAATGCTGGAACGCTCCATCCCCAGGACCCAGCAATCCCGCATTAAGCAACAGTAGCTCTCTGATATGCACATGACAGGCGTGGACGCAAGCTTGCGCTCTCTGGCGTTGGCTTCGCAATTCTTTTCCGCAGCTCGGTGATGTCCCATGCCCGCAGTGGTTGACCGGTGCTGCTACATGCGGTCACGAGACACTGCTGACGACCGAGCGGACCGCGCGAGTTGAAGCCCGTTTGGCCAAGGCCTTGCATTGGCCTTGGGTCACGCAAAAGATGCATAGGACGGCAAAAGAAAATCCTTTTTGCTTTACACTTTTCAATCTCTTAATCCGCTGGATCTTCCAGCGGATTGAGTTTAGGGCTTGCGAGCCCCACATCTTCTGTTAGGCTTTGGGGCTTGACCACGCAGATTGGACAAAATCCAATCAGCTTTGATTTGACATCAGATGGAACTGAAGCGCGGCAAATGCACATGCTAGGAGAACTCTGGGGGTCCCTTTCGTGCCTTGATGCAATGGAACAGGAATTGGATGCCCTAGGATGGTAATGTACGAAAGGCACAGATCACCATAAAAGCGTGGTACAAACAATTAAAGATAGAAACCATTGCTCAACAACACAGTGTATTCCAGGAATATCTCCTTCTTTGACTTTGACCTGGATGAGACGGACTTGTATGGAGACCTGCTATGGGAAGCTCCACTTGATGCGGATGAAGTGCGAGTTTGAACCAACTCTGGGCCAAATAACTCCAGGAAAGTCGTACACCTTCTCTCTTGCGCTCTACCCCATCGCGGCCAATCATTCTGGCAGCCTCCTCGTCTCGGAGCATCCCAACGAATCTCTTCCCCCAGATCGATGACAGGTCTTGATCAACGAACCTGCAGGCAGAAGTCTCACAAGACATGTGGGCCTGTTCTGCCCTCACTAGCAGGGTGCACCTACCATACTCAGGGCAACTGCACTACAATGCCAGATAGCTGCAATCGCGGTCATTTTTTATCTAATCTATGTAATCGTTTCCCCCTAATATTAAAACGCTCCCCCCCTAATATAAAAACTGGATTCCGGAGGTTTAGTTTTTATATTAGAGGGGGTTTCGGGTCCTGCGGGTATGAGTCGGAGTGACAGCAATTAATTAGTAATGAGGCAGCCAAACCCTAAAGGCCTGAGCCCTAAACTTTAAGCCTTAAAGCCCTGAGCCCTAAAGCTTTAGCCCTGAGCCCTAAACCCTTAAACTCTAAAGCTCTCGTGTCTCTTTAGTACTGCTGTAATTAATCTTTGCCTCTATAATTAAAGCCCTGAGCCCTAAACCCTTAAACCCTAAAGCTCTGGTGTCTTTAGTATTACGGTAGTCTTCCTTCAATTAAAACACATACAGATCTGCCACCCCCCCTAATGTTGCCCCCTTCAAATTGAATGCCGGGCCCGAACCCGCGAAATTCCGGGGGCCGGCAGTTTTTTATATTAGGGGGGGATTGGTTGTTAGGGGGAAGCGATTAGAATAGCATAAAGGCAGAATGAATCGAAAGGAAGAGGGCAACCACGCCCCTGAACATCGTCGTCGAGAATGAAGGTCTGTTAGGACCCTCGCCCCGGATGCTTCTAGGATCGGGTTTTCGACTTGAACAAGGTGGTTCGGGGCCCTGTCCTGCTTCCTGATATGTCTTCTGTTGTCTATTCACTCCTGTATGGCCACCTTCTTCGATTCCTCTCATCCCTTCCCACATCATCATACAAGTACCAGCATCATCACATGCACTGTTTTCTCTCCTCATATTCATGCAAACTTGTAAATGTGTTTCAACCGATTCTGGCTCATTTCCGCCGGATTCGCCTTCGAAAACCTGCATTTCGATATAAATGCTTGCTCAGGCTTTACCAAAAAGCTTTGCTATGTCATACGCATTCGCAGCATAATCATGTGCTATCCTGACAACATGGAGCATAATGAATCCATATGCACCAACGTCTTGCATCACTCCTGTGAGGGTACGAACTCCTTTAACGTGAACCATACATCATAGCCACGATTAGCAACTCCGTGAATACAGTTTGTAAGCGTCAAAAGATGCTGTTCTGCCACCGTTTCTGAGGTATGGTTTCAACACCCTGGTACTTGAGGAATCGCTCTATCAAGTCTGTTAATAAACTGCTAAGGCTACTGTAGTCCTACTGTCACGCGCTGGGTAATTGTAGTAGAATCCAATCTGCTGCATTGTCCAAAAGCATGTGCAAAGTCAGCCAGGTCTTCTCCAGCAGAACACAGCCATGTAGAGCAACCTCTGCTGGCTATGGGAAAAAGACATGGTACTTTCGGCACATCATGAAATGCTCATCCACGCAGCATCAGACCTTATTGAAAAGGATCGGCTGATCCATCGCATCTCAAGAAAGGGCCGGCGGGCCTCCAAAGCGCCAGGAGCCCGGCGAGGGCGAAGCTCCTGGCGCTGCCGTTTCGGGCATCGATGTCGTTTTGGATTGCAGCCTTGAGGAAGGCCAAAAGCAGCCAAAACATGCATGATGTCACTATGCATCCCCCGCCCACCAGCACGATGCTGCTTTCTTCGGCGAAGATGGTGCTTGGTGTTTCAGACTCCTGACAGTACAAGTAGCACCCTTCGACACGGCAGTTTTTTCCGACAGCCTGCAAGGACGTCATGCCCTTACATCACGGAAGCCTTGTCGTGTCTTTGACTTTTGAACAGCTCAGTGCCGTCAGTGCCAGCGATCGCTGCACTTTGCGTCCTGACAGGAGGCAATCGGGTGCTCTGTGGAAGCAAAGATGTCCTTTCATGACCATGCAGCTGCAGGCAGTCCTGGTATCTCGTGTCGTCCATGTCGGCCATCACGTCACCTTGCCGACTCCGTCTCTGCTGAAGCCGGACTCCCGTAGCTCCAGCATCACCTGCAAGGGCTCTGGCCATGGTGACCGCAGGGGCGGCTCAGTAACCAAGACTGTGATCCTTCAGAAGCCCGCGCAGCTCGCGGGATCTCGGGGGCCTGCACCATCGAGAGCGCCAGCAAGCCCGTGCACATCAAGATAGGCAGTGCCTGACAGAGCGGCGCTCTCAAACCTTTCTGCTCAAACAAAGATTCTCCAAGGCGGCTGCAGTGGACGGGGCATCGCCAAAGGCAAGATGCAGAAGCCCAAGAGTTCCAGTGACGCCCAAGGCATAGCCGATCAGATTCACAAAGAAGAGCACGTAGACGTAGAGTGCTCCTGTGAAGCTTGACGGGACATGACTCGTCGAGTCAACCACAGCACGTTCTCCTGCAGCCGCTCTGAGCCACCTGAAACACGTGGGAGTCTCTGCGTTCAAGAACCTCATGCAGCTCTCTTGCCTCGAAGCTTCTGCTGGCAAGGCAGCTGCCTGGCAAAAGCAATCCAGCGACGAAGCTCATGGCGCCCTTCCGCAGACTCGTCCTTGCTTCGCCAGGCCGTCGAAGCCAAGTGCTCGAGGACCTCAGTAACAGGCCCCCCGAGGCTCACATGCTGGCCTTCCCTTGCTGTCAAGGCTCCATGAAGGCCGCGTTGAGGAAGCCCCAGGCGAAGAGCTTCACTTCCAGATCATGCCACAGGGCAACGAAGCCAAAGACAACCCAGACATTGGCCCAAAGCCACCTTTCTTTCAGCGCTACAAACAACACCCGGCGGAATGCCGTGCGACTCGCCGTGAGTTCGGGGGAAGCCTGCGACCGCCCAGCGGAATGTACAAGTAGCGAACAAGCCAGAGGTTGAAACTGGAATGCCTCGCAGCGACGAAAAGATTCCAGAAACAACACTCGAAGCCCGGGCAGCTGAGTTCTGCACCATCCACGCCAAAAGCCCGACAGAGAGTAGTTGTTGCCTTGAGGTGGTTGTCTGCTACGACTTGCTTGGACACTTCAAGAGGCTCATGCTCCCTCGAAAAACATGACTTTCTTTCTTCTCAGTCTCTTGTGCGTAGCTCAGGCCGTACCCCCTGCCCAACGGAGCGGCACGGCTCTGGCAGGGCTTCATCTTTTCGAACACCGATCCCACAACCAGAACCTCGTCCCCTGTGCTGTGCCGTGGGGGGCCATGGGGGGGGGGGGGGGGCTAGGTCTGCTCTTCTTCCTTCCTTCCGCTGGGGATGAGCCCAGTCGCCTGGACTGGGTCTTCTCTCTCTTGCATGCTTGCTTGCTTGCTTGCACGGCGTCTTCTCTCTCTCTCTCTCTCTCCCTCTCTCTCTCTCTCTCTCTCTCTCTCTCTCTCTCTCTCTCTCTCTCTCTCTCTCTCTCTCTCTCTCTCTCTCTCTCTCTCTCTCTCTCTCTCTCTCTCTCTCTGTCTCGTACTCTGTTTTCGCCACGGCTCAGACACATCTCCGCATATTCTCCGGGACGTCGACGCCGTCGCAAAGGGCCCAGAGACGTGCAAAGCGCCAGATGCACAGAAACCTTCGAAGGAGGCGAGGGCTTCGCGGGTGTTGCCGTGTGTGCTGCCTCCACCAAGCTGAGGCCAGCACTTCAGCCACATGACCTTTGCTTCAAAAGGAGGAGAGTGGAGAATCACGACTTCGCTTCGTCACAAACTTCCACTCCTCTGAGGCCCTTGACAATCAGCAGCAGCATGGCATAGGCCCTCAGCAGGCAGGCACATCTGAAAAGGCACAGGAGGGCACCTTTGCAGTACTGTCAGAGTGTGGCAGGGCAGGGTCCCGTACACAAGGAGATCAGCACGCTGATGCAGCTGCAGGTATGTGGAGGAGCGGCCGATGGCCCAAACAGGCGTACAGCACAACCTGACCACAAGGACACTCCGCCACCAGCTTCGATGCCTACTAGAAGGGCCTACAAGTCGAGGTCTCTCCAGCCCAAGTGTGTTAAGATAGACCCGTACTTAAATAACATTCGTTCCTTCCCGGGTTTTTCTGCCTAGCCGCAACACTTCCAGCAGGCCCAGGCAAAGGGCGAGTCGAAGAGCATACAGCAGCCTTGCGGCTGTTGTTGCAGCTAACTCTCTTCACATCTCTAAGGGATCCTAAGAGAACACCATGGCAAGCAGCAACTGCCAGGCACTCATCGCCTGTTGCGGCCTGGCAATCGGAAGGTAAAGCGCGCGTGTATGTGCTTAGCAACCATGTGGCCTGCCTGTCGTGAAGATGCGACATGAAAGAATTGAAGGTGGTCATTGGCCCAGCCAGCCAAAGGGGTGAATATAGGAAGTACGTCATCAGGTTCAAGATGCTGTATTCGTGCAAAGGCCGAGACTTCTCCCTGCCACCACCATGCTCTCTCACTGAGTACAGGCTGATAAAGAACAAATGCCAATGGCACTGGCCTCTTCTTCAGCTCTGAAAGCACGTCGCCTTGGCACTGGGCCTCAAGATCCTGAGCTTGCTCCGCTTGCTCCAGCTCCTTGCGACCAAAGAAATGCGCCCACTTTCCCTGAACCCCTGCTGCCGGTCTCCTTCAGGGCCCAGAAGTAATCCTTGGAAGTTCCCAGCTGCTGCTGTTTCCCATGACAAAGCTGGCAAGACCATGCCTTTACGGAGTTGCAAAGTTGCAGATACCAGACCCTCGGTCTCGATTCTACCATGTCCTTGCATCAAAGGGCCTGCACGGTGCACTACTGGCAGCCGTCACTAGCTGGCACGAGTTGTAAAACGGCATCCTCGGCTCATTGGCTTCCCTTGATACTTCCTATCTCCTGCATAACTCAAGACTCACAGACTCACAGATCACGGTCCACCAGTACACGGCATTCAGCACAGCCCAGCCTTCTCAAAAAAGACGGAGTGAGCAATGAGGTGACTGCTATGGCAGCGTCAACAACAACACCAACAACCCCAACAGCAGCAGCCGCAGCAGCAGCAACAACAACAACAACAAGGAAGGAGGCGCGATTGCCACCGCGAAGCGTGTGTCGTTCGTTGTTTGGGTGCTTTTTTGACGAATTGGTGAACACCTCGAGTTTTGTGGGGCTTTCTTGAATAAGGCGATGTTTGTCCATGTTTTGCGTCCTGTTGTTCATTACATCTTTGCTGAAACGTCGTAAAAGACGTGGTGTTCGTTGGTGTTCTTGTTTGATTCTTGGACATGCTTTTCAAGTTTTCGTTTCGTGTCTCTGCCAAAACGTCGTCAAACCGTTGTGTTTTCTTTGTTTGGACTGTGTCAAGCAGGATCGAGCAACATAGTCATTGCCACTGGTCTCATCATGGCTATCCTCATGGGCACCATGCGAAGGCAAAACAAAAGAGCAATAACAACATGATCGGCACTGCTATGGACGTTAACATCCCGCCCAATCCCCTCCCCACCCTCTCCTCAGGAAAGCAAAAGAGCAATCAAAATGTAATCCGCGTTGCCATGCAAATTAACATCGCCCCCATCCCACCTCCCCACCTCCCCAGAAAAGCAATTTCCAAAAAAGAGAAAAGAGACTGCAGACGAGAGCGAACGAAGAAACCTGCCGATTTGCAAGGTAAATTCCGATACAAGAGACATGCGAATGTGCAAAAACCTCAGGTTTAGTTGTTTTCCGGGAACACAGTGGAAAAACCGATGCGAAATGATGCGAAAGCCAAGTCGCAGATCTTTTGTCCAGACCGCAACGTGCCAAGACTCGAGTTCGTGCACATTGCAGCATCGATCTCGATGCACCCTTCGCGGCGGCATACGCGCCGCCTGCCAACAGAACAATACCAACAACGACAACAACAACAACAACAGCAACAACAACAACAACAACAAGGTACAAACAAAAACTGCAGCCCCGTCAACCCATATATCTTGTTTTTGTCTGTACATTAGGTAGAGACAAAAACAGGAGCCCCGTCATGTTGTTTTACCCCCCCCCCCCCAAACAACAACAACAACAACAACACAGTGCCTGTGGATGCCTGTGATGTATACTGTTTGGTGTGTATTTTCAATGGATTTCGTCTGTACTTCAGTGGATTTGGTGTGTATTTCACTGTACTTCAATGGATTTGGTGTGTATTTCAATGGATGTCGTGTGTATTTCAATGGATTTCGTGTGTATTTCAGTGGATTTCGCATGTATTTCAGTGGATTGCGCGTGTATTTCAACGGATTTGGCGCGGAGTTCAGTGGATTTGGTGTGTATTTCAATGGATTTCGTGTGCATTTCAATGGATTTCGTGTGTATTTCAATGGATTTGGTGTGTATTTCAATGGATTTAGTGTATATTTCAATGGATTTTGTTGGAATGCAGGACCACATGTGGTGCTTAGCATAATGCGAGCCCTTGTTTTGTCTTACAGCTAAGAAGGCTGGGATGTGCTGATCCTCTAGAGAGAGGGAAAGTTCCGCATAAGTACAGCTGTAAAGAGTGTGCACAGATGCCTCTGGAGCAGCTGACCGGCGGGAACGTTGGCTCAAGATGGAAAAAACGTGCCGAGCTGAGGTGAGGACTTTCAGTCCGTTTGTAAGCCGGCGCTTTGGGTTTTTCGGGGGTGTTGGGGTGTTTGGTAGGGTTAGGATCTTAGAGGTCATCCCTGCCAGGACTCCCGATTCCCTTCACAACCCTCGAAGTTTCTTTGCGTAACTACGTTACTTAGGGCTCGTCGCCGATTTGCCATGGAGTCTGGGGTTCAAGATCAACGACCTGATGGTCAACAGGTTATGATTGCCCAAGTTCGCGATGCTACTCTGCAGGAACCCAGACCGTTTGAAGGCGAAACCCACGGGCCAAATTATGATCACGGCCCTCATCCGCCGCAGCAACTGCCGAATGGAGTGCCCCACAGACCTTTGGGAGCCTCTCCGACTGCAGAAAGCGATTTGGCTGCCTTTGCTTACTCGCCGTCTGCAGAAAGGCATGAGATGGGAGGCGGTGATCGAGATTGTGCTCCTCGTGGACCTGCTCCGGCTTTTTACCAAGAGGCCTTGCCAGCCCAACCGGAACGCCTGGGCATGACAGGCCCTGTGGAACCTGCTGGACAGATGAGAGGCTTTGGTGGAGCCTCAGCTGCTACGATGAACTGGATGACCCGGCTAGGCGATTTCCTACGGACGCAAGTGCAAGGCGGCATGGAGACCAGGACTACGATGACGCGTCAGCAAGTTGTGGGCTCGAGAGAACTGGGTGGTTTGGTTGTGCAACAGGAGCAGCTGCAACATACTACTTCCCAGCCGGCATCTCCCCACAACCGCTTGTATCCTGCCGCACCTTCGTCACCGTTCCGGGATGACATGGGAGAAGGGGCACAAGATCCACCCTTGTTTGGGGTTGGAGCTCGGCGCGTGATGGAAAGCTGGGCCCAGCGGGCTCCTCTTCTACATGGAGGGCAGAGGACTCAACAAGGGCCGGGGACTGATGCAGGGTCTACCGGGTCTATACCAAGGGAAGTGGTTCAAGAAGAAGTTCGTCGGCAGGTGCAGGAAGCTTTGGAGGGTCAGCGTCGATCGTTGGAACGTCTTCAGGAGGAGAATCGGCTGTTGAAAGATGAAATGAGGAGCCGTGAGGCCACTCGTGGCCCTCTGAGAGATGACATGGGGCAGCATACAGTACCTGAAGGGCATCGGGCTGCATCCTTGCATGGTGTACCTGAAGGGCATCGGGCTGCATCCTTGCATGACGTACCTGAAGGGCATCGGGCTGCATCCTTGCATGACGTACCTGAAGGACATCGGGCTGCATCCTTGCATGGTGTACCTGACGGGCATCGGGCTGCATCCTTGCGTGACGTACCAGAAGGGTATCGGGCTGCATCTACACTTAATGTACCAGGCGGGCATCGGGCTGCACCCTCGCATGGAATACCTGAGGGGCATCAACAATCAGCTTTTCAGAGTCGTGGAGTACCTGAGGGGCATCAGCAATCAGCTTTTCAGAGTCGTGGAGTACCTGAGGGGCATCAACAATCAGCTTTTCAGAGTCGTGGAGTACCTGAGGGGCATCAGCAATCAGCTTTTCAGAGTCGTGGAGTACCTGAGGGGCATCAGCAATCAGCTTTTCAGAGTCGTGGAGTACCTGAGGGGCATCAACAGTCAGCTTTTCAGAGTCGTGGAGTACCTGAGGGGCATCAGCAGTCAGCTTCCCAGAGTCGTGGAGTACCTGAGGGGCAAGGACGAGTGGGGCATCAAGAACGGGATGCCGAGATGGATCAAGACATGTTGTCTGATCAGTTCAGAGGCAGAACATCTAGTCTGGATCGCAGGACTTCGCCGCTGGGGCGAACTCGGAGGAAGCCATCTTCGTCACCTACGAGACCGGCTGAGGGCCTGGGTCGGGCTAGTTTTGCCTACGGTGTGACGGGCCTCTTGGATGGAGATGGATACAGCTTTCCGCAGAGCGAGCGAGTATACCGTCAGCCAAAGTACCAGGAGACCAAGACCTTTGGCGACTATGATGTGTCGGTGCCACCTGGCCTAGGTTTCTCGGCTGAAGGAGCGAAAGAGGCACCGAGATCAGCTCCTGCGGAACCCTCGACGGCACCAGCCACTGGCGATGCGGCCAATCGGGAGCCGAATCCGCTAGAGGTTCTCATCACTGGAATGACCCAGTTGCAACAGCTCTTGTTGAAGAAGGGTGAAGGACTGGATATGGAGGCAAAGGGGATGCCGGAGTTGCCCAAGCTTTCGGAGTACAGCCCGGAAACGGGAGCGATAGAGTTTCAGGACTACTTGTACCTGGTGGAGCAGCAGATCGGCTCACTCGCCAGTGGAGCGGGGGAGTGGTGGCAGAAGACCTTGGAGGTGGCCCAGGCTGCGTATACCGAGTACCAAGCGCTCTCACCGGTGAAGAGGCTGGGGGTGAAGGCTCAGTTGACGGCTGAGCTTAAGGAGGAGCGATACCGCCGATTAGAGAAGAAGGTCGCGGCGATGCTGTTGAGCTCCTTGCCCAAGGGGGTCAAGGACGACCTCATCGCGTACCGCGTGCAGGGGGTCCACCAGATCCTCTACCGGCTGATTTTGATCTTCCAACCCGGCGGAGCCCAGGACCGAGCACAGCTGCTGAGACAGCTGGACATTTCAGAATCCGCAGCGGGCCCAAGCGAGGCGGTCGTGAGCATCCGGAGGTGGTACAGGCTGCTACAACGAGCATCTGATCTAGGGGTTACCTTGCCTGACGAAAGCCTGCAAGCGAGGTCCCTGAATGCCATTGTCAAGAAGACTGCGGAGCAGAACAGTGACTTCAAGTTTCGTTTGGCCCTGGCGAGGACGGAGCTTCAGATCGACACTCGGCCCAACCAAGGAAATGTCCTGAAGTACATGCAACACCTCTTGGCTGAATTGGAGCAGCTTGGGTCCTTGGTCAGGAAACCGGCCGTTACTTCGTCGACTACGGCACCGACGACCTCTACCACAACGGCGGCCACAACACCGGCAGCTACGGGATCTGCATCTTTGAAGGGCTTGCAGGGCAGTGATCCTGCGCCAAAGGGGAATGGCAAGGCTAAGGCACCACCGGGGAAGAAACCGTGTCAATGGTTCTCCACAGATGTCGGGTGCCGCAATGGACG